GTTGACCGGAAATGGGACTCCGGCCAGCTAGGCCATCGACATAACCTCGTTGACCGGGAAATGGGACTCCGGGCCAGCTAGGCCCATCGACAACCTCGTTGACGGGGAAACAGCATGCCAGGACAGGTTGGCCCATCGACGACCTCGTTGACCGGGGAAACAGCATGCCAGGACAGGTTGGCCCATCGACGCACCTCGTTGACCGGGGAAACAGCATGCCAGGACAGGTTGGCCCATCGACATAGCCTCGTTGACCGGGGAAACAGCATGCCAGGACAGGTTGGCCCATCGACGCACCTCGTTGACCGGGAACAGCATGCCAGGACAGGTTGGCCCATCGACGCACCTCGTTGACCGGGGAAACAGCATGCCAGGACAGGTTGGCCCATCGAGCAACCTCGTTGACCGGGGAAACAGCATGCCAGGACAGGTTGGCCCATCGACGCACCTCGTTGACCGGGGAAATGGACTCCGGGCCACTAGGCCCATCGAGCATACCTCGTTGACCGGGGAAACAGCATGCCAGGACAGGTTGGCCCATCGACGCACCTCGTTGACCGGGGAAACAGCATGCCAGGACAGGTTGGCCCATCGACGCACCTCGTTGACCGGGGAAACAGCATGCCAGGACAGGTTGGCCCATCGACGCACCTCGTTGACCGGGGAAAGGACTCCGGGCCAGCTAGGCCCATCGACGCACCTCGTTGACCGGGGAAAGGACTCCGGGCCAGCTATGGCCCATCGACGCATCCTCGTTGACCGGGGAAATGGACTCCGGCCAGCAGGCCCATCGAATACCTCGTTGACCGGGGAAACAGCATGCCAGGACAGGTTGGCCCATCGACGCACCTCGTTGACCGGGGAAACAGCATGCCAGGACAGGTTGGCCCATCGACGCACCTCGTTGACCGGGAAAAGACTCCGGCCAGCTGGCCCATCGACGCACCTCGTTGACCGGGGAACACTGCCAGGACAGGGCCCATCGACGCACCTCGTTGACCGGGAAATGGACTCCGGGCCAGCTGGCCCATCGACGCACCTCGTTGACCGGGGAAACAGCATGCCAGGACAGGTTGGCCCATCGACGCACCTCGTGACCGGGGAACAGCATGCCAGGACAGGTGGCCATCGACGCACCTCGTTGACCGGGGAAACAGCATGCCAGGACAGGTTGGCCCATCGACGCACCTCGTTGACCGGGAAATGGGACTCCGGGCCAGCTAGGCCCATCGACATACCTCGTTGACCGGGGAAATGGGACTCCGGGCCAGCTAGGCCCATCGACGCACCTCGTTGACCGGGGAAACAGCATGCCAGGACAGGTTGGCCCATCGACGCACCTCGTTGACGGGGAAACAGCATGCCAGGACAGGTTGGCCCATCGACGCACCTCGTTGACCGGGGAATGGACTCCGGGCCAGCTAGGCCCATCGACGTACCTCGTTGACCGGGAAATGGGACTCCGGGCCAGCTAGGCCCATCGACGCACCTCGTTGACCGGGGAAACAGCATGCCAGGACAGGTTGCCCATCGACGCACCTCGTTGACCGGGGAAACAGCATGCCAGACAGGTTGGCCCATCGACGCACCTCGTTGACCGGGGAAACAGCATGCCAGGACAGGTTGGCCCATCGACGCACCTCGTTGACCGGGGAAAGGACTCCGGGCCAGCTAGGCCCATCGACATACCTCGTTGACCGGGGAAATGGACTGCCAGCAGGGCCCATCGACGCACCTCGTTGACCGGGGAAACAGCATGCCAGGACAGGTTGGCCCATCGACGCACCTCGTTGACCGGGGAAACAGCATGCCAGGACAGGTTGGCCCATCGACGCACCTCGTTGACCGGGGAAACAGGCATGCCAGGACAGGTGGCCCATCGACGCACCTCGTTGACCGGGGAAACAGCATGCCAGGACAGGTTGGCCCATCGACGCACCTCGTTGACCGGGGAAAACAGGGACAGGGCCATCGAGCACCTCGGACGGGGAAACGCTCCAGGCAGGTGGCCCATCGACGCACCTCGTTGACCGGGGAAACAGCATGCCAGGACAGGTTGGCCCATCGACGCACCTCGTTGACCGGGGAAACAGCATGCCAGGACAGGTTGGCCCATCGACGCACCTCGTTGACCGGGGAAACGGATGCCAGGACAGGTTGGCCCATCGACGCACCTCGTTGACCGGGGAAACAGCATGCCAGGACAGGTTGGCCCATCGACGCACCTCGTTGACCGGGGAAACAGCATGCCAGGACAGGTTGGCCCATCGACGCACCTCGTTGACCGGGGAAACAGCATGCCAGGACAGGTTGGCCCATCGACGCACCTCGTTGACCGGGGAAACAGCATGCCAGGACAGGTTGGCCCATCGACGCACCTCGTTGACCGGGGAAACAGCATGCCAGGACAGGTTGGCCCATCGACGCACCTCGTTGACCGGGGAAACGCATGCCAGGACAGGTTGGCCCATCGACGCACCTCGTTGACCGGGGAAACAGCATGCCAGGACAGGTTGGCCATCGACGCACTCGTTGACCGGGGAAACAGCATGCCAGGACAGGTGGCCCATCGACGCACCTCGTTGACCGGGGAAACAGCATGCCAGGACAGGTTGGCCCATCGACGCACCTCGTTGACCGGGGGAAAGGATGCCGGCAGGCTGGCCCATCGACGCACCTCGTTGACCGGGGAACAGCATGCCAGGACAGGTTGGCCCATCGACGCACCTCGTTGACCGGGGAACCCGCAGCTGGCCATCGGCACCTCGTTGACCGGGGAACAGCATGCCAGACAGGTTGGCCCATCGACGCACCTCGTTGACCGGGGAAACAGCATGCCAGGACAGGTTGGCCCATCGACGCACCTCGTTGACCGGGGAAATGGGACTCCGGGCCAGCTAGGCCCATCGACAACCTCGTTGACCGGGGAAACAGCATGCCAGGACAGGTTGGCCCATCGACGCACCTCGTTGACCGGGGAAACAGCATGCCAGGACAGGTTGGCCCATCGACGCACCTCGTTGACCGGGGAAACAGCATGCCAGGACAGGTTGGCCCATCGACATACCTCGTTGACCGGGGAAACAGCATGCCAGGACAGGTTGGCCCATCGACGCACCTCGTTGACCGGGGAAATGGGACTCCGGGCCAGCTAGGCCCATCGACGCACCTCGTTGACCGGGGAAACAGCATGCCAGGACAGGTTGGCCCATCGACGCACCTCGTTGACCGGGGAAACAGCATGCCAGGACAGGTTGGCCCATCGACGCACCTCGTTGACCGGGGAAACAGCATGCCAGGACAGGTTGGCCCATCGACGCACCTCGTTGACCGGGGAAACAGCATGCCAGGACAGGTTGGCCCATCGACGCACCTCGTTGACCGGGAAACAGCATGCCAGGCCCATCGACGCACCTCGTTGACCGGGGAAACAGCATGCCAGGACAGGTTGGCCCATCGACGCACCTCGTTGACCGGGGAAACAGCATGCCAGGACAGGTTGGCCCATCGACGCACCTCGTTGACCGGGGAAACAGCATGCCAGGACAGGTTGGCCCATCGACGCACCTCGTTGACCGGGGAAACAGCATGCCAGGACAGGTTGGCCCATCGACGCACCTCGTTGACCGGGGAAACAGCATGCCAGGACAGGTTGGCCCATCGACGCACCTCGTTGACCGGGGAAACAGCATGCCAGGACAGGTTGGCCCATCGACGCACCTCGTTGACCGGGGAAACAGCATGCCAGGACAGGTTGGCCCATCGACGCACCTCGTTGACCGGGGAAACAGCATGCCAGGACAGGTGGCCCATCGACGCACCTCGTTGACCGGGGAAACAGCATGCCAGGACAGGTTGGCCCATCGACGCACCTCGTTGACCGGGGAAACAGCATGCCAGGACAGGTTGGCCCATCGACGCACCTCGTTGACCGGGGAAACAGCATGCCAGGACAGGTTGGCCCATCGACATACCTCGTTGACCGGGGAAACAGCATGCCAGGACAGGTTGGACGTTTCTAGTGGACCTCTACGCCTCGACCATATTATATAATAGTGCCACCTGCGTTTTGTTCACAGTCTAAAGCTAACTGCTCTTTAACCGTATGTATTCTATCTCATTTTTCTTTACACCCCGTGCGTTTCTTGTTATTCGGATCTTAAAAAACTGGCAAAAATGGCGGAATCTCGTAAGTCAAACATACCGCATGTCCGGCAACCATCTTCTGAGTCAGATACAGTGCCACATTCGTCAACTTTTCAGCCATCTGGGCCTTCTTCAACCACTTTGCCTTATTCTAGATTATCCCCCCTCTCGCAAGAGGTAGACTCCTCAACTTTATCAAGGCTGGCCACGCCTTCATTGAGTGCCACTTCATCAACTACTTCGTGTCTCTATGACCCACCTTTAAGTGTTTCTATGATGGCTTGTGGACCCTATGATCCGAAAACTCCCTCTTGCCAGCCGAACACGCGGTCTAAGCTTCAGCAACAAGGTCAGGTCTTGGTCTATGAGTCAGGGAAAAAGTTCTATCCCCATCCCCGTGGCTCGCCTGTTCATTTGACTCCATACGAGTGCTTCATTAACAAAACAGGAACACCCATATCTTGCCAGTTTCTTCCCCCGTCTTCTCCTGCAGAAAAGAGTGTGCTTGGTACCCTACCAAGACATGACTTTAATAGTCGCGAAAGCCCACACCTTCCCTCTATTACCAATCACAAGTCGTCCAAAAGCACATAATGATTTGTTAAGAATTTACCCGGTTGAGTGGTTATTCTCCATCCGGACTTATTTGGATGTTTCTTTCATATGGTTGATATACTCCTTATATATGCACCGTTTCTCTCGGTTCTCGCGAATAACCTTCTCTCTAGCCAGTGCCTTTTCTGAAAGCTTCTTCTGTACTTCGTCAAATGCCCCGGTCTCAAGTTTCTTAGAAAATCTAATTCCATATACCCACGCTGTTATAGTTAAGCCAATAAGGAGTAGACTCCCTATGACAACAAGCCAATTCGTGGGCACAGGTGGGTCGGTGCACCCGACAGGCTTCTTAGCGGCATCATATATCTCCGTGCACTTCTGTAGTTGGCTCGAGTAACGATACATATCACCCACTAAGGACGTGGTAACGGCATACGTTCGGGTTGTACGGATGGGGAATATCTTCATGGCATTAGAAAACTCAGCCAGGGTGCTTGTATTTTTTAGTTCCAGTAACTTGTTTTTCATAGCTAGATTGAGTGCTCTGCACTTTTCAATTGTAGAGTCTGTGCAACCTGCCTGATAAAAGTAATAAGAGGACGAAGTTGAAGAGAATTGTTTTGGGCTGAAGTCCGTGACTGGAATCTGTACCCCTGTTAACGAACCCTTGAACGTTGACTGAGTAGCGACTAAGGACGCGAGATAGTACGGGAGTGCGTTGCTTTCTGATGAAAGAAGATGTGAAGAGAGTGAGCTGGAGTGTACATGGGCTTTGTCTAGGCTGTAGAAATGACCCTCAAGATAGGCAACTCTGGAGTCCTGCTGAAGCAGCAGTTCTGTGAGACGCCAAGCCAGTGGAACCCTCTGTCCATTGATGAGCATAAATTGATTGTGCGTAAACTCAACAAACTTATCTAGTGTGGGGAAGTCTATTAAGTATGGTGTTGTAGATGTGTTACCAAGAAGTCTGGTGCAAACGTAGTCCTTGAGGGTTAGCATTTGTGTGTTAAGGGTGCCATGCATGTAAGAAGCCTGGCTCAGAACTTGGCCTGTACGCGCGGAGAGAAAGGTGGCTTCACGGAAGTACTTAGTAATGTCTGACCTCCAGTGGGAGATCTCGTCGGCGCCCCCATTCTTGGCGAAGTCAACGCAGAGAGGGTTGGCGCTTGAGTTACAGACTTGGCCCAACGATTGGGAGATCGCGAGGTAACCGCCTAAACCCTCACTGCCATGAACACCTACTAAGAAGTCGTCTTGAAGAAGCTCAACCACAAGGGAATAGTACATGACATCATGGACCCCTATGCCATTCTGGGCTGCTATGTCCTTTGCTAGAAAATAAAGATTTGGATGGTATAATAATAAGTTAGTCGCCAAGCTATCTTTTTGGAGGGGTGTAAGCGCTGGTCCGTGTCGCCTAGTAAAAGAAACCAGCTCTGGCACCAGAAACTTACCTTCTGTGACACCATGCAGATCCAGTAAGTAGGTTGCTGAGTCTGCCGCGCGCGGCCACCTCTGGGAAGCAAGAATCGCCAGGTTAAGGCCGAGAAGAAGCACCGAGGTGCACATCAATTTTTTTCAAGTGCATTAAACAGCGCCTTTTCTTTCTTGTGAAGCACTTCGATAAGCTCCATATATGCCCATCGGAACTGTTCGAGAGTGGTTCTCAGCTGTAAAAGCCCATGCGCACGCGGAAATTCAAGCGGCAATACCCTTGTTTCAGAGGTCAGTGGATTCACTCGGGCAAACAGCGCTGATGAAGGCCGTCCTTGAAAAGGATCTGTTCTTGGTCAAGATGCTTGTGCGCTACGAGCACTCAATCACCACCAAGGCAGGACTGACTGCTCTCTCCATTGCAGCGCTTGAAAACAATTTTGAACTCTGCAAGCTTTTGGCCATTTATGAGAAGGACGTGCTGCTCCCAAATAAGCGGACCCCCCTCATGTTGGCCGCTGATTCTGGGTGCACCGAATCGGTAAAGGCTCTCCTGGTATTCTATAGTAACGAGCGAGATGAATTTAAATGGTCAGCGCTCGACTACGCCGTTTCTAAAAACCATGTAGATTGTGTTCATGAACTGCTTAAGACAACTACGTGGACCACTCAGGACTTGACTATTGCGTTTGGTGTTGCAAAGAGGGCGTCCCTAGCGTCGATGACGGAACTGCTTTATGGCTACATCAGACAGGGTGTTGTTACTGAGTGCCCACACTGTTCTCTCTGTCGCTCTACCCTTCGAGCCGCCCTTGATGAGGTTACGGCGCTGACGAGCGGGCTTTCATCCTTCATTGTCAATAATAGGCCTAACCAGGGTCCTGGAAGTGACACCGTATCAAGAGAAGAATACACAAGATTACTTGCCAAATACGAGGCATTGTTGGCAGAGTCAAAAGCTTACAAAAGAGACAGTCAAGTGACTGACAAGAGGCGGTCTTATGACGAGCTGACACATATGCCTCCTAAGCCTCAGTCCTCGGGGCAGGCATCCACCAACCAAGCAAACCCAATAGGGCTGACCCAAAATACATACTCAGTGGACCTGCAAGATACCGCAGCTGACAACGAAAGGTTTGCATTATATTCAATCCTGGACCCTACAATACTAATAACCGACCAAACTATTTTAGAAGATACCTCCATGTCTGTCCGGCGAATAAACTTTCCAATGAGAAAAGGTGATGCACAACGAAATGAAGAAGAGGATGAGGAGGAGATACAGGTTGACGAAGATGGAAACACTCCGTTAATGCATGCGGTAATGAACAAGAAGATGAGTCTTGTCAAGGCATATATGTTCTCGCAGGCTTCGAGGCAAAACTCTTCTGGCGCGACTGCTCTGATGATCTCTATATCCACAGGATTTCTGGAAGCGGCTAGATTCTTGGCAGACTTGGAGGCTGGTAAGCAGGATGTCCACGGGCAAACAGCCTTGATGCTCGCTGCATCTGTTGATAGCACTGATCTGGTGAAGATGTTGATGGGTGAAGAGGCAAAGAAAACAACTACCAACGGCAAGACAGCCCTCATGATAGCAATAGAGGCAGGATCTGCTGACTCTGCAAAGCTTCTGGCTCCCGTCGAAGCTGGGATGCAAGACCAATCTGGACGAAAGGCTATTCATTATGCCGCGTGGAACGACATGGATGAGGTTCTGAGGGTTCTATTGCCTGTTGAGAAGGGAGCTAAAGACAGCTTTGGATATACAGCCTTAATGATAGCGTCTCTGAAGGGCCACATTAACTCTGCTCGAATGCTTAAAAGCTATGAAGCCAAATTGGCAAGACCAGACGGGTGGACGGCGCTCATGGCAGCAGCCACGCTTAATAACTTTACGGTTGTTAACGAGCTTATTGATGTAGAGGCAGGCATGCAAACGAATAGCTCAAACTGTCGCGGAGCTGGATACACAGCTCTGATGGCAGCAGCTGAAATGGGCTCATTAGAGTCTTTGTGCATACTAATGCCTGTAGAATTCGGATTGCGACAAGACAGTGGAAAGTCAGCACTCGAGTGGGCTCTCAGTCCCAATGCCAAAGGAGATAGGACTAATAAGAATAAGTGCTATACCCTATTGAGAAAGCACTCAGATGCAAAAATGGAGTGAATGGTGATGCTGATTTTCAGGTTAATAAACCGATGGATGTGGTGCTTAACAATCTAGTAATTAAATTTCAATAAAATCAGACATAGCAACTGTGATTCCCGTGAGGTGAGGCTTTTCTCGCAAAGTGCTCATTGTCATCTCCTTCCTAAAACAATCGTTCCAGAGATCCAATGTCTTTTCTTGTATTTTCGTCAAGGGTTCTCCACCTTTAGTTGTATCGACAAAGATAACACTATTGCCGTGGGTGCTTTGATATTCTTTAGAATGTGACACATCTAGATCCAGGTCGATCTCGCCTGATGCCAAAGGGTGTTCATTACATAGACAGGCCATCGATTCGGACACGTATGACTCCACAGAGAAAATATCGTCTAGAAATACATTTGAAAATACGTCTACAAGATCATCAAAGTTGTTGATGTTCGAGAAAAGCTCTATAATAAGATTAGCCGCTGATACCAGCGAGTCAATGTCGGTGACTTTAGCCGAGCCTCGAATGCCTTGAAACGTGCTCAGGATGGAACTAGGAGAGCAGCAGGAGTACTCAGAAGGGAAGGTATCCTGGGAAGATTGAGGAGTTTGAGAGCTATGTGGACTCTGTGCAGGCATAGACAGATTGAGAGAAGGGGCTTCAAGATCTTGATGGAGCATAGGTTTGTTAGTTTTATAATTTAAAATATTGCGTGGTGCGCTTAACCGTGCATCAATAATCGAGGATTTTGATTTAATGAACTCTGGAAATATAACAGACACAGTAACGTTATCCTGACTCCCACGCAGCTTTGCATGGTTACAGAGCGCCTCTGCGACTGCCACACTTGTAGGTGAGTAGTAGGACGTGACGCCCATCTTGAAAAGAATTTGCTTGAGGGGCCGCCGGAGTTTCTTAAAGGCCTTGTGTGGCATTCGAGCCAATTGATGAATATAGTGCATGACTGAGGCAAAAATAGCCGCTTCTTTTGAGGATATTACGTCCCAGAGGCCGTCACAGGCTTGCAGAATAAACTCGTCTTGCTCTGTAAGGTCATAGATGGAAATAACGGGGTCGCTAGAAACCAGCGGCGCCGACACGCCAAGGGAGTTGAGGTATGTCATATCCTTATAAGGAAGATCACCAATAGCACGGGGTACAGCTAATCCGCCCGGGAAAATGCGATGGGGCCCCCTAATGGCTATCTTATCTTTATACTTAATTAGCGATGGATAAGTAAATGCACCTGCAGCTTCTATTCGCTCTCTGTCCGGAGAAATGTTTGGTTTTTGATCCAGTGAAAGAGGTATGACAAGGCGCGACCCAGGAAAGAAGGAAATCAAATTAAGCCGATTGGCATTGGCTTCTGCGGCAGCACTTGGTGGAGAAAACTTAAGCCACGCTGAAAAGGCCCCATGCCTGCACAGAATAGCCCGGCTGTCTCCGAGGTTGGCCGTGAAAATGCGGATTCTATGGGCTTCTGTAACTATAACAGTGGAAAGACACGTGCATCCAGCAAGAATATTTGAAGAACGGGCTATTTCCAAGAACTGTGCATCCATCAATATGTGAGCATTATGTAGTGAACTCACAATAGAAGAGGTTGTCATGCAGCACGGCCAGCACTCGGATACCTTAGAGGCTAGTTGTGCTGCAGAGTAGTACGATGCAGAGTCACCGCAGTGACCGTCCATTATCGCAAAAAGAGAAACAGTGGTATTGCCCTCGTCTTGCTCCTCAAGCTGCGGAATGGGCAGCGATGACACGACGGTATGGGCGTCCTCCATGGTCGGCCTTCTTCCTCTATCTTGATAGAGCCCGTATTCGACTTGAAGCCGTCTGTGAAGCGTCATCGTTCCCGTGCTTAATCGCCGCCGATGCCCGAGCATGTATAACACTGCTGCTGCTCCAGCATAAAAGACTAGCAATAGTAGTAAGAATGCTGCGTATGGATGTGCCATGGTTAAGGCGTAGGCCCGTGAATAGCTACGATCTTGATTCTGTTAAAAAATAAATGACCCCGACAAGTATAAGACCACCATCGGGATCCCCACAGATAGCCCGCTCCATGATCCTCGGGATGCTGTCCTTGAATAAGAATGAAGATCTATGCTGTCAAATTATCATAGACTGCATCTACAATTCTTGTTTCATTGATTTCCATCAATTCGGTAAATCGATAGTGGAGCGGCTAGCTTCCGTCCTAAACCCACGGGCTCTTTCCAAGCAGCAGTACTCCAATCTGTGTAACCGTCTGAAGGAGGTGGAAGTCACAGATCCGCGTCTCATCCATATGTACAGACTAGACAAACAAAATGAAGTGTGAAAAAGGCCATTTTACACTGAATTGCAGAGTGTTTTTCAATTAATTGGCTCGATGTTTGATGTGCACAAATCGGGCCTTCTACGACTCAATAGCGGTTGCTTGAAGGTGAAAGAAGCAATTGATTTTTTGAGGAAGACTGTGCAATCGTTAAACAGTGGCGAAACAGTCGATCCATCCGGTATTGTAGAAAGGGTTGAGGACACATCCATGCTCACAGACAACAGAGTTACACGTGAACTTCTACGCATTCTCCTGTTAACAACTGATAGTTCTTGCAGGCAGGTAATTATTGACTATCTTCTGCGTCACCACATGCACATAGACCTGGACCTTCCCATTCTCGCCCTTCTTCCCCTTTGGAGACCAGAGCACAGGAATACTCTCTTGACTTTTCTTTCTGCAATAACAGGAAATCAACAAGATATGACTTTCCTGGCTGTCACAAATCTCCTATTGCACTGCGCCTTGGGACATGATTCGGCGTACTTACTTACAAGGACCATCCGTGTTCTGGGTCAGAATGTCATTTTAGCCAACTCTATAGAGACCAGTCTTCTCTTTCAATTCGCCAATATTGATCGCCGATCCGCATCCACAGCTGCAACTGGTTTGAATAGTCACAGGCCTGTTGGCTCTGAAGCATCTGCGCATGGAAAGAAGCGTGCAGACCCACTATTTATCACCATGTCAGCGCTATTCTGGCAGATGCTGGAACTCGTTATCTATAGAGTGCTGGAACTGTCGGTTCCAGAGCTCGTTGGTATAAGTGCTTCGTATGCTAATAGTTCTTACATGCCTACATATAGCCTCAATTATCTGACTTTGCAACCCCTTGAGCAAGGGAAAAATGGGAAAGCAGCTCCAACCAATGTCAAGGAAGGCCACAATCCAATACTCCACATCACCGGGACTAAGACAGTCATCAGTTGGGCAGACTATGTTTCCTTTTGGGACCATTTTCTAAGTAATTCCAACGGTGACCCTATTGAAATTTTAATGGGTACTCTTTCTTCTTTAGTTTTACTTGCACATAGGCTAGTTTCCCACCCCCAGCTTTATCCAGATGTCGTCTCTTCGAAACAGACCGAGCGATCAATATTTTTCTCCCTCGAACTTCTTCTGATCATTGCGAGTGTCAGCGATCGGATATTTTCCGGGCTAAACTCTCCAAAACCCCAACTGCACGGACACAGTGCTCGGGCAAAGCCCCCGGAAAACAGCTACATGACCATGCTGGCTGGCTTTGAAAAACTGCTTATCGGCCTTGTACGCATAGCAAAGAGCTTCCCAGATAATGTTCCAGAGGCATTTGTCGACTGCTATAATAGTGTGCTAGTCACATTCTTCCGTACACTTGCTACGCACATGAAGTGGACCAAGAACTACACTGAGTCGCGCCACGAGGGGCTAGATTCTGTCTTTGCGCGTTGCCTTGAAAGGTTTGTTGCTCTTTTCGATGCGTTTTCTCAGTCTCTTCATGTGAAAGCAATAGGCGAAATTTTTGAATGCATATACGCTTTGATAAAACCGCTTCCAGATAGGATTCTCACTATCAATGAGTTGCGCTTAGCGACAGTCAACTTATATCTAGTGATGTTCAAATATGATATCAAAACGTACGATTTTGAAAAGCTGAAGGAAATTGTTGTTGATCTCACAGGGCTTTCTGACTCATCTCTTATTTTCACAACAAAGATTGGGTTTCTGGGGAAGCAGGGTTCGCTCTATAGCAGTCTTGATGATGCTGTGCTTGATTGTATTTTCCCCCTTGACCATGGAGCATTTGGTCGTCTTGTTGATTTGCTCCTGCAGACGTGGAAGCAACACACTTCTGCATCGTTAATAGCTAAGCATAATTTTCAGTATCTAACCCTTTCCATTCTTACCTATTTCAATTATGGAGGCGTGTGTTTGCAAGTCGCATCCTTTAAGCAAGCCCTCAATGAGCTTTTAGACAGAGTTAACGGCACGCTCACAGACAAGAGCTCATCTCACCTCTATAGCATGTACGATGCGATACAAGCGGTGCTGCATCCCGGAGTGCATCTAGCCTCTTCTTGTTTGTCATCATATAGTTCTGAGGAAAACAAAATGCAAGAAGACTCTACTCTGCCAAATGCATCAACGAGTCCACTCGAAGCTTGCTCACGTAATGTTATTCGTTCTTTGGTCGACGCTAAAACTTTTGTCCTCTCTAGTCCGACTAAGAAAGAAGTCCACCAGCTTACTGAGGACTTCGTACTGGCTAGCTATGGACCTGCGAACAAACCAGATCCGGATTCTATTTATATACTTCAGCTGTATGTAGCTCTTCAAGTCAAGTCAAAGTCAAATTACCCATTTCTTAGGGACAACCTTTCTAGAACATCGCTTTACCTTATTTTGAAGGCCTCTGCAGAGTCGCCTGAACTAATTTTGCTTTGCTACCAGTGGAATAAGATATATTCCTACGCAGCTTGGTACTCAGAGCGTGCAGCGACAATAGTTAATTTAGGCCAGGGGGCTTTTGATGGCCCTGCCTCTAGGAACGAGCTATGTAGGCTAGTTGCATCCTCGCAGTCTGGGGGCGAAACAATTGGTCTCAGCGCAGGAGACTTCAGGATGATTAAAACTGCTTATGCGCTAGCCTTGGAAAACCCATCTGTGTTTGTGTCTCCTGTGGATAGACTGTTTATTTATCTTCTACGTACGGCAGCGATGTCACCTGACATCGTCCCTTTGAGTGAGATTCTTGTCTACAGAACATTTAATACTGCTTTAGAGGGGGTCGGGTCGGAGATTCTTCGCTTGTTCATGATAGCCGGTTTGTCAGTAGATACTCTTCTAACCTACTGCACTTCACATTTTAAGGATAATCCGCTGCTGGTGGCATTTTGTCTTATTGCTGTAGTATATTCTCTCCAAGTTGCTCCGCGAGCCGTTAAAACCAAGATTCCACGGACTCAGGGCGTTATCTTTGCTACGGCGTTTTTGCGAAGAGATCAATTAGAGATACTGCGAGGCCTTGTGAAAGAATAAGCACTATGCTTAATACTCAGATGCTTTACTTATAAATATCTACTCAAGAGTACACAGCTGAAGAAGCGTATCGCAGTGTACTTACCACTTGCTCTAATTGAGGTTGTGCAGTAAACTACGTATCTAGTATTTCATGGATATTAGCTATTAGTTCTACTGGTTAGTTAGGTGCAAGCCATGCCATGAATAGAAATAACCCAGATCTGCGTTCATCCTAATGTCACTTACCACTGAGCGCCTTTGCAATCCAGTGTAAAGTTCTCTGAAAAGTTATAGCTAAATACAACTAAACTAAGCAAAGTGAGCCTGAATACGTGCATAATATGCGTACACTCTATTGTATAGGCGCTTCGTATTCTCTTGACAATATATTCTGAGTACTTTTTATAACTCTTCAGTATGTAGTATCACAAGAATTGACGCTCAGTAAAGATATTCTGAAATAGAAGCCAAATAACTACGAGTTGCTTCCCTAGACAAAAGGAGCCATATGAAACTATAATTTCTGTCCACCCCGCCGTGTGTAACCGGTCTTGGGCACCGGAGGCCGTCGCCCTGCCTGAGACGTGTCCGCGGCTCCTCCGGGCGCGCGGCCCTGCTACTTCAAAGAGACTCGACTCCCAAGCCCCGCCTGGCCACCGAGCGGCCTGCAGGGTCCTTGCGCCCCCTGGGCCCGTGATGTGGCACATGGATGCGTTTACTACCTGAGTATCTACGCTTTGCCTCTGCAGATGAACCACCAGCAGAGGAACCCGACGAGCCCCCCGACTACGACAATCACAGCAACAGAGATGCCGGCGATGGCCCCAGTGGAGAGGCCGCTCTTGTTCGTGCTTCCACCGGTGTTGTCGCTAGTGCCATCGCCCATCTCAAGGCACATGAACGCATCGGTGGATGACACCGTGCACTGCCTGCACCCAGCGAGCCCCTCAGAGCACGGATTACACTTTGTCCCAGCACTCTGCGGTTTGTAATATCCAGTGCTGCATGTAGCACAGGCGTTAGCGTCGTTAGCAGCCGTGCATGTCTCGCAGCTAAGATGGCACCTTTTATTGGAACAATCGCCATTATCAGCCGTTAGACCACTGGCACATTTTGTACATTTTCCTCCCTGCACTGTAGTACACACTTGTTTACCAGGCTGTCTATTTGTTTGATAGCAACCGCCATCTTTGAGGAAGTAGTTATTTTCACATTGAGTGCATGCTCCATTACTCACCGTAGTGCAAAATCGTGTTCGCGTATTGGCCGCACAGTTGCCATCCAGTGGCGCTTGCTGAGCGTTCTTGCACTTTGAGCAGTATGCAGTTCCTCCTATCTGAGCCCCACACTCTGCGCATCCATCGTTTGTAGAACTCACACTGCACTGGTTCATGCACGTGCCCCCATTGGCAGGAGTATCAGCATCTGTATACTGAAGCATCTTCCCAGCAGGACAGGCCGTGCACTTATCAGCGCCCTCACCCTTGCACTCTACGCACGCATCGTTGCACTTCTTGCAGGTCTTTTTGCCACTATCGTCTCCGTAGTAGCCCTTGAGGGTCGTGCAGTCAGATACGCATTGACTGGTTGGGGTGAGGTAGTACTCAGACAGACACTTTGTACAGACCTCCTTATCAGCGCCTTCACCGGTGCACTCCAAACAGTGCTCTGTGTTACAGTTACTGATTGGTCGGCATTCAGTCGATTCAGTATTAGGCTGGAGTCCTTCGTTGCACTCGCACACTTGGCTATCCTGTCCGGTGGCCTTGGGGGTAGAGTTAGCAGGGCAACTAGCAACGCACGACTTTTTGTTGAGGCCAAAGATGGTCTTATCAGAATCGGGGCACTCTTTGCATACTGCTCCGTCGCCGTTCTTTTCACAAGTCTTACAATCTTTTGCCCCGCCCGATGTGCAGGTAGTGCAGGTCTTCGCTGCTTCATCTATGTAGTGTGTTGCTGGGCAATCGCCCTGATTAACGCACGTGCCTGTCTCACTGTCATCCTCCTTCTTCAGGTAGGGCGTGGCTTCAGTACACGAGGTACACTGCGTCTCTGTATTCTCGCATGTCTTACAGCTGGAAGCACATTTGCTGCACTTCTTTCCATTACGTGAGTCCACAAAATACCCATTATTGCAATCGGCCTCCTCGACACACGACGTTACGCCGTCGACTGTCTTGACAATCTTACCGCCTCCACATGCATTACATGTAGCGGCTTTTGGTGCATCAGTCGCCTGCTCTGGCTTCTCGCAGGTGGTGCACCCATCTACGCCTGTGTACTTCTTACCATCGCCAAGCGTCACTCCTTCGACGTCTCCACACCAGACAACCGACTGGTCTGTTTTGGTGGCCCCTGGAACAACAAAGTAGTTCTTTGTGGTAGCAGCCTCAGCGCATATCCCGTTTGTGGTAACCGTTTTACACATTTGATTGCCAGGTGTAGCGTCTTTTGAGTAACACCCGCCTTTGTACAAGAAATGATTTGCCGCATCGCACTGCTCGCACCTAACACTCGAAGCGTCAACGTTATCACCTGCCTTCTTTTTGCACCCGGCAGTTGTGACGGCGTTGTCATTTTGTGGTTTACATATTCCGTCAATAGGAACATTTCCTTGGTCTTTACACTCTGTGCATATCTCAGTGCTGCCAGCCATTTCACACATATTTTCCTTACATTTGCCAACCTGAGTATCTGCAGAACACGTCGCTGCGAGTGTACTCAGTGCAAAACAAAATGCCACCAACAACATTGTATTGTGGATTGGATTGCAATAAGATTCTGTTGGTGGTTGGACTGCTCCTGATAAGAAGACTCCATGCTTGCTAGTTCTTAATCAGCTTGAGACTCTTAGTCATTCATCTCAGAGGACAAAACCGGCATGTTCAGTAATGAGTGCACTGGCTCTCAAGCCGTACCACGTGTGCCGCTGGGGCCTACCTACATGTATGGTCCAGAAGTCTCACGGGCAAGCCTCGCTCAGTCCCTGGCCAGCTCGAAGGCGAAGGTCGCAGTGATAGCCACAGTGGTGATAGGAGGAGCTCCCTCCGTTTGTGGATCTGGGGTCTTGTGTCTTGGCTGTTCCGCGGGCGTGCACACAGCTGGACCTGAGGCGAAGGAGAGCCCGCGAGGACCCGATCCACATTATGAACGCAAGATCGTACCTCCGAGACCCCAAACAGCAAGCCGTGAGTCTCTACTTGGGAGACCACTCCGAAGACATTTACTCTCTCAGCAGGACACACACGCTGGCTCTGTGGCCTGCCGTGCGAGAGGCTAAACAACTAACCGAGCACCTGAGAGAAGCAAATGATGACAGACACAGAGTACTAGGTGACGACAAACTGATCATTCCGTCCCACATACCGAATCAGACAGCTGCCATGCTCATCCACCAGGGTGCGCGCATGATCGCGAGCATCGAGCAGGCAGGGACTGGGGTCGCGCTCCCCGCTATCAGGGGTCTAGACGCCTTGGTAGGAAACTGCTAGAAGACTCAAGCAACACCCGGAGCAGTCCCAGGCAAGTCGGACCCAGATCCAGAGAGGGCGAGGCGCCGGATAGCAAACAGGGTGAACAACGCGCTGAGCTTCGGGGCAGTTGCTAAGGCTCTCCGCGCCCTTGATGGCACACCCATGGTAGACAAGCCGAAGAAGGCCGACCGCCCTCAGCGCGCTACACCCGTGCGTCCTCCCCGAAGGCTACGTTGGCTTTGACTGCCCTCCATCGATGAGCTCGACGGGGCTGGAGCCGGCAACCGAAGAAGAAATGAGGAAGGCCCTGTTTGGAACCCTCAACAAGGCCTGTCTGGTCTCGGGCGGTCCAGCTCAGGCGATGAAGCAGAACGACAGCTTCGTGAAGTACCTCACGCAGGCGTACAACGAGCTGACCACCCACCCTGAAGGAGTCCGATGGATACCCCCGATCGCGATGGCGAGACGGTGACAAGCATCTTCCACCGCATCCTGCTGAAGCGACTGATCAGGCATGCCAACTACCCCTCATGCGAACAGATCGCCTTCATGCAGAACGCATACGCGGTAGGCGTGAGGAGGGCCCACGAGCTCATCAGCAGGCCGGGGGTGCACGCCGTCTCCCTCGACACAAAGAACGCCCTCAACTCGCTCCCGAGGGCAGAGGTCGTCAGAGCCCTGAACGAGGCGGGCATCCCGAAGGTCCTGATCGACTACATCAGGAACTTCCTCGAGCCGAGGCACAGCCGGGACGTGAAGTGCGAGGTCTGCGGCGTCTCCCAGGGCGACCCGCTCAGCATGTTCCTCTTCTGCATGGCCACCGAGCGCCTCCTGAGACGCCTCAAGGAGGGGCATCACCTTCCTTGCCTATGCGGACGACATCGTGGCGCTCCACGACGAGGGGTACCCAGCAGGCGCAATAGTACAGCAGGCTATGGGCCTGACGATCAGGAGCGACAAATGCAAGTCCACCGTGGCGGGCGAGGAGGTGACCTTCCTCAACCACCCGGTGTCCCCCATCCCTACCAGTCTCGCGCCGAAGGCCATCGCAGGTGCCGAGACTGCCCTGAGGAAGATTGAGAATGCCCCCATAACCATCCACCAGAAGCTCATCCTGCTGTCACTCTGTGTGGTCCCGATGGTGAACTACGCCCCCCTGGTCGAGATGACATCGAACAAGGCGGACTACGAGGAGCTCAACAGACGCGTCGCACAAGGCTTCAGGCACTAACCAACAGAAGCTGCGATCGCCTGGTCGACTTCCTGGCGTACCCGAAGGAGAAGGGCGGCCCGGGCCTGCTCATGCCGGAGCTCTGCCACGACGAGCTGCGGAGGGCATGGGCCTCCCCGGACGTCAACAAGGGGACCAGGGACCCGGTGGAGCTGTCGGTGGGCGGTCAGGCACTGCAGGGGAAGGGGACCTACTCCAACCGCCTCCTCACGCGCACACACCAGCTTCCGGATAGAGCGGCGGCGTACTGTCTGCAGATGTGCGGCGTGCTGACCGAGGAGGAAAGGGCCCTGAAGGAGAAGGGCGGCTCGATCATGGCGCAGACAAGAGGCACCTGCCCGGGCTGCCACAAGGCACGACATGATCGTCGCGTGCCTGTACCTCCGCGTCTCAGGGAAGTTCAACGCAGAGCTGGAAGTCGAGACCCACAGCCACCTCAGCGACCAGAACCAGAAGCCCGACATCTGGCTCGTCGACAAGTGCAAGGCAGTGGACGTGGGTGTCATCCAGCCCCGCCAGATGGATGCCTACTACAACGAGAAGGTCAAGAAGTACAGGGACGAGACAGACGGATCCCTCCACCCCAAGTCCAAGGGGCACCTCGAGGAGCTCCACGTGGACCTCTGTCCGGGCTGCCTTCGCCATCGCCCACATGGCTGCAGAGGCGAACGAGCACCCGACGAAGCTGATCAGACGCGGCCGGGCCGAAAGCCTGGTCACCCAGAGCGACCGTCTCCTGTCATCCTACTTCTGACAACCGAATGAGTCCATCCCCGGGACCCGACGACAACGATCGAGAAGGGGCGCAAGACCGGACACACAATCGAGTGGAATCTCAGCCGGTGGAGAGAGCCCTGACGGCAGTAGTTGTGACAGATGGGGGCATCTAAAAAGACAACGACCAGAGCTTCACCTACTATGAAGAGAGACCAAGGAGAGGCACCCTCAGTAGAACAGTGAGCCCGTAAGAAAACCTCGAAAAGATCGACACGTACGCCCGCGGAACAGCCGAGGAACGCACAGACCCCAGATCCACAAACGGAGGGAGCTCTTCCCTATCACCGCTGTGGTTATCGTTACGACCCGCGGCCAGCCCTCTCCTCCGGACTGGCCAGGGACTGAGCGAGGCTTGCCCGTGAGACTTCTGGACCATACATGTAGGTAGGCCCCAGCGGCACACGTGGTACGGCTTGAGAGCCAGTGCACTCATTACTGAACATGCCGGTTTTGTCCTCTGAGATGAATGACTAAGAGTCTCAAGCTGATTAAGAACTAGCAAGCATGGAGTCTTCTTATCAGGAGCAGTCCAACCACCAACAGAATCTTATTGCAATCCAATCCACAATACAATGTTGTTGGTGGCATTTTGTTTTGCACTGAGTACACTCGCAGCGACGTGTTCTGCAGATACTCAGGTTGGCAAATGTAAGGAAAATATGTGTGAAATGGCTGGCAGCACTGAGATATGCACAGAGTGTAAAGACCAAGGAAATGTTCCTATTGACGGAATATGTAAACCACAAAATGACAACGCCGTCACAACTGCCGGGTGCAAAAAGAAGGCAGGTGATAACGTTGACGCTTCGAGTGTTAGGTGCGAGCAGTGCGATGCGGCAAATCATTTCTTGTACAAAGGCGGGTGTTACTCAAAAGACGCTACACCTGGCAATCAAATGTGTAAAACGGTTACCACAAACGGGATATGCGCTGAGGCTGCTACCACAAAGAACTACTTTGTTGTTCCAGGGGCCACCAAAACAGACCAGTCGGTTGTCTGGTGTGGAGACGTCGAAGGAGTGACGCTTGGCGATGGTAAGAAGTACACAGGCGTAGATGGGTGCACCACCTGCGAGAAGCCAGAGCAGGCGACTGATGCACCAAAAGCCGCTACATGTAATGCATGTGGAGGCGGTAAGATTGTCAAGACAGTCGACGGCGTAACGTCGTGTGTCGAGGAGGCCGATTGCAATAATGGGTATTTTGTGGACTCACGTAATGGAAAGAAGTGCAGCAAATGTGCTTCCAGCTGTAAGACATGCGAGAATACAGAGACGCAGTGTACCTCGTGTACTGAAGCCACGCCCTACCTGAAGAAGGAGGATGACAGTGAGACAGGCACGTGCGTTAATCAGGGCGATTGCCCAGCAACACACTACATAGATGAAGCAGCGAAGACCTGCACTACCTGCACATCGGGCGGGGCAAAAGATTGTAAGACTTGTGAAAAGAACGGCGACGGAGCAGTATGCAAAGAGTGCCCCGATTCTGATAAGACCATCTTTGGCCTCAACAAAAAGTCGTGCGTTGCTAGTTGCCCTGCTAACTCTACCCCCAAGGCCACCGGACAGGATAGCCAAGTGTGCGAGTGCAACGAAGGACTCCAGCCTAATACTGAATCGACTGAATGCCGACCAATCAGTAACTGTAACACAGAGCACTGTTTGGAGTGCACCGGTGAAGGCGCTGATAAGGAGGTCTGTACAAAGTGTCTGTCTGAGTACTACCTCACCCCAACCAGTCAATGCGTATCTGACTGCACGACCCTCAAGGGCTACTACGGAGACGATAGTGGCAAAAAGACCTGCAAGAAGTGCAACGATGCGTGCGTAGAGTGCAAGGGTGAGGGCGCTGATAAGTGCACGGCCTGTCCTGCTGGGAAGATGCTTCAGTATACAGATGCTGATACTCCTGCCAATGGGGGCACGTGCATGAACCAGTGCAGTGTGAGTTCTACAAACGATGGATGCGCAGAGTGTGGGGCTCAGATAGGAGGAACTGCATACTGCTCAAAGTGCAAGAACGCTCAGCAAGCGCCACTGGATGGCAACTGTGCGGCCAATACGCGAACACGATTTTGCACTACGGTGAGTAATGGAGCATGCACTCAATGTGAAAATAACTACTTCCTCAAAGATGGCGGTTGCTATCAAACAAATAGACAGCCTGGTAAACAAGTGTGTACTACAGTGCAGGGAGGAAAATGTACAAAATGTGCCAGTGGTCTAACGGCTGATAATGGCGATTGTTCCAATAAAAGGTGCCATCTTAGCTGCGAGACATGCACGGCTGCTAACGACGCTAACGCCTGTGCTACATGCAGCACTGGATATTACAAACCGCAGAGTGCTGGGACAAAGTGTAATCCGTGCTCTGAGGGGCTCGCTGGGTGCAGGCAGTGCACGGTGTCATCCACCGATGCGTTCATGTGCCTTGAGATGGGCGATGGCACTAGCGACAACACCGGTGGAAGCACGAACAAGAGCGGCCTCTCCACTGGGGCCATCGCCGGCATCTCTGTTGCTGTGATTGTCGTAGTCGGGGGGCTCGTCGGGTTCCTCTGCTGGTGGTTCATCTGCAGAGGCAAAGCGTAGATACTCAGGTAGTAAACGCATCCATGTGCCACATCACGGGCCCAGGGGGCGCAAGGACCCTGCAGGCCGCTCGGTGGCCAGGCGGGGCTTGGGAGTCGAGTCTCTTTGAAGTAGCAGGGCCGCGCGCCCGGAGGAGCCGCGAGGTAGCGTGAGAAGCCTGACGGGCCCCTGAGATCAGGAACAGACGATGTCCATGGGAGTGGCCTAAAGCTGACACTGAGATCTTCTCTAGAGGAGTGCCACAAAGCCTCTGGTCAATAATAAATCCTGCCCGAAAAAATGAAGGCACTGCGGCCAGTGAGCAGTTCTCCATCATGTACGACATTTTTTGCCGAAGACAGTGGCAATCGTGTAGTCGTAAAGCTTTACTTTATTAAGAATTTAGGGCTTTCTGAATGGTTTTATCAAAAGCGATTGGGTATTCTCCGTGGGATATTAGATAGCCTTAGTACCGTATCTCATAGCTCACTACCAACATATAGGCTTGATAGGTGCTTTGAACCGAATGATCTCTTCGGCGCTGATCTTTACTATGCTCGAGATTACATAGAAGGAAACTCCCTGGATCTCATCATTCCGACAAACAAGAATGAGCATCCAAGAGCGCTTGAGGTTAAGGCCTGGAAGCTTATACGTGACTTATCCAGTGCACTCCTGTACCTTCAGCAACACACCAAGAAGGGCATTTGTCACGGCAATATAAAGCCTCAGAATATTATATCGACTCCAGAAGGGATATATGTCTTTACGGATGTCGGCATATGCCCGCACTTTCTTACCAGTGTGACAACTCTAAGTGCGTTGCATTCATCAGTCCAGACCTCTCGTCTTTATCAACCGAAGGAATTCTATTCTACAGTAGACATTGCTCCAAGCTTTGATATCTGGTCACTTGGGTGTGTTCTTTGCGAGTTTCTTTCGGGAGAGCCTCTCTATGCTGACAAGGCACAACCTATAAGGCAGGACATAATTACCTTGCGCCGCTTTCCATACAGTAACTCGCTTCTGCACCTTGCCCACTGGATGCTAGCTGTGGAGTCTACCACGCGAATAGAATTAGCAACGTTAGTGGACATCTCTATAAAGGGGGTAGCAATAGTAGCTGATGATGCATTTTCCGGGGATCCTATGACTGACCCTAAGATGTGTAGTCTATGTGAGAATATCATTCGGCAGAAGAACCTTAGTGGAAGCATATCGTCTCTGCGTATTCTTGAAACCAGCTCTCAGACTGAGGAGCCCGAGTACTTGCCCGAAGAAAGAAACGGAGTTGTTCAGCAAATGATTAATAATGTCAACAAGCACAAGCTTATAGGCGTTTCCAATTCTACTTTATTGGTGGAATCTATGGCACCAGAAGATACTAGAAAAGATATGCAACTGCAAAATCTAGCAGCACAGGTGGACATGAAAAACGCTCATATTGAGAAGCTTAGTATGGATCTGGAGCATGCCACTTCGGCCCTTGCAATGTTGGAGAAGAGGTTTTCAACCGCACGTGAAGAACTACAACGCTTAGAGCAGATATATACGTCCTTTCTTGTAGCGAACAAGCACGAGCCGGCTGTTCACCCTGTCCACGTCAACAAACTGCTACACGAGAAGAATAAGTGCGAGGAGACGCTCATAGCAGAGCGCGAGAAATTCACACAACAGCTGGCAGATGCCCATGAAACAATTAAGCAGCTTAAAATAGCTTATGAGTCCAGAATTGACGCACACAATGCCACGATTGCAGAACTAGCCGCCATAAAGCAGGAGCTTGCTAGTCGAAATGACGCTCTTTTACGAGATAAGCGGATACTAACTCTACAGAATGCCATAATGAGTGCAGAGTCGGAAAGGTCAGCCCTCCAGCGGGAGATCTTGGCGGCTCGAAGAGACATCAAAGCACTCGTGATGATGCACAAGGAAAGTGTACAGGCACTCAGTAGTGTGAAGGAGCGCTTAAATACTGAGCTAGAACGCTCGAATAAGTTGCAGGACCGTTGCAGACAGTTGGAGGATGTACTCAATTTAGATAAGCAGATTTTGCCAGCCGATTTTGTGATAGAAAGATCATTTCTTGAAGAGAAGCTTGCAATTCTTGAGCGGGAAAACGAAAAATTGCTCAAGGAAATAGGCTATCTAAAGGCAATAAATGGTCACGCATTGCCGCCACCCCCGCCCTACCTAGAGAAGAACGCAGATTTAGACGTTATAGAATCTTCTGAAGAGGCAAACAAGGAAAAGGCAAAGATGTTTCTGGAGAGGTTTGATTCGTTGATACAAGATACAAGAGAGAACGCGAGACATTACAAAAGCTGCTCGGTTATGGAGGGATCTGCATTCATTGTAGACCCTCGACCCATCCCCACTCCCACAGCCATATGTCACGAGATCCTAGAAGGGAGTGGCCTCTGCACGCTGCATGAAATAAACTATGCGATGTGCGGATCTTCTTACCGCATGCTCTATGAAAAATCACTGTGAAGTGCTAGATAATTCGGGAGCTCCATTAAATGTCGTCATTCTCGTCGAGCCTTGTGCCTTCCATATTTAAGGGCATCTGGGGATCCAGAAGGTCATTCTCCTCATACACATTGTCTCGCGAGCTTATAGGTGTGCTATCATGTCTATCAGACCCTACTCCCACCTCAGTATTATGCACCTCCCATAAGTACTCATCTCTCTGCTCCAGCTCTGCATCCAGAGGGTGCTGTACTCTTCGTTTCTTCTGATGCTCCTTTGATGCTCTTTCACCAAGCCTGTAGCGGTGCTGGTCATGCAATCCGATGGCCTCGTCGTTCCGTCTCATAAGCTCTTCGTTTTGTCTTGCTATAGCGTGTATATCCAGCTTTACCGCAGACTTAGTGTACTGCGCATTCCTCACAACTGTTTGGCAGGTTATTATTGCCTTTATGAGCATCTTTTCCAAGTCTTTGAGCCGTTTTACCAGGGCGTCTGTTCTATTGATATTTTCTACTTCCTTAAGGTAATATGCATAATAATCTCTCACCTTACGAATAAGAGGTATTCTGTGGATAGACATATAGCTCCTTACAAAGGACTCCACATATACGGGAACCCCATATCTATCAGACATGGCCTCCAGTTGGTAGGAGTTGTAATCGGTATCTGGAGATAAGTACATGGAGAAGGTGGACTTAGACGATCCTATTTTGCTCAGGAACCTTGGATATGTTGCTGAGAGCCATGGATAGGAGGGTATATTAAGGAACAACGACTCTGATCCAACCGTCGAGGCATCGCTCTGCACACAAGACGCCGTCTCCTGTATCAAGCTACTCATTACGCCCAGGTACATTATGCAGAGCTCTGCATCTTGTTTGGTCAGTTGAAATAGATTAGCCGTGGTCTTGTATAATTCCATGAGATTGTCTAGCTGCACACTGAACCGTGTTTTTAAAGAACTGATAGCCTCCAGCTGCTCGTTGATTGCAGCGATTATCTTTTCCCGGATAACACTGAGTGGACTATATCCATTTTCAGTTCTTGCATAGGTTTCTGACATTTTCAATAGTATATCGTTTGATGGCATTCCTGTGAGAGAATTGAGATCTTCACATAGTTTCTGTGTCTTCTCTATCTCCGGCAGAACGGCCTTATTGCTTAATCTGGACTGGGCACCAGATTGGTTTGCGAAGAGCCAATCATACTCTTTGTTGCTGTCAAGTTGCTGCTCAAAAAGTACTCTCCGCAGCTCCGCCTGCAAAAGCTTGACCTTCCTTCCTATTACGTGCTCGCTCATAGGAGCAATTACAGCCTCCAATACTGTGACTAGTAGGGTGCTCAGTAGAGGGTATCTTGGGAGAGGATACTGCAGTAGTAGTGTTTTCAAAATAGACAGACATTCCATATAGCTTCCAGCGTCATAGAGAGCGACAGATAGATAGAGAAGGAGAGAAAGGGGGATTATCGGAGAGATATTTCGAATTTCCGCATCGACTTCGGGGGACGTAAGACAGATAGGCTCCTTTGTCCTTCCTTCAGCGCCCTGTGCGCTAGAATTATAGATTTCTAGTATCCGTTCGTAGTTCTTGTTGGCATGTGTAAGCACTGACAGGAGATAGGCACCGGACTGGTCAGTGGTAGATCTAGGAAGCACACACATAAGAAGCCCTGAGATTAGTGCGTTTTGAAAATATGAAGCAGCTGTAGGGCTGCTATGTGCAAGACCTATGCAGCCGGCTGTGAACGTATATCCCATGTAAGCCTTCCTATCACATGAAGCAGGAGAACTAATATGATTAAGGAGACACGTCATGTTAAGAAGAGACTGACCGTACACTCCACAGAGCGCAGCTTTTGCTGATGTTAAGTTGGTAAGACACATCTTTAGGTTGAAAACAGTTGGTGAATAGTCAAACGACCTATGCTTTGTGTACGACTCAGTGTTCAAGTATTTGTAATAGTAATCGACTGTCTTTTCGTAATTTGCGAGCTTCTCATTTAAGCCCACTATCAATTTAGTCAAAAACCTTACAACGTCCTCATTATCCTGCGCAATTCTGTTAAATAACGAGATATCTTTGCCGAAATCTGAGTGCAAATTCCTCACTAGATACTTCTGAGAGACGTAGTAGCATATCTTCGTTGTAACGAGGTAAATCATGGCTGTTTCACAAAAGAGCTGACTGATCTTATTCTTTTCTTGAGCCTTTATGCTTGTGCTTAGTGCCTTCTGGTACACGGATATAGACTCGGACTGATCCGTAGGATCTACCAAAAGTGCAAGGTAAGCAAGCAGACGAGGATGTATGGAGTTCAGAGCCTCCAAATTCCAAATAGTTCTAGAATCTGTGCTGTTAGTGGACAGAACTGCTGTGGCTCTGGGACCAAATAAATAGAACGCCTGGATAAGGGGAGGAGCCCCCTCTGCACGCAGCAGATTGGCTATGAAAATGGGAAGCTTTGGGGTGAAATACAGATGAGAGAGCGTAATAGCTAAGTATAGGGATGGCCTGGAGAAGCCGAAGGTCTTAAGGAAGTAGCAGAGTGCGTAGCAGGTATCAAAGGGTGCATGGAGAAGAATCTTCAAGATGTCTGGGCGTGTCTCGAGAATTGCTGGTGAGTCGTGGAAGAGCTTGATGGAAGAAGCAATGCTGACAAGGTGCAGCTTAGTTGCACTGATGTTTGACAAGGGCGCATTGGCAACCCCACCTAACAGCAGAAACTTCACAGCAGATGCATATATACTGATGCAGAGGAAGAGGAGCGTGATAGAATAGTCAGAAGCGCGCAGTGCTATGAGCGCAATGTTATAAAACAAATCGGGAAAGATTGCTATAAAATCTCTCGCAAAAGAATCCTCAAAGTTCCCCTCACGTATAAGTATTAAAAGAGTATCTAAATCCAGAGATAAAAAAGGTGTCAAGAAAGACGAAAGACCTTGTGAGCCCTCTGCGGCAAAACAGGGGAACTCATGCCACCGGAGGTCATTCATCGCTGTTCGAGCACCATTATTAAGTATTGAGCGATATCCTGGATGATCAACTAACCTAATATACTGTATGCGACTTGATTGTTCGCCCATGCCATGGTCATTTGGCTGTACGTTTATCAAGAGCAGGTATGATAAGCTAGAGGCAATGGCTAATACTAAATCCTTTGCGTTGGAGTATGAAAAGCGATTGAGATGTAGTATGGGGGTGATGAGAAGAGGGTTGATGGACCCAGAGACCTGCTTGACGAGAATGTCACTTCCTTGCGTTACTAATGCGACAAGCATTACAATGTTTGGCGCTAGAGATATACCGCTTTTGGCCAAAGCGGCGTAGTGCATATGGATTCGCGTTTGTACTCTAGAAATCTGGGACTCGACACGAACAGATTTGTGTACCGTGCGAGAGTCCTCCTGTTGTTCATCCACATCTGTGAACAGACCACTGTCGTCCCCATTGGCATGTAGGTCTACATAGCCGAGAGAGCACATCTCTGTCCGTCCTTTTAGCACACAGTATATGTACAGCTCAGAGATAAGCGATCCCTCCAGGGCTGCATTATAAAGGGCTTTGTAATGCTCATATTGTAGCGTGTGCGTATCACGACACAAAATCTCCGTGGAGTGATAGACCTTTTCATATAGCTCATTGGCAGCAGACACCTTGCCCATGGTGTGGAGAAGCCGGGCTCTGTAGAACTCTGCTAGAAGAGACTGGGAGGTGACAGTTTCAATGTACTCGCTGGTAAAGTAGCTTGGAAGAGCCAAGCTGTATGTGCGAGTAAAGAATAGAGCATAGGTTATGAAGATCAAAGGATTTGTCTCGTCTATGGCCCGTAGCTCAAATATGTATGCTTCTAATTGAAGAAGATGTTGAGTGTTTCTTGTGGACAAGGTCTCGTTCAGGATGGCAGATATCACGATTGTCAGTGCCTCGAGGCGGAGCTCTCTACTGAGCTGCTGGCTGCAGACATATTGCACGACGAGGATGCACTCCGACACATGCCCGATTTCGGCGAGGCATGCGGCGCACGCAAGCCAAAGGGATGATGGTATCACCTTCACACTCAGAGCGATAATCTGAAAGACAGTGAGCGCCTTTTCATAATGCCCATTGTGGTAGCAGTTCATTGCACAGAGGAGAAGCTCGTCAAGCTGGGCAGGACTCTTCTCCTGGGCCTTCCCTTGGAGCATGGTTTTCATGAAGGGTCAAGTTAAATTAAAATTGGACATTTTACTTTATATTACAAATACATAACAGAATACAACAGAAGCGAGTAAAGGATAGAATTATGATCTTTTGCACAAAGGGGACGGTCGTGAGGGGCTTCCAGCGAGGCCGGGTGATTAATTTCAAAACAGCCAACCTCGTCTTATCAAATCAGGATCAACTAGAAGACGGGGTCTTTAGCGGCTGGGCGCGTGTGGAATTAAGCGGAGACGTTCTCCCCGCAGTCATTTCATACGGTAAGAACCCCACATTTGCTAATAAAAGCAAAACGTTGGAGGTGCACATTCTCGCTACGTTCCCCGAGGACTTTTATGGAGCCACTTTATACACAACTATCCAGCGCCGCCTCCGCTCTCCTATAAAATTTTCCGGCATTGAAGAGCTTAATGCGCAAATTAAAATGGATATAGAGAATGCTCAGGTAGATTATACAGAGGAAAATAGGAAGAAAGCAGAGCTTCTTTTCGAGGGCTTATAAGGGACATCACAAGTGCATGTCACAGGTACCAGACCTGTCATGGCTTTTGGTACTTGATGTGGGGCTCTGGCATATCCTCATCCAGCTCGTCTGAGTCGTTCAATGAGCTGGCAGATGAAAAGGGGTGCCGAACTGACTCTCTGGTGGCCGGAGGAGTTGATAGATGTCTTTCCCCAGTTATGTGATAGGCAATCTTTTTTTCTATGTGTAGTTCTTGAGGGTTTGTGAAGAGCTTGGTGCAGTCACCAGGGATAGCTGCCAACATGTTAAACCACAGATTGTAAACCCGCATGTACCTAATAAAGGCCGTCATGATTTGGCGCAGACATCTTTCTAGAAGCGCAGAAAAGTCGGGAGAATGCTTTGATGGTCGAAGATAGATATTAATCATTGTCTCTTGGAAACTGCTTACGCTCAGCATCCCTTGCGCCTCATAGGACCTCACATTTGACCGCTGTTCTGTTTCGAGAGCATTGCTTTCTGCGTCCTTCTTTTGAGAGGCCTTGATGTATCCTGCTATTAAACTGTCAACAGAAGTAGATGCTGGCGCAGAGTAATCATCGTTACTGTACATTTGGCTATGGCTCTGATATTGTGGAGGAGAATTGGTGAGCACATTGTCTGGTGCTTCTATTAAGTCTTGGGTCCGCTGATCAACGTTAAAGTTCTGCTCAATCAATAACAGCTCCATGGTAGAAACATCATCTTGCAACCCGGGATTGAATTGACGGCTATTTTGAATACCTAAATCTGTGTATTGGCTACCAGCGTCGATCGGCTTAAGAACTATGTTGTGCTGTATCGTGGACGTGCTCGGCGGAAGCGTTGGAAACAGCTCCGTCATAAGCTCATCAGTTATGTCAGTAAAGTCACCGTTGTAATACGGTACATATAAATTTGGGTTGGCTGCTTTCTTTCCGTGGTGAAGATCACAGGCATCTATTATTATGTTGGCGCGAATTTCTTCGTCGGACATAACTGCAGAAAGAAGGTACCGCACAAACTCTACTTTGCAGCTACAGCTTACTGATGGATCGCCCAAGGGATGTTGATGCGCGTCTGCAGGGAAGGAGTGCGAGAAAAGGACCATGTAAAAATCGTTGACGTCAAAGCGTCGCAACAAACTCCTCAGCTCACTGTGATTATCAGCGGGAAGAAGGTCAAGAGATTGTCGAATAGTATAGATAATGCGATCGTCCAACTTATTGATTGTCAAGGGTTCTTCAATAACCTGGCCTAAATTTAAAAATCCCGCATCAGTTGCAAGTGTCAAGATATCTTTAAGCATAGCGTCAACAGAGCGAGAAGCCGGTGAATTGTATGCCATCTTGAATAAGCTATACCGCGTATGAAAAATCTGGCTTATCTCAAAAGATAGCCTACTAGGATAACAAATAACACACCTAGATTGCTGCTGTTGACAACCCTCAGAAGCCCCGATTGACTTCGGCTTAATGCTCCGCAATGTTACCGACTTGATCAGCTCTATCAGGTCAATCGTGACCCCAAGGCCCAGTGCCTTACTATCTCGAAGCAGGTAATCCAGGCGATCCATGTCTATTCCGCACACGGAGTTGCTCACGATTCTACACAGATACTCCCGTTTCCTGAAATCCTCACTCGCTGGGAGCTTTCCGAGGATCAGCGAGCGGATGGCTTCTAGTTCTGAAGAATCTATACTAAGATGGGTTTGGTATTCCTCTGGATGATTGTCTCTAATATACTTCAGCAGATCCTCAAAGATAACACAAGACCGATGCTCGTGCAGTGGTGCAGATGGGTAGTGAGCTGTTAGAAGCAGATCAAAAAGGTGCGAAAAGGGCCCGTGGCCTAGATCATGGCACAGGGCCGCGATACAGACAAGCTGACGGAGCCGCCGGTGGCACTGCTTCTTTGAAGAGTAAATTACGTCCAGCAGCAGTTTTGTGAGGTGATAGACACCGATAGAGTGCTCGTATCTGGAATGTGTTGCAGACGAGTAAATATATCTAGTTGAGCCTAACTGAGAAAGATAACGAAGTCGCGTGAAATGCGGTGTGTTGATAATGAGCATGGCATACGGTTCAATCTCTATAGATCCGTGTATGTTATCGCGATAGACAGTCATGGTTCAACAAGTTTGGCGCCCCAGATTTTTTAAAAACCAACACAACGCATGACAGGGAAATTGTCGCAGGGAAATTTACCTGACAGATAGAAAGCTTAAATAAGCTCGTCACCAGCAAAATCTCCAAAGCTTATATGGTCGTCTAGAGGTTTGTTAACCGTTTTCAGCAGCGCGGCAGCGGCAGGTGCAAGGGTAGAGACGACGTCGTTGCTTAGCTCCATGTGTAGGATGTCGCGCGCAGACTCTCGGGATATAGCGTTTGTATTTAGGAGCATAAGAAGCTTCCCGATCAAGCCATCAACTGCAGATTCGACGGCGCTGAGGTGAATGATCACATTTTCACTGGTGACAAAGTTACTCTCAATGTTATCACTGATAGCACTGATTCCTCCTATGTTCTCACATCCAGACTCTCGGAAGATATACTCTATTAGCTCATAGATTGTATTCATGCTTGCATTGAGCCTGTCAAACTGTTGCTCGAAGCCCTCGCCGGTTGCTTTGATGGCTGCGAGCTGTGATTCCAAAGCTTGAATCTCGGATTTCATGTTTGAATCTGCCTCCTGCTTGCGACGTTTCGCAGATACTAAATCTGACTTAAGCTTGTAGAGCTCTTCTTCTTTGGTCTCCAATTCGGCTCTCAACTCGTTAGTGAGTGTAAAGAGAGAAAAGTTATGCTCTTCTCCAACTATGAACGAGTCAACAATGTGGTTAATCATTCCCTCTGTAAGGCGCATTGAAGAGTAGTTCGGTATGCTGTCTCCATGTGCTTCGCGAATTGCCTGATTGACAGCAGGATAGCACCCGCTTTCAATAATAGCACGGAAGGCCCGCTCATAAGCTGCTTCGTCACTGACCTTGTCGGCTTGCTCCAACTCTCCCTCAGACTTCGCAGTCGCATTCATCTTAGTGGCTGCTTGGTCCTGAAGGTGCTGTCTTTGCTGTTCTAATTGTTGTTGTTGGAGCTGACGTCGCCTAGCGTCTCGCTCCAAAATGCGCCCCAGCTCTGTCCACTCCTCTTGGAATGCGCTCGCTTCTTTTTGAGATTGCTCTCTAAGCCTAATAAGCTGCTCCTGCGTGTCTTCGCGATGTTTGAACTCCTCGCGGGCGCGATCCATGAGCTTTGTCATCTCCGCTATCTTTGCCTCTGAATCCTTGACCAAACCAGAATGTATCTTCTCGAATGCAAGATGCTCTGATCGGAGATTCTCGATTTCAGAGCGTAGCTTGCGGTTTTCTGCCAGTATGTCGTTATATTTGCATGACGCCTGCTGCAATCGATTTTCCAAGAGGCCGACGTGTTTCTCCACCGTTGCCGCAGTCGGTCTGGCTGCCTCTGCCGTGGCACGCTCACGCCGCAGATCATCCATCGCCTTGTCGGCGGCCTTGAGCTTTCGCTCAACAGCACGGATTGCTTCACGCTCTTGAGCTATCTTTTGCTCGAAAAGAGCCTTTTTCGCAATCAGCGCTTCAGCCTCTGAAAACCGAGATGCGTTGCCGCCCGCCTTGTGGGTCGCCTCGGCTACCCGTTCACGAAGCTGGTTATTTTCATTAGTAAGACGCTCCATTACTTGGTTCTGGCGACGTATCGTCAGCTGTGCTTCGTCTGCGTACATCTTGCGGTCACCTTCCATGTGCCTGTACTTACGAGAGAGCTCGAGGAGATCCTTCTGAGTCTTAGGCTCATTGTCTCCGTGGATGTTGAGGTGGGATGTATGATCCACCTTCAGATTAATGTTGGGGGGCGCTTCCATAGATATGAATTTTGCTTTGGATTTTTATTTCTACGATTTGGAGCAACTAAACTGTGTTGCATGGCGCTTTCTTCAGCTCGTAAAATTTGCTCTATACATGTTCTGCTCTTAGGACAGAAGTTTGCCCTGCTAATAATGCCTCACTTTGATTTACCTGAAGGATCTGACTGGAAAAAGGATGGAGCTAATCTTGCGGAAGGGCCATCCTTTAAAGTAAAAGAGCATGCAGGCTAGTTTCTCCTATTAAAGTAGCCATAAACGGAGCTATACCTTTGTTTGTAACGGGTGCATATTGAATAGCTTGGAAAAGTAAGATTATTCTTGAAGACTCCTCTTATCAATTTACAAAACGTGCTACCAGAAAGCATATCTTCAAACTATAATATACACTTAGCTTTTAAAAATGCTTGACGGAATAGACGGGCGCTGTATCAACGCCATCCGCTGTCTTTCTGTGGACCAGGTCAATGCCGCAAATTCTGGGCACCCAGGGACGCCTATTGGGTTTGCCCCGGCCGCATATATCCTATTCAAGGAGTTTCTCCAATTCGATCCCAGCGACCCTCTCTGGATCAACAGGGACCGCTTTGTATTGTCAAATGGGCACGCGTCTCCATTAATTTACTCCCTTCTACATCTATTTGGGTATAACCTTTCTATGGATGATCTTCGTCACTTCCGCCAGCTTGGCAGTCACACACCTGGTCATCCTGAGAGAGACATCTCTCGTGGGATTGAGATAACGACGGGTGCTCTTGGCCAAGGCATCGGGAGCGCCGTTGGCATGGCTTTGGCCTCCAAGTGCGCTGCTGCGCAATATCCGGGCGTCTTCACCAATAAGGTTATTTGCGTCGTTGGCGATGGTTGTCTTCAAGAGGGCGTCAGTGCGGAAGCATCCAGCCTTGCAGGGCGCCTGCAGCTTAATAATTTGATCGTTCTTTATGATGATAATGGAATCACGATAGACGGTAAAACTGCGATCAGCTTCACGGAAGACGTGGCACGCCGCTACCAAGCATACGGGTGGCAAGTTCTTGAGGTGAAGAATGGAAACACTGGTTTGGAGGAGCTCAGAAGTGTCATTGGCAAGGCATACACGAGTCTCCTGAGTTGTCCGACCCTGGTCATCATCAAGACAACTATAGGGTATGGAACCGCCAAGCAGGGTACCGCTGCTGTCCACGGAGCTCCGCTGGGAGAGAGCACCCGTCAGTTCAAGGAGCTTATCGGTGTCAACCCGGACTTGGAGTTCCATGTCTCTGACGAAGTTCGCAATAACTTTGAGTCCATCATAGCAAAGAAAAAGGCTGCACACGCTAAGTGGACCAAAAATGTTTTTGAGCGCCTTGCTCCAGATGTACGCGTCACCATTGAACGCCGCTTCAAGGGCCTTGAGCACCGCACTCTTAGTGAGCTGTTTGCGAAGGCAGATCATGAATATGAAAAGCTCGTTGCAGCAAACGTGGGGAAGCGCTTGGCTTCTCGTCAGATGAGCCAACAAATTCTGGACCTCCTCGCTACCCATGTGCTTGGAGACTCGATGCTTATTGGCAGTGCGGATCTTGCTTCCTCGAACCTCACAAAGGTTAGCGCATTTACAGCGGTCGCTGATGGCTTCACTAAGGGCAGCAATTATGTCAATTATGGTGTTCGCGAGCACGCGATGGCAGCGATATCGAATGGTATTGGTGCGCACGGTGGGTTTGTCTCCTTCGATGCAACCTTCCTGATGTTCTTTAGCTACTGCTGTGCAGGAATTCGTAACGGAGCACTTAGCGAAGTCCCTGCCATTCATGTTTTTACCCACGACAGCTTCTTCCTTGGTGAAGACGGAGGTACGCACCACCCCATAGAAACTGTTGCTTGGATCCGCTCTATGCCACGAGTGATAGATTGGCGCCCTTGCAGCCTGGCTGAGGTTTATGGTGTGTACATGACAGCTCTGGCAGATGATGTGAAGATCACCATACACGGCAATGGAACGGGTCTCCAAGCAAAGGACCCCCACACGTACCCCATGTCCAAGCTTCAGCATATCGTATGCCTATCCCGTCAGGCTCTTGACGACGTACCTAATTCATCTGCTCGTGCAGTGTTGAAAGGTGCCTATTCGGTTCATGAAACTGGCGGTCTCGGTGCCTTTACAACAAACATAACAGATGGAAAGCATCTCATTCTTTTGTCATCCGGGTCTGAGGTGGGTTTGTGTCTTAAAGCGACTGATGCCCTTGTCAAGCAGATCCCAGAAGCTTCTGTGCGTGTCGTCTCCATGCCATCCTACACGATATTCAACTCCCAGCCCTTCTCTGAACAGAATGCCGTTCTCCCATGCCTTACAACCCCTGGTATTCCGTGTCTGAGTGTAGAGCCATATACCTCTTTCGGAATTGCGGGCAAATATGCACATAAGTCTGTCTCGATAGAGGACTTTTCATTCTCTGGAAAGCCAGATGATTTGGCCCGCCATTTCAACATGACTGTAACCAATGTCGTAGATATTGCACAAGCGATGCTGGCACAGAACAGCAGCTCACCTTCCCCGGCCCTCATGTGGATGCAGTAACTAATCTAGCGGTAAGACCCTATTGCTTTGTAGTTGGAGTGTCATGACTTGTGAATTGGAATGTTGTTCTTTTATTGTTAGTGTTGATCTGTCTTGCGGACACAGATGTCGGATACATATTTGGCTATGAACTCTGCCGAGCGATCAATGGTATCCTTGAATATATTGGTCGCTGCAGAACAGCAGTGGTAGAGACCCACAGACTCGCCTGCAGGAGGGTATAGATATTCTGCTTGCAGGCTGTCGGTTCTGTAGAAGGCTGTTCCGTTCCGTGGGGACCCCTCCCGCTTGACAGCTTCCTCTAGTGGCACATCATCACTGAGTGCTACCTTTGTGGAGCTGTCGAAGACATGGGGAATGTGGCCCATCGCGTTCTCCTGGCGAATAAACTGCTGCATGCTCAAGTGGTGAAGGATGCTCGATTGCTTGGTACATATCCGCTCTATGTCCAGCAAGCGAGAAAACCAAAACCGTGGATTGACAAAGACAAGCATGTCCGGGTAGATTCGTCGGGTGTAGTCATCCCCGTCTATAACAATGCTGATGCTTATGATAGAAGACGGCAGTTTAGAATCACGGTATGTTATGTGGATAAAGGCCTCGAAGCCCAGCTGTCCTATGACTGTTGTCTCGTAGGGCGGGTCATAAACAGAGCGAACGTATGAACTGAAGTCCTTGTGGATAACAAAGGTAACTTTTTCGACGAAAGGAGAGAGGTCCAGGCCACAGTTAGATGCGAGGAAGATGGTCCAGCAATGCCACGCCACGTCCTTAGTTGGGGGCCTAGCAAGCTTAAACCTCACAAACCCTGCACAGATGCCTTTAATATAAACGGCATTTACAGGGGCGTCCAGGTCCCCGGGGGCGGCGGGCTGAGGAGCAGGCGGCATACGGTAAAAAAGTTTTAGAAACGTTTACGGGCGGAGCAGAGTAGGGCCTCGGTCTGCTAATCACTGAGGCGCACCTCTATTCCGAAACTTCTGAATGTCTCAAAAACAGGACGGTAAGGAAGAGAGCCCTCACGGTCCACAGAAGATACCTCAATCGTCTTCAATCCAGGTATATCTTCATAATTAATTCTAGAAGCTATTTTAAAGCAATCGAGAGAGATGCTTTTCATATGAATCTCCGCAACGTTGATGGAGCAAGCTATCAGGGCAGAAAACAAAGTAGGCGAGAAGATCGCCCCATTCAAGTAAAGCTTCTCAATGGCGAGGGTTGACCTAATCGTGCAAAAGTTCACATCCCGTAAATCGGTGCCCGTGAGGTCCAGAAAGGTGAGCGTGGCACCCTCTGGGAGAGCATGAGCTGTCTGAATCTCGCCAGATAAAACCCCTTTACTGTCTGGCACACTTGTACACTGGGATATAGACACTTCAGTCCTTCTACACAGCGATCCAACTCCGGTTAGAAAGACGAAGAGAAGGGAGAGAGGGACCCTGGACTCTTTTATACATAGCTCCGTTCCCTCTGCAAATAGACCATGGCCCATGTTCTTACAGTGCGAGGGATTGAGGATCATCTGAGTGAGCGTTGCAAAGAGGGCACAGGGGACAGAGGAGTTAGCCAAATGAAGGCTCAACTTGCTCCCCCGGAGAAGTAGAAAGTTCAATAGTTCATGCATTTGGGCTTCGGATGCATCCACCTGACCCAGAGATAATCGTACAGTTTCACAGACTCGACCCCCTGAAAGTGCTGAGGCTGTGATGTCTTCTGCGGTTAAAAGCTGCTTGACAAGATAACAGATAAAGGCAAAATTGTCAGAGTCTGGGACATACTTCACAATACGTGAGCTGTCTAGAGCAACAAGGCGCTCGCCTGGCAGAACACTCATGGTAACTAGGTCTCGTGGCCGTAGCCCATAGTTAGAATATACGTTCAAAAGGATTGTTTGCATAGTCTGCTCTTCTCTGGGAGGTGCAAATAGCTCTGCTGCATCCATCTTGACGGGTATCGTCTTAATCTCCGGCTCTATTACCTTATCGTTGGAGTTATCACTGGAGTCAGCAGTACTAATGTCTTCTTTAAATGACCCTGAATGATCCTCTGTAGGATGGGAGGCGGGCTCCTGACTATCGGACGAATCGGGCGTCTTGCTTTCTTTTTCTTTTTCAGTGAATGGGCGTGCTTGTACTTTGCTTCTGAATATGCTGTTCCTGCCTCCGTAGGCAGAATTTGTGTCCAACATGCGGATTGTGGATTGAATGTATGGATGCTTATCTAGAAACAACTCACGTGTTCTATGGGGTCTTGGGTATTTTACGATTCGACGCTTTACCATCCATCTGTCTAGATCGAATTCCTGGCGATAGGAGAACAGTTCACGTGTTGCCAGCAGTGAGCAAGAGATGCCAAAGTCATTTGTCATTTTAATCAGTAAGGCCTGTATCTGTCCAAAGGAGACGTCGGCGGTGGAGGCCGACCCATTTTCTCTGGACAAAATCTGTTCGAATCGAATATCGAGACAATACATGGTTCCCATGTTATAAAGGCTCTGCAGTAGGTCCAATAACTCCTTCTGCCAGCTGCAGCTTTCCTTAGCCGCAGTTACAATGCTCGGTGTCGTGTAAAAAGAATGCAGTACGGTTCGAAGAAACCGCCCATAGTTGGAAATAGGCTCTTTATAAGATAGGACATCACAAATGAGCACGTATGTTGCAGAGGTGATGCCGAACACGTCCTCGGATCCACTTTGAAAATTATCGCTGTCCAACAAGTTCAGGAGCACCGACAGTAGCACCTTGTGAGTAGTTGTGGACAAGGACAATAAGTCAATATTGTTATCCATCGTAAACACAACCTTTTCACAAAGCGTCTGTAGGGTGTCTGTGACCGTCGAGCCTTCCAATTCTTGTAGAATAACAAAAACGTACTGCCCAGCCAACACGATCGTTTCTAGAAACAACAAGGCCAATTTTGGTGGCATTACCTTAACAACCCTTTCTTCAACGTTAGCGTCATAGTCTTTCAACAAAAACCATGCAAAGTGGAAGAGAGTCTTGTCAAAGAATGTACCGTCGATGGACGTAGAGAACAGGGACTTGAGGGAATCAGTGTAGGCCATGATACCACTGAGCTCCCTGGAGCTGGAGTGCACCTCACTGCCTTCGGGCTTGACAGAGAAATAGAGACCCTCTTTGAGCGCATGTATTGACTGCAAGAAGTTATAGATTATGGCCACAACACCTGGACTCGCAGTAGAAAACACTGTGAGCCCCGGGATAAGAGCGATACACTCTCTAGCGTTATCGGCCTCAGTAATTTCAACAAGGTCAGAAAAGTCTGCAACTATGCTCTGATCCATCCTTACAATGCTCTCACTAAAATAGCGGTATCTCTTAAGGGCAGAGCTGAAAGCCTCCTGGGCCTCATCGACTGCATCATGATCCAAGACCCTTAGCTTGTCCTCCACGAACGGAACAAATGAATGCGTGAGAAGAGGGTACTTTCCTAGTAGTTCTACAAACTCCAGGATTGCATTATCACGCACAATTGCGCTACAATTGCTAATCTGCAAACTCGATAGAAGATCGGCGAAAATAATGTCAAGTTTTCGAAAAATAGACGATTCTCCCTGTGTATCAGATGCCGAGTGGTTTAATTTTGAGAGAATGACACTTAGGGGAACCCTTTCCTTGGCCGCTGGGAAAGTAATGCTGCTTTGTAGGAGTCCCTTCCAAAATAGCCGTGAAGAATAGTGCATACAGGCGTGAGTGCACACAGCCATGTGGTAGCTTGGCCTCAGGTCTCTATCGAGCAGCTTTACAGATATCATCTTCGCATTCTTGATAAACTCCTCAGAATCGCGATAACGCATTATCAAGAGACGCACATGTGTCACTGCTGCATTCAGCAACACGTTGTTTGACTCTAGCAGGCCTGCAGTGCGCTTGCTTGCCTTGATAATAGCATCAAAGTACAGCAGGCTTGACTTAAGATTGTGGTAAACGTGCCGTATACACGTGTCATGTCCATCCAATACAAACCGTGCAAGGATTGCATGAATAGAAAACGAATAGTCAACGTTTTGAGAAATAGAATTAAGATTGATTTTTTTGTACAGTAGGAAGCGCTCAAGGGTGTCCTCCGAGACCACTGGGGGAACGGAGTCGTCCAGCGACAGGTAGTGTAGCCCCATTAAGTGTTTCATGGACATTACTGACGTATAATATGCAGGAAGAGTACACCTGTCAGTCGCGTCATCCTGGGCGTTGAGAAGGTTTGCAACCTGCGATAGAGATATTGCGCTGCTAGCATAGTCGGAGATAGTTGCCGAGAGGTGCGCATCGGCGAGTGCATAGTCCAGGGCGCGCGTGTACTTCTCCTCGAGTTCGAGCCTCTTAGCCAGATGATTGAAGCAAACAACGACCTCTTCGTCATTTCCATCCATGTAGTATGATCCAGCAAGTGCCACTAGCTCTGTGAGGGGCTTATTGGCAAAGGCTTTGATGTCCTCATTCGTTAAATTATTCATTAAAAAGTATGATAGAAGCAAAAGATGATGTCCGTGCAGAGGTCCTGATGTATGACGAGTTCGAAGAATTTGGCGTTCTTCAGGATCCTGAAAAGGCTTTGACTGAAGCTATCTTGAGCAAGGATACGTGGCAAGAGGCATGGAACAAGGAACCTACAGATGCATATATACAAATGCTACAGAGGCTGGAGTGACTTCCAGCACTGGTGATAATGCAGATTCGACGGCCTGCTGGCAAACTAGTAAATTATGGAGCCTTGATCAGTGTGTTGTCCGCTGTGGCTCTGGTCGCAGGTCCACGGTCCGCTGTGCACGTAGAAGAGACGACGGAGCGGTGATCACAGATACTACGGGAGAATCCTCTGAGACGGACTGTCCTGGAGCAATACCTGGGGAACTGAATGACACGTCCCGGTGCTCTGTAGCCGAGCAAGACAACGCCAGTAGCCCTGCTATCACAGAGGCCCCAGGTGTCCAGACAAATACGTTACGCAAGGTGTCTCCTACGGCTATGGACAGCATCAGTAGATTAGCGTCTACTATCTCTACACCCTTACGGCTAGAGGCGTCGAGAGAGTACACCCTCCCATTGCGATAGAAGATATACGGGTTCAAGTAGAACATCTGCAGTAGTGGATTGCATGAATCCAATACTGGTTTGTCCATGGCGTTTGACATTGCTGTGTGGGTGTCTCTTCGGAGGGCCTTTAGGGCGTTCTCTGCTCCATAGTTGTGTATGAATCGCCTGATGTGTACAGCCTCGCGTACATTAGATCCATTCAGCCTACGCCTATATATTGAGAGCCCAGTTGGCTTCAGTAGAACAATGGATAGCTCCTTAGTTTCATACGAAACGCTTATCTTGCAAGGGACTCCTGTCTGTCTTCCAGTCCTCCTTGAACACGTGCCATAGAAGTGTATGGAATCACGATGTACTGTGCCCTTCTTCACCATAACTAGGTAGTTAATTATGTAGATCTTGGTACTCGAGCGCGTAAGGTGCTGCAGCTGCAAATAGCGAAAGACGTCGATCAGGAACTCCTGCTCGCATCGTTTGATCCTTCGGGCTCGGGTCTTCGGGCCGACACCGAGTAGATTGTGGAAGTAGGTTTCTGGCAAGTAATCGTAGAGTACGTCCATGATGCGAGAAACGTCCTGGCGAAACGGTGCAGACTTATCCAGACCGTAGTCGATCAGGATGCTCTGCGCAATGAGCCGAGACACAACGCCAGACCCCAAAGAGAGGAGGCCCAGCTTTAGAGACAATCTCACGTTAGAGTACAGCGCGTGAAGAAAGTCTTCTGTTTCCTTCAGATAGCTCTGATACTCCGTCATGCGGGGCGGGACGGTCAAGGCAACAATGAAGGTGCTCGCCTTTCCATAATGTCTGATCAAGTAGTCATGTGGCTGGAGAAGGATAAAGTGGCAGCTTTCACGGTCATCCCCGTAGGCGGCAATAATACTAAAGCACTTTAGATTGTCATTGAAAAACTCTTCTTTGTCAAAAGCGTTGTACAGTGCCTCAGAGACGGTTGTAGTCGCTTGGATATAGAGGCTGCGCGGCTGCGCCAGGTAATACAAAAGTATCTCCGGCATTTAGATTTCAAGCATCAGTTTTTTAGAAAGCTCTCTGGGAGGATTTCCAGCCTTACCAAAACGTTTGGAGGTTATACAAAAATAACTACTATTTTACATACAGTTATCAATCTCTGTTAGACAATCTCTAATAGACAACGTTAGCTGACTAATGACCTAGAGGAGGGCAACGTACTGGATGTGCATATCCTCTGGCGTGAAAGAGACAGCCGTTACACGCTGGTTCGGCCAATTGTATCTGAAACCAGCTGCAGTGTATTCTTGAACAGGTCCGTCTCTGCCTAGTGACCAGAAGACACCAGGCGCCACTTTCATGACATCTGGGTTGATTGATTGAGGCACACAAAGGAAGCTAGATACATTATTAACAATCACCCCAAAGCGAAGAGACGCACCAGGGGATATCGAGGGAGATGCGCTAACACCATGCAGAGGGATCGTGCTGAAATTGAAGCCATAGTTGCACGGGCTCCACTGATCGTACCTGGAGGGTCTAAGGATTCCAGATACTAGCGTTGCCAGGCCGTTAATAGAAGATTCAGAGGAGACCCAAAGAAGGTTAGCACCACTCCAATCGACGTTGCTCTTACTCTCACTATTTTCTGGACACTCTCGTCTATTGATCCACGACTCTGGGCACTGGCTGCGGCCCTTAGAGAGCTCAGTTACAAACTCCCTTGTGCGATTTATCAAGTTTGTGATTGCGTTACTGTCGCTCCACCCACGGACACGGCAAATAACCGTTCTCTTTGGCAAATCACTGAGGGTCTGCAACAAGAAGCCTGTCTGCCTATCCAGAGCCTGTAATTTCACCCCCAACACACGATCCACCAGGGTGACAGCTGCCTTAACGGACATGTTGGACGGTGACTCTGCAAAGCTGCGTAAGCTAGCTAGAAGTAGCAGTGAGCCACGGTGTACCCCGTCAAGTGCAAGCTTGACGTTAGAAAAGTACATCTTTAGATAGTACAAAGATAGACGTGAACAGACAACAAACATGGGAAGTAGGTGCATGGGAAGGCCCGAAAGCTCATGCATATATAATCCCATGCCACAAGCCTTCAATATGGTTTCCCTGGAAGTCTCGGGTGCATCGCCAGAGCTTTCTATCGCCCTGACTGTCTTTAGAAACCCAGGCGCATCCAGAACGGGTAAGATCGCCTCCTCGTAAGCGCTCAAGGCTTGCTTGAGAGACAGTATTGTACAGTCGAAGCCAGGATCCTCATTATAATAAGCTTCATCTCGAACTAAACTAGTGGACAGAGCAGCCAATACTATGGAGGATATTATTTTCATGGCTCGCCAATCCTTACGATCGGATGCCGGCAGCTTAGGTATTATGGCGGAATCAATTTTAGCGGCAATCGTGGATGCAACTCCGTACAAGAACAGGTTGGGAAGGAGGCTCTTAATCGTCGGTGTAACCTCGAAGAACCTGGTCGTGATCCCAACAATGTCTTTTCCTACATAGCATACTATTCCCTTCATGGTTCCTGCGCTTTCATAGTATGCCTGGGAGAGCCCGTTTGTGCAGCAATCTACAAAATTAAGGCCCGACTTCTTCTTGAAATATGAGTGGAAGGACCTGATGGCCTGGTCAACTGTCGCGTACTTGAAGAGCTCCTTTTCTGGCCAATGACCAGATATACCCTGCCAGGAGTAACACCCGCCCTTCAGCTCTGCTACGCTTCTTCTGGACTTATAGAACAACGCGTATCTGTTGGCGCATTGATTAAATCGTAGGCTATAACTATGAAATGCTAACAGAAGACTGTTCCTTCGTGACAAAACATTGACTAGCATGAAATGGCATGGGCGGCCGTCTACCCGTAGAGAGGAGCCGTCTTGGTAAAACACCGAGGATGCCTGACTAGGGATGCTGTGGAACACCTGCTCTATCACCTTGACCGGCTCCTGAGAGCAGCCAAAGGCTATGCTTGGCACGCTAAGCTCCGTTGATAACAGCGTTTTATTCGTAGAAGCATTGAGTATTTTTTCGACATGTGTCGTGGTTTCCATGAATTCATGCTCCAAAGCCTCAACACCCAGATCTGGTACTAAGTCACAGAATGCCGACGCCTCGTTATTAGCAGACACTTTAATATCCTGGGCCTTACTCAAGATCTGCGTAAGCATCTCATCGTACAGTTGCTTCTGCTTGGCGGCCTCCAGAAGATCAGACAAATATCCAGCAACAACACTTTCTGCACATCCCCTGCTATAAAGAGAGGTCAAGCTTGTGGTAGCAGCGGAAAACAGCGTCTCCATTGTAGGCTTGGACACCTGATTTATGCTATTTAGTTGATCGAACACATGGGTTATCACCGGCTTGGGATTCCTGTGCATTTCGGAATGTAATCCGTAGATGGCAGAGAAGAACGACTGCCATACAACAGAGTTTGTCGCAACATAGCACTTAAGAATTTCCAAGCAACAGGGTGTATAGTCCTCCATAAAGCGGCCATCAGTATTCATTGATTGTCCTAGCATAATCAATTGGCAAGGGCCCGAATTCGCCTTCGTAGGAGGAGGTAGGGTCAGGACCGTAAATAGCCTGGTCAGAATCTCATCGGTCCCCAATAGCTTCACGATGAACTCTTTAGCGTGCGTCCTGAGGGTCTTCACCGCCAAGTTGGGAACCAAGCACTCGTCGACTACAAGCATGGCACTTAGAGACTTGAAGAACTGGCTGCAGAACTGCACGTTTGCTCTCGTGAGAGTCCCTGCCTGTGTAGCAGTGAGAAAGTCAAGGACAATCCGTGAAACGAGAGGAGAAATATGCAGGCTCTTACAGACGTATAATTGGAGCAGCATAAGAAATTCCTTCTCGGTAAAAACGCTTTGGCAGGGGGTGTGGTACAACTTGAGAAGCATGAGCTCAATGGGCGACGCCTTCTCAATAAGGACAGAATCGTTTTCAAAGTCGCTACTCGCTTTTGAAGAGCTTACCAAGTGGCGCACACGTAAACCGTTGCAAATCAGCTTAACGGGGATATTAGATGTAATTAGGCGAAGATTAAATGCCAAGCTGGTTTCCGCAAAGTTTGTTACAGCTGCCAGTTTGACGAACGAATTATATAGACTATCATCCCCACTAAACCAATAACTTGGTGACGAAAAAGCAAAGGAGCCTAGCCAGGTTGTCATGTGGAACTTCTTTCCTGTTCCAACGTAGATGCCCTGCAACAAGTCCATGATAGCCTTCACTATCTGCTTGTCTACAGATCTCCCTGAAATAGACAACGCCAAATACGCAACACATGCCTCAGTTGCTCCATCTGTAAGGGCTCGCAGAACGGGCTTGGAGTTTGTAGTGTTAGCATGAAGGGCCTCGCTCAGCAACAAGCTCTTCATTGATGCGTGCTGATAGATGACGGTATACGCTAGGTTGAGATAGCCGTTTTGAATGAGACGGGCAAAAACAGTAAGGGACTCCCCCAAAAACGACGTCACAGAGGTCCGCCGCAGCGGATTTGCACCCTTCTGAAGCAGCAGCTGAACCATTGGCTCCGATTTCCGCGCGAGCGCTAATTCCAGAGGTGTGACGTCCCTATCTAGGCCAGCCTTATCAAGCAGCTGTATGGAACTGTATTTGCCCAAGAGAGATTCCATGCATACAAAGGCTGAAGAAATGACAGCATAATGGAGGGGTGTCATTCCAAATCTGTCTAATTGGGAAATTGCATCACTAGATGTGCTTGCCTCGGTGAGTTGTTGGGCCACTGAGAGCTTGAAAACGGGATCTATCTTTGTGTCTGATAGCACGTGATAACCATACACATATTGCTCCTTGTCCTTATGCGGTGTTTGAGATACAAGGCGTCCATTAAAAAACAGACAGTGCAAAGGTGTGTGTCCATATTTGTTGACTAGAAGCTCTTTGGGGGACTTCATGGCCGCTTCAAAAAGCGCACCGGGTACCTCTAGGATATCAGGATTCTGGAGCGCAACGGTTATTGCACACCACCCGCCACAGTCGGGCATCACTGCTGCTTCATTTAAGCAACCGTACTGCTGGTAAACGCCTATGAGAAAATCTGCATCGCTTACCCCTCGCCGTAAAAGAGCTGTTAATAAGATGGCATTAGAAAGCGAGTAGCACGGAGCGAGTAGGAATTCACGCATGATAGCTTTAGGAACCAGCGGAAGCATCTGAGATAGAACATGCTCGCTAGAATTTGTGATCAGCTTGAACAAAAAGTAATGGACCAAGGATGGATAATCTGCCGAGGCGTCCACATGAGGAGCAAGCAGGGCCGGATCGACCTTTTTGACAACAGCCAGGACCAGCAACGCCTGATCAAGAGAGTTAATGTTAATCATTTGAAGCGGCGTCTTGTAAGAAGCATTAATTTGGGTAAATGGAGAACTATGATGCTCTGCGATAATGTTCGCTAGGGTATCGGAGAAGGTGCTCACGAGAGACTCTGAGATATTGTCAAAAGAACCGAAGTCGAAGAGAGAGAAGATGGTATGCAGAATGGTATCCCCACGAAAGACAGACTCTCTCTTTGGCGCTGACAGTAGGTCGCCGTCCACGAACTGGGCAGAAAACATAACGGGGGAAGAGTCATCCTTCTCCTTGTGGGCTTTATCGACCTTAGCAGCTAGATATGCATCCGTCAACGAGTCAATCTGTTCAGAAACGGATTGCTTAGGAGCAATCGGCAAAGAAGCAGTGGATCGTGACTCGTCCGAATTTAGCGCATTAAGAAATCTGTAATAGCTTTGGACTATTGGTAAATCCATAATATCCGTATTTTCTGGAGCATAAGCAACAGACTTGAAAGGTAGATGGCGCAGAGCATGTATGCCCTTTATCTGCAGAATTCGCTGCAGAATTTCTTTAGAAACTAAATGCACCGGATATGCTCCCAGACACGTCAGCTGTTCGCATTCAGATACGCAGAGATTTAGCGTGGAAAGTACGGTCATAGAAAATGGACAAATAAAGTGAGAACTAGAAAGGACAGTGGGGGCAGACATGAAGCTCAGAGTAAATATTGCCGAACCGTTTATAAAGGCATTCTTCACTGCACGCTGGAGAAGAAGAAATTCCAGGTGGCCTACCATGGCCCTCAGGCTAGAGCTGGTCATCTGTGTGCATGCAAGCTTTGCAAACCCCCGCGCCTGATCCAGCTTAGTGTTGTACTCCGATAGAGCGCTTGTCAAGATACTTTGCACAATACCTAGATAGGTAAGCCCGCTGCCTTTCACCTGATCCACATCCCCTCCGGCCAGCATGTTGGCGATCTTATCCCATGATAGTCCAGAAGATTGAAGCTGCTTTTCCAAGCGTTCGTGTATGAGAGCGACGCTGTCTTCTACGGCAAGAAGGTAAAGAACCATGATATTGGGATGGTTAAGGAAGTCAAGGAACGGGCGTGTAACCTCATCCTTGACCTCTTTGTCTGTCAGAGGAGAAAGCGCGTAATCAAGGAATCTGAGGAAAATAGTTAAAAGGCTTGGCAAGATAGACGTAACTCTGTTTATGATGTCCGCGAAGACACGTGATAGCTGATCCGATGGCATGGCAAGCTCTGAGCCCAACAATTCCTCAAGCAGTTCGTCCAGTCCAAATGAGCCCAGTTGGAAAAGCATATCAGCTGAGGCCAGGGACTGTGGCCCAAAAATATCCACCAGGGTTAGGATGTCGTCGACTGTTCTATCAGAAATCAGTATCTTTCCAGATGGTGCCATGGTTGCAAATAGATAGAGCTTAATAATGTCCTCATCAACAGACCGCGCTCGCTTATAACCGAGAAATGCGTCTGATGACATAAGGTCTTTTACATGGGCGTTAATAACACGCAAGCTGTCAAACCGTTTCTGCCGTATCAGTGCGCCATAGGTATTCTCGTAAATTGCAGTAATAGCGGAATCACACTCTGTCAGCGTAGTTCTGAGCAGCAATGAATCTATAAAGTGCAGGATGACATCGTCACTATAGCAGCCTAGCGACGCCAACCACGAGCCCATGTGCTTAATTGGATCAACGAACAGATCGTACAATAGGCAAGCAGCAACATGCAACTTACCTCTCTTGATAGCGTGCTCCAAAAGACATCGTGACTCGCTGCAGTGTAAGACAGACGCCCTAGAAGAAAGCGTTGTGAGCATCGTTACGATGAAGTCTTGATCTATTTGACTATCAATGATGGCCGATAATAAGTTGACTTGATCGCTGGTTGAAAAGAGGGGGTATATGTACGGACTAACAAGCTCCATAAGGACTGCATGCAGAGACACTGGGACAGAGAATCTACAAGCGCCGCCATCATCTAGCACAAGCAATCTATCTATAAATGCCTTCGTGATGTTGAAAAGTGGGAAGGGATTGCAGTTTTCCGTGGCAGGCTCAAACACACATGTACGCAGGGATTTCAACAGCGCTAGAAGCTGGTCTGCGTCCCCAAAAGCCATAGAGCCCATGATGAGAGCAATTGCATGAGGAAGAGTCAACGTTGGCATCAGCTGCTGCGGAACGTCTCGAAGGGTTCGAATGCCCCCATTCAAAGCAAATTCGTAGGTCTTGTAGACAAGATCAATAGAGGACTCGCTATTTCCTAGGCAAGTAGATAAGAATCCAGTAAGCATGTCTCTATTTCCACTAAGGATAACCCAGTCTATGGGGGCAGTGGTAACGTATTTGGATATCGCACTAGGTGTTTGCAAAATCATCTTCTGTGTAACCTCAAAGTCAATGCTTGAAAATACAAGCGTCTTGGACAAAGATATAAGGCCTAATGGTGCAAATAAATTAGAGTCGTTAGTTTTTCCTTTGGAGGCCATGAGGAAAGCGTATCCATAATTCCCTGCATGCACGGCATCATCAAATGACTGAAGCCAGATCTTAAAGACAGGATCTAGAAGTTGAGTAAATCCCTGCATGTGGTTCGCTGGATGAGGCGTGTAGTCTGGCTCAGAGCAGACAGACTGATTCTTGAAAAGTTCAACCTCAAGGTGATAAATAGCATCAAGTAGCTCTATGGATATGGATGGCTCTAATGCACAGGCGCGGGACCACGTTGGAACGGTCACACTCTGAGAATCAATGAGGTATGGGAACATTTGCTTCATGAATGTCCTCCCGATCCACTTCGTCAAGACTTTTGTAGACTCGATGTTCTTGAGCTTAAAAGAAAAGATAGCGCACCAATTAGACATAGTCTTCATCTGTTCCAGAACATCGCAGGTAGGAGTGTTGTGGTGAAGAAAGGCACGTAACAACGCAGAGAAGACGTCTATGGAAAGATCAGAGAGGACTGCTGGGAGGCTGTTGCAGTGCTCCCACAAGCTATCAAGTAATTGACACATAGCACCAGCACCCGCTAGCGATGCCGAAAGAACGCGTTGACTAATATCGAAACTGCTGTTAGGAAACGGAGGCAGAGATGCTAGCGACAAAAGGCGTGCACGGCTAGTGTCCATCCAGCCCCGCACCTCCTCCATGTTCTCTACTTTGTCAGAACAGGCCTTCTCCATGAGTTCTGAATTGAGCAAGAATAATGGTGCAAGTGGAAACTTGGATAAGCCAAGAGTGGCCTTCACTACAAAAAGCTTTGCACGCCGCCACATTTTGGCTGGAACAACTCTGGAGGGACAGGCCTCTGTGCAGGCTAGCTCCAAGCAAGCCTGAGAGCCTGGAATAATGCCATGAGCCACTAAGTCCGCACCTCTGGGCCTGAACACCTCTGCAAACCCAATAATATCGCTGAGATAGAAGGTTGTCTGCTCGGAACGAGGATAGAGCAGCGTACGTCCAAGGACAGTGTTGTCGCTGGAGTGCCGCCGCACGTCAAAGACCTCTAAGGTTACACAAGTGGAGGAAAGATATGCATCAATGTCAAAGCTTTCGTTTAGAATGGGGACGGAGAGCCTAGCTGGAACGCGAGCAATGGCATTAATGTGCTCCTTAGGTCCGCACAACCTTTGCATACGGACGACAACAAACATATCCTCGTGGAGTAGGTCAGTTCGGTAACGGGGACGGCGTCGTCTCTGGAGCACATACTCTACTCCATTCAAAACCATAGACGGATTGGGTGCGCGTCCATAGAGCTTAATCCTGGCGGCCTGCTTTGGACTGACGGGTAGCTTGGGAAATTGAAGCGGCACTGTCTGCTCTTTTGCACCAGGCTCTTCGGGAGAGCTCTCACAGTTTGGCGAATCAGAAGGCGAGCGCGATGGATCTTCCGCTGTTGCACCCTCACCAGTGCTCTCGCACTCCTCCTTATCTATTCCGGAGTAATCATCCTCAGTGCTCATTGGTTTTTTGCTTGCTTTGGACGGGTGACATAAATTAATTACAAATACGTAAACGTACATTTAAGCTGCCGGCGTAGTGGTTAGCATCCAAGGAATTTACAATCTGGTAGCCTCAAACCATTGGGCCAGTTATGCATCTGTATATGAAAAGTTAAGAGTGCAACTAAGAAAACCTACTAGCAACAGCCCAGATGACAGTGGGATTCCCCGTCAGCCTGGCAATCTCTTCTACGGTAGTTCCGTTGTACATGTCGATATCGCCTTCATAATTTATCAAGTCCTCTATAGCGTCAACGTTTTGGTGACGTATCGCAAGCATAAGAGCTGTTTCACCGGAGACCCGCTGCCTCTTCGCCTCGAACCGTGCCAAAAGTTGAATAATGCGCCTGTGCCCCTTCTGAGCAGCCAGCATTAGGGCAGTGGTTCCGTCCTTCATCGCTCTGTTGCACTCCTTTTTGAGTAACAGATCTACCATTTCCATGCGATCCATTTCTGCTGCACACATCATTGCTGTCTTGCCATCTTCGCGTGCCATTCCTGCCTCTGCCTCCAACAGGAGGGCTGCGGCATCCAAGGCGCCCGCCTTAGCTGCCTTCATCAGTGCCGTTTCATTGTAGATGTCTTTCATTTCGCTCTCCATCCGATAAAGCAGCCGAACAATCTCCACGAAGTTCTTTGAGGCTGCGATCATCAGAGCAGTTGTACCCTGCGCATTCGGTATTCTATTTTCTCTGTTTGCAAGAAGCTCAACTATCTGTACATAGTTCTGCTTCGCAGCAATAAGCATGGCTGTCTCTCCAGCGTTGTTTTGCATGGCAGCCTCGACATCAAAGAGGGTTTTACAGAGCGGGTAGCTATTCCGCTGGGCGGCGCGCATCAGAGCTGTCGTTCCAGACGATGTGCAAAGCCGTCCACCGTATTCTTTGAGAATGGACGCTATTGCTACCTGATTGTAATCGCACGCTATCATGAGCGGCGAGAGTCCGTTCTTGGCAATGATGCATGCTTCTATGGGCGCCAAGACCCTGCTAATCTCAGCATGGCCTCCTTTGACCGCATACGACAGAGCAGGAAGACCATCCATGTCGACGCCTTTTGCCTCATACGGGAGAAGGGTTTCCACGACACTCAGATGACCAGCAGCCGCAGCAAACATTAGTGCAGTCACGCCATGGCGCGTAGTTATATTGGCCTCGAGAGAGATAAGGAGCTTCACCTTATCGATATCACCCAGTGTAGCTGCTTTCATCAAATTTGTGTACTCAATTGGACGGCTAGTGTACTCGAGAGACTCTACCTCTGCAGAGCGTGGAACAACGTGTTGTGAATACGTCGTGTTAGACCAGGTTTCTCTCCAACCATCTGCATTTATAGCATTGCAAATACTCTTCTGCTCATTGTAGTCATCCAGCGTAGTCATCTTTGGCCGGCTGGACTCAGTCATTGAGGTATTCTGCAACGAGTTACCGTCCTCCATAGAGGCACTCGTATCCTTACGGAAAAGAGTTGAAACGGCGTGCGCTGTTCCCAGTGTAGACATGTTCTGCCTAATCCGCTCATGCGGGGCCAGATGACTGGAACTTCTGCCCTTTGGATGAGAGGATTTTAAAACCCGCCTGTCTGCTTGGAGTTCTTGAGGCAGCTGGCTCTCATTTTCCACCATATCACTAATGCTCCTGGCAGTTGAGCTAGCAGTTACTGGCTGCCCTGATGGATTCACTGACGGGAACAGGCTTCTATAAGGCTCGAGTCGACGCTCTACTTCTTCCGCAAGGATCTGTATGGCAATTAGGTCGGAGGGAGAATGGACACTCACACCTGGCTCCAACTGCATTCCAGGAACAATTTCAAAGAGCCGGTTTTTGATATCATCCATAGTATAGTATCCGTGTTTTTTCTGGAGCACGTTCACGACTATGTCATCAACCCAGAGATTAAGGTTAGAGTCCAGCTTTGCGGCCGGCTTATAACTTGAATTCGTTATCGTGGGGGGAAGCGGGAAGCTCTCATCTTTAGCATTTTCAGTTAAGCTCTGGGCTAGCACCGATGTCATTGTATTAGCAATAGTGCTGGAGTCTGTAGTAATAGACCGTGGTATCTCGGTCCGAGTGGATCTAACATACTGATCTATCATATTTTCAAGCTCAGCCGGAGGAGCCTGGTCTTTTGCAGACGATGCACTAGCCGCTTTGGCATTGGATTTGCGCAGCGAGCGAGACTCTGACTTCCGCGACTTAGATCGGCCTGATGCTCTAGAGCCTGACCTGGATTTAGATCTAGAAGTGCAACATTGAGGGGCGATTTCTTTAGTCCCATCCCTTGGTAGCGTGGTTTGAATAGATGAGTCAGAAAAAGGATTGTGTTCCATTCTTGTCTGTGAAGAATCATTGGTGTGCACTTTATTGTATTTATCCATAGTGTCTCCATGCTTAAGTTCGAAATTAATCTGTGAATATGGCTTTCCTGTGACTACTGAATCTGTTCCCCTGTAGGACAAATCGATATCATCCCCAGAGTCGGTTACACCATAATACAAACGTGTTGCCGCGTCAAACTTCTCGGGCTTGTATCTGCTATTTTGTAGCCTATTGATATGCGCCTTTTTCTTTTCCACACTGTCGGAGCTAGACTTGGGGGCATCCTCGGACAGTGAGTAAGCGGTGAGCCCAAGGGCAGATTTGTCCGGCTCTATAGTCTGATGTAGAGTCTGTGCGACTACAGGGCCACGTCTCAACAAAGCTGATTGAATCCGTTCATGATGGAGTAGCTCATATGTAGAAAAGCGGTGGAGGGGTTCTCTGGACAGCATCCCATTGATAACATCGCACATATCAAAGGAGTATCCGGGCACTGAAATATGCGTGCGAAGAATATTAATATTGTCAATAAGTTCATTGCCTTGAAGAAGTGGAAGTAGGGGAGTCAGAGTACAAAGCTCATAGAAGATCACGCCCATCGACCACACGTCGGACTTATCAGAGACAGTTTGTTCAGCAATAACCTCTGGCGCTAAATAGCGTTGTATACCAGGTGACAAATCAGATGCTTTAATGCAACCCAAGAGGAAGCTGAGTTCAGGAAATCCTACACGCACAGTGCCGCTCGCACTAACAAAGATATTGTTAGGATGAAGGCACCGATGGATGACACGCCGTAGATTTTGAGATCCGGGCTTATACGCCAAATGACAGTATTGCATAGCCTTGACGACCTGAGCAACAATGTCCCACACCTGCTCTTCTGGGAGAGACAGTTTGTGCCTTATAAAATCGTCCATTAAGTCTCGCAGAGTCATATCAGTGATCTGCTCCACTAGAATCCCCACGATCCCTGAAGAAGGATCATAGACTATCTCTAAAATCGGAACAATACTAGGATGCCTCAATCTTTGAAAATCCTCCAGTGCATCGAGAGTTGGTAGCACTGAGATTTGAAAGGCTTTAGCGTAACAAAGCTCTAAGTACGTAAAAGTCCCGGGTCCGTCTATTCTTACGGCGTCATATGTGCGTATATGTGGACTGACTTCGATGGGCTCTGATAGGCAGTATAGTTTGCGGAATTCAGCAGCAAGCATCGCTAATTTTGTCCGCTAAAAAATAAATGCCTCTGAGTCAACTTTCAAGCACCACAGCCTACTCCTTAGCGACTCTTGATCGCGACCATGAAGGCAACACACCGCTAATAGCTGCTGCACAGATGGGAAACGCAGCAGCTGTTCTACAACATCTTCAAGAGGCTGGCTGCGTCAATAGGCATGGCATGGCCGCAATCCACTATGCAGCGGAGCGGGGATACTCGGCGATAGTGGAGATGCTGATTCCTGCAGAAGCACGGAAGGTCGTTCCTGCATACCGCTTTTCCACTGCCACTTGGCGGAACGTATCTGCCTTGATGATCGCCGCTTCCCGTGGTCATGTTCCTGTCATCAAATTATTAGCGCCCAAAGAAGGAGGAATTCAGACCTTGTCCCTGCAAACAGCTCTCATGCGGGCAGCCATAGATGGACAGGCTGCGGCTGTGCGGGAGCTTCGAGACTTAGAAGGTGCCATATTTGACGTTAAAGGTGAAACGGCGCTCATGCAGGCTGCACGGTACGGGCGGACAGAGTGCGTTCGATTGCTGCTGTCGAAAGAACGCACTCTTAAAGACCTAAATGGGTGGTCTGCGCTTGTACATGCATCCTATGGTGGACATGCAGGATCTGTGGCGATGCTGGCTCCTTATGAAATGGAGAAGTACGGCCGCATGGCTCTCGCTCAGACAGCGCGGGGAACTGGTCGATTAACTGAAGAAATGCGGCAAGCGCTTCGTGCATAAGTAAACGGTGATATGTTGCACCTTACGATGTTGCCCATTGCACACAGGGGGCACGCGCTGCTGGAGATGGGCGGGCTCCGGGACGCGCTGCAGACGGTGCTCGCCGAGCTCCGGGCCGGGGTCTGGACCCGCCTCCCCCGGCTGGGTGCGCGCCTTCGGGATGGGGCCGCACTCCCTGACGAGGAGAGGAGGTCCCTTGCGGGCGCCCTGGAGGCCTTTGTCGCCGAGCTCGATGCGTGCTTGTCGGCGTACCGGCAGTGCCTTCCGCTTCTCCGGCTGACGGTGTCCCCCGTGTGTGCCCCGGCAGCGGGAGGAGCGGCGCCTCCGGAGCCATTCCCGGTTCCAGGGGTGGACCGGGACGGGTTTACCGCGGAGTATCGGGGCTTCAGCGGCGGAGAACGCGGAGACGCGCACCGGCGTTGCCTGGAAAGAATTCGCGGCATGACGTGCAACGCGGCCCGCTGGAACGCACTAGTGACCTTCTGGGCGGACCAGAGGGCAGCGTATCCGCAGACCAGCCGGGCCGCGCTCGGGCTCCTGACGGTACTCGCGACCGTCTGTGCCTCCGAAGTATCCTCCTCCGCGCTCAAGCGGGCCCTGAGCCGGGGAGCAGGCGCCGTGCTCCTTGCGCGCCTCGACGCGCGCGTGGGCGAGTAAAGCAGGGAAAGTACCGACGACGGGGCTCGAACCCGCGACCACAGGATTAAGAGTCCTGCGCTCTACCGACTGAGCTACATCGGCGCGACCGCACGCAGAATATCAGAATGACTTGTAATTTTGCTAGCAGTGTGTTGGTATTTGATCAATGGCCGTTCTGCCGTCCGGCTACACGTACCTCCAGACCCTCGAGGACGGCGTCCTTCGCAAGCTCTATACGGCCGCCCGGCACGATGGCGTCTCCTGCCTTTGTGAGGAGGTCTTTGTTGGACCTCCCCCTGCGCCTTCTGCCTCTTCGCTTCGCGCCTGTCCTGCCCTGATCGCTCGCCTCGATTCGCCCTTCCTTGGAAAATACATTCTTGTCCAGCCAGATAATCAGCGCAGGTCTGTCTTTCTTCTTTCCCAGCATGTCCAGGATTTCTCTCTCTTCACTCTCTTTACGGCCCACACAGGCTCGCGACCATACACTCCAGAGGATGATATATGGCAAATTTTATATGGCGCACTTCAAGGACTGGCCTATCTTCATAGCCCTTTGGCAAAGCCTGTTCTTGTTCACGGTGCAATTTCACCCACCTCGGTCTATGTGTCTAGAGATGGAGCTGGGCTTTTGCGGTCACTGTGGAGCGTTCGAGAAAGTGGATCCCCCTTTACGGGCGACGCATACTCACCCCTCACCCCATACGTAGCCCCCGAGGTCCTGAAATCTCAGGCCATAACTACCAAGGCAGACGTTTGGGCTCTTGGTTGTATAATTTATGAACTATGTGTGCAAAAGCAACTCTTTGCTGCGGCTAGCGAAGAAGAGATGGTCGCGCGTATCCTCACACCCGTGTCTGTCACCTTGCCGCCACAGTACTCGCGCGACTTAGTGACCGTTCTTCGCGCCATGCTTGAACAAGACCCGTTCCAACGGCCAGGAGCTGTTGTTCTTCTCGGACACCCTCGCTTCGAGCACTTCGATAATTCCCTCCCTGAGGATCACGAGGCTACCGCTGACTGCAAAGATCCTACCCTTTCTCGTGTCAACACAGTGCTAGCAGACAGCACAATGTCCTTTAGTTCCGTTGGCAGCTCTGTGGCCCCACTTCTTCCCGAATCTAATAGCCCCCTTTCCCAGGCAATTGCCGCCGGCAACAAGACTGCATTTACGAAGGCGCTAGGGGCATGGAAAGGGAAAGCAGACTCGAACGGCTACTCCAGCCTAATGTACGCCATAGTCTATCAGAATACACCGATGGCTAAGCTTCTATTGAAATCGGATGCAGGGCTCCAGGACCGCACTGGCCGAAGCGCACTTATGTACGCATCTTCCTATGACAAACTTGAACTCGTTCAAGAACTGATCCGGCGCGAGGGACGCCTTCGCGACAGGGCTGGGCGAACGGCGCTAATGCATGCAGCAGCGTCTGACTCCTTGCTGTCTATACGAGCCCTCATTCCCCTCGAAGCAGGGCTTGCCGATAATGAAGGCTCAACTGCCTTGATGATCGCCATTAAGAGCGGCGCATATCGTGCCGTGAGCATGCTTTATATTCAGGAAGCCAGATATCAATCTATGCTGGGAAAGACCGCCCTTATGCTTGCTGCACAACTTGATTGCGGCGTAGCCATCAATCTGCTTGCAGAGGAGGAGACATACCTTGAGGACTCGTATGGGATGACTGCATCCCAATATGCCGAGCTGGCTGGTAACCAAGTTGGCGAGCTAGCACTTCGAGAACATGATCAAACCATAGTAACCGGGAAAACAGTTGCGGGGAGGCTGAGCTCTCTTCCTAAGCTGGGAATCAAAGGCGGGGCCCTGACCCTCGAGGAACGAGAACGCGTCAATATGCTGTCGGGATCACTTCCCAGAGATGAGCAAGGCAATACGTCGTTAATGCTGGCTATTCTGGAAGGCGATCGAATCTCTGCCGAAAGCTATCTTCCGAGCCAGATGGGCTTTAGAAATGCTGATTCAGAAACAGCCCTTATGCTTTGCGCAAAGAAGAATCTATCTGGTATCGCTGCTCTTCTCCTTGCTGCAGAGTCGGGACTGCGCGTTGGGCTTAGCTCTTCTGTGCCCAAGGAGCGAGTTGGCATGACTGCGCTCATGCATGCAGCAGAAGCAAATGCAGTAGAGGTGTGCAAGGTCCTTTTGACAGCAGAGGCCGGGTCAGTGCGAAAGGACGGCAAGACGGCCCTTATTCTTGCCGCTATGGCTGACGCAAAAGACGCTGCCCTTGTCTTGGGAGCTTGTGATAAAGAGGCAGGCCAGCATGACACAAACGGCTTCACAGCTCTGATGGGGGCTGTGCAGCATAGAAATGTAGATCTTGCCAAGCTTCTATTGAAGAAAGAAGCCGGCTTTCAGAAAAACGACGGCACTGCTGCGATACACATTGCAGTGTTTCTCGAAGATGTCGCCTTGGTAAAGCTGCTCTTTTCTTATGAAAAGGACTTGCAGCTAGCAGACGGCAGAACTGCCCAGACGATTGCAATTGCTCTTAACAATCCTGCATTGCAGGCTGTCTTCGATGAACCCACAAAGAAGCGCTCCAAAAGCCGGGCACAAGGGAGCGCCAAGCGATAGCCGAATTGCAGCCTCACAGAATGTGACACACTGGCCTGTGGTTACTAGCTTTGGGAGGCCTGGCCTATGGGCTTCAATTGCCATACTTATCCACCAAGAATGAACACTGCGAAGGTGCCTACTCATTATTTGACAATTCAGGTTTTACACATGTTTCCTTGTGCATTATTGGGAGGAAGCATGAAAAATCCACATTCTTCGAAGGTAAAGCTCCTGTCCCCTACATCTATTTTCTAATAAAGCATTCAACTGCACAGACTAAGTGCTGCAGCTATCTCATGGTATTGAAAACCGTATATACAGGCTTTATCCTCAGACCTGCTAGAGTTGATTGGGGGGCCATTAGCCTACTAATTTGACATGAACAGAAGGAGTAATGTGCCTATTCGGTCGACATTGAGGGTTAAACCACACCAATGACTGACTATGTGCCACACGGATCACTCCCAGTAAGCATTTGTTACAAACTAGAGAGTCCTGCACGGTCAATTTACAGCACATCTTTCCATCATAACCTTCAAAGTAGGCGTCCATTCTGTTATCACATAGCCTGTTGAGCCATGAGTGACACCTGCAACGTTTCTGCTTAACAGATTAAATGTTCTAAGCTTGTTCTTTGAATAATAAGTATAGCTGTCCCGTATTATTTACACAGAGGTGAAGACACGATACACTTATGCGCCAGGATCGCATTAAATTAGACCTTGATTGATAGCTATATATTCTACTGATTGCTCGCGCTCTTGGATTGCAGAATGAATAAAAGGTAGCTAGATTGCATGCATTACTATTGTAGAGTAAGTTATTTTAGGACGGATCCTGCAATCCTACTGGTGTCCATCTCCCTAGATATCTGCATCTGGAGAGGACTGTTTCCTGGCTGCCTGTGACAAGCATAAAGGAAACGTGTCTTGAAGAAAAGCACATTCACAGGGTCGTATATTAATGCGGCTCAGCATGTCCATCAAGATTGGCATCGGATGGACTTCTGACAGCTGAGTACAGGAGTGCCTAGTTGCGCAAACTGTGGACCCGCAGTTCCTAAGCATACTAAGTAGCATCTCTTCAGTTCTGTGGCCTAAGTCAAGCGTTCTGCAGATAGACTCCTAAGTTAATGTGCTTCTGGCTATGATTTTCAGCTCTGGAGGTTCTGTCCCGTCCGCAGACTACTACTTCTAGATACAGTCTTTCTGCATCGGGAGTGAGGGGCTCTGTGGCCTCTTACTCTCCCTTCATACAAATACAGACAGGTCCTTGCAGAAGAGACCCAGAGCTCTTGTAGCATTTACGCTGTGGCTACGCACCGTACCTCCCCACGCTTCTCTCGGATACTCACGGCGGCTGTATCCCTGGTTGTCCACGCTACGTTGCCCCACATGAGAAGTCCATTAGCGAAGCGCTTGTGGTCACCGAAGCTGCCTGCTCAATATCGGTTAGCGGCCTTCACCGGTATTTCACGTCCACATATGCAAGGGGCACCTGCGTCTCAGCGCCGTCCCTCAGGCACTGTAGCAGGCGAGGTCTGACTTCGCTGCATTGGCGGTTTCGTGATATGCATCCAGCTACCCGATGTTTGGCAATGGTCTGTGCCAATTCCTGAGCAACTGGTAACAAATCCTTACCTGTTTAGAGTCATACCTGTGAAGGGTGTCCCTTACATCACGGAAGACCCTAGCCGCCGGTCGACGCTCGGCGCCAGATGCCTCCTGCGGGCCACGAGGAGCGAATCTGCATGGGTCTTCCCACATGCTGCTAGCGCCGGGCCGCCCGCCCATTGCGCGCATGACCAACGCCTCGGCGCCAGACCCGCACAAGGGCCACAGACTCTCCCGTTGATCACGGAGATCGACTGCAATGGGCCCGCGAGGTCTGTCTCATGGATGTATACGCCACTAAAAGAAAGCAATTAGCTTGCCTTTTCGTTTTGTACTCTGCTCCACTGTCTGTCCCTTCACGCCTCTTATTCTTCATTTGTAAGAGCAATTCTTTACTCTACCGAGAATATCTGAGTCGTGGCCTTTTCGTGACATAACGTCTCCTTGCATGACGGCAATAGCTATCGACGTTACAATGACCTGGTACTCGTGTCAATCTACTTCATCAGTCTGAGCAATCCTCGAAATTCAGCGCTTTTAGCCTTCAGTATCAAGAGTGCAACCATATAGTGCTCTATGTCTACGAAGACTGAAGCAACGCCTCGTTGAAATGAAGCAATATTTAAAAGACGTGTAAATAACTACAACCTTGTGACGTATCGATTTAATCCTGCTATACGCAGCATCTGAGGACAGCTCAGAAACAGTATACTTTCGTTTGTAAATGACAAACTTACAAGTTTCCTTCTTATATTCATGGTATGCTAGCACATAATAACCCGGAGCCATCTTTAAAATCACTGTATGCTGATTCTCCTGTATGCTATTGCATTCCTCGCCAGTGCATGCGGAACAGGCCCCGAGTGCGTCCACGGAAATTGCACCTACGGGGACGGAGCATACTTCTGCCAGTGCAGGCGGGGCTGGGCGGGGGCTGCGTGCGATGCTCCCCGTGCAGGGTTCCGCAGGGTAACTACCAGTGGGCAGACACCCGCAGACAGGGCCGTCAACTACGCTTGCCTCGTGAACGGGACGGAGTGCACAGAGTCGAACAAGTGCACCTACTACGCGGGGGCGTACTCGTGCGACCCCTGCCCCGATGGCTTCGTGTCCTACGAGGGCGAGTGCCTGCCGAAGAGCTGCTTCAACACCGGTGACCTCTCAGGACAGGAGGCAACGAAGCCTCCCTGCAACGGCCGCGGCCGCTGCCTCCTGAAGGACCCCGGGCTGGCCGGGCTGAGTGCTGACGACTACGCGTGCGACTGCTACCCGATCTACCGCGGGAGTCTCTGCCAGTCGTGCGACGACGCCAACGCAATTGATGCTAAGACTCCCTCACAGGACAATCTCCCCACTTGTAACCCACGGGCTTGCCAGGATCCTGACGGCACTGTGTGCTCAGGACATGGTAACTGTGTCCTCGACGTAGGCCTCAATCGCGAATCATACCACTACCGTTGTGCCTGTGAGACGGGATATACACGCGTTGGACACAAGTGCGTCAGGACAGAGTGCGTGGCCACGATCGACGGGTCCCCGGTCGTCTGCGGGGGCTTTGGGAACTGCACAGATGAGGGAAATACCGGCACCTTCAGGTGTGTTTGCGATTCTAATGCAGTCCAGGTTGGTGAGTTCTGCACGCATCCGACCTGCACCGATAGCTCCAACTCGAAGATCTGTGGCGGAGTGGGCGCCTGTGTGCGTGACGGCGCTGGCTATAAGTGCGATTGCCGGGGACTTGCCACGGGCGACCTCTGCGATACTTGCACTGACAAGTCTGCTAAGATAAATGGCAAGTGCGTTCCAGTGGGATGCCTCACCTCAGACAAGCGAGAATCATGCAAGAACGGAGGAACATGTGTCAAGTTCGATGGCGAGTACCACTGCCGCTGCCCGGACATGCTCATTGCCGTTGACGGAGAGTGCACGTCCCCCGCGTGCATGGACGAGGAACTTGGGAAGGTCTGCTCGGGGCACGGCACGTGCAAGACGGACGATCTACGAAATATACAATGCACTTGTGATCAGGACTATACCTACATCGCTCCAGGGCGCTGCATCTTGAGCAGTCTGGTGGATATCCCTGCCACGGTTTGCAGTGATCATGGACGCATTGTCGTTAGTGCTGAGGCTCCTTATACGATGACGTGCCAGTGTTCGCCTATCTACACAGGAGCTAAGTGCGCAGAATGTAATCAACAAAATGCGCAAGTGATTGACAAGAAATGCATTGCAAAGAAGTGCATTGTGCAACAACAACCACCGGATCCACAGCCCAGTCTGCGCACGGCTACTGCTCAGGATATCTGCGGGAACACAGGCACGTACACCACTTATGGAGATCCTAGCAATCCGTTCATCACATGCGTCCCTAAAGGCTCCAGTGATGGGAACGTTTCAGCCTACAACGGCACCTTCTCTGCTAAACCTGGATGTGTATTTATCAGTAAGATAGATAAGACAAGAAGGTTCTTTTGTGGGTTCCTAGAGGGGCTGACAGATAGTCTTCAGGACGATCGAATGCCAACCTGTGCTAAGCCTTCTGAAGGCTCCAATCTACCTGAAACGTGCACTGTGTGCCCAACTGGCTTTCATCTTGTACACTTTGGGGAAAACAATGCAACCTGCATGCATACCGACTGTCACGACGGTAGATCTATTTATCATATGTGGTACAATTACTGTGGTGGTGTGGGAGACTGTGTCAAAAAGAAGGATGGTAACGAAGGATATGAATGCGATTGCGGTCCAGATGCTACGTGGGACCAAAGTTTAAAGGCGTGCGTCACCAATGCGTGCAAGCTTGATAAAAAGCTCGCCGGCCCAGGAGCACCTAAGTACTGCGCTGCGCTGGGCAGTCACGAACTCCACTGCACCGTCGGCCGGGACACGACGTGGCAGTGTAATTGCACTGGGGACTATGTTACATACAACAAGACGTGCATTTTAAAAAGCAAGAATGCGAATCCACAGACTAAGCTAGCAAGAGGTCTATGCGGCGGCCCCGGAGCTGGCTACATAAACGAAAATGAGTCCTGCACCTGCAACCCGGGCTTCCTGAGGATCGGTGACATGTGCTACAGCTACGACTGCCTGCCTGTGGGCGTGACGGCAGCCGATGCAAGGAAGCTAACGTTAGATCGCCACGTCTGCTCTGGGAAGGGAGTCTGCGCGTACAACCAGCTGACCGGCCGATATGGATGTGAGTGTAAGGATGGTTTTGAGGCCTTTGGTGGTTACTGCACTCACCCCGGGTGCGCCGGAAAGGTGATCCACAATGGAGAACTTAAGTACGTCGAATGCAAGGTCTACGACGGCACCGTTGGGAGTTGCACACAAGATTCTAATGGAAACACGTACTCGTGCAAGTGTGCTTTTTCATACAAGTCTTTTAATGGGCTTTGCGTTCACCAAAGCTGCATGTCTGGGGATAAGTATTGCGGAGGTGACTCTTTGGCTTCGTGCGTGAAGGGAGATGATAACCGCTACGGCTGCGTCTGCTCCGAGGGCTACGAACTGAGTGATAAAAGAAATCAAGATGGAAATAGAGACACGTGTGTCCCGAGCAAGTGCATGTATAGGGCGTCTGCGAACGACGCCGCCATAGAGTGTAACGGGCTGGGAACATGCAGTGCCAACGGTTTATTGAAGGACAAGCAATGCACGTGTACTAATGGTGCGAATGCGTATACACTTAGAGACGCAAGCGGCGAGCTGAGGAAGACATGCGTGCTAGAAAAGTGTATTTCTAGTAAAGACAAGGACGTACCGGTGATCTGTGGAGGCGCGGGTAGGTGTGGACCTGATGGATGCATATGCAATCTAGGGACCAAGTTGGTGGATAAGGTCTGTGTTGGTCTCAATTGCTTCATCAATGCTACAGACAGTAACGGAAGGCTCACTGAATCCGTATGTGGCGGTGACACGATTGGTGTGTGCACAAAGATAGCGTCGCACGGCGATCGTCGAGACTACGCTTGTAAGTGCAAGGACCCGAGGCCTGACGGGTACGAAGAACTTGATGGGTTCTGTCTGCCAAAGGCTTGCATATTTGAGATTACAAAACTAGATAACACCAAAATGAATACTACATGCGGCGGAAGACAGTTTGGAATGTGCATTCTGAATACCACTCAGTCATCCGAACCCTACTGCAAGTGTATAGAGCGATCTGACATTGTCCAGCTGGAGAATAAAAAGTGCATCAAGAGAGTGTGTCTCAGTGACGTCCTGCCTGGAAACACCTTCAGGAATGTCGAGTGTTCTGGTCACGGAACATGCAAGGGGGATCATACCGTAGAATATTCTTGCAGCTGTGAGTCTGGCTACAAAACAGTCAAAGGCATATTAGGAAATTATGTGTGTATCCCGGAGGTATGTGCTGTCTCGGAGACAGACACAACCATGATATGCAGCGGAAGGGGAACTTGCTCTATAGAAGAAAAGACATGTAAGTGCTACCCTGGGTACGAAGGTCCTCAATGCAAGGCTTGCAATGATGGGTACCTGGAACACACAGATAAGCGATGTTATCTTAGCAACTGTCCAAAAGATAGCTGTAGTATGGAAGAAAATACTGATGCAGGAACTTGTCAGTTTGGTGGCAGTAGCTTCAACTGCGTCTGCGTCAACTCGAGCTTCGTCGTTGACAGTGCTAGCAAGAAGTGCCGGAAGTCCAGGTGCGTCTGGACGGATCCATACGATCAGACAGAAAAAACGTGCTATGGTATGGGTACGTGCAATGACAACGGCGAGGCCACTGGGGAATGTAGTTGCAATTCTGGAACAATTCTCATTGGATCAAGTGTCTGCGTATATAGAGAATGCATGCCGAGAGATCACGCTGATGACATTACTAAGATATGTAATAACCGTGGAACATGCGTTGAAGCCACCACTGGTACAGGAATGTGCAGGTGCGACAACAGCAGGTACCGTACAGACAAGAAGACCGGCCAGTGCTTCGTCAAGGAGTGCTTCGGGGCGCACGAGAGCATTCTTTCAGAAGTTTGTGATGGTGGTGGGACGTGCACGGAGACCGGTGACACAGGAACATGCAACTGCCAGGCCCCCAATTTTAAGAACCTCCCTGGTCAAAATGGTTGTGTGCATAGCAGCTGCGTCTCGTCAGACAACAAGCTTTGTAGCGGCTTCGGCGCCTGCGAGAAGACCGGCGACACCTACGGCTGCCTGTGTGCAAAAGACTATACTCTGGTCAAGACTGATTGCATCCCCACAAGGTGTCTCAAGGACGGGAAAGTCTGCAACGGCGGAGGAGAGTGTACTGGTGAAGGGTCCTCTGCGATCTGCAGCTGCAGACAAGGCTGGACCCTCCACGGGACCCTCTGCTACCCATCGGCCTGCGTTTCCAGTGGAACGCTGTGCGGGGGGAACGGCGACTGCCAGCTCTCCGACGGGGGCTTGTGCAGCTGCAGAAGCGGCTACGAGACCGTCTCCGAGGGGCTCTGCATCAGCAGCCAGTGCATCCAGCGCGGCACCGACGGCACCGTGACGATCTGCGGGGGCAACGGCAGGTGCGTGTCTGAGAACGGCGTAAAGCCCACTTGCATATGCGATGAAGGCTTCTCTCTCACAAGCGACTTCGTCTGCGGAGTCCCTGCTCCATCTAACAAATCGTCTGCCGGCACAACAGCTGCGATCGTGGTCGTCGTTCTCCTCGTCCTCGCTGCGGTGGCCGGCTTCCTCGTCTGGTGGTTCGTGATACGGCCCAGGAAGAGCGGTGTACTGAGGGAGCGTGCCCCGCGGAAGCCTGGTCGCGGGCTTCCTAAGCCGCAACTCACTCGCAATTCTAGTCTTACTGCGTCTATGTACTCTACTGCACCTCTACTAAATGGTTCCAGACAACCATCCATGGTTCAGCTCTAATTTTCTGTAAATCATTGAATACGGCTGTAGCTTAGACGTCGCAGCTCATTACTTAAGAATTGTTGGGGCTGGATCTGAATATCTTGCTCGTTTGCAAAGAGTGAATGAACACACACTCCTCCTGCGTTGCGGGTCTGGCGCCGAGGCGTTGGTCATGCGCGCAATGGGCGGGCGGCCCGGCGCTAGCAGCATGTGGGAAGACCCATGCAGATTCGCTCCTCGTGGCCCGCAGGAGGCATCTGGCGCCGAGCGTCGACCGGCGGCTAGGGTCTTCCGTGATGTAAGGGACACCCTTCACAGGTATGACTCTAAACAGGTAAGGATTTGTTACCAGTTGCTCAGGAATTGGCACAGACCATTGCCAAACATCGGGTAGCTGGATGCATATCACGAAACCGCCAATGCAGCGAAGTCAGACCTCGCCTGCTACAGTGCCTGAGGGACGGCGCTGAGACGCAGGTGCCCCTTGCATATGTGGACGTGAAATACCGGTGAAGGCCGCTAACCGATATTGAGCAGGCAGCTTCGGTGACCACAAGCGCTTCGCTAATGGACTTCTCATGTGGGGCAACGTAGCGTGGACAACCAGGGATACAGCCGCCGTGAGTATCCGAGAGAAGCGTGGGGAGGTACGGTGCGTAGCCACAGCGTAAATGCTACAAGAGCTCTGGGTCTCTTCTGCAAGGACCTGTCTGTATTTGTATGAAGGGAGAGTAAGAGGCCACAGAGCCCCTCACTCCCGATGCAGAAAGACTGTATCTAGAAGTAGTAGTCTGCGGACGGGACAGAACCTCCAGAGCTGAAAATCATAGCCAGAAGCACATTAACTTAGGAGTCTATCTGCAGAACGCTTGACTTAGGCCACAGAACTGAAGAGATGCTACTTAGTATGCTTAGGAACTGCGGGTCCACAGTTTGCGCAACTAGGCACTCCTGTACTCAGCTGTCAGAAGTCCATCCGATGCCAATCTTGATGGACATGCTGAGCCGCATTAATATACGACCCTGTGAATGTGCTTTTCTTCAAGACACGTTTCCTTTATGCTTGTCACAGGCAGCCAGGAAACAGTCCTCTCCAGATGCAGATATCTAGGGAGATGGACACCAGTAGGATTGCAGGATCCGTCCTAAAATAACTTACTCTACAATAGTAATGCATGCAATCTAGCTACCTTTTATTCATTCTGCAATCCAAGAGCGCGAGCAATCAGTAGAATATATAGCTATCAATCAAGGTCTAATTTAATGCGATCCTGGCGCATAAGTGTATCGTGTCTTCACCTCTGTGTAAATAATACGGGACAGCTATACTTATTATTCAAAGAACAAGCTTAGAACATTTAATCTGTTAAGCAGAAACGTTGCAGGTGTCACTCATGGCTCAACAGGCTATGTGATAACAGAATGGACGCCTACTTTGAAGGTTATGATGGAAAGATGTGCTGTAAATTGACCGTGCAGGACTCTCTAGTTTGTAACAAATGCTTACTGGGAGTGATCCGTGTGGCACATAGTCAGTCATTGGTGTGGTTTAACCCTCAATGTCGACCGAATAGGCACATTACTCCTTCTGTTCATGTCAAATTAGTAGGCTAATGGCCCCCCAATCAACTCTAGCAGGTCTGAGGATAAAGCCTGTATATACGGTTTTCAATACCATGAGATAGCTGCAGCACTTAGTCTGTGCAGTTGAATGCTTTATTAGAAAATAGATGTAGGGGACAGGAGCTTTACCTTCGAAGAATGTGGATTTTTCATGCTTCCTCCCAATAATGCACAAGGAAACATGTGTAAAACCTGAATTGTCAAATAATGAGTAGGCACCTTCGCAGTGTTCATTCTTGGTGGATAAGTATGGCAATTGAAGCCCATAGGCCAGGCCTCCCAAAGCTAGTAACCACAGGCCAGTGTGTCACATTCTGTGAGGCTGCAATTCGGCTATCGCTTGGCGCTCCCTTGTGCCCGGCTTTTGGAGCGCTTCTTTGTGGGTTCATCGAAGACAGCCTGCAATGCAGGATTGTTAAGAGCAATTGCAATCGTCTGGGCAGTTCTGCCGTCTGCTAGCTGCAAGTCCTTTTCATAAGAAAAGAGCAGCTTTACCAAGGCGACATCTTCGAGAAACACTGCAATGTGTATCGCAGCAGTGCCGTCGTTTTTCTGAAAGCCGGCTTCTTTCTTCAATAGAAGCTTGGCAAGATCTACATTTCTATGCTGCACAGCCCCCATCAGAGCTGTGAAGCCGTTTGTGTCATGCTGGCCTGCCTCTTTATCACAAGCTCCCAAGACAAGGGCAGCGTCTTTTGCGTCAGCCATAGCGGCAAGAATAAGGGCCGTCTTGCCGTCCTTTCGCACTGACCCGGCCTCTGCTGTCAAAAGGACCTTGCACACCTCTACTGCATTTGCTTCTGCTGCATGCATGAGCGCAGTCATGCCAACTCGCTCCTTGGGCACAGAAGAGCTAAGCCCAACGCGCAGTCCCGACTCTGCAGCAAGGAGAAGAGCAGCGATACCAGATAGATTCTTCTTTGCGCAAAGCATAAGGGCTGTTTCTGAATCAGCATTTCTAAAGCCCATCTGGCTCGGAAGATAGCTTTCGGCAGAGATTCGATCGCCTTCCAGAATAGCCAGCATTAACGACGTATTGCCTTGCTCATCTCTGGGAAGTGATCCCGACAGCATATTGACGCGTTCTCGTTCCTCGAGGGTCAGGGCCCCGCCTTTGATTCCCAGCTTAGGAAGAGAGCTCAGCCTCCCCGCAACTGTTTTCCCGGTTACTATGGTTTGATCATGTTCTCGAAGTGCTAGCTCGCCAACTTGGTTACCAGCCAGCTCGGCATATTGGGATGCAGTCATCCCATACGAGTCCTCAAGGTATGTCTCCTCCTCTGCAAGCAGATTGATGGCTACGCCGCAATCAAGTTGTGCAGCAAGCATAAGGGCGGTCTTTCCCAGCATAGATTGATATCTGGCTTCCTGAATATAAAGCATGCTCACGGCACGATATGCGCCGCTCTTAATGGCGATCATCAAGGCAGTTGAGCCTTCATTATCGGCAAGCCCTGCTTCGAGGGGAATGAGGGCTCGTATAGACAGCAAGGAGTCAGACGCTGCTGCATGCATTAGCGCCGTTCGCCCAGCCCTGTCGCGAAGGCGTCCCTCGCGCCGGATCAGTTCTTGAACGAGTTCAAGTTTGTCATAGGAAGATGCGTACATAAGTGCGCTTCGGCCAGTGCGGTCCTGGAGCCCTGCATCCGATTTCAATAGAAGCTTAGCCATCGGTGTATTCTGATAGACTATGGCGTACATTAGGCTGGAGTAGCCGTTCGAGTCTGCTTTCCCTTTCCATGCCCCTAGCGCCTTCGTAAATGCAGTCTTGTTGCCGGCGGCAATTGCCTGGGAAAGGGGGCTATTAGATTCGGGAAGAAGTGGGGCCACAGAGCTGCCAACGGAACTAAAGGACATTGTGCTGTCTGCTAGCACTGTGTTGACACGAGAAAGGGTAGGATCTTTGCAGTCAGCGGTAGCCTCGTGATCCTCAGGGAGGGAATTATCGAAGTGCTCGAAGCGAGGGTGTCCGAGAAGAACAACAGCTCCTGGCCGTTGGAACGGGTCTTGTTCAAGCATGGCGCGAAGAACGGTCACTAAGTCGCGCGAGTACTGTGGCGGCAAGGTGACAGACACGGGTGTGAGGATACGCGCGACCATCTCTTCTTCGCTAGCCGCAGCAAAGAGTTGCTTTTGCACACATAGTTCATAAATTATACAACCAAGAGCCCAAACGTCTGCCTTGGTAGTTATGGCCTGAGATTTCAGGACCTCGGGGGCTACGTATGGGGTGAGGGGTGAGTATGCGTCGCCCGTAAAGGGGGATCCACTTTCTCGAACGCTCCACAGTGACCGCAAAAGCCCAGCTCCATCTCTAGACACATAGACCGAGGTGGGTGAAATTGCACCGTGAACAAGAACAGGCTTTGCCAAAGGGCTATGAAGATAGGCCAGTCCTTGAAGTGCGCCATATAAAATTTGCCATATATCATCCTCTGGAGTGTATGGTCGCGAGCCTGTGTGGGCCGTAAAGAGAGTGAAGAGAGAGAAATCCTGGACATGCTGGGAAAGAAGAAAGACAGACCTGCGCTGATTATCTGGCTGGACAAGAATGTATTTTCCAAGGAAGGGCGAATCGAGGCGAGCGATCAGGGCAGGACAGGCGCGAAGCGAAGAGGCAGAAGGCGCAGGGGGAGGTCCAACAAAGACCTCCTCACAAAGGCAGGAGACGCCATCGTGCCGGGCGGCCGTATAGAGCTTGCGAAGGACGCCGTCCTCGAGGGTCTGGAGGTACGTGTAGCCGGACGGCAGAACGGCCATTGATCAAATACCAACACACTGCTAGCAAAATTACAAGTCATTCTGATATTCTGCGTGCGGTCGCGCCGATGTAGCTCAGTCGGTAGAGCGCAGGACTCTTAATCCTGTGGTCGCGGGTTCGAGCCCCGTCGTCGGTACTTTCCCTGCTTTACTCGCCCACGCGCGCGTCGAGGCGCGCAAGGAGCACGGCGCCTGCTCCCCGGCTCAGGGCCCGCTTGAGCGCGGAGGAGGATACTTCGGAGGCACAGACGGTCGCGAGTACCGTCAGGAGCCCGAGCGCGGCCCGGCTGGTCTGCGGATACGCTGCCCTCTGGTCCGCCCAGAAGGTCACTAGTGCGTTCCAGCGGGCCGCGTTGCACGTCATGCCGCGAATTCTTTCCAGGCAACGCCGGTGCGCGTCTCCGCGTTCTCCGCCGCTGAAGCCCCGATACTCCGCGGTAAACCCGTCCCGGTCCACCCCTGGAACCGGGAATGGCTCCGGAGGCGCCGCTCCTCCCGCTGCCGGGGCACACACGGGGGACACCGTCAGCCGGAGAAGCGGAAGGCACTGCCGGTACGCCGACAAGCACGCATCGAGCTCGGCGACAAAGGCCTCCAGGGCGCCCGCAAGGGACCTCCTCTCCTCGTCAGGGAGTGCGGCCCCATCCCGAAGGCGCGCACCCAGCCGGGGGAGGCGGGTCCAGACCCCGGCCCGGAGCTCGGCGAGCACCGTCTGCAGCGCGTCCCGGAGCCCGCCCATCTCCAGCAGCGCGTGCCCCGGTACAATACGTGGCCCTTCCATTAGGAGTCGGAGGCCCCTACAGAGCTGGAAGATATCTGCAAGGAACGCCAATCGCCGAATCCAGGTAAGGTTAATAAGCTGTGTAGCAAGATGCTTTGAAAGAACAGAGGTTGTATTCGGGCACCGACTTATGAACGCTATGAGCCGCTCTAGATTTTCATAAAAGTTGAGAATACATATGTATAAGTACGTCCAACGTACAGTACTATACACTCGCAACGCGGGGCGAAGCCCTGCTTCAGTATCCACTTTTGATAAAGTCTTCCTGGAAGCCGGTTCAGCGCCTGAAGCATCAGACCCGATAGATTCATCAGTAACAGAAGGGCCCTTAACACTAAGTTCATACTGGGCCAAGAAAGACCGAAACTGCTCTTTCATTGAAACAGACATATTCAGAATCTTCATGGTCAACTTGTGGACTACTTCTATGACATCAGAGAAATGCTGTTCATAGAGGATGGTAAATGCCTTGTTCTGCCATTGCATTAAGCAGCCCATGTACAAGATTTCTCGGTTGCTCGATAAATCACGCAAGGCGCGAGCAATCTCATCACAGAACTTACTGGGTTTCATTGTAGCGCTTACTGTAAGGTTTGTTGTAATACTGACAAGCTTATTGGATAATATCCTACATAGCTCATTGTTGGCATCAACTCCTAGAGACGAAAAAAGGCGGATTTAAGCATAGACCCAGGTGCGTTTTCATCAAATTTGGAGATCCCACAGACTATGGTCTTTATCTCTCCAGTGGGTAGAAGCGCGTTCATGTAGGTTACCATGTGTGAAAGCACAGCTGGATCAGTCGTTAAGTTATATGAGACACTGCAGGCCACGGCGCTATGAAGAAGACCTTTCAATATGTTCTGATGCTCCCTACCGTAGGTAATGTAACGCCTCCTAATCACCTGACTGGAGACACTAGCATCACTGATGTGCTTGACAAGACTTTGCCTAATGGATGCGGGATAATCGTCCGCTGAAACGATAGCAGAAACACAGCTCAATAGGATCTGTTTTAGCATTCTTCCTGATGCAAGTGGCATACCCCTGACAAGCACAGTATCTGCAATTAGCTCTCCTATTGTATCCTGAGAGGTAGAAAAAGCATGGTTGGAGTTCTTTGTGTAGCAGGGTTGGCTGGGCTCCTCCCCGCTAACCGTGTACTCAAATGTTACAAAGACATCGCTGCTTAAGCAAAGCGGAGACGGTTTTTGATCTTTAGTGGCTTTTTCCTCGCCATCGGGTGTCATGGACAGTTTCAGATAAAACTGTAACCAAATATCTATACATTACTTTTTGGCTTATTACTTTGGCTTGATTTTTCAATTTGACGCTTTGAAGCTGTCGATCAGCCACTGTATGCTTTCCTTGCTGTTCCTATTAACCGCCACCAATGCTCTGTACTTTGACTTTACAAACTCTAACGTAATCTGCTTCCGGCACAAGGCCGTTGTCGATCAAGACATTCGGCTTTTGTATTCCGTCAATACCCCGGAGCTCTATGCCAAAGGGAGCACATCGCTCAATCAGCGAACTAGCAGTGTCTTACTGCAAATATACGACGTTTATGACGCGGTTGTCTTTGACACTCAGCTCTCGGACAGGGGGGAGCTTCTCTTCAGCCCCCGGCAAGTAGGCGACTACAAGGTCTGCCTTGGTGGCGGCTCTGCAAAGATGGACAAGTCGGTCGGTCGCATGAGTCTCTCAATAGAGAGCCACGCCCCAGCCAATGACTCGGTGGATGCAAAGCGCAGACAGGAGGAGCAAACTGTAACTAGGCTCTTAGCGAAGGCGAAGGCAATTGACCAGCAGGCAGAAGTAATACACACCAACTTTGACCGGTTTGAATCTCAGATCTCCTCCACGAGGCGTAGTGTTGTTGTTACAAACCTTTTATGCATAGTAACGTACATTGGCGTCACTGTTTGGCAACTTAAGACTATTAAGCGTTACCTTATACAGCGAAAGATATAGTTACTCCCATGAAGGGTCCGAGAGGATCCGAACCGGCTCACACCAGTGTAAATCAGTAAAGGCAAAAAACAATTTATGGACCTTGATGCAGCACTCGAACGCCTCAAGCGCTGTGAATTGCCCACTGAGTTAGAAGTTGAGGAGCTGACGCATCGCGCGCGTGAGATTCTTGTTCAGGAACCCAACGTGCTTACCCTCGTTAGTCCGATAACCCTTGTCGGAGATATCCACGGTCAGTTTTATGACCTCAGAGAAATGTTCAGCATCGGGGGAAGCATTCCAGATGTACAGTACCTCTTCCTTGGGGATTACGTCGACAGGGGCTACTTCTCTGTCGAGACATTCCTTCTTCTCATTGCATTTAAGGTAAAATTCCCCACCCGTATATCTCTGCTTCGCGGTAATCACGAATCTAGACAGATATCCCAAGTATATGGCTATAACGACGAGTGTCTACGCAAGTACGGCTCTAACCGCATTTGGAGACTCTGTTGCGATGTCTTCGACGCACTTCCACTCGCAGCGACTGTAGACGACACGCTCTACTGTATTCACGGCGGCCTCAGCCCCGATGTAAAGTATATTTCGACTATGAAGACACTCCACCGAAATGAAGAGGTCCCTTTCTCTGGGCCAATTTGTGACACTCTATGGTCAGACCCCATGGAACTACCAACAGACAGAGGATACCAGCAGTCTCAGAGAGGCGCAGGCTTCATGTTCGGCAGTGATGTGGTCCAGGAGTTCTGTGCAGCCAATAGCATTGAACTGATTGTCAGGTCACATCAGCTTGTCATGGAGGGCATGAAGTTCCAGTTCAATAATAAGTTGCTGACACTGTGGTCTTGTCCGAACTACTGCTATCGAGCTGGGAATGTGGCTGCGATTCTCGAGATAAGAGAGACCAAGGAGAGGAGCTTTAAGGTCTTTGAAGCAGCTCCCAAGTCATGCAGGGCCCTCCCAGATAGGAGGTGCATCCCCGATTACTTCCTATAGAGCGGCCTTCATCAAAAGTCTCTTTTCTGTGTACCCTTTCTGCTTCAGTAAATATACAGCCGGCATTTCCACGTCTGGACGACTCGGGTTACCTACTCATCTTCTCTGGCTATGGAGTCACCAATCATTTTCTGTCGATGGCTAGAACCCCTGTGAGAAAAAAGAAATTGATGCAACTATCGCCTACACCGTACATAAGTGTGCAGCTTAAATACGGCTGTGGAGATCCTAACTGTACCAATAATCACTGCAGATCCTCAAAGTCTTTCTCCCATATGCTCCCTGACGACTCTGGAGATAGTAAATGGGCATCGCAGCTAGCCAAGCAGATCACAGCCCAACACGGAGACGCGGCTGTTTGTCCATTAACTATCTCGAGAATTCTGTCTCTCTGGCTAAAGGGTGTCGATTTGCTCCCAAATGCAACACGTCTCCCGTTGGGTCACTTTCTTTGGAAGTACGGCAATCCATCACAGTTCAGCCCAGATCAGGGTCTCCAGGACTTTATAAATAAGTTAGACAGGCTTAAGCTCGTACAGCTCGAGTCTTGCATTCCCTTTGAATTTCTGACCATTATGCTTAGGAATCAGCTTGTTAGCTTTGACGGGCTTTCTAGCTTTTTATTCCATAACTTTACGCTTCCTCAGGCTATCCTAGCTATTCATGCGTTTTTCGAGACAATCTTTTCCGTCGAGGAACAGCGCGCCCTGGCTGCTGGCGGCCAGTCTAAGTTCCAGGACAGCTCCATAACAGGCACTGCAGTGATGGAAGTGTGTGGTCCCGGGATGGACCTGATTCAAACGTTTTGTGAGTGCGTTGAATCCTTTACCAGTATCCTTGAGGCAAGCCCTGATTGTATTACTTCGAACGATAAAGCCATAGACGCTATAATTCTTTTGATGACACTCCCAGAGAAACTATTGTGCGGCCGGCAGCATCTCTTTTTATCTCTCTGTGATCTAGTTGTACACCTTCCGCCGGACACTCTCCAGGTTCTACGTTTAGGACTGGAGAGTTTTTGTACCGTGTTCCAGGCAGAGCTTAGTCACTACGTTAGCACAGCAGAGCAGCTAGCAGTCCTGCAGAACAGTAGCATTTTCAGCCCTAAGCTCTTACTAGAGCGTCTGGTTAAGATCTCCAAGAATTACTTATCGCGTCTTCTCCTCGTGAAGGAGGTCCCGAACAAGAGGGTCACCATTTTAGACCTAAAGGACAACGGCGATAGTATATACCAGGTTCTGCACATGATCTCTATCCTACACGCACTCAATCTTCCCTTCTCGTATGACACCACTGTACTCTCCGCTGATACGGTAAAGTCCGAAGAGCAGCTGAACCTTCTTGCAGAAACAGCGGGTGACCGAGTGGACGATCGCCCAGAGGTAAAGACACGCTTTATTCCAGAGAGCCTTTTCATGCTAGAGTACATTAACTCCCGGAGCTACCTCTTTGCCATGGATGCAAAGTACTGGCTAATGCATTACAAAGAGATAAACAACTTGGACAATGCTTCTACCACCTTTCTTTACTCTAGAGAGCAGGTGCAGCATCTCTCCTCCTTAGCCTTTCTGATCTATGATGATGAACTTAGTCGTACAAAGGTAAGCAGTCTTTTGGCTCTAGATAACTCCTTATGCAAGCTTTCACTAACTCCTGACGATCTGAGCACTGAAGAGATCAAGTATCAGGGCCCCATCACGCAGCTGAACTTCATGGAGTTGGCAGCAAACATGCCTCCCTCCTTCAGGACCCAGATGTCAACCATCAAAGACATTCCTTTTTCTGCTGTCAACTTCACCTTCTTAAGTTATCCATTTCTCCTCGACCCCATGATCAAGGTCCAGATCCTTTGTGCAGAGTGCTGCTATGAAAACTTATTCAATATGGGAACCGTCATATATCCAAACAGATTTAACATTTTCTATGATACACTAGATCACATCATAGGCCACTCGCCCGAAGATGAGCACGGCTGGCGGAGTATCTCCAACAGAAGCTTTCTGCGTAAGCCTCTGCGCATCACCTTTGACTGGGAGGACGGCATCGATCAGGGTGGCCCACGGACAGAATTCTTCAACCTCATCTGCGATGAGATGTTTTCAAAAGCCCTGGACTTGTTTGAAGAGAACCAGGAGACGCACAGCTTCTACTTTAATCGTAAGAACGGAACGGTTGCAGAAGGGAGCGAGCAGTGGATCAAGTTATCGAAGAACTACTGCTTTGCCGGCATGATACTGGGGATGTGCTTGCTCAATAGGGTTAACATAACCAACCACTTCCCGCGCGTGCTCTACAGAAAGTTATTGGGCTACAAAGGGGTGTTTGAGGACCTAGAGAACTATGATCTTACAATATACAAAGGCTTGTGCAATCTTTACAATTATGCAGCACAATTGAGAGAGGGAAGCAATCTTCCGTCGATAAAGGATACGTTTTGTTTGACTTTCACGGCTTTAGGACCGAACGGAGAAGACGTTCCCTTGATAGAGGGTGGCCAGGAGATATATGTAGACGAGCACAATGTTGAAGGGTATATCAAGGCATATGCAAATTACATTCTCAACGACTCTGTGTCTAGGCAGTTTGAAGACTTTGCAGATGGCTTCCATCTTCTTGTTCGCTCCAGGTCCCTCACGCTCTTCACGCCTGCAGACCTTGAGATTGCTCTGTGTGGAGAGCCCAACCTGGACTTCATCGCGTTGAAGAACAACACAAAGTATGATGAGCCTCTCTCGCCAACACACCCGCTTATTATATGGTTCTGGGATATTGTTCTCAATGTCATGACTCAGGATCAGCGCAAAGCGTTGCTTAAGTTTGTCTGTGGAAGCGCGCGTGCTCCCGTCGGTGGGCTCAGTAGGCTGCGCTTTAAAATTACCCTTAATGGAGATAACGATCAGTTCCTTCCTACATCACATACCTGCTTTGGCATTTTGATGCTTCCGAATTACAGTCTGAAAGAAATACTACAAGAACGATTGTTCAAGGCAATTCAGTATGACGAGGGCTTTGGCTTAAAGTAAACGTGTACATCATTGTTACTGTTCTTGCTACACTCTACTGAACGTGCAGAGCCACGTTCTCTCCACAGAAGCCACAAGAATTCATAAAAAATGGGTCAAAACCAATCTGGAGTCGCAGGGAATGCCGGATTTAAAGACGCAGACGCATATATTGATCCGCCTCCTACTAGTCCTGATGAATTTACCTTCATGAAAGTCCTTGGTAAGGGAAGCTTTGGCACTGTATGCTTGGCTAAGCATAAGGCCAATAACAAGATTTACGCCTTGAAGGTGTTAACAAAGCAGCATGTCATTGAGTCGCGCGAGGTTGAGCATGCTATATCGGAGAGATCCATTCTAGCATCCTTGAATCATCCCTTCCTAATGAGGCTCTATGGGGCTTTTCAGACGCCAACGCGCCTCATCATGGTGTTGGAATACGTTCCAGGTGGCGAGCTCTTCTTCCATCTCAAGAAAAAAGTGACATTCGATGAGTCCTATGTTAAGTTGGTTGCTGCACAGCTCGTTCTAGCCATAGAGTACCTCCACGACATGAATATAGTTATTAGGGATCTCAAGCCTGAGAACATTTTACTGCAAGCCAATGGATACATCAAAGTAACGGACTTTGGGCTGTCCAAGCAGAATCTTTCTATGACACTGGGTGCCAAGACCATGGCAGGTACAAGCGAGTACTTCAGCCCAGAGCAGGTGCAGAACTGTGGGCATGGCAAGGGTGTTGATATGTGGGCCCTGGGAACCATAATATATGAGCTGCTGACGGGGTCTCCACCCTTCTACTCTGATGACAAGCGTGCTATGTTCAGGAAGATTATCGGAGAGCAGCCCAAGATGCCAAGCTACTTCAAGGACGATCTAAAGGACCTGCTAAAGGGGCTCTTGGAGAAGAAGCCCAGAAGCAGACTGGGATGCAGAAAAGAAAATGGTGGTATCAAGGAGCTCAAGGGACACCCATGGTTCAATGGGATAAACTGGGATAAGCTCTATAGGAAGGAATACACCATTCCGTATAAGCCCACGATAACTGATAACTTAGACTTGAGCAATTTTGACAAAAGCTTCACAGAGCTTGATTTTGATTTTTCAAGTGAGCCCCTCTATAAACGCGAGCACAATGCCGATGACGATCAGATCTTCCAGGACTTTTGTAAGGCATATGCCACAAACGCGGAGGACGAGCAAAAGACGAACTGCCCCACTGACAACGATGAAAGCAACACGTTCACACAGTCAGGACAAATTAATTATGACTCAGCAGATGCACAAGACTCTACAAAGGGCCTCCCCGCGTGCTTGGTCGATGATGATGACACGGATATGCCTCCTCCGCCCTAGTTCGGTTAGTTCCTAGATTGATCAGCAGTAGGTAAGTAAACAGGGCAATCGTCCGGGTAGTGTATTGATTATGTTATAAAGTAATCGAACAATCCCTCGTACAGCTTTGTGATAACATCGCGTGCATCGAAGATGTTCCGTGCGCCAACGATCGTGACCTGGCCATCGGCGAAAACAGAGCAGCATATATTGCGCTCGGCAATCTTGAAGACGACCTGTAGTGATGGCATGATCTCGGGCTGGTACATGGCTGATGAGAATACGCTAATTGTGGCAGCTGCAGCTGCGTCGAGACGAATTCCATGGCCAAGGTCTGTGAGACAGGTAATAGAGACAACGGTTAAAGGCGACGGCCGTGCAAGACCAACAAACTCTTCAATCTCATTCAGAAGCTTAAGGAAGACGGCGGCAGCAGTTGCTGCTTGGGCCACGCTTTCGCAACCGAAGATGGTACAGTGCCCGTGGTAGCTTACAGAGATACAGCATTGTGGACTTGTGAGGCGGACACGAACAGTGGGATACCGAGGGTTATAATCAGCGGTTAAGAGACTTGCAGCCAAAAGCCGCATATCTACATTAAATCCTAGGCTGAACCGGCAGTTATAGCCCACGACTTTAACGCTAAGCCCCTGTACTGCCAATTCAATATTGCTGGGACCTGGCGACGACATTTACTTTTTCAAGCCAAGGGCTCCATCTCCAGTCTTCCAAAAGCACTAGCTGTTTACAAGAACAAACATATATTAGAAGCCACTGGCAATATTAATAAAAAGAGAAAAAATAATACTGCCAATCAATCCGAATACAATCCCCATTCGCATTGGGGCAGGGACTCCCGAATGATAGACATAGACCAGAACGAGAACATTAAATATCAAACCAACAAGCAATCCAAAGATAAGCAGCATGAACTTATGGAAGTCACTCATGACCCTGTTTGTGGGGGGCTGCACTGGGGTCCCAGGCCCCAAGAGGTTGTTCACCGTCGCCACAGTGGTGATAGTGGCGGTCGGAGACTCGTTTTCCATCCACAGGTTCTCGCATTGAATGACGCGCAATGGCATAGTAGGAAAAGGGATGGTTTCGTCAATCCAGCTGAGGTCCGTTATGCCGAGAAACTGGCGTGCAATGTGAGGAGGAAAGCCGCCTTCAAGCATCATCAGGGCAAAGGACGAATTGGAGATGAATTCTGGTGGGTAGTATCCATTGCGGTCTGGCTCTTCCTGCTCCACATACAGATGGCGTACATCGAGGGGGAGGTTGGCCTCACCACGAGTTGCGCCATTGGGGGTCTCATTGACACTCTCACTAGCATGGTCGCTGGCGTCTGCAGGTGCAGATGCAGATGCCTGCAGGGCGTTAATCAGAAAGAGACGGATTCGTGAAATGGACGGCTGCGTGTAACCCCGGGGCTGCTCTATAAGGTCTGTGTTTGTGTAAAGGATTTGTAGATGCTCAGAGGTCAAAAAGCCTGCCCGTGCCAAGAAAATCAGGCGTAGACCTATTACATCCTGGCGCTCTACCCCAGCTTGGAGGTGCTTCTCAAGACCACCTCTGTAGACTCCTATCCGGGGCTGCCGGGAGCCTGCTTCCTGTGATGCAGCAGACTCGTCTATCACGGCTGCTACGAGGTGTAATGCCGATCCATCGAGAACGTTGGACTCTTGGAAGGTGGCGCTAAGCTGCAACGTTCGGCCATTATAAACGACACGTACCCGAGCACCCTCTGGAATGTGATCGGCAGCATGGACCAAAAGAATCCCGATTGTGTCATCTAACTTCACTCTCAACACGATGACATCATTATTGTCATATGTGTAAAGCTTAATGTCGATGCTCTCCTGTGACTCGGTATCAGTCATAAATTAAGTTTTTTGACAAGAAAGAAACTGCCAGGGCCAATTTGTTTACCTATCTTCATTGCCCGATGCTAATAGAGTTTCAGGTGGCCTGTTATTTTGTCGAGCTCAGCTTCGTCCCATGGCCCCACAAAACCGACGGTTACAGTGCCAGGGTCTACCTGCGTGTGACCAGCATCTTGGATTCTGCCGCATATAATGTCAGTTTGGTGCAACTTGTCCAGCAAGCTTGACAGCTCTTGCTCGGTTACCTTTAAGGTTATTTTCTTTTGCCCTTGGCTCAGCCACGCACGGAGCTTTTGTGGGGCGTAGCGGTGAGCCACCTGGCACGCGCGTACAGCGGCATGGCTACACTGTGCACACGCCTTTCCTCTGGTCATCTTAATATCTGTGCGCACTAATATCACCAATTTCATGCTTTGCTGTTCGTCGCCTTCTGGATCGCAAGAGTCGTGGTCGCCAGAGGGCCAAGAACAATCGTCAACCGGGTACTTGTCAAAATCTTTGGGACAGCTCCCCCGGCCTATAACCAGGCCAGCCACAAGAGCTATTCCAATGGATATAGCCCCAATTAGCCAGCATCCCAGATGCTCCATGTGGAACAGCCAAAATCCTATTAAAATTTTATGCCCTGAAATAATTATAACGAGCGCCATTGGGCCCGCTTCGCCACCAACTTCACATCGCCAGGAGGCGATGTGTCTATCCATGCGGCTCAGGCCGACTACTATCGACGAGATTATTGGCAACCATCACATCCTGTCTTTAACGGACGGGGTCATCAGTCGCATATATGAGCAATCACGGACAACCCACGTCCTTCAGTCCATTATTATAACCGGCCCACCGGGAACTGGCAAGACAAGCTTTGCGCGATTATACGCTAAGTCCTTCGACCCATCCTATAGACTGATAGAGTTTAAACCTGGGCAGGCCACCGTTGCAGAGCTAAATAAGGTCACGGAAAGAATATACACCGATCGGGCCAACAGCTTAACAAGTGCGCGTGTTTGCCTTTTTGTCGACGAGGCTCATAGGTGTACAAAGGCACAGCAAGACAGACTTTTGTCAGCCGTTGAAGAGGGCGTGCTGACGCTTATCCTAGCAACAACATCGTCTCCGTATACGGCAATAATCGAGGGGCTACGCTCCCGTTGCTTTCTTCTATCATTTAACGCGCTTACCTCAAAGGATATCCTTCAGATCTGCGTTCGAGGCCTGAATAGCATGCTTGACAAACTTGACACTTCTGTTCCCCTTGACATTTGCGTGGAGCCCTCGGCGATAGCCAAGATTGTTGTTGCTGCCCGCGGAGATGGGAGAAAGGCTCTTTCTCTGCTGGAGCTGTCTGTCACAGGTGGACGAATCACTGAACAAGGTGTAGCTCTACTCCTATCAGGAGGTGCCCACGGAGATGCAATCATGCACTGTACACTTAACCAAGAACAAGTCAAGTATGAGGGAGTGTCGGGAATGATTAAAGCTATTCGTGCATCGGATCCTCAGGGAGCAATCTTCTATCTGGCATTCCTGTTGCGCACTGCTGTTGACCCTCTCTACATAGCTCGGCGGTTAATTATCTCGGCGTCAGAAGATATAGGCCTCGCTGATTCACAGGCTCTATCTGTAGCTGTGTCGTGCTATCGAGCAACTGAAGTCATCGGTCTTCCAGAAGCTCACTATGCTCTGGCCCAGACAGCTCTCTACCTTTCTCTAGCTCCAAAAAGCAACTCTGCCGGTACAGCTCTTAACAACGCATTTGCAGCTATCGATAGCGCTACTCCAACAGATTGCTTGCCCCCAGAAGGCTACAAAAGTGCCTCTGCAGGCGCCAATTACGTTTATCCGCACAATTATGGTGGCTATGTTTTGGAGAGCACCCTCCCTGAAAGTCTCCGGGGGCAAATTTTCTATTCAGAGGCATCAGTTCACAAGCCGCCGTAAGCTGGGGACTTAAAATGTTGATTGATGTCGGTGGCCTCTCCATTGTCTATCCATATCCCACCGTCAGTAAACAACAGCTACAGATCATGGAGCATGTGTGCGATGTCTTGCGGACAGGGATAGGGGGGAAGCGGGCTCTTTCTCTTCTTGAAGCAAAGACAGGGTCTGGCAAGACACTAGCTGTGTTGTCGGCAGCTGCGTCCTTTTGGGACGCATATCCCACGGCCATATCTCGCATAGTCTTTCTCTGTCGCACTATCCCTGTTGTAGACCATGTGCTCGGGGAAATCTTTCACCTTAACAAAGCCCGCAGTGATGCCTTCAAGTCTGTAGCCGGAGCTACTGCTTCTTCTGCTGTTACTGTGGGTGCAGAGCCTTCACTAAAGAAAGAACCCCCGAATTCAAGTGTTAGAGCCCCGCCATTCAGAAAGCTACGAGCATTGCCTATTACATCGCGCAGGCGGTTGTGCGTTAATGAATCTGTTTCTAGAGCTGCATACCTAGACACAGAGTGCATTAAAATCACTAGGGGCGTTGACTTGGAGGATACCGTCATGTGCCCAGCGTTCAAGAAAACACTCGAAGAGGAAGGTGAGCTATCCATAGGCAGAGAATCGTACACCATTCCAGAGTTTATTAATCAGTGTAGAACGTACAATGGCGGAGTAGTGTGCCCTTATTTTGCTAATCGTCGTTTACTCCATACAGCCGATATAATCGTAGGAAGCTACAATTACGTGTTAGATCCCAAGTGTGCAGGACCGCTGGGTGCAATACTGGATCAGAACACGCTCCTTATCATAGACGAGGCGCATAATTTAGAGTACGCTGCTTGTGATGCAATGTCCATGCACCTGAGCTACAAATTGGTAGTGGACTGCGAACAATCTATTCACGCGATGTCGGCCTCAATTGCACACAGCGCACGTCCACCGCCGCCTCCATTCTCACCTGATAGGTCCTTTTTGCGCAAAGAGCGGGCAATCAAGACAGTCCAGCAGGACAGCAGGCTCCTCTTCTCTGGCTCAGCTCCGGCAGATGTGCTCTTACTCTCATCAGAATCTTATGCAGCTGTCAAAACACCTCAGCAGTTTTTGTCCGGACTGCTAAGGATAGTCAGGTTATTAAAGGAGCAGCTCTCGGACCGCTTGACTAAGGACGTTGTGTCTCTTCCTCACGTGGATGTGCTGAACCTTGTGCGCTTGCAGTTTATTACCGAGTCCTTTCTTCAGTTGTCACCTGAGTATCTACACTATTATCAATCATATTATTGTATATTTGATAAGAACCTTCCACAATTAGTTCAGTTCTTGTCCCTGTTGGGGTACTTTGGGAGTGTTGAGACACTAAAGCACTTCCGAACATACTCATCCTCTCTTAGCTACGAAAAGTTCTTCACTGTCATACAAAAACCTCAGACCTCAATGGGTGACGACGACACTCTGCTGGCTCATACACAACAGATATTTGAGCACAGCAAGCATCAGACGCTGTATAGACTTGTGTGCCAAGACCCGTTTATCGCTTTACGGCCGGTATACCAGTACTTTCCTCTGATCATGATGATGAGTGCAACTCTGTTTGCCTCCTATGAGTGTACAGATACCTCAATTAACTCATCCGGAGTGGCAGAGGCGACTAAGCCCTCATTGATCGAACGCATATTAGGAATAACCATGTACGCTGAGCAATGCGAGCGCTCAGTGGAGCCTGTTGTTAAGAAGTGTATTATTGAAAGCGGAGCACAGTCCAACATATGTATTAAGATAATTGGTAAGGGGGCAGACCAGGCGAAGCTTACAACACAGTTCTTCTTCAGAACCACCCCATCGGCAGTGCAGAACTATGGTCGGATACTTGCTCAGATATCATCATCCACAGCCGACGGCCTTATCGTCTTCTTCCCGTCGTATCGCTTCATGGAAGACCTCATAACCCTGTGGAACATAACGTCCTCAAATATGTTTAGAGTCATAACAAACAATAAGCTTGTATTCTTCGAGACGCCAGACCCCATTGAAACAATGCATGCAGTAGCTTGTTATCGAAAGTGCTGTGACAGTGGAAGGGGAGCAGTTTTGTTTGCTATTGCGCGCGGAAAGCTATCAGAGGGAATAGACTTTAAGTACCACCATGCTCGCAGCATAATACTCATTGGTGTGCCGTACCTATACTCCGGCAGCACCCTTATCCATATGAAGCTAAACTACCTTAACGCAAAATTCGGCATAAAACCCAGCGAATACATCCACTTTGATGCAGGGCGTGTTTTGACCCAATGTATCGGCAGAGTGACAAGAAAAGATAACGATTATGCCGCTGTCATCTTGGCTGACGAGAGATTCGGAGAGTGCATCAAGTGGACTACCCGGTGGATGCAAGAAATGGTCCGTGGGAAGAACAGCCAAATAACCACACAGGACGAAGCCATCCGGACTATACGTGCCTTTTTCATCCAGCAGGCTAGAGATACAAACAGACGCATCAATGCTGATTTCTTCAATGAAAATGATGGGCCAGGTGATTTTAGCCAGTAAAGGCGGGCATGGCTCCATCGCAGAAAACTTACTCTGTGGCCCCAATTACTTTAAAAATAGAGGGGGTCTCAAAGGAGTAATCTAGCTGAATCATATCCTTGATTTCTTCTCTACAATAAGGACACTTGGCCTTGATTGCCTCTGTACAATTATGGCATGTAACGCAGTGCTTGCAGGGCAAGAAAACCATTTCACAGATAAAGTCCAAACACACCGCGCATGGCTGTATATCTATGTTGTTATTTAGGTCTTCTATCGCTTTAAGTCCGGCATCCATCAGTGGCTCTATAAAGGCTGCTTGAGGGCGCTGGGTGCTCCACTCCATTGTGATGTCTGTATCATCAGTGGTGCCACTCTTATCAGTACGATTGAGATTGGTGCTAAATCCATCAGCATTGATCGGTGAGGTGGCTGTCAAGTCCAGATCATCAAAGAGGAGCGAGAGAAAAGACTCTGTTAAGTCATTTATGGCGACAATTGTCTGGGAATCGCCAAAGAGCAGCTTGAGACTAGTCGTACTAATGTAAAAGAGAATAATCATCAACCAAAGATTTCTGCGTTGATCATCGAGATATCTCCGCGTTAACAGCAGATTTAGTAGATGATATGAATCCAGTTCTTCCTTTCGAGCCAACTCAAAGGGCGTAGTATTCTCTGAATCGACTATGCTTGCCTCTGGACCTAACACGTCAAATAGCCATGTGTTTCTCTTCATTATTGCGTGCATGAGCGCTGTTTTCCCCTTAGAATCTTGCATTCCAAGTTCGTAAGGAGCCAATCTTCTGACCACATCTTGATTGCCCAACATGGAGGCCTTCATCAATGCAGTAAGACCGTTCTTCATTGCCATTCTGGCCTCGTGGCCAAGAAGAAGGGCCGAAATGTCGTAGTGGCCTTTTTCTATGCTGAGCATAAGAGCTGTCTGCCCGTCTTTATCCTGCTTACACGCCTCTCTTGCCACCAGTAAATTTGCTGTGTCAGCCCCGCCCATGACTGATAACCACATGAGCGCCGTCCAGCCAAGCTTGTCCTGTCTGCCGGCCTCGTACTTCACAAGGATATTGGCTGCGTGGTAGTTGCGGAAGCGGCAGGCGATCATAAGAGCAGTCTCCATATTATCGTTTATCAAAGAATGCTCATGCTCAGCAAGGAGCTCGACCATTTTCACATCCCCAAATTTTGCTGCCCACATTAGTGCCGTCCACTCCATAGAGCATCGCTTGCCCTTGAACTCATGGATGTACTTTGTGACAAGAGGGTACTTAGAACAACGGATGGCCTTAAACCAATCGTCCGTCGTGATGACTGATACGGCCATTTTCCCCTAGTTAAAATTCTGCTAAGACACATCATTCACACTGCCGCTCGCCATCCTGATTGAGTAAAGGAGAAATTAGTATGGAGGCAGACTGGGCAAGGAAAATGCATGCCCAGTTATGCCCGGCGAAACACTCGTTTCCTCGTGTTGCTAGCCATTTTGTTTTCAGGTTAAAGAATTTTGCATTTATTTATGCCATGGAGTCTGCTTCCCTTCACCTCAGTCAGCTGAAGGTTCCAGCAAAAGTTCCCCCGAACAAGCGGTTGGCCAGCTCCTCAAAGATGGCCTCTGCGCATCCAGGCTCTGGCAGCAAGGATGTGGTAAAGGGGCCTGATCAACTGGAGACTACTAGAGCCATACAGCGCGAAGCATTGAAGCTGGCTATGCATAAGCAGACCCTTCTAAGGCAGATAGATCTAGCAGAGAGCATACTACAATCCGTAGACGTTTTACAGATCAAAATTGAAGGTCTCGGGAAACACGTGCTTCAGGAAGACGAGCTTTTTTCGGATTTGGAGACATTAAAGTCTGAGGCAAGTATACAGAAGGAGTCCGCGAGCATAGAGGAGCAAGTACTGAACGTACTGGAACGGCGGGTTAGCGAATATGAGACCTTAGTCCTGAAGCTGGGTGATCGCTCCAACCGTCTGGTGTCTCTCTATTACGAGGCTAAAGACCTTATCACACAATTGAGTGATAGCAATACTAATCTCATAAAAAGGCACATTGCTGAAAGCACGCAGGGCCCCGAATCGGGAATGGAGCATTGTAAGTTGGGAGACAAGCGGCCACGTCCTGATGGTAGACGGGCGATAAAGAGATCCATTAAACAGTAATAGCAGCTGCGGTGTGTTACAGTGTAAATCAGTTTAAGCATTTTCTTTAAAAAAAAATATCGAGACATGAAGAGTGCCGGCCTAGACCCCGTCGTTGCACTCAAGGACTGTCTCTGTGAAGGAGCTCATAATTATGGGAAGACGGACCTTACAGCGTTCCAGAAAGAAGCCCTTGAGCTTATCGAGCAACATTGTCTCCCGGGTTGTTATGACTTCTGCACCCTCATCGGATTTTTAGATCTTAATCCGCAGATAATGAGCGCGCTTCGGAAGCAGGTTGATGATGAAGTTCTAGATATCGACAGACGACTCAATGACAAAACTCTCACTGACATAGATATGGCACAGCTTAAACTGGCAAAGATGAAGCGATACCTTACAGCAGGATTGTGTGCAGAAGCACAGGCTGCTCTGAATGAAATCCACATCCCTTTGGTCTCCAGTGATGCCGTGTTTTCATGTTACTTGTCGTTTTTACGGCTCGCCTATTTCTACCACGATAAGGACCTCTATAGCGTTTACTTACAGAAGTGCAAAGAGATTTTAGACAACGTCAGCTATGAGAATAGGTCTATCTATGGGTTTTATTTAAGCTTTGGGTTGATCATGGGGTTCTTAGACATGAACATAGAAGATAATGATCAATATAACGCATTCACCTATAAGCAGTCCTCTGGCACAGCTCTAGATAAGTATGGGATAATGACACGCGTTGCCTCCCTTCTGCACGCAGTTGTACCAACCTACTCTGCAGAGGCCTTACTCCCCTATGAGGACTTCATTGTTGTTGCTCTGCTGATGAATCTGGTGGTGCTTCCACGGAAAGATTTTTTGGCTCTGTTGCAGACGTCCTCTGATACGCTAACTATTATCTCTAACACGCCATACCTCACAGACGCCATAGAGTGTGTGCAGCAATGCAGATACAGCGCACTAAATGAGACCCTACTGAAAATATACTCACTTTGTCGCCGCAGCTCCTTTCTCAGGATGTGTAGTGCAGCCATCACAAAGGAGTACAGAGCCCTGATGATAAAGCAGCTTCTACGGTCCTATATCAACGCTAGCATACCTCAGCTAGCAACTGCCCTAAAGATGCCCGTGGACATCCTGCAGCAGGAGATAGAGAGGCTGATTGTTACCAAGCGCCTCACTTACCGCATTGATCAGCCCACGGGCATCATGGAGGAAGTTGCTGTGGATGATTATGACAAAGCATATCTGGCATTTCTTCACTCGTCCACGCGGCTGACCAAGAGGTTGGACCATCTTAGAAAGCTGCTGTGTGAATAGTACCTTTGCTGTGAACGCCTTTGCTTTTTGGTGGCTAGTTACGCTACGCCCATCCTTTGGGGAACAGCGGGATGTGTGCCTCACACAAAGCATCAAACTCCTTGTCTACATAACGCATGAGATGGTTCTGGAGAGATTGTAGCACCTCAAGACCCTTCTTCTCCTGACTATTCTGAAGATCCGAAATGCAGGGCGTGTTTAAAAGCATGCTAGTGGCTGCAGCTTTATCTTTTAAGACAAGAAGCCGATTCTTATTTTCGTTAGGCTCATAGACATCATCTGAAGCGTCCTGGGGGAGAAACGGCTCATCAAGAATAAAAAGGCTGGGTATAGATACATCGGTATTGTTTGCGTTGCCAGTACAGTTGCTGTCTAGTAGTGTAAGGACCTGATAATGAAGATCCGCCAAAAGCCAAAGACGGAACTGCTTACGGAGCTGTACAAACTGCTCGAGGATAGCAGTAAGGTCTGCATGCTTCCTGCAAGTTTGGTCTGCAAACAATGGCACGTTGGAAAGGAGGACCTGCGTTGGCTCATTGGGATACCCCTTAGCTGAACCAATACTGGGGGTGTCTATTTCGTGGGTCAACGGAAAACGAGCTCTGAAGAGATGCTTGGCATAGGACTCGCCCCTGCGGAGCAAAAGATAGTATAGGTCTACCACTTCAACTACACAGAGATCGTCATCTAAGCACTCGGCAGACAGAAAGCCAACAAGCTCCATCGTCTGACCAGGAAGAGAGATGTACGAAGAGGATGTCACATCTCGCCGCCAGGCGCGGTATGCTGCAATAACTTGTGAATCTAAGACACTGTGTGTTTGCCCAGCTGGCATGTCTTCCTCCGCAGTAAAGGGGTAGTAAGCAACATATGCAGATATCAGCGTGGAGAGCGTGGGTTGGTCAGTGAGACAGGAGGATAACGTTGACGTACCAGGAGCACAAAGGGCCTGGGTGTCAATCTGTGGATCGTTAATGAGGAGCCTATTGGGCCCAACTCCCTTTGCGCGCACAGATGCTGCCTTGAGGGCCCTCCGTGTTGTGAGGGGCAAGGCGGTGAAGAAGTCTAATTGTAGGGTAGGGTCAGTTATTTCACCATATTCTGGATATATACGCAAAAGTTCCTTATGAATAAAGCTGTCAGAATTCATGGGACTTTAAGCCCACTTTAAGATCTGGAATTTTAAATTTGTTTGTCATGACCACCCCGGACGATGGATCCACCGCAAGAGAGAACACAAGCTCAGGGGTTTCGTGTAGTCTGACAGACTATATACAAAAGCATAATGTGTATACCACTCTGCAGCTCGCAATGCAGTCGCTCATTAAGTATCAACCTAAAAGCCCGCTAAAATATCTGAGTAGCTACTTCGGTGATCGCAAGAAGAACCTGTTTAAGCTGGTACTTTTGGGGGCCCCCGGAGCCGGCAAGGGTACACAAGCAAAACATCTTGTTTCCAAATATTCCTTGAAGCACATCTCTCCGGGGAATTTGCTTCGAGAGGAGATGAACCGTAATTCTCCCATCACTGCTCAAATAAAGGATTACGTATCCAAGGGCCAACTAGTGCCTGACAGCATAGTTATTAAACTCATCGAAAATCACATAGCAACCATCGGTGACTCCAATTGGCTTTTGGATGGATTTCCCCGGTCTGAGTCTCAAGCTGCGGCGCTCAGGGCATCTCCTGATCTCTTCCCTACCCATATTGTAGAGCTTAAGGTTGATCAGGAGGCAGTGGTCCAGCGTTTAGGTGGCAGGCGCTTTGACCCCATCACAGGGAACACCTATCACATTATATATGACCCCCCACCACCGGATATTGCTGATCGTGTGGTGGTGAGGACCGACGACAGAGAAGATGTCATTCGTGAGCGATTTAGGGTTTATGCTGAGAATAAAGACTTGGTTGATAAGGTCTTCAATCACTCAGTAGTCAGTATAAACTGTGAGGGGCAGACGATTGATGAAGTGTCTCTTCAACTGGATAGGGTACTTTCAATGCCGAGCACGATACACCCATCCATTATTATGCCTGAAAGAAATAAGAAGTAAATGGTTGCTCTTTGAGATCTAGAATTTGTAGTCCCTGTAGACCTAATCAGTCTCTGCGCTCTGCTTGCCAAAAGGACAAAGTAGATATCATCAATAAAAAGTAATTTAAATTCATTTTTAGCATTTTTTTGGAATAACAGTGATGTTCCAAGGTGAACTTGAGACTAAACTGCCCGGAACTGGGGGCGCAGGTGGGGCGTTAGCATTTGCTAACGAAGCAACGAAGCCAATACTACAAGATGCCCCCCAACAAATATCCATTACTAAGGAGCGCTCCCAGAAGCCTCGGGATAACGTCAAGTCTACTCAATTCACTCTTTCTCCTCAGAATAAAAGTGACTGCACTTGGAGCTTTACCACCGAGGCTGCACAAGACCCAACACAGGATCCGCCCCCAGGGAGTCAGAAAGTGCGGGAGTCCTTTCAAGGAGCCCGGCATATGCAAGGCATGCCTCAGGGAAGCCAGCAGAATGTGTCGCTCTTTAGCAGTGCACCGCAGGACAACCTTTCTTTTCCAAACTCCGCTCTTCCGATGATTTCGATGGAAATAGGCGGCAATTCAGAACTTATTAATGAGTCTACTCCCAATCAAGATGTTACTGCGCCCCAGGCGGCGATGGAGCCTGACCAGCAACAGGCGATAAAAGACATGGACGCACAGCTTCCAGATGCAGCTGAACAAGAGACACAGCCCGGTATTAATTCCTCTCAGAGCGACAATGTTGCTAGTCAGTCGGCACATCAGCCTATTGACGCTCCGCTGAAGACTAATGTTATTGAAAACGTAGCCCCCCTACCAGAGAAGGGTCCTGAGCTGCCTGACCCCCCTGCTACTCCATCAGAGAATAAACCCAGCGACAACAAGCCCGGGAAAGAGGGTCACAAGTCAAAGGAGACCAGTGGCGGCTGGGTGGACAATAAGCCCAACAGGAAAAATAGGTATCACAAGAAGGAGACTGAGGCTGTCCGCCCCTCGGTACCGGCTCCTCCCCAACAATCATCGTTAGTTCAAAGTCAGAAACCCTTACCAGAGACTGCTGCTCCAAAAGACGAGGAAGCTCCAGCGGCTTTGCCAGAGCGTACAGCAGAGATCTTTCCTGCTGTTTCTGTGGAGACTTTGGCCCCGCAGGCCGAACCCGAGCCTGAACCTGAGTCTAGCACAGCAGCACATGATTCCAAGCCTCCAGTGTACAATGCCCGAAAGCACCATGAAGAGAAGGCGAAAATAGTGGATTACAAGAAGCTGACAAGCCCAGGAGAACGTCGGGCTCCTCAGTCAGACTTCATGACGCATTTGCTTTCTCTTCTGGAGAGTCGCAAAGAGCTTTCTTCCTTCCAGTGCAGGGCGAGTGGCATAGAGCTGAACTACAAGGATGTTCTCGTTCGCCTGGACTCAGCGGTTGCAGATCCTGTCGTGCACAACACAAGAAAGCAACTTTCAACCGCTATGTTGCACTATTTCGACGTGGCCAGGGCCGCTGACATTGAGAAGTACCTCACCAACGAACGGGCAGGAGATATGCCCCAGATTGTGAAGCTTATGATCAAGGGCGACGAAACCAACTTTGAACGCACGACTCTCCTTTCTATCCGTGATAAGCTGAACAAGATCACCAAGGAAACTGTCAAGCAGGTGCATGCAGATGTTGTCAAAATGATACAAGAGATACCGAACTTGGAAAATCAATACCAAAAGATATTCCTCTTTAAGGCGATCTTCGACGAGATCATAGACAAGGCCTGTATGGAGCCTAATTTCGTCGATGTGTACACTGACCTTCTCTTTGCCCTTCTCGATAACCCGCGTGGCCGCACTGTTCAAGGAGACAAGGACACACCAGCTGGAAAGGATGGCGAGCTCAGCATAGCGACTGGTTTCTTGGAGGTTCTCCGTATCTTCGCAGACCTTAAAGACGACACCATGTTTCCCGACATGAGGGGCTTTAGAGAGATGGTTCAAAAGAACAAGGACAAGCTTGGAGACGACAAGCCACTCCGCGGGTTCACGGTGGGTTTCTTCCGGGATTATATGTTGCGAGGAAACATGGCTGAGGAGATTAAAACAGGCCAGACACACAACCCAGTGTTTAATGTTGAAGACACTGATACTGACGAGGTCAGGAGCATTAAGGAGCAGAACAAGCTCGTGCATCTTTCCAATAATGTTAAGTTCCTCGCGTCCATCTTTACCAAAGACTTACTTGATTTTTACCGCAAAGAGCGGCGACAGCAGAAGCGCATGAGTGAGAAGACAGGAAGCTCCTCAGCCTCCATTACAAAGAAGACACCAACAAACATGCTTCTTCCTATAGCGCAGTTTGTGACACTGATATCCTTCCTGTTGCGGAGACAGTTTGACAAGACTATCGACAATTACTATACACAGACTAAGAATAAAGGATCCAGCGACGATATTTCTCGTGCAAAAGAGGAAATGAGGCGCGGGTTTCCAGATAGAGGGTCTATCACTATTGACGACGTTGACCGTAAAACTTCTGCATATAAGAGCACTATTGCTCGGCTTCAGGCGCTGACAGAGCCGCAGTATAAGACTGCCTGGAGCTCAGAATACATGGATCTTGTTATCATAATTCTCCGGACAGGCGGGCTGGCAATGGATAACTATGACCACTCGACATACGAGTACACTCTTTACGTGTACTGTATGGATGTCCTGCAACTCCTTCTAGAAAAACAAGTAGTTGAGGTGCGCATTCAGGTTCTTCTCACAGAGATTCTTGAGGACAGGAGTGGTGGATGGAAGAGCATGCAAAAGACGCTCAACTATGAAGCTGGTCCGGTGAAGCCCTCTAGACCAGAGCGGGAACCCGATGATGATACGCCTGCTGCGGTCCGTGAGAACGGGCTTCGATATACAATAGCCTTCAACCTCGGTTTTCTCAATGCAAACATTAGCAACAAGGAGGTCGACCTTTTCTCTGACGGGATGATGGAGAAGTGGTGTAGACAGGTCAAGCTTACGGCGCGCCGCATGGTCTTTGACGGCTCCATTAAGATCATGTATGACGAGCTGCCCAATCTCTTCCCTTCTCGTAGCGAAGGCGAGATAGTAGATCTTTACAGGGCATTTGCCAGCGGTCTTGTCAGTGCGTACTCCACTACGACGAAGGATAACCAACAGACAAACAAGGACGTGGTCTCGACGTTGGCAAGTCTATTCATAAGCGATAAGATACGGTTCCCCTGTCTGTTTCCATCTGCAACGCGGGTGGATCCAAGCGATCCTAGAAGGGGGTATGAGGGCAGCATAGAGCCAAAGGAGTACCAGCTAGCCGTCGAGGTCATGCAGCACTGCATCGAGAGAGCCATTCAAGGGACAATAGCGGACAACGAGTTTGACTTTTCCGAGAGTGAAATGGCTCTCCTCAGAGCAGAGTACACAGTAGAAAATAACTATAAACCAGAAAAGGCTTCAAATAGGCGGGAGAAGGTTAATGTCATGTTGACCTCGACTAGAAAGACACCATCTAAAGCTGTGCTGGATCTATTAAAGCAGAGGAAGTGCGGTCTTTTCGGCGAGCCCGACATTGAAGGCCACGAGGAAGAGGCTGTAGACTTCCTCGAACAGAGTGCCCTGGACACCGTCGCAGAGATCATCTTCCGTACAAAATATCCAATGATTAAATACGAAAACATTGCCACTGGATGTATGCTTTATGACAAGCTGCTTGGGCTGGCAAAAGGGGGCAAGCCTGTTGTCAGAGAGTTTCACACACAAACAAGCATGCCGCACCTCGAGAAGTTCCTGGTCCACGATCTGCAGCTTCCCACAAGCATATGCTTCCTGGTCTGTGATGAAATCAGCAGGGACCCGAGCTTTATGCAGAAGTCCATGAGTAAGCCATCAAACGAGAACCCCCTCCTGATAGGTAAGATGGGCCATATACTTCTTGACCGTCTGTTCGCGGATTTCTGTGAAAGGCTGGATAAGGCCAATAAGACTTCCCCACTTACACTTGCAGAGTCCCTTGCGGCCCAGCCCGTTCTGCGTGTCAGGCGGGTGATTATAGAGTCCATGAAGAACGCACTTAAAAAGGCAGCGGATCAGAACAAGGCGATGAAGCTGATGATCGCTGCCGTCGTTTCTAAGGATCTCATGAAGTTGGAGGACTTTAAGGAGATGGTGAAAGCAGATAAGGCTAAGCGTTACGGAAAGACATTTGCAGGGCTTGAAGAAGCCTCCCAGTGGGTTGAGACTGCAGATGAAAGTGCCGTCACGAAGGTTCTTCAGCCAAATATAGAACTTAAATCTACTACAAAGGAAATGAACTCGGACAAAGTTCCTAAGGAGGGTACCAGTGGATTTGAGAGACCTCAGCACCATCGGGGCTCGGATTATCACAACAAGAGGGATAGACAGGCTACCGGCGACCGATTCAATAGATCGAGCTTTGACCGTGGCAGCGGTCACGGCAACGGACGCCATCATAACAACAACAATAACAATAGTAACAACAATAGTAAGTATGGAGGGCCGAAGTGACCATATGGATTTACCGATACCCGAACTCTTAGTAAATTCACTGGAAAGAGCTTACAGCGCGTCAAATGCTGCAGTGATCTGGGCGTGGAGTTTGTCTAACTCGGTGACGCCGTACTCGATACCGTTAGTATTAGTGTCTATAAACTTCATCCTATAAAGAGCTGTAATGAGCTTTTCCAGGCTGTTCTTAAGCTCTTGATAGCTGTGTCCCTGCCCCAGAGCCGTCTTACAGGACTCGTAGTAATGAACAATGTTACGAAGCATCAGATCAGTCTTTATAAACGGGCAGAACTTATCGTACACCGTGTAGGAGTTCTGCTGCAAAAAGCCCTCTTGAATTAGGTTACAGACGTCGAGAATAAGCTTTTCGCTATCATCCAAGCTATCATAGCCAACGAGCTGCGCGGTTTCCTGGATGGCCACCTCGTTTTGCAGAAGAGTCTTCGCCTTTTCCTTATTGGTCAAGAAGCTGATGTCTCTAGCGTTGTACCACGGCGCAAGAGTCTCAGTACATCTGGAATAGCTAATGAGCCAATCGACGGATGGAAAGTGCTTGCGCTTCGCCAGGTTCTTGCTGAGTCCCCAGAAAACTTGGACTATAGCCAGTGTACTGACGGCGACTGCATCAGAAAGATCTCCTGCAGCCGGGGAAACAGCACCTATCACCGACACAGAGCCGATACGCTGGCCGGGTTGCAGGAGACCTTGTTCGGTTGACGAGATAGCTCCAGACGTAGGATCAAGGATATTCTCTGGGCTCCACGCACCATTGGAATTCCCCAGACAAATGACTCGTCCAGCACGCTCATAGAAGTGGCTAAGCTTAGAGGTGAGATCAGCAGGATAGCCGCCTTCTCCCGGAATACCTCCCAAGCGCCCGCTGATCTCTCGCAGTGCCTCAGCCCAGCGGGAAGTAGAGTCGGCCAGAAGAGTGACGTTGTACCCTTGGTCACGGAAGAACTCAGAAATCGTGATTCCTGTGTAGATGCTAGCCTCACGGGCTGCAACGGGCATATTAGACGTATTCGCGACAAGCACAGTGCGGCTGAAAATGTCGGATACAACCGTTTTAATCTCTTGCTGTCCAGATGGCCCGATAACGCGCTTCTTAGCCTCGAATGTCATTTCGGGGAAATCTGTGAGGATCTCAGCCATTTCATTACCGCGCTCTCCACAGCCAATGTAGACAATGACATCTGTGTTACCATACTTGCTGATGGATTGACTCACGACAGTCTTCCCACACCCAAAACCTCCTGGGATCGCTGCGGTGGCTCCTATTGCAAGGGGAAAGAGTCCATCCAACGTTCTCTGGCCTGTTATCAAGGGATTTATGCACGGCAGCTTCTTAAAGACCTTCTTAGGCGAACGAACAGGATGGTAGTGGGCCAGGCCGTAGTAATACCTTTGTCCGGCGTATTCCAGGACCAAGATCTTTTCTTCGTCTTTGACTGTGTATGCGTCGGTAGCCGCAGGCGCTATTTTAACAACCTTTCCGCCTGGAATGTTCGCTTTCTCATTTGTAGCCTCGTTGAATCCATACTCTGGTAGCATTATCTTGCACTCCAGAAGATCGTTCTCTGGAACAATGCCAAAGATGTCACCCACAGATAGGAGATCCCCCAACTTGACAAGCGGTCTGAACGTCCATCTCCTCTCTAGATCCAAGGCTGGCGCAGAAATTCCTCGCGGGATGAAGTGGGAGTTAGTAATCTGTGCGATCTTCTCTAAGGGGCGCTGGATTCCATCGTAAATAGACGAAAGTAAACCGGGACCAAGATGGACAGAAAGTAGGCGTCCGGATTTGTAGACGACGTCGTTAACTTCTAGCCCAGAGGTATCTTCATAGACCTGGATAACAGCCGAATCCCCCTTGAGTTGGATGATTTCCCCAATCAAACGGGCTTTTCCCACATAGCAAACCTCGAACATGAAGCACCCGGTCATATTAGTTGCTGTGACGACCGGACCTGCAATGGACTGGATCAGTCCATTAGATGTCGTCTCGCTTGTAACCATTTCAAATTTTAAAAGAAAACGGCGTTTTTTGAAATAGATTTATTTAGAGACATAACATCCACGGCGTTGGGCGTAGCACAGAGGAGTAGGTACGGCATTCTATGAACTCACGGAGTTTCGGAGACTGTGCAGAGACTAACCTAGATGATGAGCTTAACAGCCTAGAGGAGGCCCATTGTATAGCGGAGACCGTCGTCGTCCCAGGCCTCCTGGGATACATCTCCATCGGAAAGGACAATCCCCTTTGTATAAAGAAATCCCCACGTGACCCGGATCTCCTTGCAGTGGGAGGTCTTGATGACTCAATTTACTTTGTTGAAGCAAAGGGCTCGGTAGGAGACTTTGAGGTGCCCATGGCTCTTCGGGCGACATTCGAGGGGGTGCACTCGGACTCTGTCACATCCTTAGTGTTCTCCCACGACGGTAGGTATCTGTTTTCTGCAGGTATGGACGGAATAGTTAACTGCTTTGACGTGAAAGAAGAGCGACTTATCAGCTATGTAGAGGGTCCTGCCTCGATAGAGTGGATGGAGCTGCACCGAAAGGGCAACGTATTGCTTGTGGGGGCGGAGGACGGCAACTCGTGGATATTCGATTTCTCTAAGGACCCAAGGAAGCCAGAAACATTTGCTGTCTTCACAGGTCACACGGGTGCAGTCACGTGCGGTGGATTCAGCATAAACGCAAAGCGAGTCATCACAGGCTCCCAAGACGGTACCATACGGATGTACGATCCTCTCACAAGAGACTGCCTTTCAAAGGTACAGTTACCTTCGCCTGTGACATGTCTCAAGGTCAGCAAGACCCTTACACAGGGCATGACAGCTCAGCAAGCTAGCGCTAGCAAGACCACAGTGATTTTTGCTGGCTGCGACGATGGATCGTTTCATGTAGTGTCTTCTACTGACAAGGTGCTCATGCTAGTGTCTTCTAGTTCAACCCATAAGGGGTCCATCGAGTTCATACACGTATGCGCAGACAGATATGTAATCATTGGAGGAACGGATGGCCTGATTTCGTTGCTAGATGGTGCCATGAATTTCTCATCCAGATTTACCTACCAAGCAGAGGCAGCGTGCACCCAGGCCCTCATTACCACAAGTGCAGGTGAGACAGGGAAAGACATGATAGCGTACATAGGCTTCTCCAATGGAACGTGGGGTTCGTTCAATCTTCTATCTGGGGAGCACCTCCTCATGGTAGATTGCTTTCCAGCAGACCTTTGCGTCCAAAGCGATGAGAATAGACCTATTCTAGCGATGGAGCTTTTGCGGAATGATAAATTAGTTGTTTCGGGGGACAAGTCGTTGAGTGTCTGGAGCGGTAAGAGGTCATCATATCTTGAGCAAGAGAATGACGTGAGTACCCACGACACTGATGCCGACTCCGAAAGCTCTGGAGAACTGGGTGACCGTGCGCTTGGTCAATTGGGTAAACTATAGCTGTCCACTTAACTTCTGTTTTCGGCCTCGAGACGCGAGTTAAGATCGCAAGCTGTGCTATCCATGCAGCTTTAGTAGTGCCTCACGCTTTGCCACACGTGAGAGGTCTCCATAACCACCCTTGACAATCTCCTGGCTCAGACGCCGACTTTCGCGGACCTCTGAGAGACTGTAAGGGTCAATCGCTCCTTCACCCACAACGACGATAGGGTTTGGCTTGAAGGATGACTTCTCCTCCCTCTTGTCGGACCGTTTGATGAGTTCCTTGGTTATAGAGCGATCACGGTCCTTCTTAGATCCCAGCTTGGAGGAAGAGCCAGTGATCACGCAGTGACAAGTGCGACAGACCCCTGCACTGTTCAAAATCAACCATGGGCGGTGACAGATCGCGCATTGGTGCATACAATTCTTAACATATTTTCCTTGCCGGACACGCCCCAAACAGATGGAGCAGAAGTCCATATTTTGTGACTTCTGCTTCCGTACCTCAGACGAGTAACAGAAGGGCGTGCAGTAGTTGCCGGTGGTTGCCAAGTAAGCCTTTACCTCTCCGCAGGTGGTGCATATCTCATTGCAGCAACCAAAGGGAGCCAGTGGCTGGCAATAGGGCTTGCACCTATCTGGATTATGGTGTTTGTACTGATGTTCCTTTGGTTGCATTGCGTCCAGCTGTCCGATGTGGGGGAGGGTCAAAAGCTGAATTGCTAAGCGCGTTGGGCTGCATGTTACGACTGACCGTATTGGGAAAATAGCACTGTTATCTGTAATGACGTGGGATAGAGTTGCGGTGACGGGTAGATCAGCGTGATCGGCGTCCTGAATACCAAAGATTGAAACATGTTCTGTAAACAAAAGGGAATATTCGAATTCCAGCTGACGACAATACTCATCTACAGTGATGCCGGACCTTGCTCTAGATATGAAGAAGTAGTTGTCGTCGAAATAGACGTGTAACTCAAAAACGTCTGCCATGAAAAAGAGTGTTGACCGAATTTTTTGATTTATAATTATTACATTCACTTTTCTGGATGGAGGATTAACAATTATTGATTTTATGGAAATCGAATTCGCTAGTCTCCTTGACATCTAACTTTGGCTTGTCAGGCAAGAGAACGCCTGTGTCTACAAGTTTAGTGAGAAGAGCGTTTTTGGCATAGACATTAATATTTATATCATCACCGTAGAACAAAACTTGCAGAGAATCGCTGAGAGCAGTGACTACTTCCTTCGTGTTTAAAATCTTCTCAGACTGAATAGGTACAAATGTGCATAGCTCGCTGCAACGCTGATCCTTCGGCTTTTCTTTTAGAATGTTAAGCTGGACAATACAATATTCTGTTGTGAGCGCTCTTCCGGGCAGGTCATCAAGAGCCTTCAGGGCGTAGTTCTTTATCTCCTCGTCCACCAAGCTCATTTCGCAGCTTTCTAACAAAAATGTCAGGACTGTAAAATCGGGGGCCAGGAGGCCTCTAGATGCTACGGTTGCAGTAGAGGGGACGTAGTCTGCGCAGAGAGACACGTTTATTGTGAAATTATCTGCACTAAAGAATGAGTTGAGCAAAGGATAATTCTCCTCGAAGTCTAAGGATGCGACGTATCCTCCCACAACTGTGTCTTGCAGCTCCTCCTCAGCGTACTTCTTTATCAAAGCCATAAAATTCTCAATGAGTCGTTTCTTTTTGGTTATGGTACAGTATATACCAAATAGATATGCAATACCGTGAAGCAAGTAATCTTCATCAATATCGTCACCTCTGAGAGCTCGTAGAATTCCAACCGTAACATCTCTCTCCGCATACGCAGAATGCTCGTCTATTGCAGAATTGTGAATAGATAGAAGAGTAAGCGCAGCCTGTGGAAGACCGGTGGCTAGCCCATCCATTAATACCAGGTCGCCTTCGTCGTCAGTGCTCTCCTCCATAGCATTCCTCGTCCTTCCTTCACTGTCCTCTGTGTTATCCAGACCAAAGAGGATGGCATGAAGCTTTTGGCGAGAAAGATCATTAACGTTCTCCTTTGAGATCATCCTAAGAGAAGCATCATCTTCGGCCCCCTCACTGCCTGTATCTTCCTCCTCAATCCTTTCTTTTGTGTGATCACAAAACGATGTTTCTGGCATTAGGAATCCAGAAACGTTCTTGATGATCATCTCGGATACCTCTATCTCATCTGTAGCTCCAGCTGCTGTGGCGATGGTGCCGGCCAAGCAGAGAATGGCGTCCTTAAGTATAACAACTGGTACCACTAAGATTTTAAGAAAACCAATGACCGCTGGAACAGCCGCTCTGGCTGATTCTGCAAGGTCCTCGTCATATATGTTAAAGCTGTACACTAATACGTATAGTGCCATTAGCACGAAGTTATAAAGAGGGGCAATACGCTCTCTGATGGCGTGAACGTTCTCAGAATAATCCCCAGAGTCATCAGAAAGAATAGCATAAAGAACACTATAGAGCTTTCCCACAATACGTGCAGACCTAGAAGCTAACGATTGAACCGTGATGGTGTAGGTAAGCAGCAAGAATACACCCCTTAGCAAGGTGTAGATCTCCACGGGCACGTCGACGACAACTGCAGTAGCCGCGACTGGTGCACGCTTTACAATGAGAGGTGACTTTCGTGGACTGGCTCGATATTGTGAGATGATCGGAAGGATGATATCGAGGAGTGGCTCTAACATGTTAACAGCCGAGATTCTAGGATAGTCGTTCATAGGAGACGAAGTGTCTCGTACCGTATGCTCAATTACACAGAAGACAATCTTGAGAAACGCTAAAAGATCGGGAACGTCTAACCTCTTTGATGCCAGACTAATGAAGTCATACCCTGGATTTGAAGATCCACTACCACTACCTACCAGGCTAGCCTGTGGACTTGTCTGATAGGTAAGACCATTGAGTAGCACTTGTGACGGGCAATAATTAACCAGCTTTGAGTCCTTTATAGTATTTAGCTTCGCTATATAATCCTTATGCTCGCTGAAAAGGGTGTACATGGCCTTAAACCCTGCTTCCTTGATGTCTGCATTATCTACCGCTATCCGAGACATTATACACCACAGATACCCCAGTATAAACGTTGGCTCATGGGCAGCGGGGATTCCAAGGAGTGCCTTTTTGGCTGAAACAGCAATGGGAAGAGAGGAGTGGTTTGAAAGTAAGTACAGCTGCGCCTCAACTATTTGACCCATGACATATTCAGGCACGTGACGGAAAATCTCCAAGGCGCATAGTATACCTCCATCTATACAGTGCATCGCAGTGCTGCCGAGAAGACGCTTCATAAGAGAGAAAGAGTAGACAAGCTTCGTGCTATGCCCATGATATTCCATCATGACAAGTCCCTTGATGAGAGCCCCTTGATAAATCCCGGAGAGGTGCTTTTCCGTGGGGAAGTCCACGGACATGGAACGATACAGCTCAATGAAATAGCGGTAATAGTCTGCATAGTCATGCTTCCTGATGGAATCAGCCATGGATACCCGAAGCTCTGCGGCATGGGTGAGCATACAGCAATACGCATGAGTATAGAGATCAAACGCATCACAGACCAAATTACCGCCCATGAAAAGACGTGCATCCTTTAGTAAATCTAAATATTGTCTCTGTAAAATCACTGAATTCAAGTACAGATATAATGACAGGGCTTCTGCCGCCGATTTCCGGCAGCGCACATCAGTGTATGCGACAACCTTCTCCAAAAGCCAAGAAATTGCTACAGAAGCAGTAACTGTACCACCAAGATATTTCTTATCCTTCTCTTCGCGATTTGGAAGAGATCTTACAGGTATGTTCAATATTGCAGCTGCAAGGGGATTGGAAATGAGGGCTTTTAAATACTTAGTCAGAGCTTTGGCCACGTGCCAGTAAAGGTAGTCCTTGCTAGCATTTGTGATCTTGTGCTGGGGATCGAAGGACAAGATAAGGATGTTGAGTCCAACCTTAGTAGCATCGCGAGGGGCGTGTGCAAGAAAGTAGCCAGCATACGTAACACTTCCTTCAATGAGGTGAGCAGACACAGAGCCATCCTTCTGCTCCAGTTCAGCAACAAGATGATTGGCAACACTAACTTGCTGCTCATAGCGAAGACTCATAAGCGCAAGAGAGCCAATGTCACGAAGCTCTCGCTTTTCATCATGCAAAAAGGTCAAAAGCAGATCAGCAAAACGGCGGAGCGCCTCGTGGTCAAGTTCGTTTTCATTAGCAACATGAATAAGAGTACTGGCCGCCGTCAGTCTACGTATCCAGTTGGGGATAGTCAGGAGCTCCTCAAGAAGAGAGCAAATAGGTACCAAACAAGGGCCCAAAGGAAAGCCGGACTTCACAACCTGAAACACAGCCTCTATCAGCGAGGTCGTGTCCTCGCTTAAAACCAACGTTTCCTTCGAAGACTGTGTAGAAAGGTGTGACCTAAGTGCCTCGACACGCTCCAATAAAACCTCGGCAGCTTGCGCTCTTGTTCCTGTCATGCTCAAATCTTAAAAATGTTTGAAAGCGAGAGAACCGGACTCTTCTATAGGACAGCGCATCAAGAGCGTTAAAAAGAACTCCAGCCATAAACATAGGCCACCATTGGCTAGGTTTTCCGGAGTCGTTATCTCTTCCTGCGGCCTGTACAATGTCTTTAATTTAAAAAACAATTTGCGAGATGACCGATCTCCGTATAGCAGGGAAATATCAACTTCACTATCGCATCGGTCGAGGAGCATTCGGTGAGCTCTACCGCGGTGTTAATCTGGCAACAGGAGAAGATGTTGCCATCAAACTAGAGCCAATTGATGCCAAGCCGCCGCAGTTGCTCTATGAATCGAAGCTTTATAAGATCCTCGTGGGTGGAGTTGGAATACCGTATATTTACCATTATGCTCCAGAGGGAGAATACAATGTACTGGTCATGGATTTGCTGGGTCCCTCCTTGGAGGATCTCTTCACAGCTTGCAATAGGCACTTTTCACTCAAAACTGTGCTCATGCTAGCAGACCAGATGATCACCAGAGTCGAATTTCTCCACCTCAAGAATTTCCTGCACAGAGATATTAAGCCTGATAACTTCCTCATAGGTCTTGGGAGGCGCAAGACAACGGTCTACATTATAGACTTTGGTTTAGCAAAGCGCTACATGGTAGGAAACACGCATATTCCGTATCGAGAGCATAAGAGCCTCACGGGAACCGCCAGATACTGTTCTATAAACACCCACCTTGGCCTGGAGCAATCGCGCAGAGACGATTTGGAGGCGTTGGCGTATGTCTTCCTTTACTTCCTACGCGGTTTCTTACCTTGGCAAGGCCTCAAGGCCAACACAAAGCGCCAAAAGTATGAGAAAATTCTAGAGAAAAAGCTCTCTAGCCCCATCGAGTCCCTCACCCGAGGTCAGCCAACAGAGTTTGCCGCGTACCTGCACTACACGCGCGCTCTCAGGTTTGATGATAGGCCTGACTATGCGTATTTGAGGAAGATCTTCCGCGAGCTATTTGTACGCGAAGGATTTTCTTACGATTACGTATTTGATTGGACACTTCTAGGAATAGACGTCGATAAGTACCACGAAAACAAATTGCGTGGAAAGGAGCTCAATCCCAACGCTGACGGGAAGAAGAAGGGGTCTGATTCTGGAGCCGAAAATGGCGACGATGATGCCGACGACAAGGATGACAAGGACGACAAGGGAGAAAAGAAAAAGAAGGACAAAGACAAGGATGATGATGATTCAGAGGATGGCGCAAAGAGGTCAGAGCGACGCAGTCGTCGTGGCAGCATGCGCGGAGAAGACCATAGTACTAAGGATGAAAAGCGAAAGAAGACGGACTCCCATCGTAACTCTAAGAGATTTGGCGGAGACTTTCATTTCTAAAGCACTTTTACGCCCCTTTGCTGGCCCTAGGTGAGTAAATTCTGGGTAAAAATTTCAGTGTGATTGTTTCCATCAAGTTAAGTGCAGGCAAATACAAGAAATGAGTGAAAGTTTACGGCCACCGTTGACGTACTATCCCATGCGACAGGTTTTATCTGTCAAAACACCCCATATGAAGATGTTTACTCATGGACTTCAGGACGGGCTTAAGTTGGAATACTTCCAGGTTGGGCTGGGCAAAGAAACATATGCAGACCGAGATGTGGAGCGTAAGGCAGTTGGGCTTAGCAAGCTTCCCATTATCTTTACCAGCCCGTGTGGATCTAATAGGCTCCGATTTGTTACAGAACAAAAACGAGCAGCCTTACTATCAGCTTGTCAGCGCACTCGGATACGAGCTGTGCACCATCCATAAATTTACATCTGTGCTTGAATTATGAGGGATTGCATTACTTTGATCATTTTGTTTTCCAGCTAATTTATGCAGATTGCGGTATGTTGCAGTGTACGTATGCATAGACTAGTTAATAGTCTAGTCTAATGACGCAAATTGTATATGTAAATATATGAATCGTCTACAAGTAAAACTCTAATTGAAGCGTGAATAGCTAAGACGAAATCTCGTCCAGAATTAGACCTAGCACTGCAGATGAAATATTTAATGTAGCCTTTCAACCTATGTGAGCAGGCGCGTTGCGATAAGCCATCCCGTGGGCCGAAGTCTACGATGCAGCTCGGACCGCCCGCGGAGAGGCTGTCCCCCTGCCCAAAAGCATGTCCGCGGCGTCTGGGCTGGGACTGGAGCCTTGGGGAGGCACGCAGCAGCCAGGGTCGGCAGCATGCTCAGCAAGGATGCCTTCAGTGTTATCTACTCTCTCAGGAGAGGCCCCCACCTCACCGTGGAGGAGATTCAGCTCGGTGGCCTGGACAAGAACAGTGCAGATGCCATCAGACTAGAGCTGACCGCCCTTCTCGACCTCTCCCATCCAGGGGTCCTCAAGTATCATCAAGTGATTGAAGACGAGGGCCTCATCTACGTCGTCACGGACCGCCACAGCAGGACTCTTGACAACCTCCTCGCCGAGCACAAGCGAAGGAAGAACCTCGTCCCTATCGCTATGATCCTCTCCGCCATGAAGCAGGTCGCTGCCGCCCTCGCCTACCTCCACGGCGTCAATGGGGCAAACAATAGGGGGCTTGTCCACTGTGACCTCAGGCCTGCCAACATATTTATCAGCGCAGACGGAGAGCGCTTCATCATCGCTGGCCTCGGCCTCTGCAAGGACGCCCTGTGGAGTGAGAGCACTCTCATGGGAGTGGCAGTATACATGGCCCCCGAGGTGCTCCTCCGTAATGAGTCCAGCCCCGCCTCCGACGTGTGGAGCCTCGGGGTCATCCTCTACGAGCTTACTACTCTGAGGAGGCTGGACTTCCTGGGGGGCAAGGAGCCAGCAGAGGTCTTCGTGACGGGTGGAGGCCGGACCTGAGCGATGTCACTGATGGCTTCATGCAGAATGTTCTGGAGAGGATATTCGTGCTGGAGCCAGAGAGGAGGCCGACGGCCAGGGAGCTGCACGAGACGCTCGCTACATTCGACATCCCAGTTAGTGAGCTGGGGGGTCAGTGCGTGATGCTGAGGTACAAGTGCGGCGCCTTGGAGACTACTCTGAACAGTGCTAACGCCAGGATTACACTTCTGGAGGAGGATGCCAAGACCAAGCTGGACAGGATTACTACTCTTGAGGCGGCCCTCGACGCCAGGTCTGCTGAGACTGCCTCTCTTAAGGGCACTCTCGAGGATCAGGGTAAAGGGCATCTGGCCACGTGAAGGCTAGAGGCCAAGGTCATGCAGCTTAGTGACAGGATGGAGCGGCCGACCCCTGCAGTCTTCCTCAGGCTGATGCGCGCTGCACACAAACAACACAGAGACCGTCCGGACACTACTTGAAGAGGGATTGGCATCAGCAAACGTGACGAGTAGGGGGTGACGGCCTCATGCACGCGCCCACGGGAACCGCCCCAGGGTGGCCCGGATCCCCGCCCCGCAGAGCACGAGAGGGAGGGCGCCGACGGCCGCAGGGCCCTGCTGCTCGCTGCGCAGGCGGGGAACAGGGACGTCGCAGAGCTCCTCGCGGAGGGGCGGCCCCAGCCGGTGAGCCAGAGGCCGACAGCTGCCGCCGCGACAGGTGGGAGCATTGCTGAAAAGGGCTGCGGAGGCCCGCGCCCACCAGGATGCCCAGGACTTGAGTGAGACGCCCGCAGCCAGGGCTGGGCATGGCCGGCGGGTGGAGTGAATCATCACGCTTGATTAAATCTCCGTGCATTGGGGGCGGGGAGCAGCAAAGGGCACTCTGCAGTGAATTGGGTTGCTAAGGCAGGCCAGGCCTTCAAAGGTGTCTAACTGCATACGTTCTTCTTCAGTAAGCAGGCTGTCCGTTTGGGCCCGGTACCAGCAGAAGACAAACATGGCCGCATCGTGCCTCAGGAGGACTAGATGTTCTTCTGGGGCTGGATGCTGTGTTTGTCGGCAAGGTACTTGGTTGTATTCCTGGCGTCTCTGAACAAACCATGTTGAAGTATTCTCCGATTGTCAGTAATAAAGTAAAGTGGCCTGTACGTCAGCACCTGTAGAGCAGATGCTTGCCGCAGTACGACCTCAGGGCTCTAGGGCTTCGGGTAATAAGGGCCCTCGTGGATGACAAACACCGACGAAAGCAGCAGGCTACGATTGCATACGGAGAAGGACTCGGATGGCCTGCATCCTTCAGTGCACAGGTCAGCGAGATCTTAGTGCTTATGCGATGGCATACCGTGTCTCGTCGTTGTTCTGCTGCACCTCCGAACGCTCGTTAGGCCCTGCAGAGTCCCCTCCACAGTGCCCTTGCTCAACGAAGATATGACTGATGTTGGCTCCCAGAACATCGGGGTAAGGGGATGGACAGGCGCCTGAAAATGGCCATTCTTCAAGGAGCTCGCTTACAGTCACCCCACTCATAGACCTCGAGAGGATCTCCTTGACAACAGAGAGTCCTTTGCGAGGTGGTTGTTTATCGAACGTGTTTGCTCGGAACATGTTCCCAATGAGTTTTCTGTACTGTAAGTCCTGCAAAACTTTGAAGCGTATGTTAGTAATTTTGAATTAGGCAATTCCGCTTGAGAGCGGAGACAAACAGATCGCCTAACTGTTTCATTGCAGAGCCAGATTACAGGTTACTCAGGTCGCCGTGTGAGTCGATGATTAGTGTAAGTAGAGTGAGCCCTTCCATGGGTCTGCCGTCTGTAGTCTGTCTGTAAGAAGTACAAGGGGTATTACTCTGACAGTTGTAATTCTAAGCCAAGGCTTTCAGTGACTGACTCGGATTAGTGTGCAACTTTCATAGGTATCCAATAAAGAATAATAGCTTCATGACTTTGGCTTCGCTGTTCATGATTCTGACTTGTTTTCTGGCAGGGTCTTTCTCTGAGGAGACGTTTGTATACTACAATGGCTTTGGGTATTCTTGTGAAGGCAGGATCCCACAGTGTCTTCAGGATAGATGCCTAATGGACTTAACTACTTTCTTTTGCACAGAGTGTAGCCAGGATTATGTTCCCATCAATGGCACATGTGTTGCTACTACGGATGAAAAAGTTAATAAAGCCGGTTGTATTAAATCGCCGAAAGGTGGATGGTGCACAGGATGTAGCAATGGTTACTTCTTATTTTACGGTGGCTGCTATGAATTGTCTGGCAGATGGAAAGCAAGTATCTGCGATCGTGCAGAAAATGGGATTTGTCAAGAGTGCGGAAAGGGAAGTATATATTATACTCCAATAACTTTTACCAACCCTAATACCACCTCTCCTGAACGCTGTATCTACTGCGGAGATATAGTAGGCTTTGGCGGGAGTAGTGGTGTATATAGGTGTCAGTACTGTAACCAACATAGGTTGCCAGGGAACACTATACCCAGCTGTAGCGAATGCTCAGAACGATTTATGTGCCCTTTTGATTTTCGATGTAGGTCTGTTAAGGGACTCGAGCTCGGCTATTGTTACTTTTGTCCTAGGGGTTACGTCTGGAGTCGGTTTGGGTGTTATACCGCAGATAGTATAATTGGTAACAGTATCTGTTTATCAAGAAATACTATAGATATACAGGGACAATCGTTGTGCACACAATGCGCCAATTCATCAGAAGCGCCTCTGAATGGCCTCTGTAGGTCAATCAGCAAACTTGATAATATTTGTACAAAAGATCCTGAAACAGGAAAATGTACATCTTGTAAGAATGATAGCAACAGGCAATATTTCTTGTTTTATGGTGGATGCTACTTATTTAAAGATGCTCCGGATCAAGCAGGGTCTCGGGTTTGTCAGACAGTGCAAGAAAACGTTTGCACCACATGTAACAGTTCAATCAAGGAGGTGTTCACCAAGAATAGCAGATGCTGGCGCTGCGGGGACTCAGCCAACGGGGGAATAGAGGGATGCCAAAGGTGTGAGATGAAGGACAGTAGTCTTCAGTGTCTGGAGTGCCGCGACCTCTACCTGAGCCTGGATAAGAGGAGCTGCCTGGCCAGCTGTCCCAAGGGGCAGAAGGGCATACAGGGGTCCTCATCCTCGATCCACAGCTGCGCGTGCGATGACGGGTCCTATCTGAAGGACGGGAAGTGTGTCGGGTGCGCGGTGGAGAACTGCGCTGAGTGCGACGAGTCGAGCTGTAAGAGGTGCAAGTATGGCTACACACTCTCCGGCAGTCAGTGCGTGGCAACCAAGTGCAAGGACCCCAACTGCGACACGTGCGAGGACAGAGACGTGTGCACAAAGTGTGCCGATGACCACAGCCTCGATCCCCACGGTCTGTGCGTGAAGGATTGCCTGGCCTCCGCCGGGTACTACAAGGCCACCGTGGGCGGCGTCTCGAGGTGCGTGGCGTGCACGCTCGGCAACTGCGCAGTCTGCGAGTCGGAATCCAAGTGCAAGGCATGCAGGGACGGGTTCTACGTCGAGGGCTCGGGAGGATGCAAGCCGTGCAGCTCTGAGTGTGCCACGTGCAGCGGACCGGCATCCGATGACTGCACCTCCTGCCCTGCCAAGAGGCGATTGGAGTACAGCGACGGTGCCAAGGGATCGTGCGTCCCGCAGTGCGTGCAGGACAGCAGCTGTGCAGAGTGCGGGCTCACGGTGGGCGGGACCAGCTACTGCTCGCGCTGCGCCAAGAGCACGGAGTACCCCAACAACGGGGCGTGCACCTTCTCCAGCTTGCGGGCGGCTGGCATCGCGTGTGCGAATGTCGCGCCGGTAGATGTGTCTCTGCAGCTCGAACTCCTTCAGCCTCAACGGGGGGTGCTACACCTCCACGCTCCTCCCCGGGAAGACTGTCTGCACGAAGGCGAGCGACGGCTGGTGTGATAGCACCGTGGCCGGGTACGGGATAACGTACAACGGAACGCTCCTTACATGCCCGACGAACTGTGCAATGTGTAGTAGTGGGGTCTGCAACGCCTGCAACAGCGGGTTCTACCTGGAGAAGGGGGCGTGCAAGGCGTGCTCCAAGGGCTGCGCCACCTGCCCCATGGGGAGGCATGCTTCGACTGCCTGGCCGGGTACTACTTCTCCGAGAGCACGTGCAAGGCGTGCCACAAGGCGATCTCCAAGTGCAGCCTCTGCATGGTTCCAGAAGGTGCAGCCACACCCATATGTCTGGAGTACGACAACACCTCCAAAAAGTCCGCCCTCTCGTCTAGTGCCATCTCTGGCATCGCCATCAGCGTGGTCCTCGTCGTCGGCGGTGTGGCGGGTGTGCTGGTTTGGTTTTTCGTCTTCCGAAAGAAAAACTGAGTGGCCTCACTTTATGGTCCATCCATTCTTGCACGCACATAGTAGAGTATGCCAAGGAGAGCGGCTCTCCCTTATTCCGGCCAATCGCTGCCTGGTGGTCTGGTCAGTATCCTGGACAGTGGGTGTCTCAGTAAGACTTTCGCCGGTACGGACCGGGGACAGGGCACGTGATTAGAGAGGGAACGACCCCTTCAAGACAACCCGGTGCATGGGTGTACAGCCCAATAGACGCCTCTCTGGCTGTTGGGCCAGCCTCTAGTTGTGAATTCCTTGTTGGATGCCTCTGCCAAATCTAGAGACGCCAGAATATTATAATGGCACGCAGAACAGTGGTGGGAGACACAGGTGCATCTACCGACACATGGCAGTTTTAGGCTAAAGGCGATCCTGTCTGCTGCGGTCGAGTAAATTACCTGCCGCGAGCCACCTTTCAAGTCATACCCATCATTTGACGGCCAATAGCCCAATGCCTGCCGGCGCCTCCCATATGTGTGTCTCGGCCCTGCTGCTCCACAGGCCCCAGCTGCATCATCGGTGAGCAGGCGCAGAGGACTGCACACTCGTGCCTGCTGTGCGTCGCCTGGCGCCACACAGGAACCGTGTCATAGTCCGCGGCGAGGTGCGGCTGGGGCTTCTTACTCGTGCCCAGGGCAGGGTCTCAGGCGCTTTACCACCGAGGTCCGTGGTATCTGCAAGCCCCTCTGCTGAATGCCAGCACACTTCTTGGGCGGCAGACAGCGCTCGGCTCGGACACCTGCGAAGGAGCGGGTCTTTCAGGGCTGGGCACAATAGATGGAATGCTTGTTTGGAACAAGGAGCACAGGTCGGTGCTCCTACTAGGGCTGGAGGCCGTCCAAGGCACCTGGCCCAGACCACGGGGGTCGCAGATCTGAGCGATGGCTCGAGCAAGTAGTATATTAGCGCACCGTGTCGGGAATCCCCAAGTGCCACCGGGAGGTTTATCTGCGCCAGTATGGAATATTATGACGACAGCACACGACTCAGCCCTTCCGTGGATGGATGCGGAGTACCGTCTGCCGACACTCCCCAGCGATGATGGCAGGTGCGGTGCTCTCGTTATCGCTGACGGATCCACAAGGGTGAGCAGCCTCCCGCCTGGCCCCCGTCAGGAAGTGACACCGGCGTACTGTCCCTGAGATGTCCTTGAGAGCCGAGACCCCCGCTGACAATGGGTAAGACTTGCGCCACTGGGCGACTCTGTAGGGATGCTTCAGGAGTTCTTAAAAGCAGCACCCATATAGTGAGGCTTCGGGAGCCCTCTGGGTGGCACTATCCAAGGACCACTTCCCCGAGAGAACAGAAGGTGGGGGACCGACTCCTGAAGGGCACTCTTGCAGTCTACTGAACAGCAGAGGGGGGCCAGAAAGCAACAATCACCTCCGGATCCACAGCTCTCCATCATAGAAACACTAAGATGGTCAGAATACGCCCCTCAAGAGGGACAGGAAGTAACATAGCGACACAGCGCTGATGCTCACGGGATATGGTTGACGAACACCTGGCCTCTGATAGATACGAGGTGTGTGCTGAGAGCAAGGTGTCTGGATTGGGACGGTTATGCCTCTCCAGAGAAGAAACAGAAGGCACCGTCATAGACGAAACTGTGTCTGAAGGAGACACGCAGGGTGGTGGCTGCTCTGTTGCCAGCAGAGGGCAATCCGAAGCATGCAAGTCTTAAACAAAGAAACGTTCATTCTGAAGAACTATCGACGCTAAGAAACGAGCCAGTTCTCTGCATCACCCAGCAGAGGAGTACAAGAGCTGCTACTTCCTCTTCAAGCTTTCCCACTCAACTTAGACTTCCCTGACTTCCGATTACCACATGGACCACTGAGAGTGCTAACTGTTCTTCCAATCCACAATGGCTGCGGAACGATAGCAAGCTTCGTTTGAGCGCAGTACTAAGCAGCGTAATATATGCAAAGACAGCTCTTAGCAGTCAATGTAAGGTATCATCTTGGTAACGGCAATCGCCCTCGAATCAGCCATTCAGTGGAGACAGGGGTCTAATACGGCACAGTTGGGCCATATACAGGCAGTGGGTGTAGAGCTATTGTAGACAGACACCGCCCCTAAGAACGCCAGAGGGGAGCTCCCATCAGCCAAGGTGTTTCCAGAGCCACGTCTCTAGTGGAGCATGGCCTCCCGCAGTAAGACTTTGCAAGTGTCACCTGTAGTAATTCTGGATGCTTTATGGGGTGAAGCAGCTTATCCGCAGACCTCACAAGACCGGGGCTGCCCACATAGCCACTAAAGTGAGAGAGTGTGATTGCACGGAGCAGCGCTGTGTCTGCTCCTCCATCACTTAGCGGCCAGATGACTGCTCTCAGGCTGCGCCTCTGCTCATAAGTGTGCGAGGGTTCCTCTAGCGATTGTCTCGTTGGCTAGTTAACTACGGCTGCCATAGCGACATAGATCAATAGTGCATACGTTGCGTTACTTTTTGCTAGAGCAGAGGGAGGCATGAAAGATCAACCCAGGAGCCTCTTCTCGCTTCGCATGAAAACGCGGATCTACACACTAGGAGTGCATTTTCATAAAAAACTTCCTCTGCCATGATCCAGAGTTACCAGGCGAGCAGTGACGCTTCAGAGCCATCTGCCTCCTCTATGCGAGAGTTACCCGATAGACCAGAGTCGCTGCCAGAAGGTGTGCTTTGCAGCAGACAGAGTATCTCATGTCTCAAGCCTGTCTGGCCATACTAGGAACTGAAGCCATGCTGCTGAGCCTCAGGGGATCGGAAAGCACTCCGCGGCCAGTGTGACTCTTGTGATGTTAGCTTCTAAGGCTATGGAGGAGCCCTTGGCCTCGTGGTCTTTGCATTATGGGTTCACTCAGTTGGCTGTCTTACTCAGATGAGTAGAACGCGGTGCCTTCTGCAAGTCCCTATACTGCGAGTTCACGCTAGGATCCATTAGTATCTAGTTAGTTTGATAGGAGTCTGCTCTTATCTCCACAGATTTGTTACTACAGACAACTCACTGTATTGACTCTATGGTGACGCAAGTATTCCAAAGCTGGGGAACTGTCTGTTAGAGCTACCGGTCCCGGCCTTCATTAAACTTAGGATTGCCTCATCAAAGCCTCCACACATTAAAAAGCAGGCTTCTGCCCGTCTGCTGTGTACCCATGGTCGCCCTTAGACTTCGTGTGCCAGACCCTGCTGTTAGAGGATGCGCCTCTACATAGACTAGCCAACGGCTTGCCAATTAGGTGTCCGCCCTCATCCATCCGGATTGGTGGGTCTGTTTGTGGCTATGCCTGAGTCTGTTCTCTGCTGCCAGGTCCTCTCGAGCTGTGAATATCCCCTGTCCTCGAAGTGGTGCTACTTCAAGCTGTCACATGTGGGTGGCAGCTCCTGCAGCCAGTGGAGTCAGCGTCTTCTAGGCCCGGTATGCACCAGGGCCTCCAGAAGCGGCGACCTCCATCTGCCATGGCTAGTAAATGCCCTCCATAGAGCTTATGCGGTGACATGGACTTCCAAGCCGTAACGCCTAGGGTTGCGGATGGATGCAAGCGATTGCTCCAGAGAGTATTGCGACTATCAATAGCAGGGGAAGTGAGAACAACAAGTAGCGGCAGCAAACCGTAGAGCAGCAGGTAGGAACGGGGCTGGGTCGCGTTCGCTCTTCTACGCTAAACTGGATCGTCTCTATAAAAGGCTTAGAGAGACGCCGCAGTGTCTCCACGACTGTAAAGCAACCCTGGTCAATTACCAGGCTTGTAGGAGAAACATACAACTGTACGTCGTAGCTGCTCTCCGAATAAATCCCTCACGCAGGCGTCACGCTAAGAACTTCCTCGCTTGTTCACCATCCGAAGTCTGGGAATCGAGGCTTGGACGCCATCCCATTTTGGCGGCAAGGAGGATGCTTCTTCCCTCAAGGCGATAGAGAAGGCGACTGAAGGCATGTAGCTGGTGATGGCGCCAACCTCTCATCATGCTAAGCTGACGCTGGCCAAGATCCCACCCCGATGGCCAACTACGCACCGCTTGTCGGAGTGGACTCACCATGTGACCCATGTAAATCCCTCGACAAGAGATGGGGCCCCTTGGGTGCTTGGCTGACAGAGGCGGACGAGTCCTGACTGCCCACAACCAGCCGGCGGAAGGGGAGGTCCTAGAAGGCGCTGCGAGGAACACAGCAGCTCCCAAGAGGATAGGGCAAACTTTCTTCTTCTCCCACCAGAATCAGAGGACATCCGACTTTTAGATCCTTGATATTGGATTTCGGATTCTGGATCTTGCCAAGAGCAAGCGGAAGGTCCACCTGCCCAAAACGGCGGTGGCTCGCATGGAGAGATTACTCAGGCAGCAGTTAGCAAACCAACCTCGGTGAAACAGAGTAAATGACCTTTAGCCTTGTGCCTCGGGCTTCCTGTCCATCAGCAGAGATGTTGAGAATCCGAAGTAGACGGACGAGCTTCCTGGCCGTCGGCCTCCTTCCAGGATCCAGCACGAGTATCCTCTCCAGAACATTCTGCATGAAGCCATCAGCGACACCGCTCAGGTCCGGCCTCCACCCGTCGACGAAGACCTCTGCTGGCTCCTTGCCCCCCAGGAAGTCCGGTCTCCTCAGAGTTACTAATTCATAAATGATGGCCCCGAGGCTCCACACGTCGGAGGCGGGGCTGGACTCATTACGGAGGAGCACCTCGGGGGCCATGTATACTGCCACTCCCATGAGAGTGCTCTCACTCCACAGGGCGTCCTTGCAGAGGCCGAGGCCAGCGATGATGAAGCGCTCTCCGTCTGCGCTGATAAATATGTTGGCAGGCCTGAGGTCACAGTGGACAAGCCCCCTATTGTTTGCCCCATTGACGCCGTGGAGGTAGGCGAGGGCGGCAGCGACCTGCTTCATGGCGGAGAGGATCATAGCGATAGGGACGAGGTTCTTCCTTCGCTTGTGCTCGGCGAGGAGGTTGTCAAGAGTCCTGCTGTGGCGGTCCGTGACGACGTAGATGAGGCCCTCGTCTTCAATCACTTGATGATACTTGAGGACCCCTGGATGGGAGAGGTCGAGAAGGGCGGTCAGCTCTAGTCTGATGGCATCTGCACTGTTCTTGTCCAGGCCACCGAGCTGAATCTCCTCCACGGTGAGGTGGGGGCCTCTCCTGAGAGAGTAGATAACACTGAAGGCATCCTTGCTGAGCATGCTGCCGACCCTGGCTGCTGCGTGCCTCCCCAAGGCTCCAGTCCCAGCCCAGACGCCGCGGACACGCCCAAAAAGAAGCTTGACATTTGTTCAAGCAGAATCAGCAGAATAATACTACGCTGTTGAACTTTGCTCAGATGTGGGTAGGCCCTTTTACAAAGTACATCAGACACTCAGGTGTTCTTACAGACTCATGGTACATCAGCTAGGAGTTTACGCGCATCACTGACGACGGTATCTAAATTGTTAATGTGTTGAATGACATTACTTAGAAGGATATTTGCAGAAGACATCCCATCTCGTGGATACTGTTCTTTCATAATGGTCTCGACTATTCCCAGTAGAAGTTTTAAGAGAGCATTCTTGTGGGCAACCGCATGCCTTTGTTTAGCGCTACGGTGAACGTGCTTCATAAGAAGGGTAGCCTGATCCAGAGAGCTTGCAGCCTTAAGGATTTCTAGCTCATTGCGCAGCTTTTCTACCAATGACTCCCCAGACAAGATCAGAGTCTCTAGCTGCTCTGGGGTAACGTGTAATTCTTGACTAATAGTTTCTATCTCCAAAAAGTGTTGTAATAGAGACAGCGATCGAGCACATCTAGAGACAAACTCTTTCATTGCAGCCGAAAAGAACTCTTCAGGATACCGAAATTTGATCGTCTTTGAACATTCTAAGATGCCCGGCCTAAAGCGATTAAACGCAACACATATCTTCTTGAGTATTGAGTTGATGAGATCCTTGGAACTAAGATGGAGGGCACTGGAGACACTGATAGAAGCTTTAGAAACAGGGGTGTTCATCAGCATAAAATTCCAGGTTTATAAAATCAAAAATGCAAGCAACAGTCTCCAAGAAGGTTCGACCCGGTGCCATAGAAATAGATTTGTTAAAAAAGGCCATTGTTATTCACTACGAAGCAATCATAGTTAATAGGGACGAGGCCACTGGGGCTCTTCACAAGACCATCCGACCTAACAAGAAGACCTTCCCCGTGGGGGTATTTAGCCGAGAGAACATCCCGGAAATCGTTGATGAGCTCATTCTCGGGTGCAGTCTTTTTACAGAAAGCAACAGGGATCTGCTTAAGTGCCTGCTTGGCGCTCTTCTAGAAAACCGTGAACTCGCTATCTGTGGCGAGCCATCTATTAATAAGATTAATCAATATATTGAGTGCTTCTATGACGAACTTCCGATCAAAATAGAAGCAACAAGCCGTATTTTCAAGCTTTGCGAAAAGGCAGAGAACCTTAATGTCTTGGCCTTCAACGATGTCCTTCTTGCAGCATTAACGCGCAGCTTGCGTGAGGACGGAGCAAAGTCCATGTTATTTGCGACAAACATATGCTTTATTTTCTTTTCGCTGTCGCACCACTGCACCTATGGACGCCAGCTTCTCAGACAAAACATCCCCGATGCCCTTATAAGGCTAATTGAGCAGGAGGAAAAGCGCCACAAGGTTTGGTACACTAAAATAGCCAAGATTAAAAAGGATGTCCAGGCGGCCAAAGATATGGAGAAGGAGTCGAAGAAGAAATACTATTTGGAAGAGTATGAGCGATACAAGCGTATGATTGAAATCCAGGATAAGCTTCTCTTTGCAGCTATTCATACAGTTATCAACCTGTCGGAGGCTGCGTCAGAGCTGCAGAACGAGCTTATTTTATTTTGTGAGATTGAGAAGTTTGTGTCCTACATTGGCACAATCATTAAGAGAAGGCCGATCAATCAGCCCCTTATCGCTCTTGCAGTTACTTTCTTGCGCAGACTTGCCATCACTCCCGAAGGCGCACGGCTCACAATGAGTACGGATATTTTGGCTAATGTAATTAAGCTCTTGGGAGAAGACACTGCAGGATCCTCGGTCGATTCTATCTTACGGTTTCTGTACAACTTATGTTTCGATGATACAGCTAGACACACAATTGTCAGGGCTGGCGTTCTTTTGTCTCTTCAGCCACATTTTTCAAAACTGCTACAAGAGCTAGTGGCTGTTTTAGGCGAAAAGCTCTCGATTACATCTACCTCTGGGGGCACATCTTGGCCCGAAGTAAGTCAGCTTCTACCGATTGTTTCCAGACATGACTGCCGCGCGGAGACAGCTGAGCTGGACCACATAACGAACGTAGTTGTAGCTTACGCACGCTTTCTTTACATTCTCTCCACAGATGACTTAGGATTAGAGTCGTTTGAGCGAACGGACATCTTGATGTTCTCCATTCTAGCTGCATGCCTTCTCCCTAGGCCACCAATGGAACTAATTGCCTTGCTCGTTAATCTGTTTATTTCAGGGCGGACAACTCTGCCAGTGATCGCCTCTGGAATCCTTGTTCCACTCAGTAGGCAGGCTGTGCGGCTGGACACTCCAGAATTCTATCTTATGTTCAGCAATATAGCTACGCATTACCCTATGATCCCGAAGCGTCAAATTACTGACAAGTCCTTTGCTCATATCCCAGAACTTATGGACGTCATGTTAAAGCGTGACAGTGACAAGTACACGACAGTCTTACTGGGAGCGGTGGCATCGGCACCTCTCCAGTTTATAGCCAAGAATCCAGGCGTCTTAAAATTCACAGTTAGTTTAATCCTCCGGAACTCTTCACCTGAACTCCTCAAGCTGGAAGCAATATCAATGCTAAGCAATCTTCTGAACTCCGGCAAGGTTCTCTTAAACCCAGACCACGTGAAGAAGCTTCCGGAGACCCTCTTGTCCTTTTTGGTCAAGTTGGAGGATGAGCCAGATTATGTCGGGACCATCCTACTTTGTATACTGAAAGCCTGTGTTCATGAAAACTTTAGGAGCGTGTTTCTTGCCACCAAAAACTTCTTTCCATGCATCCTTAAATTTCTTTATGAAACGGACGAAACGATGTTGACCGTACCACCTCCCAGGAGTTCTTCTCGCGTGCGCTCACGGTCAACAACTACCGCTAGGGGAAGTGGCCATCGAAAAGAGGGCGCCTTTGTTATCAAAAGCGCCAGTGACAGCTTCCATGGACGCTCTGCATACATCTGCTCTGTCCTGGCTTCAATGATTTTGGATGTCATAGCAGCCGAGGAACCTAGTCAGTTGGATACTATCACAAGTCTGAAGTTTAGGAAGTACAATACTGAACTGTTAGCGGCACTAGAGTCATGAAAGATAGGAGCATTGGTAAGCAGCAGAATACGTCAGCGGCCAGGCTTCTCATCGTATGACTGCAAACTCGACAATGTCTTCTTGTTTATATGGCTTCTGGCATATGGGGCACTTGCGTGTGCGCGTCTCGTACATGTGGTATAAGCACGCAGAACACGCAATGTGTCCGCAGCCCACAAGGAATGCATTACTGAGGTCATCACGACAAATAGGACAGATATATGTGGTTTTTAAATTGTCTATGAGCTTCTCCAGCTGAGTCTCTGTCTCAAGATTGCTATAGCTTTCTTGTTCTCTGCGAAGTTCGTCCGCCTCGTCTTTCTTAACACACTGGTCTGAAAGTTTTCTTTTAGACTTTTCTAGTTGTGCAAGCAGTTGCTTAAAGAGTTGACTGGTAGCCACATACTTTTTTGAAAACGAGCGTAAGACAGAAGATGTTATTGGCTGGGATACAATTGGCCTGTTAACGGTTTCAGCGGCAGTAGGAGTTTGCAAGAGGGGAGACAGTGGCGGAAGGATTGACGTAGATAGCTTGTCCAAGGAATCTATCGCTACCTTTAAAACCCCTTGAATATCCAGGGAACATGAGGACAGCATATTCAATTGTTTTGAAAAGCTAGATGGTAGCAGGGACGCCACAAACCCGGAAAGTGGTAAAAGACCCGTAACAAGAGCCTTTAGGTCCTGCTTTTTATCTTCGCTATAGTTGAAGAACTCCCTCACCATGGTTGCCACTGTCTTGAGCGGCGTGGTAAGCGAAGGAGGCCCTGAATGGTGGATTAGTGGAACGGGTGGAATCTCCTTCTTAGCTTCAAGGAAGTAAAGGGCCCCTTCGGCTGCATCTGCCAGAGAGTCAACATTATACTGAGCCTGCGCCCCTGGGTTGCTGAATATGTAGGATTGCTTTAGATTTTCAGCCACGGGAGATGCATCGGCGATGATTCTGTCACATGCCGCGATCAGCTCATCAACTGCTACTAGAGTCTTAGAATCCACCGTGCTACTGGTGGTCAGGTCAGAGTCTGATAGTTTCTTCAAGAGCGTATGGACAAACAATTGTATTGGTGTTTCTTTAAGTAATATGTCCTTTTCTTCAATGAATTTGTCGTGCTGCTTTTTAAGGAAATCGCAAAAGTTTGACAAAATTGTTTGCGCGCTAACAATTCTGGGATGTAACTCGACTTGCGTGGTTACGGGCTTACGGATTGGAGAGGATAAATCCAGAAGAATATCGTCTAAGGGTGATTCTAGGCCACCGGCGACAGCTGCGTGTAAACAAGCATCCAGTTCCTTCTTGGCCCCTTCCATCTGACGAATCAGTTCATGGAGCTCATGCTCGGGCCTGTCTGTTGCTTTTCTGACGCTATCACCTCCTAACTCCCGCTCTAGAGATTCAATTGCCACGTCTAATTCCTGGATAAGATATTGGCGCTGCTTATCTATCATGGAAGGGGGGATAAATAAGGGTTTGTCTGAAAGTGGATCTAGAACCTTTTCAGATACCACTGGGAGTCTGACGTTGACCTTCTCCAGTTCTTTAAGAACTGCATCTTGCACTGCTGCAGCGAAGGTACGACGGCGGTCCCAGTCCTGACGGAACAGCTCGTACGTCGCCTCTTTGAAGCGCAGAGTAAACGCCTCAACGCTGAGGGGCTTTTCAGTCTCTTCATGGCCCTCCTTAAACTTAGAGTCTGCTGTACTGCTATCACTATTCTCTTGCTTGGCCTCAAATTGAGAGACCAGTTGTGTCAGAGCCTTGATCAAAGGAGACTCATCAATGGGAGTAGAGTAGCACCCAACAATAAGATCAACTGCGTTGTCCCTAACATACTGAAGGTAGGAGGAGTGACAATTACGGTGGACGCACTGTATGTGTTGCAGAAGACAAATGATAAAAACACGACTAGTGATGAGCTCAAATTGATAATCGATACGCTCTTGCGCATCTAGCAGCTCTTTCTCCTGCGTCTCTGTACACTTACACACCAGATCGTAGATGGGAGTCATCTGCTTGAACAGGTCCTCAATGCTCCCTCGGTTCATTTTTAATTTACAAAGCATCTATGCATAGATGTCGGACTAAGTAGAAAATCTTGAGCTACTGCACCCATCACTCAATGACTACTTCTTTTTATTTTCGATTGAGGAACGTTTGCAACCTCTCCAAAAGGTCGTCCCGAGAGGCGACACCCCTAAACAAATCTGGATGCAGTTCTGAAAGATATGAGACAACGTAACGCTCACCTAATGGCATTTTTGCATCAAGATTAAAGTGGGCGCGGATCTCAGCTCCGTACCGCTCGGTCAAGTTATAGACCATTCTAATTAGCGCACGCTCCAAGTTAAACTCTAGGGGCACAAGTTTCATTCTCCTGAATACTTGATTCTGAGCTTCAAATATCTGTCTCCGCATGTTGCTGGTCATTTTGTCGTCAATTGGGGCTGTATTAAAAGAAAGGCAGGCTGGGTTCCAACAGCGTAGAGGAACAATATGAGGCTGATCTACGAACGACTCTCCGCACTCATAACATATGTAGCTGGCGAGGTTCGTGAGAATTTCGGGGGGCCGCTTTGTTATCTCGAAAAGCTCACGCATCCGAACCTCAAACTCCGCCCGCATGGTTGAGTACAAAATGAGCTTCTTACATGATGGACACTGATACGAACACTCAGCAATGGATCGCGTATAACACTGAGTGTGTGCATAGTGGGCACCACATGGCATGAGAAACGAGTTCCTTTGATTGTCGACTGATCCCATGCAGAACTGGCACAGATCTTCATCAACAGCGTCGTTGCTTACGTGCAATTGACAGCGGTCTTCAACACCAGGGAGTGTATTATTGTACAAAACGCAGACGCCGCACGTGCTGCAATGCCCACGAGGATGCATTTCTTGGCCAGCATCACAGTATAATAAGCACATGGGGCAATAGTACTCGGCGAAGTTGACTCCACATGAAGGGCAAATTGAAGTCGGCGGAGAAACTGCCCCGCAGAGAACGCACTTAATCTGGGGGGTGGTGTGAGAAGAATCAATATACTCTAAGTCGTGGTTCCGATGTGCTTCGTTGTGACACTGTCTGCAAAAGTAAAATCTGTCACAAGCAACACAATAAACCTGACACTTGCACAGGTAGTGCTTGCATCCGAGCCCGTACTGCTTTGTATAGCACTTAAATACTAGCTCATCATCTCTGCAGGTCGAAAGCACCTTTACCCGCTCATCCAGCGAATTGGACTTTAAGTTGAAAGCATTTTGCATCTGCAGACAGGTGTGTGTTGGGTTGTAAAAAGATAGTGGGAACACCGGCTGAATGCTAGCATCTAACTCAACTATAGCATCAGCACAGACGTCGCCCAAAACGGCCTCAGGGAATGCGCGGAGAGTGATACGATCATCCTCATTTGTCCAGATCCCCCCTGGCTTCACTCGAAAAAGCGTAGCAAGAAGAAAAGAGGTACGGTACTCAGCTGGAATATCGTCCACCCCAAGGTTCAGAGTATCGGTTAAAAAGGCCTCAGATGGCATAATATCAGTCCTGTGCTCACCTTATTGTAGCGATGGCTGGTTACGGCGTATCGATGAACTCGGATTGTTTTAACACAGACACCCCAGCCAATTGTTTAAATTTTTGACCGAATTTTTTAAATTGAGATTAAAGTATATCTTTCTATGAGACGTCGAGTAGCTGGTGGCACGCTTTCCATGCTTAAATGTTTGAGTAGGGTGGTGTAGAGGTCACTATAGTATTGCTCCATGGTCGTCTCTGCCACCAGACGCACAACTGTCATGAGCCCAGCATACCCAGAGCCTTTTACAATGAACAGTATTCCATGTTTTCCTTCTAGGATCAAATCTATGACGGCGTCGAGGTGTGGAGCTGCCACATACAAAGCTTTCTTGAGCTCCGTCCTGTGCTCCTCTTTAGCAGTGACAAGCAACATGTCTAAGGGGATAAGCAAGAGATTGAAAAGAAGGATGATGTGCTGGACTAAGGAGAAGGGGGAGCCTATGGGGTCTGCTAGAGATAGAGCAAGTCTATGAAAAATCCATCGCATAGATTGAACCGCCACTTCCATAAGCACCGTGCTGGTAGTTCCTAGCAGCAGGACCTTCAAGTTATCACTCTCCTGGCTCCCAACACGGTGCCAATGGCGTTCAGGATTCTTGAGGTCCTCATAAAGCTCTGATGGATTGACTGTTGTCGATGTGTAGGTGTGTACAGAGTAGTGCATCATGCCCAGTACCCTTAGAAGCGGAAGGTAGCTGTCCCCATTAGAGAGCATGGTGGCGTGTCTCTTTAGAGCGTCTGAGGCAGAAACGTGCATTATGCAATCGTCGCAGATATAAAGCCAATCGGTAAGAATGATGTCTACGGTGCTCATCTTTTCTAGCAGCTCAATGATTTCCTTACGTGCCGTGTCATGCTTACCAGCCAAGAGGAGCCCCAGAATAAGAAGTTTCGTCGTGCTATATGCCCCTATGCTTTGCTTGTCCAGAGCGTCCTGCAGCATAAATATTTCCTGAAAGTCTAGAAACCTGTCACTGTACTTAGACTTAATCACCTGAGCGTATCTATGTCCATAACGATACTCTCCCACTTGAAGTAAGCGGAAGGTGCTATGGCGACAATAACATAGCCTGCTGTTCAATTTATGGGCCACAGAGACGAGGGATCCACGTGCAAAAAGAGGAAGATGCCGATAGAAGTCTATGGACGCCAGCTCTTCCCTGTACACTCGCACAGTCTTGCTTTCTTTATATCTTTTGACAGTAGTTCCCAGTGCCTCTTGACTTAGTGATGCGGCAGAATTTTGTGATAGATATACTGAAAGAAAGTTGGCATCTTGCCGACACAGATTTTGTGTCTCTTTGGCACTCAATTCCATGGCTGTTTGTACTTCCGCAAGAGAACGTGATATGTTGATAAGTTTCTGAAATTTAGTATGTAACTGCTTTTCTGTGACGACTAGAGGAGCCTCTAAAGTGCCGTATGGGTTGTCGTAGAACTCTTTAAGCTTTTGCAGCTCAACAATAATGTTATCTATGTCCTGACTGTTCTGGTTGAACGCCAAAAAAACCAGCCTTGCCTGGAGTTGCATGGCCTTGAGAATGGCAAACGTATGCCTTTGAACAATAAAGTCGCCGGAAGATCTGGTGAAGAACTCGCACTCCTGCTGTATCCACTTGACATACGATTGATAGCCGCCCAGAATGCCTCCTAAAATAACCTTTTCTTGAGGGAGGGTGGTTTGGTGCGGTAAGGGTTCCCAGCTATATGATAAGTGGCTCTTAAGAAGGACCCTGGTTTGGAAGAAGAAAGCATGACAAAAGGATGCATTCAATAGCAACTCAAGGATTGCCATGTTGTCCTCTATCAGTCTCGTGCTGTGATCTTGTAGGGAATCCAAAAGGGCCCCAAAATCACGTAACAAGAGGCTGGTGGTACGAAAATTTGCTGCAAGAGAGAAGCTGGAGCGATAGATATTTGCTCCCGGAGCTGGAAACGCCGGGAGCATTGCCTATGAAGCTACGAAAAGCTTTATTTTAATTGAAATCTTGCTTCATCCTTTGTCTACCTTTGTAACCTTGCGTTTCAGTTTTTCGCACATTTTCATACTCACTATGAAGTGTGAGCGCCCTTTTTGAGTGCTTGCTCTACGATCGGATTAGGCCCAGTAAGCAGTCTAGGAAATGAGGAACGTAGCAAAAGCCAATTGAGAGAAAACATAGACACTAGAAACAAAAGGTAGGAGAACGCCCAGGCAATACCAATGTAGTGCTGATGTAGGGCGAGATAGACCTTCATCGTTGTTATATAATTAAATGTATGAAGAGATTTGCCGCTGGGTCTAAAAGAAAAATATGTTACAGCGCTGAACGGTCAAGTCGGCACTGCTAATACTTGCCGTGGTGGTTACGCAGCGCTTATAGCGTTCGCGGACAATCCTTTTTAAAGAAACAAATTTAAAGTCATTTCAATGTAATAATTAAAGACCCGGGCGAATGCCAATCATCGTTAAGGGTGCGAAGCTCACTGATGAGTTTATGGCCTCCATAAAGGAGGTCGCGGGGAATGTCAGGGAGCTCTTTTCTCGAAAGTTCCTCTCCAATGTCCGCGAGACTGAGAAGGGTGTTGAGATACCTTGCGGGTACCATAAGTTCTTCTCCGCCATTCAGGAGAAGCATTCTAACGCTGAGCTAGTTTCCCCAGACCAGATTGTCCTGCGCCAGGTCTTTGTCGAGCGCAACAAGGCTTTCTTCGCTAGGTTCAAGGAGCAGAACGCGGACTACCTCAAGTCGGACAAAAACGCTCTCCTTGTGGTTAGCTCCGCACCGGATGGAATCATAGACTCAGAGAAGGTCATCGCTTTCTTGACCAAGACGTTCTCGAAGATCACGCCAGCCAAGGATCACAAGTTTAAAATCACTGCAAAGTACCAGGTGTTGGATGCCATTCGCGAGAAGGTCGAGGCGGACGCCCTCAAGGACGGCAGCGGTGCATCGGTGAAGGACAGGTGCGCGATGATGGCTATTCGATTTGTCGAGGGGCGTGCGCCGCAGAGAGGCACGAGGGTGGCCGTCGTTGTCCCGGTTTCCGACGTTGAGAAGATCTTCAACAGCCTCCTTGCTGACGGCTACTTTGAGCGCGTCCCATCTATCAAGTTTATCAACTTAGAAGAGCGTCGCAAGCGTGCCCAGGAGCGTCGCGAGAGGTTAGACTCTGCAGGCGATGGGTCTGCTGCAAGCGACAAGAAGAAGAAGCCCAGTGAGGCGGCAGGTCGCGCAAAGGACAAGGCTGGAACTGATAAGGCTGATCAGTCAGGGTCACAATCTCGAAGGGGAGCTCAGGGTGACAAACAGAGCTCCACGAAGAAGCGCGCCGCTGATGGAAAGAGGCTTCCAAGCTTCCTGAAGGTCGCGAATGTCCCCAGTGGTGTCACTTTCGACGACATTAAGGGAAGCCTCAACGAGAATGAGCATGCAAGTATTCTGAAGGCTATCGCGGAGTCCCACCTGCAGAGACCCAGGCGTCCCGATTCCTCTGTGATATCGTTCTTCTGCACGGAGGAGAACGGGAAGATTCTCATGGAAGCATTTAGCAATATGGACATCGATGGGTCTAAGCTTTCTGTGACACTCGAAGAGGCAAGGTAAGACCAACTCGAGCTTGGGAGTGAATCTTTGTTTTCCCGCGATGTCGGTCGTTGGTGGGGTCAACTGTCGACTGAAGGTTTACTCTTTTGGTGTCGTGGAGAACCCCGGTGAGTCGAGGTTGTACCAGTTTTAGTGACATAAAGTAGGATAGGGTCCTTTCGCTGAGGTCTTTTATATCACGTGAGTGCTAGAGTGGATGTTAGGGTTTCATATTAACTAATGCATCTCAGAAGGACAAAAGGTGATAGGAAGGAGAAGTCTAAGTTTCAATCTATGATAGCAGAAACACAGACTATTCGTCCATAGGCCCAGGGATATTGGAATCATCAATCTCTAAGTATACACCTGTGTTTTCATCGTATCTTATTCCACCAGATAGCTGACTGGCAAGGCGGAGATTGGTAGCTGGATCTGGCACAGCAGAGTGCGTCTCCCCATCTGGGGCCGGATCAGGGATATCGTCATTGTCATCATTATCATTGTCCGTTGAGTAGTAGCTGTAGGAGCTGTCGCTATCACCTTCATTGGCATCATCGTTAACTACACTTGCGTGTGCATTTGTAAATTGCCCCCCAAGGTCGTCTACTCCGCCGTCATAATCCTCTATGTCTTCAGAGTCTGGCTGCCCTTCATTTGTAGCGACACTATAGACAGTGTCGATAAGATCCTGTGGTATTGTCCGGTTAGAAGTTACAAGGGTATTGACCATGCTCCTAGCCATTTTGCTGGTATCCATTTTGTTGCTGCCTGGAGCAGCGGTATCAGTTGGCATATTTGCATCTCCCAGAACAGCATAGTTCTGGGTCTCGACCATGCTCCCGAGAACTTCATCGTCCACAAGACCAACCCGCACTCCCTTGAGCCGTGTAACTGGCGTAGTAGCTCTATCAGTGGTGACCCCATTTGCACTAGTTGCGCTCTTTCCACACTGCTCTGGATTTAGCACAACGGGGATGGCGTTGAGAGTCAGATCTATTACGCTATTAGTAGTGTCACATTGTGCACTCATCTTTGGTATTTTGCTGGTTTGCCGCACAAAATCTTGACTCTTCTCACGACCAATAGATGCAGCTGCCACACTGCTATCATCTTGCTTGGCATTGAACTCTATAGCTGCTCTAATGCTGCCTGTCCCAGAAGGCTTTGCCACCTGGCGCCCCTTCGCTGCCCTGGCATCTGTGCTTTGCTTAATATGTGTAGGAGGCTGATCGTGGGATTCGCTAGCCAAAACGTTATACTTCCGTTCCGGGACGGGATCAGAGTCTTTCGGAGATACTGTTGCATCAGGATCTGATCTCACAGTCTTGGCAGCGGTATGGGCACCTGCATCAATCTGAATTAGTGGTGCATTCTTTACAATTTTGACCGATTCAGGAGGCTTCTCTTCTGCTTCCCTATAACCAGGGATGAATTCTTTGCGGGCCTCTAGGAGAGTATCTCTGTCCCGTACAGCAAGGTCTGTATTTGGCTTGTTTTCACGAAAGAGCGAGAGGTAAAATTCATCCAACACCTGTACGTGCACATCAATCCCAATCTCCACCTTCTTGTCTAAAGGCGCATACTGCCTAAGGCTAAACCGGGGCTTTGGCATACGCGGATTTGCGCGCGCGTCTTCTTCGTCTTTCGGACAATAGAGCTCCAGGGTGGGAAGAGGGCATGTCTTGACAGTGAAAACGCGCAGTAAGGTACAGCACGGCATTATCTCAACAGAATTCAGACTGGCAAATTCTGAATTCGGAAAGCAGCTGCGAGTAATCTCCATTAAATCGAAGACGAGACATGACCACGCACCTGCGACTGCGTGCAGTGGCAACCTGGCATGGAGAGAGGTTATCTTTACTACTTTATTAGCTGTTGAAAAGTATAGTCTAATTCTGTTTTTGGAGCAATCGGCAACACCTAAGTTCAAGGAGAAAATCTGGTCTTTGGGAATAAATAATTGCATCAAGAGAAACGGTTGTATGATGCCAAGAACTTGTTTCTCGGGCGCCTCGGGCATTGTAATCTTTGAGCCAACGGGGCCGTCAACATCGAGAACATAAGTTTTCATCTCCTTGTTGTAATTACGGGCAATAGTAGCCTTCTTCATGTTCCATCCTTGTGCAGGTGCTTGGCCCTTTATTTCAAGCAGCGAAATGAAGGGTCCTCCCTGGAACGCCCGCTTGAACATGGCTTTAAAATTTTAAATCCCGGGCCTTCCTGATCGCTAGTCTGTTCTCTGCAGGTTTCGCAATCTATGGACACAGAGCTAATAAGTGAGATTCTTAGGTCTGTGAAGAGTGACTCACAAACTGTTTACTCGTCTCTGACCTCTTCCATATATCGCATACATGAACTTGCTGATGAACGTGTTCTGGCCAACATTTCACGCAGGCCGCATAACAATCTCACCAATGCTGCTGCAACTTCTGCAGAATTCTCCCATGACTCGTTGCTGCATATGAGTGACGTAGACAAAACTCTCGCCAGGGCGCTTTACGGTGTATCCTTGCCGTACACCAACGGTGATCTTCTGGACGGTGAGGACTCCCACGCACTCTTGACAAATTACTTTGCTCGGGCGTATGACACGTTGGGGAATAAGCCTCCTGCTACCCCTTCATATGCAGACATTCTGGTCTCTCAAACTCTTTCTGCCGGGCAGCCATGCGCCTACGATTCACCCAGTTTCATCTCTTTTTTAATTCAAGATAATCTTGCTGCGTATACCCAACTCAAGCATGTAGAACGTAGCTTGCTGTTCAAGCTCATCGTAGCCAATCAGTTTGCAAGCCCCCGGAATCTATGTCGACTCTCACTCCTGCAGGCAGAGATTACTCGACACAAGCAAGCCGCACTTGACTTATTGACCAGGCTTGTCTCTCTAGCTGTCCATTCGCACATTGTTCTTCCAGATCATCTTCTCACAAAGGTCTTTTCTTGCTTCCTAGAATCAGAGGTTAACTTCGAGAGCAAAGATACCATTATTACTCGCTTAAAGACAGAGCTTCGTGTCTTGGGATTGGACTCCAACGCAGTATCCTTCGATCTGGCTTCGTGCACGAAGCGAGCAGCCGTTGATGGTGCCTCTGTGGGTAACATGGGTCTCAATACCGCTATTAGTGCGGTCTTTGCGGGGGTGGATCACTGGATAACCACTGAAGACGTTAAGGCCTCTGTTCGGCGTCATGTCTGGACACTCAGCTTTTTGGACGAGATGCTTCCCCAACTGGACTATACTTCGCTGGTTCACCAGGAGCTAACAATACTGGATGCAATGATAGAGGCCAGAACATTTAACGACGTATCCTTGTCCTTCGTGGACGACGCGAGCACCCACGCTATGAGTCACCAGAACTTCGTTTCAGCCAATGGTACAGAGAATATCTTTAGCAAACCTTCCACTATCCCTTCCTCAACAAGAGCAGGGACCATGAAGGACACAGCTAGCGTGGACAGCAGCTTCATAAGATACGTATCAGCAAGGCAGCTCTTCAAAGCACACAACATGTCTCTTCCAATTATTAATGCACTGACCTTTAAACCTAGTTGCGAATCGCTATCCTCATCTATCCGTCCTGGAATGGTCTCTCTGCCTACTCTGCCTTATCTCACGCAACTAGCACCCCCGACCCTCCCACTTACTGTTGAAGAGTGTGTAAGCTCGCTGATGGTTCTGGGCAACCTCAAAGAGGTGGGGATTACAGAGGAAATAGACTGGTCCATCTTTTTCACCAGCACTCTATCCAAGGGGACTGTTTCTACCACTGACAAAGCTGCTCCTCGGAGCACTGTGATCAATACAGATGCACTGATACAAAAAATTCTAACTAGTATTGATTCTGCAACGTCCATGCAGGGCAGAAGCTCAGATAAAGAGCTTTTGTCAGGAAAGTTATTATATCTCTCTAAGGAATTATTTAGTAACCTAACTAACGTGCTTCCTCACTTCTTCTCCAAAGGGATTCGATCAGAAGGTGCAGCTGGAGGTAATCCCGAGTCTGTAGACCACGAACTTGAACCTGATGCCTTAGATTCCGCAAAAACAGGTCAGGGGCAATCTGTGGAGTCTCGACATAATGATATTTACATCTTACTCAACGACGATAGGAGCTTTGACCAACTTTATCAACCACCGCTGGGAGACTCTCTGGGACGATACTATACCGACCCAGGGTATGATAACCTTACGCCATATGCAGTCTACACAGGCGACTCCAGTAGTTCCATCAGCGGCGATGGTCTTAATCAATCCATTTATGGAATAAACACTAAGTCTGGACTCAATCCGGACGGGCTGTCTAAGCAAGAGCAGTCCTTGTACGATTCACTAAATATACTGAGTCTCCAGTCCTCCGAGCTTGTGTACGATGACATTCTTCGCGTCAGTCCCTCTGTTCACTCGGTTCAAAAGTTCTTGCTCAACCCAAATGCCTCAAAGCCTCGTGCACCGATTGAAGTTGAACAGCTCAATAGTCTGCCAGGCACTCTACTGAATGACAAGGATCGGCTAGAGTATCGCAATGTGATGTACGCTTGGAAGGATGCTGCACGTTCATACTCGTCCGGTTCAAATGGCTGGATTGCGCATAAATATTGCACAACTGCTGGAGCCAGTGTTTCAGTGTCTTTGGATAAGCTGTGTGCAATAGTCCTTGGGCTTATCACCACCTGCTCCGCCAATGAAAAGACCAGCATAGGCGCTCGTCTGCTCAGCGACGAAGCACAGAAAGGAATAGATGCATGGGACTGTCTTACTAGTGATTGTGAGCATGGCGAAAACTCGTATTTGTACAAAATACTCTACACAGCACTGACTTATATACGGTTCATTGCCCTCTCTAAGATGTGGACAGACATGGTGTTAGAAATGACAAAGATCCATGCCATATTGGCTAATACACGCGTATTAGTTGACTTTCTTGGAGGCGACTTTTCACGAGTTAGCGACATTACTTATTCAAAGGATGCTCACGAAGACTCATGCAGTCCATCTAGGTCTCCACAGCGTCCTGCCATGTCCTCGAAACGGGTGTTGCCACCACGCCCATCCACAGCATTAGGAGTACAAACGACTAGGTCTCCTCTAAGATCTCCTCTTCGAGAACTGCGAAAGACCCCCGTTGAATACGAGGATGTGGAGCCAGGAGTATCACAATCACATTGCAGATCGCAGGCTGAATTAGCAGAGAAAGAGACCCCAGATGGTGCTGCAAAAACAGAGCTAGACGTAATTTTGAATGTACAGCCCATTGAGTATTCGAGCACAAACTTTGCTAAGGACCCTCTGCTGGGGGCTCAAAGAAATTCAGGTGGTTCGGCTGGAGAAAAAGTAATTTGCCGGTCGCCCACTAACATCCCCGGTACGAGCGATGCAGCCTGTCGTATAGCAGGGCAGTGCGAGTACACATATAACGATTTGATCAATACTGACAGTCTACCAAGCTATATTTCACCACTGGACAAACTTTGGTACAGCCTCCTCTATCTCAAGAGGACACAGACTCTTCAAGATAGTATGGCTATAGGCGAATCTGCATCTGCCTCGTTACAGACATCAGCACACGACGCTCTACCTCTGAATACAGCTGATATCCCGCAAAAGCTTAGCGATAGTGCACTCAATCACCTCTTTCTGATTGCTGAGGACGGCGTGTACTCCCTTAGTCGTAAGAAGCTAGTATTCCAATCTGCAATAGCAGATGTTGCTGCCATCCTGCGTGATGACCACATTGCGATAAGCATCTACATCTCCAGAGTCTTTGCTCGCATGAAGACAGCTGCCTTGCGGCTTTGCTTCAAGAGAAGCAGCTTCTACCGGTACCTTTTAGATGAAAATAAGGACCCAGAGAGTTCTCCAAATCTAGCCAAGCTGGGTAACAAGTACATGTATGAAAATCTGGGGAAGGCAGACAAAGCTCTAGTAGACTCCGTCTCCCTGGAAACGGTTGTAGATCGGCTGGGCATCCTGTACGACGTACTAACCCGCGAACTTCAGTACCTTTGCGCTAAGAGAAAGGCTATATCGTGCATTTACGAGTCACTTCTGCATACATATGATGTAGGAAAGGCAAGGGAGATCCAACAAGTTATCTACAACTTAGCCAAAAACAGGCCAAAGTGCTTTCTTTCGTACCCATCCATGCCCTGCTTTAACGATGAGCTGAACGTAGACGACCTGGATTCGGGCCTCTTGGCAAACCACAGCGTGAGCGAGCTTCCAGTCATTTCTGCGGCGGCCCTAACTGTCAGAATGCTTCCACACCCTGCATATCCTTTAGAAGTTGAGATAAAAACAATGCACCATCTTGTGGGTATTCTAACTTCTGCCATTGATCATGAGATGAAGCACCACTATACGAAGGTCAGCTCTCATGTAGATCATGCCTTTATCTCACAAAAAGATTTGGACACCTCTAAGTCAACTAGGAATGAAGATAAGTGGGCCAGTAGGCATGCTGGGTTCACAGTCTTTCCATTTGGACACGTACCCCAGAGCTTAGAGAAAGATCCCGAGTCATTCTTCAGCATACAGTCACCCTGTACTCCTGCAAGATGCCATGTTGTAGGTGCATACATTCCCACTCTCTCAGAACTGTACAGAATTCCTCTTGCCTTGAATCAAGCGTCTGCAGAGCTCTTTGGAGCGTTCATCTCAGAATCTAACCCAAAACTCTTCACCACTGTTCAGACCGTTCTCTCTACCTCAGATGGTGCGCCCATGAACAAAGTCCACAGCTTTCCAATTTACACGGCGAAGCTATCGCTTACTTGTAGACTCTCTGTCGCACGGGTGTTTGCAAGGGAGTCAGTTCGCTTGATCAAGTTGTGGCGAGCTAATGGAAGTACTTTGCCCAAAAACACGCAGATCTTCACAAATTCTGGGTTACTTGGTTGTTCTAGGCCTCTGATTCATCTTCTTGAAACCGCAATGGTGCAGAAGAAGGCAGATAGCGACAAGTCCATTTGTAACACAGTCTCGTCAGACAAGAACATTGTGGCCGAGAGGCTTGTATGCAGTCTCATTGGGCTTATGGTTCCGGCGGGAGGCGGATACATAGGAAAGGGCACCCTTACCATCAAGGAAAAGGCGGAGCGCGCACAGCAAATTTTAGAGCAGCAGCAAAAGGCTGCTAAGCGACGACCTGATCGCGCGGGCAGTGCGCTTCGCAAAAAGTTACGGTCTAGGGCTCCATCCGCAACTGGGAGTGCACACAATTTAACCAAGTCAGTTCAAAATAACACCTCTGAGGTAGCAACCAAGAGCGTACTAGACCAAAGTGCAGTGGGCAGTGCAGTGGGCACTTCTACGCTACGAGTAACGACAAAAGACGATCTTAGTCTTTCTGTGCGAGATGGGACAGCGAGCCCGGGGTCAGCTATGTTTTCAACAACTTATGGGGGTATTTCAACCTTTTCAACAGCTAACTTCTCTGCATTCAATGACCCAGATGGCCCAAGCAAGAACTTAAACGATATCGACCCGATAGAAGCGGACTTTATTGAACTAGATAGCGTTGAATTTGGCCCGCTGGCCGAGCACTTTGCACGGTCTGTGACGCTGAAGGATATCTTTATTTATCTGGACCAGGGAGCACGAATACAAGTTTCAAATCTACTGAAGGACACCGATCTTCGCATCTGGGAAGGATACCCCGACGTTCTCCCTATGCCATTCTTCCTGCTTGTTCTACTCCTTAACCTGTTGTGGAGTAGGCATCTTCTGGCCACAGCAACTGTTTTTTCGCATGTTCTTAGAAACGTCGAGCTAAGTCAGGTGGAGGTGTTCACCGGCGAAGTCATTTCTAGAAATTGCATACCCCTATTTCCACGGCTGGTTCTTGCGAGCAGCTTTTCCGCCACAACTGCACGAGCGTCTAAGAATGTACTGGCCAATCGCTCTTACACTGACTTCAGTGTGCTAAAAAATACTAACATGCAGTCCAAGATGTCAGAGGAGATTGCAGCAGAAGCGTACAACTATAAGGAGTATGTATCCTATGATGCGCTCCTTAACAATCTTCCATTTCTAGCAACAATTGACGTTGAAGCAATGCACTACCTTCTCACCGTTAACACAGAGAGCCCAATACATTTGTTGACGTGCCTTCTCTCAGAAGACTTTGACCTTGGCTATGGAATATCTACCAAGATGACGACGATCCTGGGAGAGACGCTTCAAGAAGTGCTGAACTCCGGCAACATAAAGGGTGTTTGCGACTCTCCCCTCATATCCGATTTCCTTCAGGGGGTAACTGGGATCTTCGGGAGAACAGCGCACACGGAGGTATGCCTCAATTCGTACAGGTCAGCTGTAATTAGGAATAATCAGTTTTCAGCTGTCTTTGCAGTGATGAGTAAGGCTGTTCATGGATATTACGATGCCTTTGCACGTAGGAGACACCTTGTCAATAGCTTGATTGCAATGGATCCTGTCGAGACACAGTCGGCGTTTATGCACAAGTACAAGTGCATGAAGGTAGGCTTGTTTTTCGCTAATTCCATTCCTCTTGTTAATGCAACCAAGGACCAAGTCAGCTTTTTTGTTTCATCAGACCGTACTGTTCCACTAGATTTGTCTAATATCTACTATGTGTCCTCAGAAGAAACACTAAGCAAGATTGCATTGTTGGCCAGTGCAGAGTTCCGCTATCGTACCAAGCAATTTCATAGTGATGATCCCAATCCAGCTGCTCTCTTTGCATACCGTCAGGCCCTCTTTTACACGTGCTGCCAAGCCCTTCTTACCGAGACAAAACGGACTGCCATAACGGCGCAGATCAAGGGGCAGCTCTCTGCGCTTCGAAGCGTGCTACAAGAGATTAACCAGGACAAGCTCACCATTTTGCTGGACTCTCCTCCCTTGTATCGAGGAGTACTGGAGCAAGCGCCAAACATGAACTCTACCGAAATGATACTCACTGCAGAAGGCTTCCTGAGCAATCCTTTCACGATACCACACCCTATTACGTTTCAATTAGAAAGCAATCAGATATCCATTTTGGAAATCATACTCGTGTATCTAACGTGCCTGGATTCTGTGGTACAGTATGCGGTTATTAAGACCTTGCTTAACTCCAGCGACATATGGTTTGCTGCCGGCATAATTAACGATGAACTAAAGTTCATGCCTGAATTGCAACACGTAACCGTGCACCTAAACAAAGGCCACAGTCTCAACGTGCATCTCCCGTCTGATGGCCCTCTCGTGCGCTCCGGTGATCACGTTAACCAGGGTGACCAAGCAAAAGCCCTCAGCGCTACTGATCTCTTCGCACTTCTCACTCCTTCATGCATTTATCTGGAAGACAAGGAGCTTCAGAGCATGAATTGCGCATTGACAAGTGTGGTCCATGAATACCTGAGCGTTATCTCTGTGAAAGGGTATGCTAGGCCTAAAGACTCCAAGGTGATCCGTGACATAAAGGAGAACTCGTCATATATTCTTCCAGAGGAAGCAATAAATACGGGAGAGAAGCGCCAGGAGACAGTGCTGGTGGATAGGGAGGCTATTACAGTGCAGTCAAAGACGCGAGTGATGGAGATGGAGCTTGAGGGTACCTTAGAAAACACGCAGGATGACATCTATGTATTGTATGACACGGCCAAGCGGAATCTCGAGTACTGCAAGCTGGACATCTTTGTCAAGAAGCTGATTGAGATGAAAGACCGTGTTGACCTGCTTCTCCTGTCCACAGTGGCCCATGCAACAAATAGTTATGTCCATAAAGGACTGGGGCTAGCTGCACGTTCATTTTTACGGACAGCCCAGATCCTGGCAGTGAGGTACAACTATCAGCTCGGCATGCATGGCTTTAATTTAGAAGTACACCCGACTGCCCTCTATACGAAGCTGGCCACAACTGCTCTTCAAAGAAGCATGAAAGAGAACGCAGGCGCAAGCCCATATACGCCTTTTCCAGGCAATTCCATAGATACTGTCTCTAGAAGCAGTTCGGAGTTAAAACTGAAGCATCAATGTTTAGAACCATACGACGTATCCCTTAAGACCCCATTCTATTACCATAACAAGATGGTGCGCTCGGCGATAGAGCATCCACATACTTCAATTGCCTCATATTGCACTCGGAACAGTAACGTTGTGGTAACTCTTGATCCAGAAAAGCACACAGAAACAAATGGCTCGAAACCTAGCGACCAGAATATTCCAGATAACGATGGTGAAAAGAAGTTGAATTTCACATACCCTTTGCAAGCAAATATCAAAAGGACCGCTGACTATCAGATTGGATCAGTATTTTCGTCCCATCCTACCTCCTCCTATGCTGCAGGACCTACCATGTCTCTCATGGCATGCATGAATATCCCTGTTATGGACGGCATCTCTAATTTCCACTCTCGATTTGCATTAACAAATGCTGTGGCTCGCATTCAGCTTTACAAGATCGGCATTTCAAGTTCTGGCCTGACAAATCGGCTTCCCTTACTACTGGATCCTGTCGTTTTCCACTATATTTCGGGGTCCTTATCTTGTGGCTCCCAACAAGCTTCTCCTTTAACAATACGTCCCTATATTCCATCTACGATACGAGCTTTTACAAGCTTCTCTTACATCAACACATATAATGCCCCCTACTCTAGTCCTCTACACATCCGCGCTCTTGCCAATGGGTTTGGTATTAATGGTTCTATTGGGGCCTATTTCCCGTTTGGGTTGTGCTATGACTTCACGTTACTCAAACAACGTAAGCACAGCGTGCTCGACACTAGAGCCTCTGTTGCTTGCACGGCAAATCTGAGCACTGACTTGGACTTTGGAGAGAGCGCTGTCCCCAGTCCTAGCTCCCCTCAGACAGACTCGGAGATATTCCCTGGGTCTTTGTATCTTCCTGCCATGATAACAGATCAAAGTGCCTCTCTGCTAGCTGGACTAACATCACTAGAGTTGGATGCTCTTTGCATAACCGAACTGACTCGCTCGTCCAACAAGGAGCGTGAGCAACCCGGGTATGGTGCGGAGGTAGAGACTGATGCGGGCACAAACATGGCAGAAGGCAAGAGTAACTCACCGTCTTGCGATAAGTCATCGTGGGCCGGAAAAAAGATAGAGAGCATATTAGCAAGCCGGATAATTGAGCAGGACAGGCTCGAGAGGCTCTACTTGCGGCTGCACGGGTTTAATGATAACCATAAGCACTCTGCACTTCTCTCTCCCGTTGGGATCTTTGGGGTGCAACGTGCCTTACAAATGATGCGTATACCGTTCATCAAAAAGCTACAGGAAACACGCCAGCAAGAGGATGAGCTTAACAAAAAGAGGAGCGTCTTTGATAGAAGCAAAGGTCCAACACTTGTCGCTCTAAAGAAGCGGGATATGCAAACATTCTTAGCTTTACCACTTTTTGTATATATGTCCGAGCGAACAACAGACAAGGTAGCGGTTAAGGCCGATGTGCAATCCTTCCAGGAGTGTCTTTTCATCCTGCGAAGCGTCCAGACAGAAGTTCTTTGCGAAAACATAAAATGTATAGCCATGAGACAGCTCTGGAGAAGAATTGGATACCTTGAGAACAATCTTGCAGGACTTAACAAGTACAACGCCCTTACAGATGCGACAATAGACTTTGGCAGCGGTGCCTCCTCTTTAGGATCTGCTTACATTAACTTCCTGTCTTCCATAGGCGAGGGGGTGCGACTAAGCCAGATGGCAAATGTTCTTAGTCGTGAGCGCTCAAATGCTAAGGCATCCTTTGGGATATCATCTCTCAAGCAAATCCCTCCATCTATAATAGTATCCATGGGACTGGCCTCAGGACTCGTCGACACCATGCCAAGCGATATTATAAGCACCTCGGGCTTCAGGGACGCGGGACTTTCTAACAGTGCTGCTCTATCAGCAAAGATTAAAGCAACAAAGGCACTTGTGGACATACTAGAGACCGGTATCATTGAGGGAGGAGATGCCGCTATAAAGCAGTTAAAAGCTAAGGCAGTTGATAGCCTCGATCAAGCATATTTGAGCTTCGATGACTATTCGCTCATGAACATGTATATTATCCGGATAATGTCTGGCTTCATCAATTTCACGGTGTCTAGGTTGGCATCTAAGCTCAAACGCGAACTGCTGGGGGTTCAGATAAGGAACCCGATGTCTTTTCTTTATACACTATCCAGTGTGTATACTGCAGCCCATGCAAACGCACTAAGCTATACACTTGACATGCCCTCTTATGTGAGCACGTCTCTATTGCCAAAAGCTTCTGCAACGCCTCCTCTATCTGAGAGCACTAGCTCACTTGAAAAGGAGCGATTTTCCCTGGAGCTGCTCCTCTTCAGAGTAGAGAATGTCACCGAGAAGTTCAACGACCTGGCGGTCGATGTTGCAGGGTCAATGGCTGCAATTGAAAGTTACTTCACAGATATTATTGGTAAGCGCACAGGAGCTCTTGGGCTGAAGCTTTATAAGCAAAACTATCGAAACATAGAGGCTTTCCACTCCCGAAAGCATGCCCTACGGGAGGAGATCACACGAAGAGCTTTGGCATCGCTGAACCCTGTAGCCACTGCCTATACTGAGGAGCTCACAACCATGACACTGGAATGCTACAACAATGTCAAATCGTTGCACATCAAGGAAACTTGCCTCAGGAACGCTCTTCATGCAGAGATGAGCCGCCGGATTCTTCTCCTCTACGATAGTATACTCCTAGCAAAGCGCCACAGATATCTATTACTAAGCCGTAAGCAGGATACGATACATAGGGCAGTGCTGAACACGAGAAAGTCGTACATGACTACACTGGGCTATATATCCAAGGATTTTGCTCAGCAAAACCCTGCATCAGAGCGTGCCACGGGTGCGATCGGCGATGACAACCTCGGAGAATATGACTACGATATCATTGCCAAGTATGACGCCATGCTCAAGGACCTAACGGAGGAGTGGGGAAATGTGCGTATACGCTTGCATTTAGAACGGAACTTCAGTAATCTGTACATTTCCCATCTCAGGACGAAGTTGTCAGACCTTTTAAGCTCAATAGGAGACGAGCTTTCCAAATACAATAAGGATATATGGATAGCCTCTGCCCGCGGAAAGGAGATAGAGCTGACTCTTGGGAGTAGAGTGCACAACTTGCAGGCGATAATAGCAGATAAGACATCAGAGACAACTGAGCTGCGCGCTCAGATTGATGGGCTCGCGGCCAAAAGAAATAGAGTCGAGTCTGCCCGTCACCCAGAAAAGATGGGTGACAGTGATAGTAATAAGTCTTCTCTTCCAGGTCTTGACAAGGCTGGGACTCAGCTAGCAGTGGAAGGGAAAGGGGCTTCAATATATGGTTTAGCTGCCAAGAAGTTTCTTCCAGAGCTCTCTAAGGCTGCGGTGAAAGGAGGAATCAAGCTGTGCACAGATGCGGAGGTTCAGCTTATTCAGCTAAAGAAGCTATCGGTAGAGCGTGAGTCCTTGGCTGCTGAGAAGCAGCGCTTAGAACAGGCAATCAACCAAATCCGGCGCCAATCTTCTGTGACAGAGAATAACCTGCGGCGCTCAATCCAGAAGGAAAAGCACGCGATTACTACTGCCGAGACGCAGTGCACAGAGGCAATGTCTCGTGCGACAGCGACAAAGGCATCAGTAAGCGTCCTGCAGCAAAATGCAGCGTACATAGAAGACGAGGCGGCCGAGCAGGACAGGCAAAGGCTTCTCAACGATATAGACAATGCCATGCAAGACGTTGCATCTATGAAGGAGAAGATTGGAAATCTGACCCGTGCGTATCCAGAGCTCTTCTTACAAGATATGTGAGCACCCAGATATATGTAGCAAGTACAGCTCTGAGCTCTGCACCATATGGGGAATGCGTGCACTCAGGCATTTTGGCTTGTGCTACGGCGAAAAAATTAAAAACATAGGCGCTGCATGGAGCCTTCGAACACAAACGAGCGTGTGCGCCCACGTGCGGGATCCATCCGCACACATCACCCAGGTGAAAAGCGGGGGATGTACACCAGTTATATTGGTCCGGATTTATCATTTAGTCAATTTGAGCCCTCGTCTGACTCCGAAGTGTCCTTCATGAGCGACATCTCGGATCAGTTTGTGGTGCCCTTTGAGGGCACAGCAAGCATCTTATCTAGTAGCATTAACCTAATAAACACGATCAGCGGCGCCGGACTCTTGGCCCTTCCGTATACCGTCATGCGCTCCGGCTGGGTGATAGGTTTGTTCTCGATGATCTTTGTGATCGTCATTGGCTCCATCTCCTTCTATCTTTTGAGCTTCATTTCAGATGCCCTGCAGGTCTTCAACTACGGTGCAATCGCTCAGAAGCTCTACAACAGGCACGTCGGAAATTTGGTCAACATCCTCATCATTGCTCTGACCCTCGGGCTTCTCATGGCCTTCACTGTGCTCATTCGTGAAAGCATGTTCTTCTTCTCTGCAAACCCCGAACTGGAGTGGGCCGGGCAGCTATCACTCATTGCAGTTTCCCTTGTAGCGATCCTTCCCCTTTCACTGTTGAGGAACTTAAACTCTTTATGGCTTACCTCTCTGCTAAGCATAGTATGTCTCATATACTTCATGGTTATGATTTTGTCCTTTGCAATCCTTAGTAATAGTTCGTCGATAATAAATAAAAATATTGTTCGTCCGATTAAGAAAGGAAGCCCTGTCCCCGTCAGCACCTCACTGAATCTGATCCTGGCAGTGGCGTCCCTGTCAATCACGTTTTGTGGACACTACAACAGTCTAAATATTTACAAGGAAGTACGGAACAAGAGCCTGACGAAAATGAAGCACATTATAGTCATCGTTGCAGTCGTTGTTGCACTGTTGAATGTAACGGTCGGACTGGCAGGCTACTTTATGTTCACTGACCAGTGTCTTCCAGACATCCTCCTGAATCTGGCGGAGTACCCATCTGCGCACATCTGGAGTGAGATTGCCGACATAGGCATAATATTCGTCCTTGTGTTCTCCTTTCCAGTCGTGTGCTTTGCTCTCCGCCGGGCCGTCGAAGACGCGATATTTCAGACAGAATATGTGCGCCGTAAGTGGTCCATCCTCATCTCTTTGACCGTCGTCGTCTTCACCGCACTGATAGGGTGCTTTGTCAACGACGTGGGGATCGTCCTGGACCTGACTGGGATGCTCGCAGGTGTTCCGTTGGTATTCATCTTCCCCGCAATCTTCACGCTTTCATTTCTGAACCCTAAAAGTCATTACAATCAGCAATTTAGCCGAGCCCTCCGTCTCCGTCTAGCGATAGAGCAGCATGAAAAGCCGCACAAGCTCCTCAAATATAATGACGACACAGCAGCACTGGTGGAGCCTGTGCGAAGTCGAAAGCAAAGAAGCATGCGCCAGTCCCTTGAGGCCGAGCTGGGAGAGGGTGGAGAGACGCTCAAGCGATACTATAACAACTATTATGTGGGCCCTGTTCAGCTTGCTCAAGAGAAGATCTTTAGAAATACGAGCAGGCTCAAGCGGCTTCGCGCCCTTTCCTGGGTAAGTTTCATCCTTGGTGTTGTGCTATTTGTTTCTGCCCTTGGCACAACGTGCTTTATTTCCATAGATCTTTCCAGTGTCGACAATTAAGTAATTGAGCATCCCTTACCAAAAAAGTTAATTTAGTATAATCGAAAAAAATGGGAGCGGAACTCTCACCGAAGGCCACCGTCCAGCAACTCTTAGATGCCATGAAGCAACTGCAGAGGGATTCTGTTAGCGCTTTCAACAAGGAAATTAGGGAAATTGACTCTCATGTCAGCAGGCTTCAACGTGAGATGAGAGAGATGGCCAAGCTGAATTACGACTGTTCCGAAGGCATGAGAGCTCTTGCGAAGTCCTGTCTTGACGCCAAGAAGGTGAAGGATCAGATAAATCTCTTCATCGTCCAGGTCACAAGTCTTGAGAGAGAAGTGAGGCTTCAGGCGACTCAGCAGCAGATTCACGCCCTTATCAAAGACTCGGGCGCTGTCGTCGGGAGGATCAACGAACTATTCAGCACTAATGGGTTTAGAGAGGGTATAGTGAACATGTCCAGAGAGCTGGAGCGAATGGGCATAGTCAACTCCATCTTCAACTCTCAGTTTGAAAACGCCCTTCAGAGCAATGACATGGATGCGCGCGTCGAGGCCGAAATCAATGATGTGATTAACAAAGTTCTTGAGTCTGACCAGGCCAGCGGGGCTCTTCCTGCCATTCCACAGGGCAGTGTCAGTGCCAACGTGGAGGCAGCTAGCATGAACGAATATGAGGCACAGTAGGTGAGGGTCTAGCATTCCCTTCTTGCAGCGGCGCGCGAATTCGGCTTGCCTTTGCTCTTACACTCAATGATTGGTTAGAGTGTGAGGGTAAAGGTTTCTTGCTGTAGTTGTGTTCTTCTTATGATTTCTTCTTTGCGGTTTGTGCGTTACAGGAGCGTTGGTAATGTCACAAAGATGTCAATCAGTGAACTTTGATTGAAGTAAACAGTAACTCTCTGCTGTTGGACATATGTACACGCGTGCACACGCACAAACAGAGAAAAAGCACGCAGAGAGAAGGAGGGGGAGAGGAAAAAGCTCCACACGGGACAATCAGTCTATGCAATGGTCTTGGAGGACAATTTCTGTGAACAGAGAATTTACAAGCGTATCACAATTTCACGCCGCGCCGTTTTTCAAGCCGCCATTTGTTCCGTTTTTCATTTTGCTCAGTAACCCCCTGCTCTTCGCGCTTCAATTTTGCAGTAATATTAGCAGAAGAGACAGTGATGTAATATGCAGTTAAAATGACCTCTTCTGACACTCGGATAACCCTGTCGCTGTTTGTCCTGTCGATTACATATCGCAAATTAGTCAACTGCTTCTGTGTTTGCTCCTCTATGGCATACAGTCTGTCCCTCTCTGGTGCCTCCACGAACGTGATAGCGCAGCCATCTCGTCCTGCCCGGCACGTGCGTCCAACACGATGGATATAATCGTCGGGAGTACTGGGCACATTGTAGTTGATTATCAAATCGACCGTGTCTATGTCCAAGCCACGGCTGGCCAAGTCTGTAGCCACTAGGATCCGTGCCTGGTACGTTTTAAACAGTTTCATGTTGTATATTCTTTGGTCAAGGGTCATGAGCCCATGCAGCGCGCATACAGGGAACTTCAGCTCTGCTAGTGTGAGCTCCAGTTCTGAGCAGGATGTGCAGGTGTCGGTGAAAATTATTATTGAGCGGACACCTCCCAGGACAATCAGCTCTTTCACTCTCTCTTCAGTTAGCTTCGAGCCAAGTGAAGAGGAACGGTTGAAGGAAAGATCTGCCAGGTCATCGAGTTTGTATTCTGTGCTAGCTATGGCGTTGTCTGACCTCTTATTAATCTGGATTCCTGAAATCATAGATAGGAGCCATGCGAGCCAGGTGACCTTGTGACTGGGCTGAGGAATCAATAGATACTTTTGGATAAGCTGCTGCACTAGCGCCATGTCCTTTCCTTCCACATTAATGTAAGTAAATCGCTTCATACGCTGCTCTCGGTTGTCGCCGGATGGTATAGTGTTTGAGTCGTTGGTGAGGAAATGCTTTAGGTTGTTACTTAGCGTTGCCGTGAAGAGAAAGGTTGTGCGCTTGCTGATGGGAGGCAGCGCCTGGAGGATCATTGTAAGCTGCTTGTTGAATTCTGGGTCGCCACAAAGAAGCCTGTCCGCCTCATCTAGAACTAAGTACTTCATTCGGCGGAAGTTCCTTTGGGCAGCAGCGGACTCTAGCATGTACGCTAGCCTCCCTGGCGTAGCGATGAGGATGTGCGGCCTGGAATCTAAGATTGCCGACTGCTCGACCGAGTCCTTCCCTCCGATCAAGCTCTGAGCCTGTATACCCAGAGGGTTTCCATAAGCGTTCATTTGCTGCTCTATCTGAAGGGCAAGCTCACGAGTTGGGGTAAGAACGAGTGCAAATATTCCATAAGGATCCTGAGAAAGCTCCTGAAGAATCGGAAGCGCAAAGCAGAGTGTTTTCCCCGATCCTGTGCGGGCTATTCCACAAAAGTCCCGCCCCTGCATCGTGTATGGAAGCGACTTTTGTTGAATGTCTGTGGGCACTGTGATGGTGTACTGGTTTAGGAGTTGTGCAAGCATAGGAGACACGCCCAAGGAACTAAAAGTGACCTCTGTACTGGTGCCTCTAAGTGCCTCCGAAGCATCGCACAAAGGAGGAGGTTTAGTAGGCTCTTCTGGGGACTCTGAGGCGGGAGTTGAATCTCCTATGGAAACTGCATGCGTTATAGATGTGCTTCCCGCTACATTTTCGCTAATACTTTCATCTTCGAACAGGGCAAAGTGGGTCATAAAAACGCCCTCAGTGCATTTTATTCAGTACATTTTAAGAATTCTGTCCAAATGTCCATAAATTAAAAATGGGGGCTAAACACAGACGTGCGGTTGCCAAGCCACCAGCTGCCGCGCCTGGAGGGCGCCGTGATAGTATCTTTCGCTTAATTGTGAGAACAGTGTCTGGAGTGTGCATGATTGTATTTTTCGGCTCTATGCTCTGGTATCCGTTCTATCTCCCTTACACTCTATTGCTGCTTTCCTTCTGCACATATTATGAGATACTGCACACGGCGAGTGCCTCGCTGCGTGTCCACTGTCCTCGCTCGGCATGCTTCATGATCCTCACGGCCTGGTCTCTCTACCTTGCCGTGCTCACGGCAAACATGGACTTGCCAGAGTTTTTGGGCAAGTTTGTGGAGAGGGTAGGCTCCTACGTAGTCTTCTATGCAGCCAGGCTATCACCCAGCCTTGCTAATGCATTATTCATGGCCTTGCGAGCAGTGCAGAATGGTCTGCCCTATCTTTTTAACAAACTATACAGCTTTGTCATCAGCACCTTCTTCCTCCTTGTTCTACTTCTTCACGTGAGGGACCCGTTCTTGCCCGTCCTGAACTTTTGTGGATGGGTTATGGGAGGGCTGTTTCTGACTTGTCTGGAGATACGTATCATCATGACCGTCCAGAAGGATGGGATGTATTTTTATCTTCCCTCTGTACTAGTGGTTGCGAACGACACCTTCGCATACATACTAGGAAAGCTGCTGGGGCGCCATTCCTTAGTACGCGTCTCGCCGTCGAAGACTTGGGAGGGGTACATTGGTGCCGGGGTTGCCACCCTAGTATTTTCGCATTTCTGTGCAATCCCCTTGATCGAAAAGTTTGGTGGCGAGGTATTTAGGTCTAGGCTGGATGCTGACGCAGCCATGCAGGCTGCCACAATGGCCGCAGCAGCGACGAAGGCCGCTACCCACGGTGTGTCTCTACTGGACAACAGTCAGCTGAGCCGGATGTACATCTGCTGCATGCTCCTTGCTCTGTGGATAAGCATCGTGGGGCCAGTTGGGGGCATGCTGGCCTCGCTTGCCAAGCGCTGTGCAAAAATTAAAAACTTCAGCAATTTAATACCCGGACACGGCGGCGTCATAGATCGAATCGATTGTCACATACTAGCAAGCATTTGTTGCGCATTCATCTATGATTTCTTTTACGAATAAAATAAATATTGCAAAGATTTTTAAAATTGAAAATTACAGAGTGTTTTGGCAAATCTATCCGTTGCTCTCTCGGTGCCAAACCGTGTCACCGCTTGATTCGTATATAGGTAAGGTTCTTGTCTCCCTCAAGAGCATCCAGGAATTGTCGTCTGAAGATTATGCACTTTACCAGGACTTGCATGAAAGTGCGGTACGTGATGCCCTTGTTCGCTGCAATCTCCTGGGTGTAGTCCTCAAGCATAGACGCACATGCGCGCTCAGTCAGGCCGATGTTAATGCGCCTGAGGGCCGAAATTAACTCGCTGGAACTCAAAATTCCTCGGTATCTTTTGTCACAATACAAGTAAAGGGCGTAGTACTGGTCCTTTGTATAATTGGAAAAGACGTACACAGCACGCTTGATGTTATTGAACCCCAACAGAACCCCAGTGTAGTGACTGCTGCACATCAGAAGGACAGACTCCACCGTGGCCTCCGTGAGCACCTCCGGCTTCTCCTTGATACTGCTTAAAAATGCTAGTAGAACCGATGGCGTCACACCGTCTGGATTTTGCACGTGGAGTTTAGTAACTAAGTCGTCAGCCACGGAGACCACCATCAAATTTTTAAGAATGTTTAAGCAATTATCTATCCTTTCCAAAGCCAGATGTCTTTATTATTCCTGTGTCTCTACCGGCTGCTTGCAGAGTCCATCGTCTGAAGTGCCTGATTCCGTAGATAAGGGTCTATACATTTCTTCTCCTACCTCCTTTGTGCGCTTGAGCTTCTTTGGCTTCTGCTCTATTAGGTGCTTGGCCACAGCCTGGTTTGCAGCGGTAACAGCGAGCGTGCTAACTGCGGCAGCCGTACCAGTCACACCAGTCGTGCCGTTGACTGTACTGAGTAAAGAATCAATCTCTTTAGTGTCTCCCTGGGACATATATCCTGTGGTCATGGTCGCAGCCTTGTCGCCCGTGCTCGTCAGGCTTTGTCCGCCAATGTCTGCGAAGGCTTGATTGAGCTGCTCTACAACTCTGCGAAGACTCTGGAGCTCAAAGTCCTTGGAGGCAATTTGAACCTCGTATGCTTGCGGAGATAGCTGGTCTACATAAGGCTCCAACGAGGTAGAGGAAGACACTAGTGCAGACATCAAATTGCTTATTTGCCCTCTGGAAGCTTCCAGCTCTCGAACCTGGCGCGCAAGGACATCCACTGTGTACTGAAGCCGTTCCACAACGGCACGCAGCTCATGAGCCTCTAGCCGTGCAGCTGCTGCGACATAGACTGCCTGGTCAGACGAGGATTTCGTCGTCTGCATCACCGCCTCCAGCTTGGCTTCGGACGCCTTTACAGCATTCTCTGCAAGCATGAGTTGGTCATATACGGGCATGTCTCTCGTCTTGGACTGATTGGCCCCGGAATCAATGTACTTTCTCAACAGCTCTATTGTGAGATCATCATGCTTTGCCTTTGCAAGCATGCTCTTTGCGCCTGTCTTAACGACGTTCAGCTCATTGTTTAAGCTTGCAATTCGCACAGAGTTCTTTTTGTCCTTCTCCACCAAGTCTTTGATCCGTGCATCTTTCTCTGCCAGGCGATCTGCCTGCCTCTGCACATCAGCAGTTAAGTTGTCGATCTGGGTGTGATACTGTTCACGTATGGTAGCGATGTAATTGGCTGCACGAGACTCTTCACCGAGGTATGCAGTTTCAGGGTTGTCCGGCACCTCAATGAGCCCCCGCGCATTTGCTAATTCTGCCTCCAGTTGTTGTATGTGGTCTTGTGCCGACACTAACTTACCCTTGAGCAGAGAAATCTCTTCAGATCGCCCCCTATAGGTCGTAGACAGTGACTTGGTCTTTAGAGTCGTCCAATCCTCGCCTGTCTCCCTTTGGAGCACGGTCTTTAACATCGTATTCTCCTTTGTAAGAGCATTAATCTGAATATTCAGTTGGCCCAATTTGAGAAGGACAGAGTCATCTGGCTCTTTATCGTGGGAAGCCTTCGATGACAGTTGTGACCCGCGTGCAGAGGTGCTTTTAGACGGCTGCTCTTGCTGGCGCTTTGCAAGGACTTCTAGCTTGCTGCTTAACTGGTTAGTCTCTGTGGTTAAAACCTTGTTGACTTGTTCAAGTTCTGAAATTTTGCTCTTATACCGCTCATTAACAGATGTGAGTTGACGAATTTGTGTGTTGAGGTCAACAATCACTTTCTTAATGTTTCCTCTTTCTGCGGTAGGGGCATTTTTAGTGAGCTCCTTCACCTTGTTCAATAATAGGGCATTTTCTTCACTGAGTGTTCTAATCGTTTCCACTACCTCCTGATTACTCTCTGGAATGGGCTGTACAGGTATATGCTTTGCACTTTTGGTGCGATCTTGGGATGTGGAGCTAACCTTTACCTGCTTGAAGACCCCCCGAGATCCCGCAAGATCCTCATTGGTATGCAATCCGATCTTCTCTCGACCTAGACCGCCGGCATTGGCGTCCTGATCATCGAAGAGTGCATCGTCCGAGGGATCGTCGACATAATCGTCCATTTAAAAAAGCGTCCTAAGGCTGCAACGTCTCTGCGGGGTCACATGGGTCTATTATCGAGCGAATTGTACGTCGACGTCTCTCCACTTAGCTCTAATGGCACTGGGCAGGTGTTTTATGCCCAAAAAAGGGGCACGGACGTACCTTTGGCAGTCAAGCATATTTCTATCGAGGACTTCCCTTCTGCACCTGCTTTGCATTTACTATATATCTATCAGGTCGCACTAACACTCGACCATCCAAATTTGGTGCGCCATTTCTCAGCCAAACACGATCTTGCAGGTCGTTGTTTAACAATCGATATGGAACTATGCGAAGGGGGCACTCTCGCAACTCTACTACACGATGTGCGTGGACTAAATAGGATCTTGAGTGAAACGTTCGTTTGGAGCGTAGTAGGTCAGGTTGCCAGCGCTCTAGCTTATCTGCATCTTCCGTTCAGACCTGGGCCTATAGAGGAGGGTGGGGCAGGCGTACCAGGTGCACAGCCGTGTGATGCAGGCCCCATCATCTACGCCCATCTTTCCCCCAGATCCATACTTCTCACGGATAGATCAATACATGCACGTATAAAGCTTTCTGGGTTGACCAGAATGATTGTTTTGAATAGTAGTCAATCGGCAGTTGCAATTGACGCATTTAATTCGATGGTAAGCGCAGAGGACACGGACGTCTACATTGCTCCGGAAGTGAGGTCTGGTGACGGCAATCTAACTACAAAGATGGATGTCTGGGCATTAGGGTGCCTGATTTATGAGATATGTCTGCGTAAGAAGCCAAGCTTTGAGGTTCTGAGGCAGGAACGGCCGGCGTTTTCATCAATCGATCTCACAGATTATGGGTACTCACCAACGCTTAACAAACTCATGTACGCTTGCCTAGAGATTGATCCAGCACAGAGGATGACCGCCTCAGAGATTGTGCTAATTCCAGAGGTCTCTCAAGCCATATTCAACTACGAAGAAGCCATTAAGTTGCACTTGTCGAGCACATCCGTGTCATCTGCCAGCACGCTCACTGACACTGATCTATTCAAAACTTTTGTCAAGGATCACGATAGCAAGATCTTGGATGACGCTATAGTCAATGGAAAGGATGGTCTCTTGACTGATATCTGTCAGCACATATTGAAGTGCACTGCCAGAGACGCTACTAGCATAAAGTGCAGCCCAAGAAATGGGATTGCCACAGACAAGCATACCTCATTGATGCGTGCAGCTGAGCAGGGAGATATTGATGATATGCATGCCCACTCCTGTGACCTTGGAAAGGTCTACACTGGACCAACTCGGTTGGTGTACCGGAATGGAAACACTTCAGTAAAGCATGGCATGACTGCACTGATGCTCGCTGCGCACCACAATCACGTTAAATGCACAGAGCTGCTGCTTAGAGAGCTGGGAATTCATGGCGCGGGCGGTGCAACCTCTCTGATGTTTGCAGCCAAGAATGGCAGCACAGACTGTGTAAAGCTCCTCCTGGCAGAGGCGACCTCCCAAGACGAGCAAGGAAGAACTGCTCTCTTCTATGCAGCCTCCGCTGACAGCATAGAAGCCGTTGAATTGCTGGTGCAGAAGGAGGCACGGATGACCAACACTGAGGGTGCAACGGCGCTCATGATCGCTGCCCAGAACGGCCACGTTAAGAGCACGCGTGTCCTCTCTCTTTGGGAGGCAGAGATGCAAGCCGGCAAGGGGCAAACTGCGCTTATGTTGGCCGCTCTAAACGGCCATACAGAGTGCGTTTCAATACTAGAAAGATTGGAAGCAGGAATTCGCTCTAATTTAGGCAGGTTTGCCCTGTACAATGCCGCATCAAACAATCATGTCAAGTGTGTTGAAATATTAATGGAGAAGGAAGCATGCCTGCAAGATAATAACGGGGTTTCTGCGCTCATTATTGCTTCGCAGAAGGGACACAAGCAATGCGTTGAGCTTCTCCTACAGGAGGAGGCTGGGTTGTGCAACATAATGGGAGGGACCGCTCTCATGGCCGCTGCTTCTAAGGATAATATTGACTGTATCGAGCTTCTAATACCAAAAGAGGCCAGAATGCAGACAAAAACAGGAATAACAGCGCTATACACGGCAGCATTTCACGATAATCCCGCTTCTGTGATGCTCTTGCTGGACCACGAGGCTAAGATGACCGAGGAGAGTGGTATGACCGCCCTTATGGCGGCTGCGAAGAAAGGCTCGATCGACTGTATATCTATCTTAGCTCCTTTGGAGAAAATGTTAAGGGACAATGAGGGAAACACTGCGCTAATGCTTGCTGCTGCTAACAATAAGCCAGACTCTGTACGGGCCCTTGCGTTGATAGAAGGAGGGGCCCAAAAGAGCGATGGAACAACAGCGTTGATGATAGCCGCTGAAAGAGGGTACCTGCAGTGTGTCCTTCTCCTGATTCCCATTGAAGCAAGGATCCAGAGGACAGATGGAGTAACCGCCCTCATGCTGGCAGCAACAAATGGCCATACTGAGTGTGTGAAGCACCTGAAGGCTTTCGAGAACTCTCTCAAGGCCTTGAACGGAAGCGACGTGTCAGATTATGTGAGAAAAAACCGTAGTCCACGAGTGTCTAGGCGTTCGTTCTCTGCATGCATGTCTCTGCTAATGAAGAACTAAAGCATGCTGTCTTAAACACATTCGTCCTCACCCCCTTCTGCTAGATGCAGTGAAGCTGCTCTCCTCTGTTGCAGTGTTACTGCAGCTGATTGTGATGTCCTCTGTTGAGTCGTCGCTCAGAGCTTCAGAAGTAAAGCTCCTCTCAGACGAGTAGCTGGCGCCCTTCACCGCCGTCGGCTCTACAGGTGAGCAGCATGTTTCTGCATCTCCCAACTTTGCAGCCAAACTTCTATACTTCGTGAAGTACATGGCAAGGGCAAGCAGCCCAACAGCGCCGGCAATTCCATCACCAATTGGGAAGCAAACAGAAAAGTCTGCCCCGTTGCCGTTCGTCAATGCCAAGACCAGCATAAGGACAAAGATGCAAACAGGACGAACAGTCATAAATACGTAGAACAAGCTTCTCTTATTATCTATGGACGCCATAACCTGTGCAATGTTATGGGCCACGATAAGCGACGGTGTGTAAAAAGCGCTCCTTCCCACGCGTTTATAAACTGGGTTGCCCATCATATAAAGAGATAGTGCATCCTTTTGACTGACAGAATCAAAAGAGGGCTGATATCCAGCTATGACGTAGTCTGACAGGGCCCCGAGCAGAAGACAAACCGCAGCTGTGGCAACGGTGCAGTAAAGCCAGCTGTACTTAATGAGCGCATAGAGCCGCTTATAGTTGTGAAGACTGTGGTTGTACGAAGCAATTGTGGAGAACCCTGGACGCATTCCATCGAGGAAGATGGAGGCCACATTATACATGAGCATATAGTTGAGATATGCTGTCTTGCTGTGCATCATTGCAACAGTGTCTGTATAGCATCGAGCATAGACTATATTGAGACTGAAAATAAGGACATTCAAGACAGATATTCCGCTCCACGAAGCCAGACCTTGGATGAAGATGCGCAAAAGCACCTTACCGTTTAAAGGAAAGAGCCTGCGGAAGGAAAATCCTAATCCACCGTGTAAGGGGATGTCTAGAACAGATTTTCTCATGAAAACTAGGACCATCCACAGGCCTACTATCAGGTTCGCAGCACCAATAGAATAGGCTACCAACTCAAGTCCAGTGCCTTCTCTGAGCTTGCTGGTCCCAAAACCCGGCAGCTTTGCAGCAGATATGTAATAGCTCACATACAGAAGAAGCAGGCTCAAGATTCCGAGGTAGATTGTCTTTGATAGGTAGAGAAAGTTTCTGTTCTCGAGCTTTAAAAGAATGTTTACGCCCGAACTAAACGTATAAGCGAGGGGGAGTATGACAAAAGACGCTATCAGATACTTTTTTCCAAAGCTAAAATCTGTATCGGCATGGTAGGGTCCGGACACGATAAAGAATAGGAGCTGCTTGTGCCATGCAATAAAGATGATTGGGATCATAATGCTCCAAATGATACTGACTAGAACTGCGTGGCTTACGTATATGTTTGCAACGTTGATATTTCCTATTGCAAGTGCCTTGAAAACTGGCCCGGAAATGCTGGAGAAGATGGCCTGCGTGGGGTTCCTGCAAAGCAAAAGGATCAAAGGGAGTACGGAAGCCTCTATGCTGATGGCCTTGAGGCCTCCAAACTGGTATGTGAGGCTGTATGCGCATATATTAATGACTCCATTAAATAAAAAGGCAAGAACATCAATGTACGAGACATACCAGATCAGCCTTCTAACATCCATTGATACGAAATTCTGCTGAGCCTGCTCCATGGCTGCAAACTGGGTGGACGATATCGCGGACTTACCAATGGAGTAGTACTCTGAGCCTTCTGCCAGTTCTTCCAGTTCCGTTAGCATTTTAGATCCTGCGTTTCCTTGTACTCCAACCGGCTGTGGGGTTGCCAGCGAAAGGTTTCTCTGTTGCATAAGCTGGCTTTTCCCCGGTTTTTGGCAAAAGATTAAAATGGAAATAGAAAGTCAAAGAGGTTAAAAATGAACCGTGTCTTTATTATTTTATTACTTTATTTCGTTTTTATCATTAGTTAGTATCATTAGTTAGAGATGTCCAGGAGCGCAGATTTAGGCATAATTTCAGTTTAAATTGTCCGCGCAGATAAAGAAAGCCATGAGCACCAAGCCCGTCAAGGACAACAGCAAGATGAAGAGCAGGTCCGCGCGCGCGGGGATCTCGTTCCCGATCGGGCGTATCCACCGCCACCTGCGCGAGGGCCGCTATGCAGAGCGCATCTCGTCCGACGCGCCCGTCTACCTCGCGGCCGTCCTCGAGAACGTCGTCGCAGAGGTCTTCCGGGAGGCGTGCAACCACCGTGACAAGAAGAGCCAGAAGCGCATCGTCCCCAACCACATCCTAACTGCCCTCCGCAAGGACAAGGAGCTTGCGACCATCTTCGCCAACGTCACAATCCGCGAGGGAGGCGTCGCCCGCTCCGCGAAGGAGGGAAGAGAGGGCAAGGGCTCCCATCGGTCGCAGGATCTTTGAGTGTCAGTCTGTAAACTATTGCTTAATTTGAAAATTCCGAGTTAGGTTCGTTTCCTTTCCTCGCATGGCGGCCGATCCGTATGTAATACTCTGCGAGGCTAACCCACAGGTGTGTTTAGACTTTGCGCAACACGCCTTTGAGGAGCCGGTGCAGTGTGTCGCAGACCATCTGTCTGGATATGCTAAAGCTGTCGCTGAATCCACCCCTCCCAGCAACACAATTACCCTCTTCCTTCATCCACGGTACCACAAAGTGGCGGGGTTGGAGAGGTTTCTTGGGGGTCTCACGCTCTTGCGGCTCATCAGGTGCCGAATAACCAACATAGAGGAGGCAGCCAAGGTTACGGGGCTTCGATTCCTATGGCTGGACGACAACAGGATCACACACGTTGCAGAACTAAGCGCTCTTCCTCGTCTCGAGTACCTTTCGTTGCCTGACAACCACCTGACTGATAAATCGTTATCAGACCTAAAGTCCACAAGCCTACGAGGTCTGAACGTTGCAAATAACCCTGTGTTTTACACTACATGGCTAGCAAACCTTCCAAACCTTGTCCATCTCGATATCTCGAGGACAAACATATCAAATTTCAACGCTCTACCCGTGCTTTGCCCCAAGCTTTACTCCGTTGACATTTCTGCAACGAGGGTATACAACTTTGTTTCGTTGCTAAACATGCTGCACGGCTCCTTCCCCATGCTTCGCTCTATTCATGTTGAGTCCCGGGCCGGCCGCACTCCATTCTTTGAGTTGATGAGCTTTGCAGAAATCGAGCAATTTTTCGCGTATGTCATTACCAAATACGACCTTCAGCTGCGCACAATCAACGGATTGCATTATACTGCCAGCGACATCACCAAGAACTACTCTTTGTGTTGCGCAGCCCCATCAGTTAAGCAGTACAAACTAATCTCTCTGATGCTAAACCTAGACCTGAACCAGTTTATTGCGGCATGTGACGCCTACACCCGGCCTTTTCTCAGGGAAATTTACAAAAGCTACGAGCGACTTAAGTGCGACCTTATGGACCTTCGCTTGTTATTGCTCTGCAAGGAGCACGTGAATGATTACATAAGTGCCACAGAAGCAGAAAATGCTGAGGGCATGCGCAGAGATTTTGCTGAGTTGCATAAGCTAGGCTTTGTCGAGTTGAACAATTTGAACCAGGGTTTAGCCGCTGCTTTGGCTCTATTACGCCAACTATACCTTAGATATCACGAAGTTGTTGGTCTCTCCTTCCTTAAGATTGACCTTTTCAAGGCAGTCACAGGCTTATCCGAGGAGCTATTCCCTCAGAGGAAGGCTCAACTAGAAGATGCTCTTTCCAGATTCACAGTCTTCTCAACCCTTCATAGTAATCGCATAGCTGACACGTACTTCAGTAGGCAAAAGTATCAGGCACTTGAGATATCTGAGACGTGCATAGCGCCTACGCTGAATTATCTTGAGGAAATCTCGTCCATGAAACAAGACCCCCTTATGTATGTCTGCATGTCTGACATCTTTGACATGAATAGAGAAGACGTTTACAAGGATACGGCGTTTCCACTCAACATCTTCGGTCTAGTGCACGAGATTATAGGAGCTAACATCATCTGTGCAACTGGCAAAGTGCTAAATTTAAATGTTATTCACAGATCTGCCATAGTGAAGGCAGAGGCAACGGAGGAAACAAACGAGAAGATCACAGAGGTCCTCACGGAGGACATTTATAAGCAGTACTTTCAAATGGCCTCTAAAACTACTCAAAGGCAACATCACCCCTTCAATATTCGCCCTGGGCTGCGTCGAATACCCTTGTATGATGAAGGTCAGCTGCTAGATCTGATCGCTAAGATTCGGATAGGTGAGCCCCTAGTGCTCATCGCTGTCAAGCTGTCTGATCAGACAATAGCTGTTCATGATGGTAGAAAGCATCTAGACATTAACACGACTATGTACACTACCGTAGGAACAACTATTATCTACCGTAAGGGACCGGTGTCTAAAGTGGCCCAGAAATCACGGGCTGAACAGTTATCTGAGACAGTGGTGGAGTGCTCGCCTATGGTGGCTACTGAGCACCGTATTCCCCTGTTCTATTCTTCCCATGATCCATTACTTCAGTGGCTATTGACCATGGTGTGGCAGCAATACAAGACACATATTGATGCATTAAGCAATGTTATCCCAGACAGCGCCATTGCATGCACAGAGGTTGGGCAAGAAAACACATCACCCAGGGGTGTCAAGTCCAGGCCCGGGCCCGGGCATACTGCCTCAATAGCCCCGCCAAGGTTCACCCCTCTGGTGAATCTGATTGCCCATCAAGGCCAGATCACACCAGACAAGATTGCAACCGAACGAGACTCCATAACAGTTCAGCAGCCCGCAAGTACCGCCCGCATGGTCGACCTACATAACTGTGGACTCACATCTACACAGCTTCAGGAGCATCCTGATCTTCTCAGTAGCTACTCGAGCGCAGAAAGGCTTTCCCTGGCATGCAACTTATTAACAAGTGTCTCTATTTCTTTGCCAAGCTTAAAGTGTTTAGATCTATCTTCAAACATGTTGAAAGAGATAGCGATTGATTGCCCCAATCTGATATTCTTTGACGTTTCCTCTAATAACATTTCTTATGTATCCGATCTCTTGCGAGGTTTGTCCGCTGCCACACGCCAAAGCCTCAGACACATAGTTATCTTTGATAACCCATTCACCATCCAATCCTCCATCAACCTGTACTATGCGTTACACATCATCGGGTTCCTCCCCAGCCTCCAGTCAATAAATGGGCGCATGATCAAGCCCCTCATTGCTAGGAAGAACATGGCCGGTAACCCAGCGATGCTCTGTGAAGTATTTAATATAACAATTGAGAGCAAGGACCTTACAGAAATGGTGGCACTTCTTGATCTTGATAATGCTTCTCCGTGGATGACAGAGACTTACAATTTGATGAATCCATCCTCTGCCTCAACAGGCACGGCAATTGTAGCCCGCACATACTTTGAGCTGTCTCCTGTGATTCTTGGGCACCATATAAATTATTCCATGATAGGGGCCTTTGACATCCCCAAGACGCTTCCAGATACACTGCTGTCAGTCGATCTATCATATAATTTTGTGGTCAAGCCAAGCAACCTACTAAGTTATGGCTCCATTCAAGTGCTTAATTTGAGCAACTGCAAAATCACGTCCAAGACGCTTGACTTATTGGCACATTCCCTGGATCGTCTCGTCGACTTAGACATATCTTGTAACAATATAACAAGCATCAATTCGCTGGCCACGTACAGTGAGACATTGACCACTCTGCATATGAACTGCAACCCAGGTTTAGAAATAGATACTCTGCCTGATCTTCCCCAACTACGTACTGTATCCTGCCTTGGCATCAAAAGCTCAGCAGAGAAGGTCGCAATCACTTTGTCCAATCGTTGCAGTAACTGTACGCATGTCATACTTCCCCCATCGGACCCTGTTCCTGGCATCATCTACATGCTTCCTCTTCAGTGTCTCAATTGTGTCTCCATAGACCCTTCCACGATACGGCAGAACAGGCTGAAGCTGGTCGGCTCTCTCAACCAAGAGATAGTTACTTCGTTAAACGCATGGAATGGCAAGAACACCCTGAGTCTCTCTAACTCCGGGATCATGACCTTGAACTTTGAAAAGTCAATATCGCATATAGTGACCGCTGCAGAGACAATCTTTGCCAGTGGCAACGCAATCACCAATATATCATCTCTCAAGGAGTTTTCGAGCCTCATCCAAATAGACCTCTCTTACAATAAGATCTCAGACCCTTTTAATGGGCTAAAGTCCAACACCCTGGAGGCTCTCAACGTCTCCTATAACCCAATAGGATCCATAAAGGTCACAAATACGATGCTCCCGTGTCTAAAGTGCCTCATTCTCCGTGGGTGCAACATATCTTCGCTCCCAAATAACGCATTCAGTGCAGTAGGTAGGATGCTCACCTATCTTGACATAGGTGAGAACCCTCTTATAACCGTCTCCAAGGACTGCTTCTCTGGACTAGTTAAGCTCAAGACTCTCAAATGCGATTTGTGTAACATTCGTAGCGTAGAATTTCTTGAGCCCCTCACGTCTTACGGGACCCTACTTCTTTTAGATCTCAGGGCAAATAAAATCCACAATGGAGACAAAACCCTTGACACACTGAAGAAGCTACGATCTCTAACAAAGCTATTTGTCGCTGAGAACCCTTTCAGTGTGCGGGAAAAGAACATAGCCGAGTTCCGGGTTAAGCTCTTCTACACTATTGAAAACCTAGTTGAGCTTGAAGGCATTGCCAAGACTGCGGAAGAGGTATCACGGCTAGAACAGTACATTCAGTGGCGACTAGAGAAAGATGCCAAAAGTGAGGTACAGATAGTACGATTCACCATTGGAGATGCAGCACACAGCACAAGTCAGCCTGTGCTGCCCCTTGTCAAAAATGATCATATTGCAAACACTGCTAATTCTTCTCGCTCAACAGAAAGACCGTCAATCGGTGCAACGAGAAGGTTTAGTGGCCACGCAGCATCCAAGCCTACTTTAAACGGCATAGTTATAACCGGCATTACAAGAAAAAACACATAGTCATATCTGTGAGCACTTGCTGCTGTTTATAGTCTCCAAGAGCCTCTTGCTAAGCCACGGCTCTGCCCTTCGTCACAAATGAAGATATCCTGTTCCGCCGCGCCCAGTAGTCTTCTGTGAATCCCAAAATTGTATTCAGATCAAGTACTCGGACTGTTCCCTCCACATATCCTTTCAATAGTGAGAGCGTGTCTTGAAATAGTTTTCTGACTGAGTCATAGTCACACACCTTTTCAGTAATATTTATGCCTAACTCTGCGTTCAGGATAACAAGCGGTAGAGCCTCCAATGGCACAACCCGACGCATGACTTCATATAGAGTACTTGTTGGTGGAACCCGGCACACTCGGACTCCGTTGGGGCTGTCGTGTATGCCCAACCTCAACTGTGTTCTTTTATCTTTCAGTAAGTGCCGTGCTTCTGTGCTTCTTCTGAGACTCGAGATCTCCGTACGTAATTCGCTTTCAACCTGCAGATAGTAGAGATCGTAGTTGAAAACATGTGCATAGTAGTGTAAGAACAAAATGAGAATCTCTCCAATAGTATAAAGCGAAGTACTGGAGTCCAGTAACGGCTCTTCGCCCATCTCTTGGAGCCCATTTCGGGCAAAAGCTATTATCAACCAACAAAGCACATACCCACTTATGCCAGGCTTTTGCGCAGTAGGCCCCACCGGCTGCACGACCTCTTCATCATCGTCCGCGTACTCTAGTGGAACGCCTTTTGCGGTATCTCCCGGACAGTACAAAGACTCCCTTTTAAGTAAATGCTTGATTATCATGTAAAGAGCACAAAGAATAGGATTTGCAGAAAAGAATGCAGCCATAGCCCGGCTGTTTCGCGAAAGGCATTCCTCGTAACGCCCTTCGTCAAACACATACAACTCCACTTCCAAACCAGATTGATCGTGGCATAAACGCAAGTAAGCTGGATCCACTGTGACAGGGTAGTCAACTACCGAAAAAGCTTGCTTCAAGTTGTTAATCAGGTGAGGTATTGCAAAGGAACGCTTACCAGGCCGGACAATTTGGATGTCTATGTCAGATGACGGGTTTGCTAAGCCTACCTCCCACGAACCAAAACCCTCGAAGGTTATCTGGGCGCAGAGGTCATACGAGGCACTACGAACGAGAGAAAGAAGACGATCTCGAGCATCTAGTTCAACCGGCCCGACGCGGCACTGAGAAATGAACCCTACAATGGCATGGTTCAGCGAATGCGTAGGAGACCGCAAAGCGGCGTAGCCCTTCCAGTCCAGCATTCAGATAAACTCAGGCCCAGATTTAACGAAAAATTTATTTTCCCATAATTACCAATGATACTAACGCAACGTTGGTATCTCTGCAGGCAAAGTTTTGTCCTTCGCTAAAATATAAAACTCCCGAAGGCATAAAGAACGAAAACACAAAGGCCTCTAAGAAGTAATCTGAGATCCATATACCTGCATCCCGCTTTCTACTAGTTTCATCTGTTGAGTCTTCCAATACTCTTCCCACATCTTATCAAACTGACTGTACTTACTGGGATTCTTACTGAGCTCAGAGGGCAACATGGGAACGGGGAAGTGCTGTGTTTTGAGATCTGTCTTCCAGGTCGGTAAAGCAGACGGGCTGAGACCAAGGATACTATGCATCTGCGGGGGCCGCTGGCTGCATGACCCCGAGCCTGCAGGGTCCTCGACCTTTTCTGCCTTAGCCGGCTTCAGCTGCTGTTCAATCTCCTCCAGCTCCATGATTTTCTTTGCATCGTTGACCTCCTCTATTGCCATATCGGTTATTTTTTCACGGATACAATCAAAGTAAGGATGCAGAAGAGCTTCACGGACGGTCAGACGCTTCTCAGGATCGTAGACAAGAGTTTTATTCAGAAAATCAAGGGCTTGGTCCGTCACCAGATAGTGGTTGTCATGGTTTGTAAAGGCATCAAACTGCATGCGTTCATACCCTTGTAGATCATAAGTTCGCGATGAAGAAAGCTTAATATTGTACTTGTTGATCATGGCGAAAAAGTCAGCTGAGCCTAGCACTTCAACAATCTTGTCCAGCTGATTGATATTATTTGTTCCTCTGAAAAAGGGGTGACGCTTAAATATGAGGCCAGCAGCTAGGGTACCTAGTGACCAGATATCTAAAGAGTAGTCATAGAGCTGATAATTGACGAGTATTTCGGGCGACTTGTAATGTCTAGATGCTACGCGATGGTGGAGCGGCGTTCCATAGGAGTAGAACTCGGCCAGCCCATAATCTAAAAGCTTCAACCTATGGCTAGTGGGATCGTATGCAATGTTTCCAGGCTTGGTGTCACGGTGGACAATTCCATGAATGTGGAACCACTCTAACGCTCGTAGGGTTTGAAATAGCACTATTCTAATTTGCTCGTCATTGAGCATCTGCACGGAGTGGGCGAGAGACAGGCCTCCATGCTCCAGTATAAGGGCAGGATAGTCTGAGTCACGCACCGAGACAACGTCAAGAAGGTTTATGCAGTTGGGGCCGGCGAGAAGGTTGGTCAATATCTTAATTTCTCTGTAGATCTTCTTACGCCGCACTGGCTTGAGAATCTTGATAACCACACTAGAGTCGGTATCCACGCAGTACCCTTCAAAGACGTCCGAGTACTTGCCATGCCCCAGCTTCCTGCCAATCTCGTACCGCTCCTGAGACCCGTACAAGCATGGGATGGAGTCGTAAAATGAGAAGGAAGGAGGAAAGTTAGCCAGTGCAGTCTTGTGCTCTCGAGGATCAACGGGGATGTTTGCCACTTGGCTATTCATGGGGCAATTTTTTTCAATTTTTAAGAAGGCTTTCTCTGACTGACTGAGTGTTGAACGATGCTTATCCTTTGGCATCGCATCACAGTCAGTCTGGTATTCGATATCCGACACGTCAAGTCTTCTTCAGAGTCCTTCGGTTGCACCTATACCTACAAGAAGCCCAATACAATACCGTGCTCTATGTTCTGTACTCCGACCTTTGACCTATTGTTCGTTCCTTGTAAGACTCTGGAGAAGAAGAGCTGCGTAAAACCCAGCAACATTTTATTCACTTCCCCTCAGGATACCAACTCCGACAATGACCTCTTTGTTGAGACTCTTCGGCAATCGACTAAAAAATCCCCTACTCTGTACGATTATAATAACATGTTTCCATTGCTTCTGCGAAGCCCGTTAATAACCGATATTAGCTGTGTTTGCTTGATAGAATACCATGACTTGCAGGCTGCATCTGATGAGCAAGGGCTTTCTACAGTCCAGTATGGATCCACTGGCATATCAATCCTCTTCAAAACAAAGGAGAATAGTAAGAAGCTGCGTCAAATAGGGTTGTTGTTTGGCAAAAATATCATCCAGTCCACCCTCTTTAAACAATCAATCTATCCTAGCGCACTCTCTGACTCCCTCACAATAAGTGGCAGCTTCATATCCAATAATGTATCCAATAACACCTCCCCAGAGTCACCTGCGCCAAGAGGAGTTAGTCCATCTAAGCCAGATACACCTATCATGAAGTGTGCATCAGAACTTGGTGAGATCGTGGAGGAGATGCATGCAATAATGAAAAATGTTCATAAGCGCGTGCTAACATTTCTAGCAACGGGTCTAAGTGTCCTTCAAACCAAAATAGACGGTTATATGGACCTCCGCCCCCTGCACATTTCTTCTAATAACACGGTCCACATGTCGCTACTGTGTGGGATTGGCAAAGTATTGTTGGCTAAAAATCGGTACCTTAATTACCTCAGAAGCTTAGATTTCCAATCCGCTCCTGGCCTGATAGTGAAGCACTGGGGACTGTTTGAAGTTATTCGGCGACAAATCATAGATTCCTGCGAGCGAACAACGACCGTTGATCCATTCTTTTGGCACATGATCGGATTCCAGGGCGTATCACCTCTAACAGACTTCCGGGCATCCAGTCTGCTGGCCCTAATAGCTTTACGCATTTTTGCCGACCAATATCCGGACATCCTCTTTTCTGAGTCATATGGTGACTATGGAGATGAACTGGATAGGGTTAATCATATGCTATTTGTTTGCGCAAGGAAGATGTCTGAGCAAATCCGAGAGTCTGTGCGATCCTTATCAGATAAAGATGATGCTCTTGCTGCTATGGAGTTGCTACTCAACGACCCCATTGGGGCATCCAAGACGTATTCATACCCTATAGCGTTATCTTTGCTGGACATTACCCATTACATTTTTACTATGGACGACGTTGCTCGGAAGATTATCACCACTACCCCATTCATAACGTTGTTAACACTAGACTTTACCGTACGGTACTCTGAATTTGTTAATGCTCAAATAACAGCAGCTAACAAATTAAATACTGGCGCTGGTAGTAGCAAGTCATCGGAGAATACATTGACCGCTGAATGTCTGGTAACGGCCAAGGAGTTAGCAACAACACCCATAACTGAGACAATTCAGGTAAAGGCCGACACGTATAAGGTCTTACTTATCGATCTCTTTCAGTCGAAAGTGCAGAAGTTCGCAACGGAAGCCTTAGAGTTAGCAGATCCAATGAAGGATACCAAAACTGGTGTCTTAAATCCAAAGATCAGGTATGGACCATGGAAGAGGTTTCACGATAACTTCTGGGAATACTTTAGTACCTCTGAGCACTTTATGATTCCGTTGACAGCTAATGCGCCTGCTCCAATATTTGATGGTATTTTTAGAGTGATAGTTGGACTATCGCTTCTTATGCACAAACGTATACAGCGTCTTCCAATTAAACAAAGGTACTTTCAATATACCGCCGTGCGCACGAAGTTAGTAGCAGATTTTAATACCGTACTCCTACAATCTACCAATTGTCCTATCTACACGATTGAGAACTTTCTCATGCATATTTCTAAATTGAGCAGTAGTGTAGACCAGTAGTAGAAAGTGGGGAGGTTTACGCCTCTTGCTCTTTCCATATGAGGTAGTGCAGGCACAGTGTGTTCGAGGCTAATCTCCTTGCGTCTATGTTCCCTGCACAGGTAAATCTATTCAAAATTTAAAATTTCTCGATGTCGGGGACAGGTCATTTGCGGCAGATTCTAGATAACTACGGATACCAAGAACCTCTTCCAGATGATGCTGTCCCACTGGTTTCTCACATGAGTTCGGATATGGCTGGCTTACGGGCGCAACTAAGTCAGAGCAAGAAACAGATGACTTCTCTTCAAAATACTATAGATTATCAGACGAAGATGATTGATCCATTACAAGCTGATAATCAACAGCTTCTTGCTGAGAATAACGATCTCTATATGCGACTTCATGAAATGCAGGATGCCCAAGCGCTAGGATACTCTGTCCCTGAGCCCGTACCACTTGTCCACCGCGGTCCACTGACATTTGCTGCAGAGCTCCATGCGCTGGAAAGCGAAGTGAGAAACTTGAGAGCCTTTGGAGCAGAGGTAACAAAGCGCGAAGATAATCTAAAGGTAGAGGTGTCACATCTAAAATCTAAAAACAAGGCCCTCGAGAGCCAGCTTTCTGCCTATACAAAGGTTAGGAAAGGTTCCCAATCTGGGTCTAGTAGGAGCAGTGCAGACACGGTAAATCCAGAGGAGGTCAAGCTCCTAAACTCTCAGATCATGCAGCTTAAAGAAGACTTAAAGGCCAAGAATAGTAATCTAAATAATATGACAGCAATGCTGATGCAGAAGGACCGGACAATTGCAGCTCTGACGGCCAAGAGCCGCACTCTGCCTGGCTCAACCAGTGGGGAACCCCTCCTGGAGCGAGAAGACGAGGGTGCCAGTGACATTAGTAATACCAGTACGAATCACATCCTTACATCACGTGGTATTAACCAGTTTACCCCTAGGCCAATGCAAAATCCATCCATTAGGACACAGCCGGTAGTGCATAACGTTACTAGCGATGACATTGATGATGTAGATAATGCCGACCTCTTTCAGGATGATGTAATTCCTGAGCCGTATCGCCCTGCTTCTTGTGTTCCCTCTGGTAACGGTGTACTTTCAGGACTTGAGTCAGATAATTTAACGGCACCTTCGACCAGCAGCGACGTTAGTATTAATCGCCCAAGTGTTTCTACTGCAAATCTCCCTGCCCAGCGGGCACACGTCTCCATGTCTCCAGAGTACGACGTAGCCACTTCTAAAATACGGCAAATTTCAGGAAATCTTTACGGTGCAGAAAATCCCCACTCTAACAGGCATAGCAGAAGCTCGTCTCCAAACACTGTGCATCCATGTTCTATGGGGCCTCGGCATAGCTCCTCGCCTCACGCTCAGCCACACACTCAGAGTCATGTGGACACTTCACTGACAATCTCAATGACATCACAGCCATATCAGCAGTTGCCACCTGCTCCACAGCACCCCTTGCCATATAACATGCAAATTCCAAACCCTGGATGCATAAATTGTGCAAAGCTGACAACCGAAAATGCAAGGCTTAAACATCAAATTTCGTCACTTACTTCCGAAAACATGCAACTCAAAGTATCCAACAATGCTACTCTCAGCAATAGAGATAGATTCGCCATGCAGATGCAGTCAGAAGTCCAGGAGCGCGAGCGGGTAATGTCATCCCTTCAATCGGAGGTAGATGTGGGCAGAAACCAAATTGCGGCTCTAAAAAAGGAGAATGTAGGGTTACAAGAACAGATAGAGCTCCAGCGGGCTGAAATAGCAGACCTTACCAGTGCCAACGCTGTTATAACCACATTGTCAAGCAAGCTGGAGCAAAAAGTGGCGGATAATGTCGATAGTTCCTTAAAGCTCAAAGCAATCTTAGCAGAGTACGAGCAAAATATCAAGTTATCAACAGATAAAATTAAAGAAAATTCTAGAGCCAAGCGAGCTCTTGAAAAGCAGCTATCAGCTGAGCGCGAAAAGATAAGCGAGTTGAAGGCACGCATTATTCTCGACCAGGAGACTATTAAGAGGCTCAACGAAACAAACAAAAAACTTTCAAAGATGATGGCGCAGGTGGTCATAGAAAACAGGCATTTGAGACAGGTTATGACCGTTGACGAGGTCGAGGACTATGTGGACGTTGAAAAGGGATTTAGCGCAACTGTACAGCCCACCACATTAGGGTCAGCCTTGCTAGCTGAGTCCACAAGAGCACCACTTACGCTTGGTATGGCCAATGAGTTGTTGAACACGGCTCTAAAACTAGAAGAAGACGATCAGCTAGAAGGGTATCAAGAACAGGATAATGTCGATGCCTTACTTAAACAGTACGGCTCCGAGATACCAGAGTAGAGCTCTGCATGAGCACACTGTTACCTACATTGCAGACTATGGAAGCTCAAACCTCTTAATCCGCGGTAGAAAATCTATGCTGACAAGCCCATTTCCAAACGAAGATTGCACAGCTCACGTGCACATTTAGGGATCGAATATTCCCTAGTTGCTGGATTTCCACAGTCATATCACAGAGACTCAGGATTTCTTCTGGACATCCTTTTCTCTCATTTCCCAGGACTAGGACAGCTTTTCGTGGCAAATCTGCATCCTGCAGGTACACAGATCTGCTGCTTTGTTCAAGGCATACCACACTGTAGTCGTCTTTTTTCTTCTCAGCAATCCACTGCACAAGATTGCATGGTTGAACTTCTTCAATGTTAAGCCACATATCAGCCGTCATGCTCATGGCTTTGAACGAAGGATCAAGTGCAAAAGATGTGTTACCCAATACAAGGGTGTCCAGACCAAACACCTCTGCTGTGCGGGCCAGTCCTCCTAAGTTAGTAGTCTTGTCAAGTAGTGATGCGTTAATTATTAAGTTGCTGGATTTTAAGTTGCTGGATTGGTCAACTAATTTGTGCCCATCTTTCTTAGCAGAGTGTATTTTTTGCTGGCAGTTGCCCTCATGCGGCACATCACAAGGCTTATAAGACTCTGTCCACATAGCTTCATGCTTGGTGTGATCCTCCAATTGTTCATGACCTTGTGGGCCTAAGTCTAGCGACGCTAGTGCGTAGGTTATCATCTTCTTGTAATTGGTGTCTTCGGACGCAGCTTTGTCTAGAGTTGTGACGACGTTTCCAGCAACAGCAGAAACATTTGGTGTAGGATAAGACGTATCAACATACGCCGCTGCGGATGTCATACATAGTGCCTCAGTGCGTGGATCTAATAAATCCAGCAAAGAAGCATACTTCTTGGCTACCTCTGTAGACTCCAGGAACATTTTGAAAATGTCTAGTAGGGAAGACGAGACACTGACAGCCAAAAGAGCCTTGTTAATGAATGAGTGACCGGGCACATTATTGGCACGCATGGCTTCTGTCAGGAGTTTCCCCTTACTCCACATTCGCAAGAAAAAGGACTGGGCTATTACACGCAGGCTATGGACAGGGCTTAGGGCGTAGGGCACAAGTTCTCGGAGGCACATTTGATAGGCATGGTAATCTGGGATGTTGGTAAACTTATCATGACATACATTGCTAGCTTGCTCCAGCGCACATGTTATCCACTTATCTAGCACTATACATATGGTGTTGCATGTAACAATTAAGTGGGACTGTAGGTGTGTGAATTTATCGGTAAAAGCCTTCCGCGATGATAGGAGAGGAAATGCCCGTTGTATAGTGAGCAACGGGCGTGATGACGATACGATCAATAGCACAAGTACTTGTTCCCAGATCTCACGGGAGCGCCGTGCCCAACACGGTAGTGATAGCCGTTCACTGAGCATCAAGATTGCATTAGATAGAGTGGTTTCCGCTGATTCAGAGTTCTGTATGTTGTATGGTTTGTTGTGGTACGTTATGCTTGCAAGCATTCTAAGTATGCGTAGGAGCGTCACGTGCTTTAACTGTGATACAGATGAAAGCATTGAAAGCTCCCTTTGTGGTTCAAGAAGAGGGATAAACAGGAGCGTGTACACATCGTTGAACATGCAATCTGGCAATCCTGACACATCAATCTGCCCCCTGCCCTTTCTAATGTCTAATGGCTTTTCTTTCAAAAGGTTGTTTCTGCGGTCGTCCAAGGCCTCTTTGGATGGTTCCATGTTCTTCGTTAAAAGCGAAAGTATCAGCCCAATGGGTGAAGTATGGCATGCCAGCGTCTGGAGAAGCCCGATTGCTGCTTTTCGTACTCTATAATCAGCAAAAAATGAGGTGTCCGAGACACACTCAGATTTATCAACCTGTTCATAATAGCGTATCAATCCTGTTTGGACAACGATAGAGGAAGCATCTTCTACTTCATAGTACGTGCCATCATATGGTATATATAGAGCTAAGCACAGAATCATATCCAGTAGCTCTGTCTTGACAAAGCAACTTCTAACCAATGTATCAGCACGGTTAAATATTAAGGAATGTATGCTAGAAACCAAGGGTGTTAGTATCGACGCTGAATACACCGGGCTCAACGAACTAAACAGGTATACACCTGTGAAGAACCGTTTAACCACTAGCAGCAGTCGAGGATAGTGTACGGAGTTCGAGATGTGCAGTAGCCAGAGTGCATCAATAACATGTTCGCTGAAAAGTACTTTAGAGACCAAGTGAAAGTACATACCCTTTGCACACCCACTTACCTCGTTGTTCGCAGTCTGAAATACTGTCTCACAGACTTCGCAAATGAGCTGCTCCAAGCGCTCTACCAGTGTCTTATCATTGCGCAATCGATGCATAGTTCTCGTGCAAACCAAGCATATGTCACTTAGCATACCAAAGAAGGAAGCCGTATGCGTTTCTGAAAAAGCTTCCCAATCATCCATAAGACTGCGTACAACATCTATAAAGGCATTAGCTCCATTAGTGTTGGAGCAAAGCTGATAGGAAATGGTTTCCAGTGAAAGGTTGTTCAAAGCGAATGCTAGCCCTCGATGATCTGGGTTAGGAATGTGTTTCATGATAAGCGGGGACAGGAATGGAATGTCTGGGGCAATCATTGACCAAACGTCAGAGTGGAGGACGAGCATTGAATCTGACGGTGTCTTTGTTCTGTACCCATATCTTAGAATATTAAGCGCGCCCTTCAATACGACTGTGCACGAAAGGTTACTATGCAATAGACTAACAAGCTCACCGACGTAGTCTGGTGCTCTCTGGAGCAGCTCTACCATAGATGGATGCTCTACATCACCGAGAAGTGAGTAGAACGATTCATCTACACTCAAGATATCTATAATAGGTTGCTTCAGAGCGGGGATGGGTCTTTTGCAGAGGACACAAAGAAAGAGGGTGACGAGTAAATCAAGGGTAGATAGTCTTCTTTGCTCTGCTAGCGCTACCCACTTGGTAAGAATAGCGGAGTCCTGTGGAAAGGTGGTGAGCTGAAATGCTTGATGCATAAAGCTTGTCATGATATCAGATGGCATAAAATTGCACAGCTGTGACAAGGAGAGTGCTAATTTGAATAAGATTGTCATAAAGAACGGTCTATGAATGCGATTAACGTTTAGAACAGAATAATAAAGCTGCTTGAATGACTCTAGAGCCTTGGTAGAAAGATCATCCGGAACAACGTAGGTGTCCGACTCACCAATGGTATTCGAACTACTCGAGGCAGTTAGTCCATCTGTGTAAGTAGAAAGACAAGACTCAATAATCGATACTGCAGAATTGATGACAACAAAGAGGACGCTCGGGAAGGTGTATGCATTGGCTGCACCAATAATAACGCAGAGATTTGAAAGTGAGATAATAGGATCCTGCCTACACGACACCGATTGTAACAGCATTTGTGAGACAACCGCTCGATACACTGTATTATCTGTCACCAAAGGCGAGCCGACGCAGAGGTTGTTGTATTTCTTAGCCAAGGCGTAGTATCCGATCGCAATATTCTCAAGTGTTTCATCAATAGCGGAGGAGACAGAGGACATGAAAGCGTCCGTGAGAGGAAAAATGTCCTCTATATCCCTGTCTTCAAACGGAGTTGCCTGATAGTCAGTATCTGGGGAGAGAAAGACGCAATTGCCAAATAGTTGATATGGGGTGGAAATGGTTTGATCGATGATATGATCTTTTTCTTCAGCTGGAACGTGAAGACTACGGTTTCGCTCTTGAGCAATCCTCTTACGAGCGTTATCACTCCGAGCAAATCGTTGCTCTTGGACCCCTGAAATCGCTGGGAGCATGCTGCAAGCCATGAAGAGAGGTCTAAAAAGAGTCGTAGGAACCTTAAAGGTTGATATAAATCCGATTGCTATCAAGGGTAAAATATGCAAATAAAAGCGCCGTATGGGAAGAAGTGTGAGTGTCATAGCCCTGTGTAAAAAATTATATAAAAGTAGCAAGATTGGAGATTGTTCTAAGGAAGCCTGGTTAGTTCCATTGGCACTATTCATATATGAAAACAGCTGTGGACCAAACCGCTGAAAGGCAGGGATGACAAGGTGCAAACTACTAGCAGACTCAATTGAGTCGAGAAGCATCAAAAGCGCAGTGGAAAAGGTGGCGTCAACTCCATAAATTGGTAACACAACCTTAAGAAAAGGAGCTATGCGCTTGACTGCAGCTGACGATCCCAAGCCCACAATGTATGCAGACATAGAGATGAGCGAATGAATAGGCTTGCAGTCAATAGCTTGGTTTTTAAGCAGAGATGGTAAAAGACAGCCTGCAAGAGAAAGCAAAGAAGAGATCAATTCCAAATGCCTGCATGCTTTTATCTGCGGGTTCAAATATCCAACCACGTGGTCCAGGCCTTCGTTCTTTAAGATTAGTGATAGTAAATCTAAGAGTAAGTCACAACTAGCCAGAGCGATTTTGGGGTCGATAGAGTCAAATAGCTCAGCAGATGATACCTGTCTATAGAGCGTCTCTAGACCATTGCAAACAGAAGGGGGTAGTAGTGATGATCTAGTGGCAGAATACCAGGCAGCAAGCACCAGAATAAGGTGTGTTGGCTCCAATATTCGAAGAGCAGAGGTTGCTGCCTCGGCTAGATGCAGGCCAATTGAAGGAAGAGGATCGTGAATAGTAGCAATGTGCGAAACTTCGTTTGCTGAGGCTGCGTAGTCCTCTAGAAACACTGAGAAGAGATTCGAATACAATGCAATGGACACGGGGTCCTTCAAAACAAAGTATGCAACGGACAGTATACAATCGCGAGCTGCGCTTTCCGGATTGAATACATCGGGAACAACCAGAAAGGAAACCTTGCCCTGTGAAAGAGCACGCGATACAAGATAAGTAGTACGCTTGAGGATATCAGTATCAAGATACACGACATCAGGAATAGCGGTACAAAGAGCCAAAGCAGCCTTTTCCTCACAGCTGTCAAGGACTTTTGAAATGACGCTGCCACGGTCGCCATCTGGTATTGAGTCATAGATGCCGAGTAACAGTTCGTTCTGTTTCGCAGAAGGCGGTAACTCTGTCACGGATTGCAGCGCCAAAAGTAAGAGTTGGCAGCTGTCGAGGGCCATAAAGTATTTTAAAGGAACACAGAGATGCGGGAAGCCAACATAGCACCTGTCCTGTTTGTCCGGGGGGTGCGTGATGGTGGATCGCTTATGATAAGTCGCGTATCGGGTGTTCTGGTCCATATGACTTCTCTTCCATATATATCTAGAGACCTTGTCACCGCTCTTGCGACCATAAGGCACCCCAGCTTAGCTCCTATATACACTATCCAGCTAGAGAACAAGGGACCATCACGAGTTTTTTCTGGATATACTCTGCAGCCGTCTTTGAAACGACGACTTGACCTAGCTCTAGATAAGACCGTGGCCACGAAGTATGCCATTCCTGCTAAGGATCCGTTCTCGAGTGCTGTCCTGTCCTTTTTATACACGGATCTAGTGGAGCTGCTTAGTTATGTATTGTCTGAGTACACTGACAAAAGAATCTTTCTTTCTCACGATGCCATCAAGACTCTTCTTGATAACATCATTGATATAGCATGCCTAAGATTGGATAACTATGGCATTCTGCGTGTTCAGCTTGATCTAAAAAGGTATGTAGACTATGATACACTCTCTAGCATCTCTGAGCACCCTCTTGGCTTTACTCATAACCTGAGTGCCCTAGAGGACTATGTGTTCTACCAGCTAGGAAAGCTATTACTCTCATTAACTTTCTTTAATCGAGAAGCTAGCTATAAGCACGAGAAGCGCCTCAGCTTAAAGGAGGAACTGTCCAATTTAAAGCTCTGTACAATCTACTCTAATGCTCTCTATCATTTGGTAACATGCAAAGATGCAGACAGAAGACTTAGCTCTCTGAAAGCTAACGAATACTATCGCAGTATGATGGCAACGTCCTACATCAGGCGAGGGATGCACATTGTGTCACAGAATGGATACAGCATCTATCCTCTTCATAGGGCAGTCGCTGCAGGGGATGTTGCGCATGTGAGACTTCTGTCCCGGGTCTGTGCTGGGCACCATCATCAAGACGCAAAGTCGTGCTTCCTGCTGTCCCTTGAAACACTGGTTGAGCATGCAGCAGACCTTTCTTTCCTTCACAACCTCGCTGTGTTTGTGCCCAAGCTATATTCCTTAGCTATTCAGTCTTTCCACTTGTATCATCTTCAGCATTCGGTAGAGTACATATCAACAGCGAGGCTTCAAGTTAACATGACAGGTAACAATCTGTCTTGCTTGATAGGCTCGTGCTCAATCTGTTGGCTATTATACTCAGCGACTCAGGCCATGCCCTGGCAGCCTCTACTACCCCACGAGGACCACGTGAAGCATTCTATGACAGCGACAGCAGATGCTTTATCGAAGAGCATGGACTATGCGTCTCTTCAGATGAAATTCCCAAGCTTCATGGCCATATCCAATGCGATGGAGGTCGCGCTGCTGCTTGCTCCATCTGAGTGCTGCATTAACTGTGCACGCGTAAGCAAGGGACCAGACACGAATGGGGGGACACCGGGCTTTTTGTATGCATATCAAGCCGCTCTTGAGTGCGGTATTGTCCAACTCAATTCTGCAGTTGCCTTCTATGAAGCTATGATTATGTTAGACATATTTGAGGCAAAGCACCTGGAATACTTGACTGGTCGCCACTTCTATGCATCTGGCCGGCTACCTGCTTCCTTCAAAAGCCGTGCTGCATCTCACAGGCCGATGTCACGACCTTTGCTTCGGCCTCTGTCTAAACACAGAGGAATTGCGCAACAGTCCGCGGATGATAGAGGCAATGAAAGCAGCACGCGCAAGCAGAAGGGAACGCCCTCGGAGCTAGCATTTGCCATGATCCATCAAGTGCCTTTTTATCCTGTTTGCGTAGCAGAGTGCAACGGCGCCCTAGATGATAAGGGGCAGACTGCCCTCATGCGAGCAGCAATCCTCGACGATCTATATGCTCTTCACCTACTTGTTCATATAGAGGGGCAAGTGCGTTGTCAAAATTTATGTGGGCTTACTGCAAGCATGTTTAGTGCCATTTATGATCATTCTAGGGCCCTGAACATAACTATTCCCTTTGAGTGTAACATGACTGACGCAGATGGCTGGGCTGCGTTGACCCACGCAGCTAGATGGGTGAGCTATGATTCTGTTCTGGTAGTTAGCCCACACGAGGCCCTGAAGTTTGGAAACCAAGCACTGAATATACTAGCTTTGGAAGAAGCAGCAGACCTCGAGAACATTGATGAGCTGGGAGAGCCCCACGTGGAGCGGCCTCAGACTCGATCTGGAACTGGTGGAGGTGCCAGAAGCGGCACATCCTATCAATCTCTGCGGGGATTGATCAAGTTTGAAATACAGAAATACATGGTTGTTATGAGCGATGATCAGATGCAACTATCTGACTCCTATGGACCTTCTGATGACAGTGCAGGCGACCTGGGAATAGAAATAAAAGAATAAATGGACGTGTTTGCAGTTTTGCAAAAGGCAAACTTCACGTCGCCTGACTTTAGCGCACACGCGTTTCTTACCCAGTTCCTCAAAAAGTATGGGAAAGAGGCAGAGCACTTGGGCCCTGCCATTGATAGACTGAAGGCAGATACCGACTACCTCCAGAAGAAGGAAACAGGAACGGATTTATCCACGATAATAGCTGCGTCGCGTTCTGCAGACTCCATGGGACACTCCGTCACCCGTCTCAATGGCCTCATTGCCAATTGTGTTACATGTCAAGCACGCCTATCAGAACTCTCTCAATCTTGTGCCCAAGTGATCTCAGCTATGCAGAAGGAGTACAGGCATGGAAATGTGCAGGGTATATCTGGTGAATTAAATGAAGCGGAGGGCGATATCACAGGGCATGAGGCTGAACCCATGGGTCAACCTTCCTCTCAAGAGGCTGTGATTGTAGCTGATGCTAGGGATGACGTTCTATCGTTAACTCCATTGGTATCCTTCCGCAATCTTGAGGCACAGGTGCGTCTTTGCATTGCAGAAAACAGACTTGTCCAAGCCTATGTTCTTCTTCAATTGGCAGGAACATTGGATTTTTCCCAGCCTATAGCCCCTCATAGTAACAGCATATCCATGGGTCACACTGTCTTATCGATACCAGACCTTATCTCACGCGCCTCCTCTAACTTCGACATTCCAGACAATCAGCGAATTTCTGTTCGCAATCTCGAGAATCAATTAAAGCAGTGCTTTGTTACGCAGGCATCCAACTTCCTTCTTACTGGGGATGCTACTACTTTTGACTCATTTAGAAATAGTTTAATCTTTAAACAAACGCGGTCCTTTAACATCAAAGACACTGACTCCATCAATTCCCATCACATAACCATTCTTAACGATTACATGACTATATTCACACGGCCATCGGATGCGGAGAAAGCGGTTGTTGCGGACTTCAAAATTTTGAACGAAAGTGAGTCATTCCTATTGCCACGAGAAGACAATCAAGAACCTGGGTCTGTTCTGACTCTTCAACGCACAATTCTCCGCATGATTCACTATCTGGGGATTGGTGAAGCAATAGTCAACATCTATCTCGGTGGCTCGTCACTCTATGATTGCTCAATGTCAGCGCAACCAGCTAAGCTAAAGGTCTTTAACTATAAAACAACGAATCTAACCACCTTTGAAGTTAACTTTATTACCAATGTTGGTCGCATGAAAGATTCCATAAACAGAGCTCTCATGTTTATCAATCTGTTGGAGCCGTACACAGATGCGGAGATTGTTCACCGCTTAAACTCCAAGGTGTTTCTCTGGGCGCAGGACACCATAGGCAAGATTTGTGCTCAGTTGACAGGTAGCTACAAAAGCTTTCTTGCATCCTACACCCCCTCTGTTCTCCAGCAATCCTTTTCCTCGCTCAATGACATCCTCAAGCAAACGTATGATCTGCTCACATCCGACTTGTTCACAGGGTTGGGATTGGCAACCCACTTTCGGAAGACTATCACAGGTCTTATCAGCAGCCTCCTATCTGCAACAGCTAAGTACTTTGAGCTAAGCGATTTGTGTGCCTACAGGACTTATGAATATTCTATAGTAACCAAAGAAATAGACGATGTATCCTTGACCTTCTATCAGTTTCTACCGGTAACCACAGAAACAATAGTCCAACTCAACAATGGATTTACCTTTGCAGATGGGTACTGGCATGATCATCGGATTAATAAGCGGTCAAGTGCAAACACTAGTCGGTCAAGTACGGTAAAGCCGCCCTGTGTTAAGCTAGCTAAGTTCCAGACATTCCCCTATCTGAATCTTCTCTTATGCATCGAGCAGCTTCTTCCCTTTCACGATCTCCTTGGTAAGCTTCTTGTTACCGTCTTTCCAGATCTGATTGGAGGGGATACCAATTCTGCTACAGGTCCTGGTGGGGTAGCAGCCCAGGCAGACGCAGAGACAGCTCGGGAGAGACTGTCCATAGATATGTCCTACAGCTTGTCCAGCAGTGTATCGTTAGAAGACGTACTCGAGCCGTTTATTCGCGTGAAGTCTAAGGATGCACCGGTCCAACTGGTGACCCTCCTCAACACTGTCATGCCAATCTTTGACATCGTAGCGGCCACACTTAGTTTCGTTAAGAGCATATATGTCTCGTACGCAAATCTCATAGACTTCAAGGTCCTTGTACCAGACCTGCGCCGGATATTCTCTGGTTTGACAGCAAAAATAATGGAGTACATGGTTGCAAAGCTGGGTGAGGTAGATCTATCCTTGGCAGGTATTGAGCGTGCAAAGAGCTCCATAGCGTCTCAGGGCATAGCATCAGCTGCAAGAAACGTGACAGAGTATCAGTACAACTATGGATATGCTCTCATTTCTTCCATTTGTTTTATGATTGCTACGGTCATCCCATCTAGCGCTAATAATTTGCGCTCCATGCTAAAGAAACAGCTCGACCCGATCACTATTAATGATTACTTCTTTGTTTTGCGTGACCTTTACCGCTGTTCTTCTAGATCACTTCAATCTGTGATCAAGCACGTAAGCACAGCAATTATCAAGGATGTTCTCTCTCTTCCAGAAGTGACTCAAGCATTTAGGCAGGCCAGTGTACAAACGTCAGCTGCAGCTTCTCCTCTGCCTTCTAATCTGGCGCTAAGGATAGCAGCCACCTTCAATTCCTCTCTTGCCAGATTTGCATCTGCAATGCCCTATTTGCTTATGGCGTTTATTGGAAAGACTGCGCTTCAGGGGCTTGCAGATGCCTTCACAGCCCAAGCAAAGGCCCGAGCAGACAAATTGCTTCCGTGTCAGCTTCAGGTAGATCTATCTAGCATTGTTTTAGCAAACAGTTCACCACTACTTAAGTCCATATTTGGTCCCCTGATCGGCGCCGAAGAGCAGAGAATTGCATCACTGGGCAGTAGAGGCATTGTGCCAGGTATTGAGAATGAGCTGTTTACTTTCTTAAGTGTCTTAGAGTAAATCCACACCCCAGTATCAAAGGATGCAATATCTGCTGGATTAATTTATCTGAACTAGTTCTACTTCGAAAACAAGGGTAGATCTGGGGGGAATCGTAGGGGGAATTCCCTGCTCTCCGTAGCCATATTGATAAGGAACAACGATAATGCCTTTTTCCTTGGCTTGCATAGACGCAAAAGTGAGATCCCAGCCAGAGATGACTTCATTCTGGCCTAAGTGGAACATGAATGGGAAGGATCTCTTGCGCGATGTGTCAAAGACTGTTCCGTTGAGATACATCCCAGTGTAATGAGCCATCACAGTCTCCCCCTTTGAGGGAGCAGGGCCAGACCCAGGTGCCAAGGAAACATAGATGAGCTCATTAGCCTCTATATTTGTTACCGCTACTGTTTCATTTCCCATGGTAAACTGAACTTGTCCCTTTGCAAAGGTAAAGTGGTGGTCCGTGTTGACAAAACAAGCGTCTATGGCTCCGTAAACGGCGTTGTGATTATGGTAGACCACCTGTTGCCCATCCTTAGCCTCAAACTCAAGCTTTGCCTTGTACATCTCTCTGGCCTGGAGGGAACATTGCTTCTTGGCTGGAGCCTCATAAGAAACACACAGCACCTTCTCCTTCAGAATAAGCTTAGGGTTATTGAAGCATGATGACGCAGCAGCCACAAGAAGGGACACGAAAAGCCACATCTATACTTTCTCCACTTTGTTTGCTGTCTTTTCATTTATTCTGTCCATTAACCCAATTCAAACAAGTCGGTGCACCAGCCTCTTGACCTCAGTCACAGCAGCTGCGTTTCTCGGGAAGAGTCAGTGAACTGCGGGCTTCTTACATACGCTTAGTCAGATGCATCATAGCCACAACCATGGTCACCATGGCCGCGATTCAGGCCCTGTTGTTCAGCAGAAGAATGGGACCTCTATCTCGAAGGCCAAAGCCAACAAGACAATTGATTATGCTAACAACCATATGCTCTACTTAGCAGACCTCATGAATCAGTCTCATTTTCCTCGCTTGACAGATGTCCCACTTCCTCTCAATTGCTACTCCCGGATGTATGTACCATTAGATCCCGTACTAGATAAGTACATCCAGCACAAGAAGGTCGAGGTTTCGGAGTCAAAAAAGGACTATGTCCAGATGCGCTGTTGTGAGTTCAATAGCGACGGGCGCTTTATTCTCGCGGGGATAGAGCGTGGGGACATCGTGTACCATAACACGTACGACTTTTCCTACTTTTACATGGAGACTATTCACAAGGTCGGAAAGGAAAGCGGCTCATCGGCGTTCATAACTAGGCTCCGCGTCCTCCCCACGGGGGAAAACGATATCCTCACTTCGTCAGGCAACGGATATGTCGTATATCTAGATAATTTTCTCAATCGGTTACCGAGTAAGGAGTGCTATGGAAAGCAGGTCCATAAGGGCTGTATCACAGATATGGCTGTTGCAGGTGATGGGTCTCACTTTGTCACATGTTGTGATAAGACAGCAATCGTGTCGCACCTCAGTAACTCGGTTGATACGTGTTTCAAGACTTTGATCACTATAACTGGATTTGACAGTAGCTTGACTTCCCTTGCCTGCCACCCGTTCTCTCCCCTGCTGCTAATAGGAGAGTACACAGGCGGAATTTCAATCTGGGATCTGCGAATAAACACGAAGAGCAAGAAAGACCCTGTGGGTAGCCATGCGCATATCCTTTCTGCAAAGGTCCCACGTGAAAATAAGATCTCCTTTTTGAATTGGCACAGCTCAGGCAGCATTTACGTTGTTGGATCATGCGATAAGCGAGTACGTATCTATGACATACGCAACCCCTCCGAACCCATTTACATGGTTTCCTTAAATAATGACCCTACGTGCATGAAGTGGAATCCTGTTTTGCCCAGCACTTTTGCCGTGGGTGACAGCGGGGGGAACGTGTCCTTCTTTGACCTGGCTGTGGCCCATGAAGTCAACATTTCCGGCACCTACCCTGTCTCCTCTCTGGATGAAGTAACACTGGAAAGCGTACTAGGGATAAGTACGTCAGAGCATTCCAGCGATCCTATACACTTGCGCCCACTCGAAACGATTACTAGAGCGCACAGAAGCACAAAGGACACGCAGCAGATCTTAGACTTAGCATATCATCCCAACGGACATGTACTAGCAACCATCGGGGACGATAAGGATATGCGTTTTTGGTCATGTAATAGACCCGGGACTCTTCTCCATGACATATTCCATCATTCTGGAGATCACACCTGGCTGAATCCTGCAGACGAGCGATACAGCCACAACCAATCACACAGAATTGTTCATGCAACGGTTAACACAGCTGCAGATAGGTTGAACCAGGACGAGCTCGCTCCCTTCTATCGCACACCGGATGATGGCAGGCCTGCTGAAGAGGTGCTTATCCCAGGGCTCCTTGAGAGTAGGAGCATGTCCCTGTAGTCTTTGCGTTGCTGAGAGGAATTGCTGAGAGGAATGCTAACCATCTATGAGTAAAATTCTTGTTGGTGTCTGGATGCAGCCAAGCACAGACTACCGCTCCTCCATGGACGCAACGCCTCTACACATCCCGGTGCCTGGGCTTGCTGCAGAGCCAGCCCCATTTCCGTCAGAGATGGCGGATATAAGTTCAATAGGATTGATAGAGGGAAATGTTCCTCCGGACTTGTTATATGCCACAGACTATCGAGATGCTCCTTATTCTATGAAAACCCAGAGCGCACAAGAGCAGTCTTGGAATTATGCACAAATTGGTGCAGATGCCCAGGACCCCTCTGGGGAAAGTTTCCAGAAGATCTTGCTGATTCTCGCTAACGTGACGCGGAGTATGAACCCAGCCTCTCAGCTAACAGGGGAAGATATGCTGATGGCTCTGGATACCATCTTAGGCCAAAACGCTGTATATCGGCAGCAGCTGAGCCAGGGCATGATGCCAACTGTGGAGCTACAGCATTTATTGCAACAGTATTACGCTGAGAATCAGCGCCTAAATGCTCTGGTTGCTCAGCGGGACGAAGAGCGGTCAGCGCTACAGACTCAGGTCAATGTTCTTACGAAGGAGATCCAAAGTTTGGAAAGAAGCAAGGAGAGGGAAATTCAGCTAGTGGCAGATACATATCGTGAAGAGATATCCTCCTTACAGTCGCAGTTACAGGAGCAAGAAGCTGTACACCACAGGGAATTGAGAAAACTGAGGGACGAATTAGTCGCAGTAAAGCCTTGTAGCCTAGTTCCAAAGGAAGTGCAGACAGAAGCCCTTACCGTGTTACAAGAAACATTGCATCTTTCTGCTTTTGACAATAAGGACTCATCTGCACAATTTGTCCTAAAGCCCCCTCCTAAGAAGCCATTAGGATCTGCTCGTGTAACGTTTGATTTGGAGGAGTCAAAGCGGACTGGGGCCTTGGAGACCCCAGCTTCTTCCAGTCTTGCCACGCGAGTAGTATCCACCGTGCATAACAATCCGAACATTGAATACGACCTGACCACAGACGACATGGTGATCTCGCAGCTTCAGGAATCCTTGCGACAGACAGATGGGAGTGCGCTACAAGCTCTGAGGCTTAATTTTGAGCACGAGATTGCTCAGCTCAAACTTGAGCTGGAGCAGGTTCAGAGTCAAGCGCTGATCATGATTCAGCAATCTGACTACGAAAAAAATCAAATTTATACAGAGCTTGTTCAATTGCGAGAGTTAACCGAAGAGCGACAGTTCAGATTAGAGGAGCTACAACGTTTGCTTTGTGAAACGCACGATTCACTAGAGTCAGCAAGGGAGGAAGCAGACAATGAACGGAACACACGGCTTAAATTAGAGCAAGAGTATGTTGAAAGCAGAGACAGAGAGCGGTCGGCAGAGATGATAAAGGAGCACGAGATGGAGTTGAGAGCTGATGAATTAAAAGAAGAGAATCAGCAATTAGGTCTTCGTCTGAACCAACTACAGTTCGAATACAATGAGTTGCGACAAGAGTATAAAACCGTTATAGACCTTCTGTCAACTCTTCAAGGGAAGTCCTTGGCCTCAGCTGTCGCTGAGAACGCCGCTGCAGAATTGGCAGCCATAGGCGAGTGCGCAATTTCGGAAACTAGTAGCCGAGTCATCCCCTTGGTGGAATCCATCGGGTTATCAACACTTTCTACTGCTCCATTAATCGGCGGCGTTCCTCTCATAGATAGAGAGATCGACGCCCAGCCACTTTCCTATTCTGAAGCTGTTCAAACTATTTTGCTCGCATCTGATATTAATAAGGACCAGCGAACTGAGGATCATGCTCTAATCACCGAGCTGGAGATCGCTCTTAACCAAACTAACAACGCCCTTAAGCAGCGAATAACAGAGACAGTTGCAGCCGAGCAACGAATCAAGGAGCTTACTGAGCAACTCAAACTGAAGTCCGCAGAGCTTGAGGATTCCACGATGGAGCTCACCCTTTTAAAGCTAGAGTTGGAAGAGACCAAAAAACCTGCTGATTTGGTTGAGGCGCAACCTCATCAAACATACACCTATGAGGCACTATCTAGTCTATCCAATTATTCTGTTGAACTCCCAAAAAATCCCCTTAATGAAGCAAAGCCTAAGCAATTGAAGACCGCATCAACTACATTTACTAAACAATCTGTGAAGGCTAACGATGAAACTTTGGTACAAAGCCCTGTTCAACGGAACTTTCCACCGCATCATCAAAAAGCCACATTACATGAAGTACAAACCACTCAAACAGGATTTCATGAGAGGTTCGACTCTCTCTGTGACGATTCTGAGCTATCAGACTCGACTCAGCCAAGGATAGACACGCATTCTTTAGAGGATCTCCAGATAGATATGCAGAATATCAAGCAGCTCATTGAAGAATCTACAGAACGGGAGGCGTTCTATGCATCCCAAGAGTAAAGTATGGAATAGGTTCGGCTAATTTGCTCTCTCTATGATTCACTCCACTCGCCGGCCATGCCCAGCCCAGCCAGCGGGCGTCTCACTCAGTCCTGGCCGTCCGAAGGCGAGGGCTGGTCGCTGATTGCCATAAGGGACTTCTCTCCGCTTGCATACCGGGGATCTCTTGCACTCCTCGGTCGCTCCGTGTGGCGTGTGCTCAGCCGGGTGTGCGCGTCCAGGGCCTAGCTTACCCACGGACTCGCGTCATGGTATGCCGTCCTGGTGGGCGCGGGTCTCCGCAACCCTTTTCAACAAAGCTCCCACCTGTCGCGGCGGCAGCTGTCGGCCTCTGGCTCACCGGCTGGGGTCGCCCCTCCGCGAGGAGCTCCGCAACGTCCTTGTTCCCCGCCTGCGCAGCGAGCAGCAGGGCCCTGCGGCCGTCGGCGCCCTCTCTCGTGCTCTGCGGGGCGGGGATCCGGGCCACCCTGGGGCGGTTCCCGTGGGCGCGTGCATGAGGCCGTCACCCCCTACTCGTCACGTTTGCTGATGCCAATCCCTCTTCAAGTAGTGTCCGGACGGTCTCTGTGTTGTTTGTGTGCAGCGCGCATCAGCCTGAGGAAGACTGCAGGGGTCGGCCGCTCCATCCTGTCACTAAGCTGCATGACCTTGGCCTCTAGCCTTCACGTGGCCAGATGCCCTTTACCCTGATCCTCGAGAGTGCCCTTAAGAGAGGCAGTCTCAGCAGACCTGGCGTCGAGGGCCGCCTCAAGAGTAGTAATCCTGTCCAGCTTGGTCTTGGCATCCTCCTCCAGAAGTGTAATCCTGGCGTTAGCACTGTTCAGAGTAGTCTCCAAGGCGCCGCACTTGTACCTCAGCATCACGCACTGACCCCCCAGCTCACTAACTGGGATGTCGAATGTAGCGAGCGTCTCGTGCAGCTCCCTGGCCGTCGGCCTCCTCTCTGGCTCCAGCACGAATATCCTCTCCAGAACATTCTGCATGAAGCCATCAGTGACATCGCTCAGGTCCGGCCTCCACCCATCGACGAAGACCTCTGCTGGGACTTTACCTTCTAGGAAGTCCGGTTTCCTTAGAGTAGTAAGCTCGTAGAGGATGACCCCGAGGCTCCACACGTCGGAGGCGGGGCTGGCCTCGTTGTGAAGGAGCGCCTCGGGGGCCATGTATGCCATTATTCCCATGAGAGTGCTCCCACTCCACAGGGCGTCCTTGCAGAGGCCGAAGTCGGCGATGATGAAGCGCTCTCCGTCTGCGCTGACGAGGATGCTGGCAGGCCTGAGGTCGCGGTGGACGAGCCCCCTAGTACCTATCCCACTGAGGCCGTAGAGATAGGCGAGGGCGGCAGCGACCTGCCTCAGGACGGAGAGGATCACAGCGATAGGGATGAGAGTCTTCCTTCGTTTGTGCTCGGTGAGGAGGCGCTCGAGGGTCTTGTCGTGCCGGTCTATGACGACATAGATGAGACCTTCGTCCTCGACTACTTGGTGGTGCCTGAGGACCCCCGGATGGGAGAGGTCGAGAAGGGCGGTCAGCTCTAGTCTGATGGCATCTGCACTGTTCTTATCTAAGCCGTCGAGGAGGATCTCCTTCAGGGCAAGGCTCGGATATCCCTTGAGGGAGTAGACTACACCTGCGACGCTTTCATTAGGCACGCTATCCAGTCGCTCGTGGAGTTCCCTGAGGGCGAAGTGCAGGGGGCTGGACGCGCGACTGCCACCGCCGCCCACGAATTCCGTTTTTGGACGCCCGGGCGATCGATCGGACGGCCCGCGGAGAGGCCGCTCCTGCCGGCCCTGTGGCAGCGAGCGATGCCGCACCTGTCCACCCGTAGGGCCGAGGTCAGTAAACGGCCGGCTGCTGCCTGCACCAAATATTTACTGGGCTGGCAGCCGGTGAACCGTCTCAAAAATACAAAATCTGCTTCAATGAGCATATCCACTCAAGAGCAAGTTACAGCTAATGGCGCAACTATAAGTGGGGTGCAGCAACGAGACAGCTTGTATTCACACACAGAATTTTCGCTCAAAGAGTCCCCTGCTGTACTTCACCAAGAGGACGGAGGAGAAATTCCAGAGGAGTTCAATATGACTGACGCGACCGATATTCTGCGGAGTACAGAAGCTCCTGAAATAAAGTTCAGACGATTGGAGAAAGCATACTTGGAGCTGATGCTTATGAATGAGCAGCTCATTAACTATCTTAAGAAATCTAAATCGACCATACAGCGGCTGAAAAAGATTAGCAGGACTGTCGAAACGGTTTGCAGCGCAGATGGGTATGGTAAGAAAGAGTCCAAGGCAATCGACAGCATGTTACGTCTTCTTTCAGAGTCTTGGATGGAGCGGAACATTAACAGAGAGTGCGGTGAGCTCCAAGATCTTGTTGTTTTGTTAGAGGCAACCTTAGCCGAAAATAGAACATTCAAGAGCTCAGCAAAGTCTTTGGCACAGGAGATGGTAGAAAAGAACAGTGAAATTACTGAGTTACAGTCTCAGCTGGGCCGACTCAAGGAAGCCCTAGTAGCTACTCAGACTGCCTCAGATGGGTCAAGCAAAGAAGTCAGTGATCTGAGGACACAGCTGGAAGGTCTTCAAAAGCTATATGCGGCCAATGTGGAGCAAACACGTCTGCAAGATGCGCACATAGAGGCCATTGCGCAGGAGTACAAGGAGAACATGGCTCGCTTGGAAGATAAAATCTGTACCTGCTCTGCTGATGTGGCTCGTTTGACAGAAGAACGGGACGGTCTGAGACAACAAAACGAAGCTCTACTAGCTGACGTGGACGGACTGCAAACCAAAATCATCAATGCGAAAAGTAACGTCCAGCTTCTGCTAGCCCAGCAAGACGGGGAAATTGAGCGCCTAAAGGCAGAGATTGAAAGCCAGCTACCTCTGCAAAATGAATACGAGCTCCTTATGACTAAATATCATGCAAAGGAGAAGGATATAGATGCTCTCACTATGCGGGTGGTGGAGCTGGAGCGGCTTTTAGAATCAAATACGAGCACATATGAAGAGCGCCTCAAGGGGGCATTCAAAACAATTGCAGAAGATAGAGCTCGTTTAGACGCTCTTAGCTTGGAGGTTCTTCATACTCAGCAAGAGCTTCAGACTGCTACACTCAAGAACACCTCTTTGGAGGCAAAGCTACATGCAACAGAGTCTCAGCTGAGTGAGAAGGCAATAGAATTTAAGAATGAAGCAGCCAATCACAAGCAGGTCCTTACTATATTGGAGGAACAGCTCAAATGCTCAGCTGCAGAGGTACATGCCCTACAACGTGAAAAGAAAGCCGTTGAGGTAGAAGCGAATACCACGAAGGAACTTTTAGAACAAGCACGAAATGAACTTGCCAGTCGTTTATCAGAAATTGCTGTCCTCACACAGAAACTCGAGCAATCGTCGAATGATTTAGTGGTAACAGAACGTATTAGAGACTCCGAAGATGAAACTAGTAGGAAGCGTATTGCCGCATTAGAAAAGCAGCTCCAGGAGATCCTAACCGTTAAGGGTGCCTCAAATTCCATGATATGTGACCATCAATTTAATCGTTCGGAACAGCCGGCAGACCTCTACACAGCTGAGACCGCCTCTTGTACATCAACAGCACTCGCACCAACTTCAGATACTGGAAACTTGCAGGAAGAGAGTAGGGATAGATTGATAGAAATCATCGCTAGGTTAACCCTTGAACTTGCAGGGGCAAGAAATATCAAGGCTCCTGCACAACAAGATTATGCATCTCTTGATCCCGCCACTGCAGCAGTCGTAGCAGGCCTCGCCTTGCAACTTGATTCGGCTGAAAATAGCATTAACGCACATAAGATTCATATAGAGTCTCTTATAAGTGAGATCACTAAGCTTCGAGGAGAACTTTTGGAGACTGGAGACGCGTTATCTGAACAAGTGACGAGCTCTCAAAAACTTTCAAAGCGAGGAATGTGTGGCCAAATGATCCTGAAGAAGAGCCGCACCATAAAGTCTAGAGCGTCCAGTCGCCGGGGCTCTGTGGCAAGTGTTGATCACTCAGACGCAGAGCTCTCGACTTCAGACCCCGGGGAAGGAGATGCTGTCACTAAAGCCCGCAAATTCCTTGATGCTAAAGATGCCAAAGACTTCGAGATACAAAAGCTCAAGGATAAGTTGGTAATTACAGAAGAACATGTTAACATTGCACAACTTACAATTCTAGCCAAAGATAAAGAGCTTACTACTCTATGGGAGAAATATAAGTCTCTGAAGGAGCAGATGGAAATTTTGTCTACAAATTATAGTCGTCTGATAGAGCAGCATGAAAAGACAGTATCTAATAATACTCGTAAGATGGCGCAGCAAGCTAAGGATAACAGCGTGCTTCTCAAAGAGATTGATCTACTAAAGGCAGAGATCAACTCCCTGGTACAGGCTAATGGCGCTACCATCACAAGCGGGGTCATCGCTTCTCCTGCTGGCACTGGGCTACCACCGCGACAAGTGTTGTCTCCTTCCACATCCAGTATGCGTACACACTTGCAACGGAGCCTTCACAAGAGCCATGCAGACGACGCCTCTGTAGATGAGAGTAGGCAGTATTCTATGAGTGTCGATGATGGGACAGCGTCCCACTTAGAAGAAGATGACTTACCCTTGCCCGTATTTCCAGCTCCTGATCCTGATAGTAAGCCGTATGTAGATGCCCCAAGAAGAGTAGTGAAGGTGGAACAATCTGGCTCTAGCAGGGTTTTATATGAGGATGTGGAGCTCAGTGATAGTGATGACTACGAGCTAGTCAATATATATTCTGATCTGACGGTTATTGAAGAAGAGCTTCTTGGTATGATCACTATTTGTGGCAGCACACTTTGTGAAGACGACCAATATCAAAGTCAAGAGTATAGCACAGCGGCCTCTACTACGCAGACGCTGAGAAGAGAGGCCACACTTTGCTCGCCAGAACAATCCATCGATAGACCACACTCCTTGGAAGAAGGTGGCGATGCGGTGGTAGACAATCCTGAGCTTAACAAGGCCTTTCAGGACATCAAGCTCTTAAAGCGGAACATAACGCGCTACGCTCTTGCAAAAGAAAAGCAGATCAGAAAGCTATCTCAGCAGCTTGAGCAGCCACTCTCTTCTCCCGTTAGTGTAACTAACACAGACAAGTCTGGCACTACACCTAACACCACCTCTGAATCAGCCAAGCTTCGTTTACAGGTCGCCATGAGGCCAGACCAGACCGCCGATCTTTCATTCCTTCAAGCCACTGTTATCCGCTTGGAGGAAGAAAAGTCTGTTCTCAGTGATAACTACAACAATATGGAGTGCATAACCAAAGAGCTGATGAAGACGCAGGCTAGTCAAGAAAAATTGATAGACTCGCTTAACGAAGAGGTTCTTACCTTGCGGCAACGACTAAAAGAGCAGTCTGATACCATTATTACAAAAACAGAGACCATAGAAAGCCTAACTGAATGCATAAGTCGTCACGGAGAGGAAATTCAGCAGATATCTACCACTGTTGTCAAAGAACGTGACGCATTGATAGAAGCTATGAAGGGAGAACTAATGACCAAGGACGACGAAATACGGTGTATGCAAGAAACAATTGCCGCTCTTGAAATGTCTCATCGGGTCCCATCAAGTGGTCTATACCAGGACACCTGCATACACGATGACGACCAGCCCAGTATCAGAAAGGCACGCGACACATATTATGTCTTAAAGGCATCAGTAGAAAAAATGATTCGTGAAAAGACAGAAAGTATGGACTCGATTACGCATAACATTATCGACTTGCAATCTCAAGTAGCACGAATATTCAGCCGTGAAAAAATCACCGTAGACGGGTTGCTGCGTGAAAAGAGAACTCTTCAGACAGCATTTGATTCTATTATAGCAGATCTACGTCGTGAACAGTCAAGCTTCCTGGATGCTAACGAGCTTGACGCTGGCGAAGATACAGCGATCTTCTCCGTAGAGAATTCCGGCACATTGCCGCTGAAAGGCTCGAAATTGCAGCAAAAACCAGATCCATCGCTCAGCAATCTAAGGGAATCTAAACTGGCTATTGAGATGGGTCTTCAAACGTCAACACTCACGAGTAGCTCGCTATCTCCTCACAGTACGGAGAACATTCATCGCTCCACTTCTCCTCTTAGATCCTCAACTGTTTCAGAGGTAATTGAAAGGTGTACGGGCCCAACGTCCCAAGACGTCCTCCCTGGGACCGATGAACATGCTACCTCAGCAAGCCTCGCTAGCGAAGCAGAAGTAGAGGTGCACAAGCTCAGGAAAGAGATTTCCATAGCAAAAGCAGACATAGAATTGGCGTCACAAGAACATGAAGCTGAGGTTCGGCGTCTGAAGTCTAAAATACAAGGATTGCAAGCGGAACTGCTCGAAACCGAGGAAGCACACGAGCAGGAGATCAGCAAACTTCGAAATCTCGTAGCAAGGCTAAGAGAAGAAAGAGCAAACATGTTAGAAACGCATGCAGCAACCTCTGCTCTCCCGATTACCGCTAGACCACAAGAAACTATCTGCGATAAATGCAAGGACTATGATGCTTTGTTGTCCAAGCTTGCAAATGCTGAAGCTGAGCTTTCTGTTGCTCAAGACACGATTCAAGAATTAAGAAAGGAAGAGTCTGCTTCCATGAGCAGAAGCATACTGGCAACTTCGTCACTGATGTACGAGCGAGACATTGATCGAGTAAGAGAACAATATGAGCAGGAAATAGAAGCTCTGCAGCGGCAAGTCCGACAGTTATCCAAAGCACTTGAAGAGCAGAAGAAGGAGTTTGAAGCAGAGCTGGAGAAAATGTTGGCCGAAGTGACGGAAGCTCGATCATCATCAAGTACAATTGTTGCAGAAGCTACTGCTGCACAGTTGGCTGAAACAACCGCTATCATTGCCGCTATGGAGAATGAGAATAAGACGCTGGCAGATCTCAACATCAGATTGAACAATGAGCGGCAAGATTTGCTGAGGCAGCTGAGCGAAAAAGATGATAAGCTAGAAGCTCTACGGAAAATGTCTGGAGGCACAGACGATGCCAGTGTGGTGACTCTTAAGTTGCAGCTCAAGAGTGCGCAGGAGAAAAACAAGCTTTCTGATAGGCGAATTCTAGATCAGAGCAGTGTCATTTCTCAGCTACGTGCAGAAAACGAAAGACTACGACGAGCAGCTGTGTCTGCAGGTAAAGGAGACAAACTAGAGAACGAGCGTTTAAAGACGGAACTGATCCGTGTCCAAAACACCCTTGAGCGTACGATAAAGGGGATGAACGAAGAGGCACAGAACCTACTTTCGGAGCTTGCAATGCTACGGGCCGAACACACACTAATGAAGCGAGAAACTACTGGTGAGATCGATCGACTGAAGAAAGAACTAGCTGCAGTAAAGGCACAACATGGAGCCTCTCAAAAGCAAGCAAATATCCCTGTGCTTCCAGACTTAGATATGGCAGCAAAGAGAGCTATGTTTGAGCTTTCCGAAGCGGGCGGGTGTTCGCTAAGCGGCCCCGCCAAAGAAGACTTCATGATCTCCGCTAACGTAACGGACACTGACATATTGACCAGTAAGTTGGACAAAGTAATTTTAGAAATAACAAATGCGATAGAAACACGGAACACGCTCATGGAGACTCTTAGGAATAATTACGGAAGCACTGGCCTTTCGGAAAAACCGACAGAATTGTGTGAATAGGCATTATGTAACTTTAGGACATTCATATTAAATATTTAATTTTGCGTAAATTTATTTGAAATTAAACTTATTTGAAATTATAGAAATATAACCATGACCGACTATTATGAGTCATCCGACATCACAAGAGTCGTGCGCATAGCCCATGGCACCAACCGCGGCCTGTTCTTTGGATTTGGGGCCATTGTCAAGTTTGGAGAAATCCTTGATGACCTGAAACCGTCCTGTGTTGGCTTTGTTAGCTCTCCGACAGCGTACCAGAAGTGTGGCCTTTGGGACACTATCACTAAAGCTCTTGCTGAGCGTGGGATAGAGTACCTGCACTACAACGGTATCAGCACCAACCCAACCGTGGAGCAAATTGACGAGGCTGTAGACCTCTTTCGAGCGAAGTATGGCCCGGGCTTTCTTGTGTGCGGAATTGGGGGCGGATCCCCATGCGATTCTGCGAAGGCGGTGTCTATTCTTCTTGAGTACTCTAATAACAAAGCTCGAGAGCTTTATAAGGGTGAGTTCGAGCCTAAGTGCCGCTCCAAGCTTGTTCTGGTCAACCTAACTCACGGAACTGGGACGGAGTGTGACCGTTACTCCGTGGCGTCCATCCTCACGGGAGAGCTTTATCCGATCAAGTCAGGGATCGGCTTTGAGTTCCTCTATCCCGATTACTCAATAGACGATATTAATGGCCTCTTTAGTCTTAGCCCTGACATGGTGCGCTTCACAACGATTGACGCCCTCAACCACGTGATGGAGGCATCCACAACCACGATAATGACCCCCTATGTATGCACTTTGACACGAGAAGCCGTTTACCTTATCGTTCGCTACTTACCTATAGCGTTAGCAGAACCAGACAATCTTCGCGCCCGCTATTGGCTCAGCTATGCTGCTGCAATTGCTGGTATGGCCATAGACGAAAGCGGCTGCCACCTGACGCACCTTATGGAGCACACCCTGTCTGCGTACAGGCCAAGGCTTGCACACGGTCGAGGTCTGGCACTCCTCCAGCCGGCGGTCCTCAAGCACATCTGGCCGAAGGTCTGTGGCTACCTGAACGACCTCTTTAGGCCGATCCTGGGGAACCTCAAAGGAACACCCGACGAAGCAGAGCAGGCCTTCAGGCGCATGCGTGCCTTCCACAACAAGGTCGGCTTTTCGGGGACGTTAACAGATGAAGGCTTTAATCTCGAAGACGTTGACACTCTCACAGACGCTACTCTTGCATACTACGGAGCCAAGGCCACTCTCTCAATAACTCCTGTTCCGACGTCGCGTTCCGACCTCCAACGCATCTTTGCTGAAAGCTTCTATAGGATGTAGTCAGCTGAGTAAGAAGTAAAACCTTGTTTGTGAGTGTTGTTTGCTTGCCGAATGGGGTGAATGTTCAAATCTGTAAAATTTGGAATTGCAGTAACAATATATTGGTATAACCTGTAAGTTGCTAAGAAGAAGGTCACGTTCTAGATGCCTCATAGCTCGCATAGGAACTGGACCTCTTGGGAACAAGGTAAAGAGAGAAACAAAGTATATGCCGAGTCTTAAGTAGAGGGTATTCAGGTCCGAGTCCTGCTTATGGAGGCGCTGTCGTCCTTGAGCAAGATAGTGGTGGCAGGTTTCAAAAAAATATCCACCATTAAAAGCTGCACTACAAAACAAAAAATAAGGTAGAAAAATCGATAGAATTGGCTTGTCCGTATGTCATCAACAACGACCGGCTCCTCTACTGTACGTGTCCGCGTGAAGCGCGTGTCTAACTACATCACTGGAAAGAGTCTCGGGGTAGGAACCTTTGGAGACGTAAGGCTCGCCACACACCTAATTACAGGTGAACGGGTCGCTTTGAAAGTGCTAGATAAAAGCCGAATTCAGTGCGAAGATGACTTCAAACGCATTGTGAGAGAGATCCAAGTCCTTAAGCTCCTAGATCACTCGAACATTGTTCGTCTTTTAGAAGTCATCGATACCCCTCGTCACATCTATCTGGTGACAGAATATGTTGACAACGGAGAGCTCTTTAATTATGTGGTCCAAAAGCAAAAGCTCTCCGAGGAAGAGGCTTGCAAGTACTTCCATCAGATTGTTTCTGCACTTTCCTATTGCCACTCTAGGAAGGTGTGCCACAGGGACATGAAACTAGAAAACGTGCTCCTTGATTCTTCATACAACATCAAGCTGATCGACTTCGGTCTGTCCAACATCCTTATGTCTGACGAAGCGAAATTCAAAACAGCTTGTGGCTCTCCATCTTACGCGTCCCCAGAGATGTTGAGTGGAAAGAAATATCACGGCCCGAGTATCGACGTCTGGGCCATTGGCATCATTCTATTTGCCATGATTTGTGGGCACCTTCCCTTCGACCACGACAACACAGAGACTCTCTACAAAAAGATCATCTCCGGGGTCTTTCATATCCCTGATCACGTGTCTCCAGAGGCCGCGGACCTCATTTCGAAGATCTTGGTCGTAGATCCAGATAAGAGGATCACGCTTGATGAGATCACAAAGCACCCGTGGTATATCCAGTGTTACACAGGACCTGAGGAGCCCAACCCTGAGCTGAAGATGAGCAAAGTGGTAGACTTTAGAATTATTTACACAATGGTCACAAAGATTTCCGATTGGAGCGCGACAAAAATCATACGATCTTTGAATAACAATAGACACAACCAGATGACTGCGACATACTTCCTACTATGCGAGCGCGACATCCAGGTCAACGGATACAAGTGGAATTTTGACGAGCAGCGAAAATATGCCGAAGCTCTCAACTTTGAATTAGAAGAAGACGGAAGGCTCATAAAGAAAAGCGACTCTGGGGCGAAGGTTGAAGATACAAACGCAGATGTGGCCGAGGCTATTGAGGACTCCCACAGTGATCCAAATCTTGAAAACATTCTTAAGATTCAACGGGAGGACACTCAAAGCGATAGGTCCCTTAATGACTTAGCTTCTGAGCAAGGATATGGCCCCGGTCGGAGCAGGTTGCAGAAGTAAATCATGGTGCGTTTCGCTTGTGCGATCCCCTGTGGCTTCAGGGTCCTCGGGTGGCGTATTGGTCTGAAGAGGTCTGGAAAAAGGTACAGCATAGCAGTGGAACCCACCGCCAGGGGAAGCTGCGACCTTGTAGGTTATTGGGTAAGCAGGGGTGGATACTGGTGTTGTGGGGTACCAAAAGCTTGGCTTAGGAAGCTCTCTAGAGCGACCCATAAGCGGTGCATGGCCAGAAATGGTATTCGCATGATGCCACACCAGTGAGTCATTGTGTTTGGTCCACTCAACTGGTTTTGATGTTAGAATAACACCAAAAGATTGAATGATAGCCAGAAATTGATCCTTAGGCCACATCACGCCATTCAGGTGCGTATCACATACCTCGCCGAGAGAAAATGAGGCCACCTTTGCTGCTAGAGTCTCCGGATCATCCTTTTTGAGATGCTTAATGAAGAGCCAAAGACAGAACAGGTACAGGGTTATGATGCGCTGTGCACTATCCGTAAGACAGAGAGGTCGAAGAATATAGGCGATAAGCTTCTGAAAGAGGGATCCGTCCAGCAATGTCGTCAGATCTACCTGTCTGTACTGAATTATGGTGGCTGGTGAAAACTTGCTTGCTACTCCATTTCCTAGAAACAACATACTCTCAATAATAGTGTTTGGTGGACAATACTCCTCGGTGACGACGCTGCTGAGTAGAGACAGCCGCTCTAGCCGCAAGTATACGTAAGGGGTCATTGGCAAAGTAAGCTCCGGGCTCAGTGCAGGGAAGATAATATCCAAGGCCAGGTTAAGCCATGCCGTAGGAGGATGCTTGTACATCTGCTGCAAAGATTGCTGTCCATAGAGATGAGATCGTGTAAGAGATGCCAGGGGAGGCCTATACGTCATACTCTTAGCAGAGCTGCTTAGATGACCGCGGCTATGCACACATGCCACAGTCGGATACGCCGCCAACAACTTTATAAGTGCCATAGACTCTTTCAATGGACTTGTGTCCATATAGCCTGTCCACAAGACAATGACAAGTCTACCAGGTATTCCTCGAGCTGAGCGCAACACTACTTCCACCAACTCAATTGATTGGCAGATGACAATGGTCACTGCAGATAGTGAAGATGCTTGGGAAGCGTCATGGCTGGTCTTAAACATTGTTGCTCGCGGAAACTCATCGCTATAGAATGGCTCCTCAAGAGCTGCTAGAGTATGGATCCACGACAGATCGTTTAGCTTCATCCTAGATTGTGTAGCTATAGATGACGCCGCCGTAATGGTGATAGGTCGTCTGGCCTGTAGTAGCTTTCCTGCCAGCGCGTTACAAGTAACTATGGGGTCTTCTGTAAAAAACAAGATAGGATTCCCGCCCTTGATAAAATGAGGTTGCTCTGAATTGAGAAAATCATAATCAGATTGTGATGGACTGCACTGTGGGCGAATAGTAGAGGTGAGTGAGGAAATGTTATCTATTAACCGTGTAGACACAGTGTTTTCTTCTGCGAGGATACTGAGGCAGGTAATTATGTTAGAGTGCAGGGCATGTGTTTTGGCCTGAGGCAGCAATGCATTAAGCTCCTTTGTCACAAGCTCGTCTAATTCCGATTCAGTTGCTTTGAAAATTGCTTCCCAAGTAGTAATAGTAGAGGGGATGGCAGTACGCGCTGATAGCTCTCCTATTACTATCAGTGCAAGAACAGTAATATAGTATTGTTGAACTGGCAGTGCTCGAGCAAGGAGAGGCAATAATGCATACAGTATGAACCTATAGAACGATCCAGCAAACACTGTATCTCTCATGACACCATCCATTGAGTCAATGATCTTCTGAAGATTCTCTGGGCTAAGCGTTGTCCAGAATGCGCTCAGGGCCGGATACCGAACACTCAATCTTGCCAAGTAGTTTGAAAATGCAAGTAATGTCTGGGTAGCTGTAGAAACAATCGAGTCAGAGCCACGTGTCCACGCATCTCGTTGCTTTATGAGTGCGAGCAGCTTCTTTTCAATAGAGTTTATGGACAGTATGTACTGCGTCTGTGTAGTGATCTGCTGATGTATAGTTGGGAGCATAGTTAGCACGGTGTTCTCATCGGAAGCGAGATGCATAGTTGTAAATTGCTTCATTCCCAGCTTAGATTGCTTTATTAAGCTCTCTTGTTCCAGCCTCAACGCAACCAGGTCAGTGAAGTAAGACTGGGAGAGAAACGAAACTATGATAGCTGATAAATTCTCTCGGTGCACAGCCATAGAGCTAGCAAGCGAGTGAGTTCGCGTAGCTGTCTTTGAGTCTAGAATGCACGTACTCAGGCTCTGTAAATTGCCTCCGGCAAAAGATGCCTGTGAGAAGAGAAATAAGTTAGGGAGGCTCAACCGCGTAGAGACGCTCCTAAACACTTCTGTGACCTCAGGGCCCCATGTTACAAAGAAGTGGTAGCTAGAGAGAGGAGAAGCAAACCTGTACTTGTTGAAGTTATGATCGACAGTATTGGCTATATTGCCATATCCTGCTACCAATTTCAAATCATATGTTAAAGCACCTAGCAAATCCAGAGCTTTCCAATTGATTGTCTCCACCTTCAAGAAGATCACACTGTGAGTATGAGCGGATAGAGTTTCCTGCAATGTATTGACAAACGATGTATAAAATTCTTCTGTGTCATCCACCAGCTTGTTCTCATTTTTCATGGATATTACTGTATATCCGGGTGAGCCAGAGACGGCCTCTGCAATTGCACTATGCAGAATATTTCCAGAAACGTATATTGGGGCCCGCGAAGGAAGCTGACAGAGGACAACGCAGCTTATGTATTCCAAGAGAGCAGTGTGACCTAAGGTAAGGCGATACTGGAGCGATGACTTAGTGAGGCACACCTCTCCGAAGACCTTAGTTACGACATTTAACAAGTGCTCCTTTTTAGTGATGTCTGTGCAGAGAAGTGGAAGGGTCTGCGCTGCGTTTGTTACATATGCACCAGTGGGCTGATAGGTGCGTGTACAGCGACAAAAGCAGCGACAGTTGTGACATGCATGACACGCAGCTCCATGATCAACGAGCTGACAGCCTACACAGAGCTGTGCATCTTTGGTCTTGCCAAAGGATGCATCCAACATAGCAGTGAACAGACCAAGGTGATGGAAGCCAAAGAGCGTGCATGCAGAGATCAGACTTCCGTACAAAGCAGCCAAATGTAGCATTCGTCGGCAGTGCAGCTCATCGTCGGTACGCCTGGAAATAAGTGCAAGGATATCTTCTTGGGGCACACGGATGTCATCTGTCTCTAGAAGTAGCTTCTTCTGGGTTTCTAAATTGGCTCGCTCCTTTCGATAGTTCTCCAAATTGACCCCTGCTATTTGTAGCTGAGCTTTTACTAGCTCCTCATCCACCCGTTTTAGAGCAAGCAAAATGGCAAGCTTATGATAGTTAGCATAGGCAGAATTGTTTGTCAGCATCGTATGTGGCATTAGCAAAGCTTTGTATTCAACAATAGCACTTCCAAGGCGGCACAGACAATCGCTCAGAGCAGACTTGGGAGACGGCTCTTCTTCTAGAAGGGTCAGTGCAGCAGGCGATAGAGGCGTATTAAGAATGTGGCTAATATCGAGTTCTGTTAACTTAATAGATAGCGCAGTATCTATGGACAGTGTTGATGCCTGGAGGAAGGTTCTTGATACGCCAAACAAGGATACTAAAAGCTCCACGGAGATGTCAGAGAGCAGGAGGTCAGGCGATGCTTCCAATGAGACATGGAATAGGCGATAGAGAAAGCTGATGGCCTCTTCTATCTTTATGCGACAAGGTTCCACCTTTAAGAACAGATCCTCTAATTGGGTGTCAAGGGTCAAACCGAGAGCTTCCTTTTCTGAGAGTAGCATATTCACCGTTGTTTGATATTCCACCTCTTGCTTTAGTAAGGTCGAAATAGATTCCTCTTGTGTCTGGATAAGGCTATCAACCTCCTCTACGCACTTGGCATGGGAAGCTGCAGCACTTTGGAGAGTGCCGATGTGGTGCTGCAAATTGGCCAATGTAACAGCACTATCTTGAATGGACAGATGCTCCTTGGAATAGTATAGCACTATGCTATTGCTGAGTGCATTAGCGAGTGAAGTCATTAGTTCTATCGACACATAGTGCTTCAGAACTGAGAACTCAGCAGTCGCTTGCGGCAACAGTTCGAGGATAACTTTAATGAGTGTGGAAGTGGCGGAATCACTGGTGGTATCTGAGTCCAAACCTTTCTCGAGTGATAAGTGTCGAGGAGAGTCGAACTGCGACTCTGAGTGATGATATGAGGACTCCTGAGCAGAGTCAGGATCTGTGGCTAGTGGTACAGGTTCCTTTGCTCCACGGATAAATTTGTCAGAGAGCAAAGTAGTCTGCTTAGAGGTTACGACAGGGTTCTCTTTTATGGCCCCAGTCGCAAGGATTCTATATATTAGGTTGCAATATAGTAATGTTCGCTTCGAGAGCTGCCGAAGTTCGGTATCAAGCTGTGCTGACCCAAAATCTTCGTTTGACAAATCCCTGGCAGAACTAAAGTTACTTAGTCCGGATTGCAGCCGAGTAGAATTGCCTGACAATAGCACGCGTGACTTCTGCACGCTCTCCAACTGAGACTTAACCGTTATCGCGGTGGATGGAATGGATTTGTTAGAAAGTGCATACCCGTTGCCAGCTGAGCCAAACACAGCCAACAGTATATTCTGGGGAAGAGTGTATTCTGAACTGAAGAGCCTCCACATGTATTTAAGAAGATAGGAGCACCGGAGCCTCATTGTTATAATGTAAGGATTTGTGCTATTCGTGGCTATCTCAGTAAACGTTAACAGATCGCCGGGAAGAAAACTCACCGGTTTCTCCTTTGAGGGAGTAGTCAGCAAGTGGATATCATTACCGAGCACAGGCGATGCTGCTTCATTAGAGTCAGTGTCATTGAGCTCCTCTCCAAATGTTTCCTCAGTATAGAAGTAATCTAAGTTAAAGGCCTCCGTAAACACTTGAAGATTTGTGGGCAATATGTGTGAATAGTCCTGCAGATTGAGTATAGTGGCAAGTGCGCGTAGACGCTGGAGCTCAGGGCTGAGGACCGCTTTAGAGTCCATAATGTTGAGATCATCAAAGATGAAAATACTCAGTCTAGTGGCAATAATACTATTAAGGAGGGGCAGTGTTGGCATTGAGACAGAGGTATTGGTTGTAAAATCAGATAGAACATCTGACAGCTCCGATGGCTGCCAAAGACTCTCTGAGGACGACATCTCACCAAGAGACGATAGCACGTCCAGTGTACTGGTTCCCAGAAGTAGAGATATTGGAGCGATAATTATTACCCTGTTGTACTCGGGCAGCATCGCCGGTTGAAACCCGGCATATGTGGCAAAGGTGTATAGAGATGCCTGAACATCATGGATGTTCGAGCATATAGTGGAGGACGGGGATGGTATGCTTATGAACCTGCCCACGGGAAACGGGATCGAGAGTTCAAACATGGAGGCAGAGTACTCATCGGCAGCGGCAGATGTGCCAAACAAATACCTACCAGCGTCTTTCTTTATATTATCTGGTGCTGTAGCCATACAACTCTCTCTTTGCTCGTCATAATATGAGACAGACGCTCGAAGAAGATACGTGTCTGTCCGGTCCTTCCGCGCATTTGTAGGCATGTAGATAGAAGGAGATAGACGGAGGATGCTTCCAACGGCAGCCCGGATACCCATCAGTATTCTTTCTCTAGATGAAAGCTGGCCAAGGGTCTGGTTTGCACCTATATCTGCAGAAGGATAGGCACCACAGATTCCTCCTAGGTCAACAACCACTGAGCTGATGGACGTCCGCTTTGAGCTCATTGGGACCTTGACTTCGGAGCAGGTTAGGCGTGAAACGGTGAAGACAAATTCGTCGTAAGATAAGTACGATGAAATGACAACGGAAATAGGCGTCCGAATGCCGCTCACATACGGCAAGGTGAATAGTTTTTCTAGCTTCGTGGATGGAAGGCGTCTGTGAAAGGCATCCTTCAAAAGCTTGTCCAAGATGATCAATGGACTTCTAAAAGAAGTATCTATAGAATCCAAGCTAAAGGATGGCAGTAAATTATTGCGGGTAGAAGGTGCAAGTAGGTTATCGTTTGAACTTGAAGATGTTGCCTGTCGCATTCGCATCAATACCTTGTCGCGTCTATCCACAGTTCCAGCATAATGGAACATAATCCTATTAAAAAGATTTCGCATATGGACTGCATTGATATGAATAGAAAGAATTTGTAATAGATAGTTTTTAGAAAAAACCGGACAAATGCTAGGCTCACTACTCAATGAGCTCGCAAGAATAGATGAGGACTCAACTGAGATAGAGGAAAGAGCTGGTATCAAGTTGGTCACCATGGTTTCTATTAACTGCTGAGGATTCGACCAGTTGCTGCTGGATGCAATCTGAAGCCCAAATTGCTGAAAGTAGACGAAGTCAAGTAGGCTGTCAACTGCTTCTGTGGTCCTTGTGGAAGTCTCTGGCGAGTTGATTGAGCGAGTGCCCTGACTAGTTAATACATTTGAATATAAATATAGAGAGTACAGTTGGGAGAATGCCCAAAGGATAGGCAAGAGAGAAGTGTAGGGTATTGATAAACATGCGAGGCGCTTACACAGATGCACAACGGCTGCAGGGTCAAGCAAGGCCCCTATTTCTGTTTGAAGGACATAGAGCAGAACTTGCTGTGTGGGGGTGAAAAGCGCTGCAGTACCGGTATCCCCTTCGGGACTAGAATAACAATCTGCTATGGCATGCGGACAATACAAATGGCTAAGCAAGTTCAAGGCGTTAACATTAGTTTTCGTTTGCCCTATGGCCAAGCAAATGTTAATTATGGGACAAACATTGACCATTTTGTATGTCATTACATGACCAAGTGAATCTGGCATTTGTATTAGTTGATGATATGCAAAAGAGGACAGAAAGCCCGATGCTAGGACTTCTGGACACTCCACTTCTATAATGATAATCGTTCGCACAAAGGCTATAGCAAGCCTCTCACTAGAGTCCTCTGTTAAACAAAACCAGGTGTGGTGGCGAGAGAGAAACACGCGGATATCTGACTCGTCACGCAAATATAACTTAGTAACACGATAGTACGAACGCAGTGAGAGAATATCTAAAGAAGAACTAGATGTCACCGAAGACGGCGACACGTACTCAGTGTGAACCATGGTGGAGCAGTCTTGCTTGATGAGAGGGTATGCATACTTTAGCACAACCGTGTTCTGAACTCCGAAGAGACTAGCTGCGAGACAAAAAGGCCTGCAGAAGTAAGCGGACGCAGCCAAGCAGTAAGCAAGGGAAAACCCTTTGTAGTCCTCTCTGCTGATGCCCTTGTGCTGATAGATAACAGCCCGATAAACCAGCAAGTCTGCCTCATGGTCTCCCGTGGGAACCTGGGCATCCGTGATATCTGCCAAGAAGTCACTAGGATAAGGTAGCGGAGTTAATTCAAACGTAACGTGGCGCAGAGGATCGAGGGCTTCAGGCTTGGAGTGCTTGTACGAGCCTACAATTGTGCGGACAGCAAGAATGGATTCATAAGAACTGCATGTGGCCTCTATGGATGCGGACAAGTCTGGAAACTGCGGAAGTAGATAAAGATATGGCGTTCGATATACGTGCGAATCTCCTGGCAAATTCAGCAAATCAATGATGCCTTTGAAATAATGATTTAGTATCTGAGTACATTCAAATAGTGGTTGATTGAACTCAGACGAAATTTTGTTCATTGCACATTCATATTGGGTTTTGCCCTTCTTCTCAAGGAGAACCAGTTGTATCATGTCGCAAAGGCACTTACTGTGATGCTTTGCTAGAGCAGTTGCCGGGTCATTGTTTAATTTAGACAGGAGTAACTCGCGGTTGAAGACATGATCAGTAGAACATAGCAAGAAGAGCTTGACAGCTGTGGTGGCAAAAGAGAAGAGAATAGCGATTATGTACGCAAGAGCTGTAGAAAACCTATCTGTTATCAATGTAATGATCATTAAAAAGTCCATGTTGCACTCAAAGCTGTAGTGAGGGTAGATGCACGCTCGTAGTGCTCCTAGCTTTGGCCTTGCAGTGAGCACGGAGTAGAGCTGTAACAAGTAAAGGTAGATCGTCAAAATTCCAGACAGAGTTTGAGTTGACAGAGTGGGGGTTAGTTTGTAAGCTTCAAGGGGGATGTATAGGATGGGAACAAACAATATCTTGAGGCACTCGGCCAAGTTAACCACAAAGATACGCTGCTCAAGAGTGAAGACGAAATTGGAGAGTGTCTCTTCGAACATAGTTGCAGACACGTTTGCTGCCTCCAGCTCCGCAAAGGCGCCCGTTGAAGCATTGTAGCTCTCTACTATATTGCTATAGGATAAGTTGCTCGCAAACTCGTAGAGCAGATGCGCATGGCTCAGCATGCCATGAAGACAAGGCCCATCCAACTCCTGAGCAAGCGGGCTCTCAGTGGTGATTCCCAGCTCTACATAGCGACCATAGATAGAGCGACAGTTTGTAAGGACAATCAGCTTGGTGGTGCTCTCTCTTTTGGCTGATAATATGCGCATGATGTGATAGTAGCGATCTGAGGTGACTGGGATGTGCTGCTCGGGAATCACTAATATGTAGATGCAGTGAGAGTCCAGAATAACCTCCCCGCTGTACAAAGTATGCAGCTCGCTAAGGTTTCGTATCACGTGGATTGCACTGATGATTGAAACGGTATCTAATCCATTGTAGATTTTGAAAATTTCTTCTTTAGTGTTCAAAGCAGTACCATGCCCAGTCCCAGACTTATTGAGAAGCGCTTTTAAGGAAAGGGTGTTGCTGGAGAGCTGGAAGTCCGTCAATATACGCACCAATGATAGAATAAGCAGTTCGGTGGTGTATGTGTCTGTCATCAGATCGAAGCCGTGTGTAAGAACGGGCTGGGCAGAAACCTTCTCAATGATAGACAGACATGAGGTACTACTAAAGTCTAGCTTGAAGTCTGTAATTCCCAAGTATAGGCCGTGTATAAGGTTGTCCACTCTGTTTAGAATACTGTAAGCTAGGGAGGCGAGAATCCCCCAACCTTTAGTATTCAGGGGTACGAGGCCACGACAATCTGTTGCATAAAACTGTTCATAGAACATCTCCACCCAGCGCGGGCAATGGATGCAGGGTAGACAAACTGAAGTTAATACTTCTAGTAGTATGGGGGCACTGCAATTAATGTGCGGGCCAGTAAGTTCTAGGTCTCGAGTGCTTGTATTGTCAATGACCGGTCCAATAATGGATATACTGGCCAATTTGTGAACTGCATTGCTACAGGGATTTGGAGATAGAAGATAAACGAACGCAGGCAGCCTCGGAGCAACTGCCAACAGCACCTTTGTGCCCCAAAACTCGATGCCCAGAAAGGTTCTTAAGGCTTCTAGAGCATTCTTGCCAGTAAAGCCCAGACCCAGCTCGGACTTTCCTATTACAGATGATATCGCTTCCAAGAGGGTCATTAGTCTATGATTAGTATGACACTGCAGCGAGAGAAGGCCGACCGCCATGCGATAGCTAGCTCGCGGCTCAGTGTCTGCGCCAGACGTACAAGAGGAGATGCGGGATATAAAGGACCCTATCGTGTCTAGTGAAACTTTAGGCATTGAAATATAGCCAGAAAGTAGCTTCGCAAGACACACAATAGGTTGCGGGAGAGAGACAATAGGTGGTGGCATACACCATTCAAACAAGTCAGAAGCCATCACTATGTAGTGGGAAGATATGGGAATTTGAGCTGCTCCAAGAGCACTGCGAAGCACAGGAGACAGCTCATAGACGACGGGCTCAGAAGCCGCCGCAATGAGTGACGGATCCCAGATAATTAGCCGGCCTGGAGCTTTAACTGTTGAAATAGTAGCAAAAAGAGATGCCAGCTCCTGCAGGGAGGCTGGTAAGTTGTTCTTGACAGGTTCTGAAGTTAGATCACGGATGACGACGAGCACTGGTGTAGCAAGGAGCTTTAAAACCTCCGAAGCAGAGAAGAATCTCGACGCTACAGATACAAAGATGACGCTGTATGCCATATGTAGTGGCAGTTTTACGTTGAGGAAGTTAAGTACCCTTGGGTCAGAGTAGCCCGTTGTTGTGGGAGTTACCAGAATGGCAAAGTGCTCTAGTAGTAACAACTCCGTTGCCTTGACAAAGGAAGTCAGGCCTCTAAATGACGGTGCAAAGTACGGAGCATCAACTTCAAGCGGGGCAGACCCAAGCCGCCCTATCAATCCCCCTTCTGAATAGACCTCGTTGTGAAAAGATGATATGGCCTCTATTTCTGATTGACAAAACGTATACATTGACTGATCAACCTTAGGAGAAGATTGAGCACTGATTGTCCTAAGGTGCTGTCCAAGAGAATCCTCATACTTTTCAATCTCTTTAGTCGGACATGTGATTAGGGAAGAATATGTATTCATAAAATCGGGGCAGACGGAGATAGTCTGTTCAATGCTGATGTCACCAGTGTCTGGGTTCCTGTTCACGCAGCCACGCACTGTCGAAAGTAAAGTGTCCATCTCATCAAGAACATCCAAGATATGCTGCGAGCGCGCGTCACTGAAGCAGGGTAACAGAATGGACGCCTCCAGCATGCTATTTGAAAAGCCGAATAGGCTTGTTATTTGTCCAATGGTCAAAAACCTATCCACTGTCATTGCTCTGGAAACCGTATCACCGGCCCCAGGACTCGTTGACGTGGCACATGTCTGATCGACGCTTCCACTCAATTGTCGGTCAGCCCTACAAAGATCAGCGTTATAACGCATCTGCGAATGTGCAGTATGCTCAAGCCGGTGATCGAGCTTGTTTCGCAAGTTGGTAAGTGCCTCTTCAGCATCCACCCCTGGGTCTAGTGCGTCGTCGTCCTCGTCACTAGAGGAAAGCGCGCAAAGAGAGTCTACATCCGCGGAGTGCATTGCTGGATGGTATGACGAATCAGAGGTCCTAGCGGCATACAGCTCACCAAGTTTAAGGGGATCACCGGTATAGATAGTAAGGGGTTCGGCCCGCAAGTCGTGTAACCGTGAAAGACGATGCATAGCACGTTCCAGTATGAGGTCCGTGTAGCTCTTATCAAAGGTAAGAACCTTATACTTTCTATGATCGATGACAAGTTGGCGAAGAGAGCCCACAAGATTGCCCAGATTGTCAAGTGTCTCGAGACTATCCTTGTGTTGGTAGATGGCGCCCTCTTGAATATTGAGCATTAGCTTTCTGATGGCATGAATCGTGATTCGGAGAGGTAGTCCTCGCACAAAGTACGAAAGTTCGTTACGGTAGGGGCTGTCTGGAGCTGAGCACAGCAGCTCTGTTTGTAGGAGGTTAGCAAACTGTGTTGTGTAAAGACCGAATGATAAGGATAGGCAATGGTTGATGAATGCAATTGTTGTAGTAGTGAACAAAAGGTGTAAGTATTGGAAGCACAACGGTGTGGCTAACGGGATGTATTCCAGCGCTTCTCGCTCAGTAAGAACGCGCTGCACAGGATCTATTAGGAGAGAGTAAGAAACAGTGTCTTTTGTGAATAACAGTTGGTCACTGGAGCTCTGCGGGATGGAGTATGTTTTGGTCCAGCGTTGAGCATATCGAGAACGCTGCAGGATGCCGTCGATATAGTAAACATACACTCCAGTTGGATACAGAAGCTTAAACGCAACAAATTCGTATCCTGTATATCCACAGCATGCGAGTACCGTCGATATGGCATCAATGATGCGTTGCGGCAGAGGGATTAGTATGAAGGGAAGAGGATCCTGATGCTTGGAGGTTAATTCGGGGACCTTGAGAGCAAGCTTAGGACGGCAAACTGGAGAGTAGTAGGACTCGTATAAGGTAGCCTCTACTATTGCGGAGAACAAGAGTCTATACCCAGATAAGTGCGTGCGAAGAGGATTCAGAAGTTGGCTGCTACAAACGTGAGCATTTGTTTTGATAGCGGCTGTCTGCGTGTTGAAGATGTCTGAGCATAGAGTCCACAGGCCCTGGCGCGACGTTTTCCGAAGAGCTAACTGGTTAAAGCTCAAGTTAGCATTAAATCGGGACACAGATGCATATTTCAAGGCCATGATTAGGTCACTCACTACTTGACCAAAGGTCTCTGGAGGGGAAGGGAACTCTATGAACGGCTTATAACAGAATATGTTACACGCGCTCTTTTTCAAGCCTTCTGGAGCAATCCTAATAGCTAGCGAAGATTCTGATTCAAAGGATGCTGAGGCAGAGTGATTAATGCTAAGACACAAATTGAGAGCAGATAGCTCTCGAAACGCACACGACTGGAGCAGGATAAGCTGTACTATAACGTTGATATTATAGAGATGTGACACAGCTGGCTCCATCCAGAGCTGCTGTTCATAAAGCCCACGCATAACGGTGAATTGAAAGTGTTTGAGTCGCGTGATAAATGGGTTACTGTATGGAAATATATATCCAGAGATGAAAGGCGAAAGATTACCAGCATTGGGGACAGCGAGTTGTTTGGGCCGAAGCTTAGCACCCTGGTGCAACTTACGTATGCGAAGAAGATCCCTGAGGTTACGGGAGTGTAAGCAAATGGTATTGTCAGTTGTGTATAGATCGTCAAAGGTATCCGGAGTAGACACTTGAAAGACATATCTTGCCGCAGAACTATGCTCATATGCGTCCCTGTAAAAGCTTGAGCAGCTCACGACATCTGCAAGATTATTCCAGAACGCCTCGAGTCTGTTTTGAAGAACGTGTTCCACCCTAGAGCTACTGTCCATGGATCTCAAGTCTGCTAGTGCAAATCCCAGGGCTTCGACAACAGATGCCCACTCTATCTGTGCTGCCGTGTCACTCTTCTGCTCTAAGGCATTGTGAAGACATGCAGCAATTGGCCCGCGGGCGAGATCAGCCAGATATTCATCTATTTCAGGCTTACATACATTGTAACAAGAAATAGGCTTGCTAAAGAGTGTTCCCGTGGTTGTGTTATAATAGGAAATGATTGACGAGGAGCTGAGCCACTCTAGATCAAACAGGCTGTCAGTGTGGTAGGAAGTGAAGGATGTGAGAAGATCCGCCTGATAATGGTGCATCGACTGCATAAGCATACGCTCAGATCCACCCACCATGAGATACCGCAGTTTCCGCAGCGAGCGGATAGCAGGAGTCATCTTCAGGATCCGCAGAGGGGGTAAATGTAAATCGTGCATGAGAGACTTAGCTACAATTGACTTATAGCTATAGTACCCAGCACAGTTAACCGTGGTAATGAATTTTCCTATGCCAGAACGACCGTTAACCTTGCTTATATGCACAACTGGACGCATGGGAGGAAGAAGGCATGAGCTGGCGTCCGGTGTTTTAGAAAATTCGGTGGACAAAAAGTCCGGCTCTGCAAGAAGAGAAAAGTCACTTCTGGAATCACAAAAGACAGGTAATAAAAAGGAATCCAAGAGAATGGACTCGTGCGTACTCAAAACACTTAATGCAATCTCATGATGCTGAAGCTGAATTAGTTTATCAATTCGGGTTTTAATGCAGTATGTGTTCATCGCAAAATGCAGCTTGTTGGCATACTCAATGAAGGTGTCCACAGCTTTTCTTGCTATGACATCATCTGTTAATTGATACTGGGCCTTAGAGAGCAGGTCTTTAACGTATAGAGATATGGTTAGAGGCTCTCTACTATCTATACCCAGGTATTCGTCGAAGGAAATGTCACCCTTATTGTACGGCTGGAACGTGTCGTACGCAGTTACATCATATCCAAAGCCTACTTGCGTATTATCCAGAGCAGCCTTTATGATGAAAAGGACGATGAATTGTTGCCGGTATTTGCTTAACGTTTCAAAGATCATACGGGCAATGGAGGATATAGCAATTTCGTCGCCGACAGACGCAAGAAACGAAAGAGCGACATCTATAGCGTGAATTATAGCAATCTTGATGTCCTGGATGGAGATTGCATTGATAGATTGAGAGAACCAATCTTCAATCTGAGTGCTTAGGTCGTCACTTAAGAGAATCAGCTTGCAAGTGAGAGATACCAGGGGCAACAGTGATCGCAATCTAGTCTCGATGGTTACATCGGGCAAGTATGGGGATTCGCTTATTATGAGCTTTATGTTCTCTGGTTTGATAGGAAGAGGCTCTCCTCGCGTCAGCAACCTGGAGTAATATGCTAGCTTCGCCTTTCTTATCTCAGCGAGCTTCTCCTCACTCGTGTCGGACTCAACCTTTATCCCTATCTTCGTCATGTCGTTGCTATCTCCAAAGAGCACATAGTCTATCTTGTCAACACGTGCAAATTCACCGTTCTTTTCTAGCCATGTAAATAGCTCTGCCGGGCTTAGATCTTTATAGTCTGGGGAGTTGTAGAAGCCCAAGATTTCACAATTTGATTTGTTGGTTATCTGTAGCAGCTCGATCAAGCGCTTAATTAAGTCCTCCATCTCAAGAAACACGGTTGAAATATGAATAGGGTGGATTGTCTGAGGTCTCTCGAAAAACTGAAAGGAGCTAGTGGTACGGTAATCGATTTTGTTCTGCTGCAAAATGAGGCGAGAGTCCTGAATACTCTTCTTTGAAAGGAAGGGGAGCCCAGATTGTGCCCATATGCTAGCGTAAAGAAGCTGTTGAAACGATGCCCCGGTGCACGCTTGTGTAGAATCTATCCCAAAGGGCAGCGATAGATTCCTGCATATGCTATTGGCGAAGCGTCGCCTGAAGTCAGAGACGTTTCTGTTGCAGTTTAATTTGTCGTGTGCCGTGAGTGAGAGCATCTCAACGATTCGTGGGAAAATGGATTCAGAGGCAGAATAGACCCAGCTCTCAATCTGACTAATTACACCTCTGGCTATGTGATGCACAGTGTGCAGAGAGCTGCCTATCTTGGGGAGTAATCCTTGATTGGCAAAGAGCATCCTAGACACCTGGATGCGATATCGAAGCAAATTTGCATAGACTGAGCTTATTTTCGTTCCGTACGCGACCTCTGAGAGATGATTCTCCACACCTTGCATGGTACTGAGGTATTCACCCCAGACAGGAATGTTGTGCATGAATGTCCTAAAGAGGCTAAAGGACATCCCTATCTCCTCCAGAGTAGAAAACTTGGCGGAGCCAAAGGAGAGCTGCATTGCCTGTACACATGTCTGGGCAACCCGTGAGGCTAAGTATATATAATCATCGATACGCGACGCTGCTAACAAGAAAATGTTCTCGTAAATATGCCGTAGCCGAACAAGTACTTGCTTAAGGTCTAGTTTGAGCGTTCCGAAAAAGCACTCTGTGGGCATAACGGTTAAGCACCAGAAGCCATCGTATAAATGATATGCAGCTAGAAGTGCTCTGGAAACGTAGCTCGACTTATTTGTTAGTGACATTATCTGGGACAAAAGAATTTCTGGAGGAGCTGAGCCAGTGACATAATCAGCCGTGAATGCTGTTAGAAGGACATCAGACCGCAAGAACTGGGACAGAAGCTCAGCTTCATAAACGAACGGAAGCTCTCTGTCTATAAAGGTGTCACCGAATATACTGTTTGGCTCAGTCGTACTGTCACCACATGAGGGCCTTCTTGGGGGAAGCGAAGGCGCTCCGTGGTCGTGGGCATGCTCTGATAATAGCCTTTGCTCTTGTAAAGCCTCCTTCCCAGAGGCCTTCGTCTTTTCCTCACAGTGCCTGTCTTTGAATGTTGCATGGAGCGACATGCGCGCTGCTTTATAGTACTCCTTTATGCGAGTTTGCGTTTTGTTCAGTAAGCTCTGCACCTGCCAATTTCTTTCAATTATGAAGCTGGGAACCAGTTCTTGCGCGTTCAACAGCCGCTCTGCAAATTTGAGACTCTCTTTAGCATATCGCATCAAGAAAGCAAGAACCATATCTAAGTAGTTTTTGAGATTGAGTGCTGCATGCTTGGTGAGATTTGCTAGTCTATAGAGGATGGTTGGTGGCTCATAGTGCAAGCGGTTACACTTTCTTGCCTCCATGTAGGTTCCAATCCGACCATGGGTGTCAAAGAACGATGCGACCTGCTGTGAATATGTAGTATTTCTAGTTTTGATATTAAAAGAGATGTTGGCGACGGTAGTAAGGTCTGATTTCCCCGTCATGTCCATAAAGGGGACGTCTCCTTCTGGAACGACTTGGGACGTGCGAATGGGCACAGTGGGTGGGCTGGCATTGCGAGTTCTGTACTGTGTGAGCTTGCTACGTGCACGCCGTCGAGATTCTCCCGGACTTTCCTGCGACGAGTAACCAAAGTTGATGCTTCTTCCGCTAGCGCGAACGGCAGCTCGTGAGGAAACCTGATGGCTTGTGCTCCTAAGCAACGTACGCCGTAATATGTCCTTCTTAGCGTTTGTCTTCTTCATGGACCGACGACTGATACCGGCAAGCAACGATGAGTTGTTGCCTAGGGTCACCATGAGATCAGATCCGCTCCGTATAGGTAGACTATTGTCTGTAGTGATGACTTCGTGGATAACCCTTTGGAGGGGCTCGTCGTTTCCCAACCGGGCAATAGCCTCAAACGTAAAGTTGTTCATATTATCGGTTGTAGTAGGTATATTGTACTTGGCACCAAAGGGGCGTGTGGCAGGATCCTTGCTTGATGATCCTGGTTCTGGAAATAGGTTGTCAGCAAAAACTGGACACGAGGAATAAAAATCCACAAGGTCGTAGACAAACATAGGTAAACTGGAGAAAATATCATTTGGAGACGGCGTGAAGAGTAGATTAGTCAAAAGCCCGCGTTGATTTCTAACGGCAGAGAGTACGCATTCGGTATTGGCAAATAAAGAGATAATTTCCTTCATCCGTGACTCAGCCAACGAGAACTGAACTTCCTCTTCTTTGTTTAGGTACCTAATGTCTGTTATAATTCTCTCAGAGAAGTACCACTGAGTAGGTTGAGAGTAGATAAAGTCATGCATCTCTGTGATGTTCTGGATTCGCTGGACAGAAATGGTGAGGACATCTGCAGACGTGAAGAGGTAAGCATCACCTGTGGTTGTTTCAGGAACATCTTGCACAACTGCCGTGGGATGTGTTGAACAGATAGTAGAGTGAGCGTTAGCTCCACGTGCGTCAAGTACCATTGCTTGAGGTGCTTTGCCATTGGTTCTATTTATATCACTGATAAGACTGATATTTTTCATCATTGCGTCTGCAAGTGTTCTATTCAATTGAATGGCCAGTGGGGAGTTCTGCGTGAAGTCAGCTGTACAGTTAGGAGCCACAAATCCGCCAAGAGAGCTCATAGATAGGCTGTCAAGCTTCTCAACGTCAGTGTAAAGCTTTGCGTACCCCATTGTGATGTTCAGATCGTGCGCCTTTTTAAGAATGCCCATGTACTCGTCATTAAACCGCGAAGTATTTAGAACGTGGCTAAACGAGGTTAGGGCCTTGGATTGAGCAATGTAGCGCATGTCCCGGTCAGCTCCATGAAAGAGGAGGAGGATAAAGACGGACCATTGGGGGTAAATGTCCTCCATTACGTAGGTGTATAGTAGTTTAAAGAGAAGAATCTCAAATTTCTTCTGTACCTTACGAAGTAGGAGCCTATTTTCTTCAAGAGCTTGGCACTGAAATTCAAACGCAATATCTGCAGCGAGAGAGTCCCGTGAAATCCCCGTTAAGTTGCAGTATGCTTTCACCTTCCTGGTCATCTGCTCAAAGGCAAGGTCCGAAAAGTTTAGCATGAGGGACTCTTGAATAAATGGAAAGAGGACTTCATAAAGCAAGATAAAACAGTTAGCCAGATAAACGCTGAGTTTCTCCATGAAGTTCGTCTCGCCTGGAGCAGGAAACTTGAAGATCTTCTCGTATATTTCCTCAGCTTGCGTGCGCCCTCCAGGCTTATAGCTGAAGTCTTTGGTCATCAGGGCGGACGCGGTCTTAGCAGCCTCTTCAGCGTCTCGGCGTGCCAGTTCTTCTTTGCGTCGGAAGATATCTTGCTCACGGTTGCTTTGAATCTGCCAGTATCTACGCTGAATCCATTCGTAGGCATTCTTGGGTTTGTAGGCAGCGTTGAGAATCGGTAGGTCTGCCCCACTTGTTAGTTCTTGATTGACTGGTCTTTTGAGAACAGGATTTAGTGTTTGATTGGTGGCCTGGACGTTAACATCACGGTCCTCGGGGTCCTCTCTTGGTCTTTTCTGATGGCCGTTATCTGCTCGCACAGAGCTTTCTGATGCATAGGAAATTTTATCGGGGCTGGCCCCGCCGGGGAGCGTCTGTAGTGCATTCTGCAGATTGACCCTTCCAGTACTTGGTCTAGAGAGAAGAGCTTTAGTGTCCTTGTCTATGTCTGTCTGGAAAACCATATTCGCAAAGAGATAATCACTTATTTTCGGGATGAATGTGTCCTGAAGATGTGTAAGCAGCTCTGGGGTGAGTATAAGGTATTGCAGATGCTCCTGCACCGTGGACATGAGATCACTGAACACACGCTTGTACTCAGATGCCCCCCAAAATATCTTGTTCTCCATCAAGGCCGTACGAGCATTTTCAAAGGCTTCCCGGCGATGAGGACAGAAGCTAGGATACTTGTACTTCTGATAGTTCTTGTAGCTGGAATGCTTGAGTCGGAGGAGTTGCCGTGCACACCAGTACAGTTCGTGGCTTGGGTCTCTATCTGCTTGCTCAATAATTTCAGTGGCAAAATCGGTCCTCAGCGCATGATCGATGTAGCTTTTGTACAGGTTATCGAGAGCATCAAAGCCATCAAACTGAGCTGTACGCTTAAGCGCAGGATTAACAAGACTTTCTAGCTTGACACGACTAGTATTAATGGCACTCAAGCATAGCTCGACTGCGGCAGAACGCACCTGCTTGTGCCCCGCTATCATGTTCTCAAAATGATCATATACGCGTTCCCGCCTTTGGCGAAGCTGCATTAAAGTTAATACGTACTCTTCCGATGCCTCATCCTCCAGCGCAGATGCAGCACAGAAAGTGGCTCTTTTAGCAACGGATTTGTCCTCTTTTTGGTCTTCCTTGTAAATGGACGGCAGGATGGGGAGAGGAGGGGCCGTGACCACTGTTGTGAATCCGCAAACAGACTTGCTACGTATATCTTGAAGCTGCTCTGATTTGTCTTTAATGGCCTGGAGTGTGGATATGAATAAATTATAGTCTCGTTCGCGATTTTTCACACGCAGTCGACGCTCCTCGATCTCAGCTACGCAATCGATGCAGTAGTCTTCACTCAAGCGCGTTTTGAGATTATAGAAGAGAGTGTGCCCAATGTATGCAGTGGAAAGAAAGTCCAAGTACGGTCTATTAGCAGTGCTCTTTTCTTCGACAAGCTGGTTTAGCCTTTTAAGCGCCGCCTCAAAGCTCTCCTTCATCCGTTGATAGATGTGTATCCTGGAGAACTTCTGAAGGAATTGCTCGTTGATGTCGCGCACAATCACTTGATTGTTGCGGTCGATATACTGAAAGGCTACCTTTTCTGATGACTCGTGTGCGTGTGCGTGTGCGTATGCGTATGCGCTGTTTGTTGTGTTTATTATTGGTGCACATTCTGTGTGGGCCAACTTTGGTGGGGATGCTATTGCCACGGCCTCCTTGTCTCGTCTTTCTAGGATATCGAGGGTGCTTAGGATGTCGAAGCTTTCGCTGACAAGTCTGCTTGAGTCATCAGCTGGTATCTGATCTTTTTTGCGATCACTAGTTGCAGGCACAAGTGCACTTGTGATATTAGTCTGATTTGCTGTGGATGATAGAAGGACAGATGCGTGGTATCCTTTGGTAGCTCCATACTGTCTGTTTTGCAGTTGGGAAGATGATATTTCCGTTTCTGAGGCTTCCAAATAACCCCTGAGATTGCTCTTGTAACTGTGAGGCTCTCCCGTGGGAAGAGATATTAAAGGTGTGTCTTCCTTAAGGAATTGCCGGAACTGAAACTCATGTGGCTTAGAACGCTGTAGTTCATCTCTAGGGTTAGACGTGATGGTAAAGACTGATAGATCGGAGGTATCTTCTGGATTAACGCCAGTAGCTCTTGTGGCAGTTACCTCCAAATCTTTTAACTGCATGTCCATTGTCTCATCGGTGCCCGATAGGTCCAGGGTACTTGGATACGTGTGCTCTGGGAAGTGTTGGGATTCCACTGCAGTTCTAGAAGCAGCCAGCACGGCTTCACGGTCTCGTTTTCTAGATTCCAAAAACGCTGATACGGCTTTGTCGTTACGAATATGGTAAACCCCAGTAGGAGACCTGAAGAAAGTTTTGTCTTCTGACCGAAAGGATAGCTTAAAAAGCTCCATCAAGTCATCTCCTGTGAGACAATCTAATGAAATCCCTGAACTTTCCACTGTGCCTTCCATATCTGTGTCCAGAGTCAAGGGGGTTTGCTTCACTTGAAGACCCTCAATAATAATATTATGTATTTTTGCCTGCCGAAACATCTCGAGCTGTGGAAACAGAACGCGAAACGCATCGTTGGAAACTCCAACAATGTCTACTTCGTGCCACTGATCAGCATGCTCGGTAATTCCGGGCTTCATATATCCCTTCCCAGAACATACCTCCAGGTTTTGCTCCAGTATCTGTTCTAAAACGAAGTTTGCTCTCACCTCCTTTGGATCCACCGTTGCACTCGGGGCCAGGTTCATCAGCTCGGCCATGGTCTCCAGATCTCGCACATTACTAGTGCGAACCTTTTCCTGGTTAATAAAGCTATCAAGATCCAGCTTCTTGGGAAGAGAGGCTGGCGCGACTTTTAAATAACGTGTATTAGCGGCTAGGTATGATGAGATTGACTTTGATCTGATGGGAGAAGAAACCCTTTTGAAAGTGGACGTTCCATCTTGCCCCTTGGTAAGGTGAGAGAAAGCTTTTGGAACAAGAAGAGACGCCATACACCCAGTCTTTAGGTCTTAGCTCTGGCCTAAAAACGATTTTTAAAATGGGGATCGTGGGTTCCATACAGGCTTGGTGGTCTATGCAGACAAAGGAGCATAAGCAAAACATCATGTTCATCGGCCCGCTTGTCTTTGTTATAGAGTTGGCCATGGCCTATACACGGCATACACATAAAACGGAAGTATCCGCTCACCAGGAGAAACTTGAGCAGATAAAGAAGGATATGAACAAGGAGGAGCGAGGCACGTACCGTCATAGAGTCCTGAACACCTACTATATAGCCCAGGAAAATGAGCTCTTTGATCTTCTACTCAAACCCGTAGAGCAGCCCTCTCATGCAAAATGGCTCGCATTTATCCCCAGCTTTGCAGTGCGACTTTTCTTCAGCATCTTCAGAGAAAACAGCATTCTTTGCCGTGTCAACATACCCGATTCTATCGTTGCCAGGGCTCTCAATATTTTCAGTGGGGCATCCTACAAGCCCGGAAACGTCTCAACGACCGTGGTGCAGGTTCTTCTTAGTCGCATTTACCGCCCAATTGCGGCGCTTATCTTCCCACCGGCCTTGAAGCCTCTTACCATGGAGCAGCAGATAAGACGCCAGCAACGTCTCAGCATGCCTCCGGAGCCACCACAACAGAGTGGTCAGCCGCCTGCTGCGCGCATTTCTCAGGAAGGGATCGAGGACTTGATCAGGAGCTATCCAGATATCATCACCATCAAGACAACGGACCTGGTTCAGTAATTTGGTGTAAATTAAAAATTCGAGACCTTAGGCCTCTTCCGTCTCTCCCCCGATTGCGCTGAGTAGAAATGGACGGAGATCTAGTGTATTACTCAGAATGCTGTGCACTATTCAAGAGTATTAGAGAGCTGGACCCAGAGGACATCGAGGCCCACGTACCCTCACTGCAGAGGTTGCCGCAGACGCTTCTGGGACACATCGATCTCGGCCTTTCTCCACAAATATCTGACGAAGTAAAGGAACAGGGGAGAGAGGCCGGCCTTTCAGACGAAGCCATTTCTGTAGCAGCAAAATTCTCACTACGTGCCCATGCATATAGAGCCCTTATATCTCTCTGCCATGCTCTTCAAGGATCTCCTTCCAACACCCACTTAGCTACCTGTTTGACAGAGATCTGGCAAAGCAACCTTCCCACTCGGCTAGTCGATTCTGTTACCAGTCTAGTAACGGGACAGGGTACAGTCCTTACACCAGCTGTCCTTGCCCAACCTTCCCCAGTACAACTTCTGACTGCCCAGCTAGTAGCCGAAGATCTGAGGCACGCATCAATCGTTCTGTATTGCTTGTCCACGGCCAAAAGACCGTCTGCGCAATTCGTGGCAATGTGCTGCCGTCTTGCTCAGACTAGTGAGGCCGTCCTAGAGCAGCTACACAAATGCTTCTATGCACTTCCGGTAGTCCTTCAGAGAGTGATGAGCAACGTTACGATGGCTACGCATATCCTTTCTGTGACGTATGTCTCGGCCTACGTTAACTGTGCTGAGCTACCCGGGCCTGACCAAGCTGTACAGAGTGCTCGGAACCTCTATGCTTGTGACCTGATTCCCATTATGTCCACTGCCGCCACGAGCAGCGCTGCACGTACTGCATTCTTCTGGCTGTATTGTGTGTTCTCTACGTTCAAGCCGTCATATTCGCAGGAGAGTCTTGCAGAGATAGTTCAACTTACATTTACCGAACTGTGCCAGCAAGAACTTGATCCTGCGCTACGTGCACGGAAAGAGACTATGAAGTTAGGGTCTTTGAGCAGAAACCAGCTCTTTGCAGAACAGGAGAAGCAGACTGCCTTTGGCCGCGTGGCCACCAGTATTGCCCAGCCCGTTCATCGTCAGCCGGGCGCTAAAGAATACCCTTCAGTAATTGAATTTGAGGAAAAGCTGAGCCTCGTTAGAACGTACCTCTCCCGCCATTTGATGGATGACAACGTTATAAGCTCCCTGTTGGACTATACATCCGTAAAGCCTATTCTTCACATTGCAGAGTTTCCAGCGCCATCTTTTGGGGTATTTATTAACTTTGCGAGGATCTGTTACCACGTGAAACATATGGATGACCCTGGTAATAACAACCCAATGACCGGCATAAATGCCTCCAACGAAGCGGAATATAGGGATTACCTACTGGATCAGATCTCCTTGACGGAATTCACAGATGTGGTCCTGCGTCTGGCAATGGCCGGTGTTTCTCTTTATCTAGAGACAGATCGAACTCTCCGCTTTGTTCCACCTATAACTGTGAGCCTAGGCAAGGTTACCGACGGTTTGTGCACACTTGTTCATGACGATTTTCTGGCGATTTTGCCATCTTTGTATAACACGCTGGGGGCTCTTTTCGGAACAACATTCAGCTGGATGGATCCTATCGTTAAGCAGTGCAGATTCGAGGAGGCACGGACGTACTATGAACTTGTAGGCTTTTTGATGGATAAGTGCCTGGATTACGAGCGGTCTGAGATTGATGCACTTCAGAGCTCCCACGGTCAACGGAAAAGTATCGCTAACGTTGGAATAAGTCGCTACGATAGGCACAACTTTGCCACTGCTGCAGGAAGCCTAGAGCCAATGCTTGGGGGAGGCGCTCACAGTGCTGGGCATTTGGGGATGACACTTGGAGCTGTTGAGCTCCCAAACATGCACATGTATTGCTCTCGACTTATGGCCTGCGTCGGATGCATGCTTGCCGTTGGCGGAGATCACGCATTTCGAGGTCTCAATAGCGATAATATCGTCTCCCTTATACTGGGATGGATTTTTTCAGAGCTGGACACTCCTGGCCAAATCCTAGGGGCTATCTCTATTACCCAGGGTCTTGCTCACTGTCCTGCTTACGGAGTTAATTGCATGAAGACGCTGTTAAGAAATACAGCAGACACAACCCTCACCAAACCATTGGCTGATCTTGTTAACTCGCAGAAGGCTGCTCACATTGGCGCATATGGCCAGGAAACTGTAGGGTACGGCGGATTTGATATTAGCATGGTGTCTACCAAATTAAATAGTAAGATATACAATGCTGTGACCTCTTACGCTGCACCATTCAGCATTTACCTTATCAATAAGCTTATCATCACAATCGGTGGTGCAGACCTGTTTATAAAAGATGAATTCTCACCTGCTCCGAGGTCTAATGCTAAACATGCGCCAGTAGAAATGGTTAGGGAGACTGCTTTTGGGATCCAGCATATCAGCGTGTCTGGCGTGCACGTGAACTACGAGGGCCGAGGAGGATCGGCTCCAGGTCTTGTAAGACCTGATGATGTTACTGCAATTCTGACTGCAAGGGACGTCATCTCTTTTGAGAACGAGTCTGACTATGTTCCTCAAACATTAAAGACAACGAGAAACCAGCTTCTCAAGACTCTGACTACGAACCTTACACCATTGACGAGCACCTCCGATTTCGATCTTCTTATCTTGGAACAATCCGTTCGAACCCTGGCTCTTTACGACATAAATCCAGAGATTGTATCTCAGATTGCTTTCTCCGTCCTTTTGCGCTTGGCCGTGACTCTCACCATAACGATCGACCCTGCTACCAGACATCCCAAATACAATAACATTTTGGAAGCTCAAACAAACCTGCGATATTTACGACTCTTGGAGGCGGCACTCTCTCTTCTGGCCAGCGCCAACTCCACGGAGTCTATTATATTTCTTAGAGGCTTGGCTAGCACCCCCCTCACACCAGACATAGCTACCATATGTAGTTCTTTAACAGAAATAACGTTCCAAACAGGACCCCTCTATGAAGCAGGTGGTTTTAGTAGTGTGGAGTTGGCGACCCCACTGCATGCGCTGGAAGACATGATAACTTCTATCATATATTCATCTTTTATCGGGGGGAAATCTGCACTGATTGATCTTCTTCAGTCATACTTGTCGTCGTCCCTGTGCATCCATGCAAAGGTCCGAGTTGAGTACATGCATCGTTCTGTTTGCACAGTCGCCAGGGAGATATCACTGATAGTTCTAAGCGACTTATCCTCGAGCGATCGGAATTATAACGAGTCTACCAATCTTCTTGCGGTACTTCGCACCCTGAACAAGCATAGTAGTCTCCTGCACCTCTTTGATAGCATCCTTAAGCTCTTTAATATCTGTCTGCGTTCATCCTTGACATCTACCGACGAGGATCTTCTCATAGGGATTTCAGAAGTTCTCATTCTTGATCACTTTTCAATTCTCGCTGAATCAATGATGGATATTCTCCTCTCCGATCACGAATTTCTCTCTACCACAGCAATGTTTGTCTCCAACTCTGCGATTGCTGCGCTGCATTCACAGCACATCTATACTCTGGTGAATACTCAGCCCCTTATTCAGACACCCCCAGAGTCATCAGAGCAGTCTGTGATCAGCAGCCTTCTCTTCATTGCACGACTTCTTGTTTTAGCAAGGCATCCGACGTTCCTTATTCCTAACGTCACCAACGCGATAAACCTTTTGATAAACTCTCGAGCCACATGTCCATATGACGGGGATCTACCAGGTCGTTACGCTGCTCAGGATACCACTGGAAAGTATGCTACGGCTAACCGAGTCACTGTCTACAGAGAGCAAGTCTCAGTTAGAATGGGGACATCATCATTCATTCTACTGCTTTTCTGTCTTCTGGACCACTTCTGTACGAGCAGCCTCCACAACGCAGCGAAAGTGCTTCTCTTGGAGCTGCGCAAGTCTATGGGCTCGGATGCACTTGCGCGTGAAATAGAAGGGTCATGCTCATTTAGGGAGATGCTTATTCGTGCTCGACATAGCTTCCTACACAGCCCAACTTGTGCTGAGGCTCTCCTGGTGGCTGTGTCATGCGAGCTACCATCGGAAACTAGCTTGCTTTCAAGCAGGATTCTTTGGACGCCATCGCCCCGGCTTCTTAAGCTGTTCTTTCTGGGTGAGGAGTCCCGTCGCGTCGTAGAGCACCGAAGCATGCTCAGATTGGACCGCACAACATCTTTATATCATGCCCTTCAAACCCTCCTGAAGCGCAATGATGATAGCCTTTGGCTTTACCCAGGGGTTGCTGAGCATGGTTACAATCTTCTCTCACAATTTCTGGAATACACCTTTGTAGGGCCCCAAGCACCACAGTCACAAGATGCAATGCACGTCCTTACTGATCTCGGAGGCGAATTCTTCACTGATCTGTTCATAAAGACAGGCTTGATCGCAAGGCGAGCACGACGGCTTCAAGACGCGGCTTTGAATAACGGGGCTATGGGGGACCCTGTGAGAGACGAGACAGACTTGCAGCTTATGAACAAAACTACTGCTGTGCTGTTTGCCACTGCTTCATGCCTGCGATTGATGACGATATACCTTCATATTATCTTTAACTCTAGCAATCTTGTACGTGACATAACGGTTTCTGAACTTATCAGTGGCCTTTTTGGGCTTGTAATTGGCACCCTCTGTTATCCACAATGTAATGAGGATAGCCTAGATAGACTTCTTGAAACGCTTCCTCCAGCAGATAGGGAGAAAATGCGCCCACCAAGGACTCCTGCCAAATTCGATTCGTTCTCACACGACGCAATTCAAGTAATTACAATGGCAGCTGCTGAAGCCTTCTCAGCAAACACAGGCACAGACTATCTTAATCTCTACGAAATCATCATCGAGTGTATGCAAATACTCTCCGACACGCCTAAGCCAGAGCTTTCTGACGTGTCTCAACACGCCATTTTACCAGCGGTTTCCAATTTGACAGGCCAAGGGCTGCGATACGCTCCACTCGTAAGTCAAACAAAGCTTCGGACTCAGCTTATTTTATCGCCACTTACTCAGGATCAAAGGGAAAAGGTAATGCGTGACTCAGTTCTCATCAACAACAACGCCTGTTTAATGGAAGGATTCACTGCCTTTCTCCGTGCTCTTAACAATCTTCAGTCAGGAGCCTACAGGACTATCTGTGACTCCATTCGAGCAGGCCTCCTCTCCAACTGTGGTAAAGTCATTCCCTTGTCTGCTCTCATGAACACATATCTAGTCTCGTCTATCGTGCCCTTGAATTGCTATGTCTACGTTAAAGATCGTATCCTCACAAATATAGTCCCGGAAATTCTCGACGAGATGCTATTTGCAATCCAGCAAGCAGCTGTTCTTATCAAGCAGCAGATATGCAGCGCTGATTCCGGCGATATATTTTTCTTGAGTGCATCCTGCTTCAATTGGCTAAAGCTTTCGGTCCGTGTTCTGGCCAACATCGTCCCCGATCATAACGAGTGTTCATTGCAGCATGCTTTCAGTGCGACGGCAAGTGTAATGCAAACCATTTGTCACATTGCAAACGTTGCATCAGAGCGTGGAGCCTTCATGATCAGTTTTCTTGAAAAGCTGTCTTCAGAGTTGAATGTTCAGTCCTACTTTTCAGACGCCTTCAGAATTGCAATGTCTACCGTTGGAACATGCAGCAGCAAAGTCCTAAGCCCAGAGATCAAAGAATATACAGGGCATGCTGCGCTTACAATGATTCAAAGCACCATTGAGCTGATTGACATTTTGCTTGCATTTTCGTCTGTCACAGAAGAGGTATCTACTCTGTTCACCGAATTCTTGCACAGACTTGTTAATCAGGGGACAATGACAGACCTGTTTGAAACAGTATTAGGAATTGGGCGAACGCTGTTTAGTTTAGTTGCGCCTCTCAAAACTACATCGCTCGTAACGCAATCTGTGGCCATGAGCCGCAGGATTGATACCGCTAAGTCTCACTTCAAAGCATTGGCAGTGGCTCCACTGGGAACAGCAACAGTGGATAAACTAGGATCACTAGCAGATGTGCCAGAACTTGCTGGAGCTTTCCAGCAGACGAATGCGCCCGATCACATATCAACAGGAATGGCTGCAGGTATCTTGCCTTACAACATCACCCCAGCCGGCACTCTGTTTGTTCGCGGGCTATTACTTCTGGTTGCCAGGCTTGCGAATTGGTGTAGAGACCAATTGCTTATTGAGTCCTATGTGGGCCGTCTAGTTGAGGAAGGATCTGGTTGGAATGAGCTGCTTAAGCTTCTTTCCTTCAATACTTTAAGAGAGAGAATGGCTGATGGGACAGATTCAATCGATCAGACATTTCGTAGTTTCTTTGTAGATGGTACAAATTCACTCGAGGAGATCTATGAACTGGCCGCTGGCAAGAGCGCCGTTGGCGAGATTATCACAACCAGCCAATACAATGCCCTTATGTCCAGCTTTCTGTTTCGTATCCATTCCGTGGGCTATGCGTTTTTGTCGATGCTTGCCACTATTGTGTCTGTTACTCCTGATAGACATCAGAAAAGCGGTCTCACCCAGAAAAACACCAAGAGCCTTGTCCCCTCTCACTTCTACACGGCTATTGTCCCCAATATCATTTCCAATATTCACATACTAATGTCTCTGAAGGCCTCAGTCCAACCTGGAATAAAGTTTTGCAGAGAAAGCCCATTGCCACTCATACTGACTCTGGTGTTAGGAGAGGTGGACAAGTGCTTAGCCATTGTCTTCGCTGATGGTGTCCACAGTAACGAAATTGTGAGGAGCCTTTGCAATTTTCTTTGCGTGACTTCGGACATACTCGGCCAGACCGTTCCCCCAATTCAATCCTCAATGCAGCAGGGGATATCCTACTATCCTTTACCTACCGCGGCCTTCATCCCTCCTATCTCTTCTGCCGTCAGTTGCTTGCTTGAGTATATAATTTACTCTCTTTCTGGCGTTACCGGAGCAACTGTGGGTGTGGGAGGCGCTGTCACTTCCCAGCTTCTAACAGTTACTCGTGACATTGGTAGCTCTGTAATTCCTCTTTTCGATGGCATTTTGTTTGCGCTTACGAGCTTTAGTAGTAATGACACCCTGGATGAAAATAATTGTCTTCAGTGCATAGAGCGTATTGAATACATCCTTCTTGTGTTACTTCAACCGGAGTACCAATTAATCATTGATAAAGCATATAGTGGGGACGTTGTGTCTCGCCCTAATGTTGGGTATGTTGACATGAGTAACAAGCTTGAACACATTATGCTTACAGTAACTGAATCTGATAGCCAAGCAACTGGAAACCTGGTAAAGATAATTCGCTCGATACTGAAGTGTCACGTATAATTGATTCCACAGGTAGCATCTGTATGCCTTCCTTCCTCCCAAGCAGAATAACGCCCATAGTTTCTAGTAAATGTATGCCTAATTCTTACAGTGTATTAGTGATTTGTTTGTGAAGACTGCTACGGGCTAGGGACTTGATGGTAAGTGCCTCACCTATTCCCTGAGAAGCAAGTCTCTTGTCTCCTTTGTCTTTGCAAAAAGAATTGGTGCCCGTCCCTCTGCGTCTTTGAAGCCGGCCTCTCTACTCAAGAGTAGAGGAATGCATGCAATACTGTTCTTTCTGACGGCTTGTATTAACGCCGTATATCCTGGCCCTCGCAATTGTGTTCCATTGCGGCCAGGCTGTTTCACAAGCATTCTCTTTCCGCCTTCCTTATCTAAAAGGAGCCGTACTGCTTCGGGGTTATTAGCCTTTGCAGCAAACATTAGGGCTGTTTCGCCCCGGCTATCTTGGATACCGCCTTCTTTTTGCAGCAATAATCGAATCACATCACAATGATTATAAATCGCCGCACGCATCAAGGCTGTTCTTCCTTGATTATCTCGTTCTCCTGCCTCCTTTATCACTAGCATGTTAGCAATGCGGGTAAACCCAGAGGCAGCTGCAAGCATCAGAGCCGTTTCCCCATTGACGTTTCGCACACGTCCCTCGAGCTCATAAAGAATACGTGCCACTTCATAGTGGCCTGCCTGTACGGCGTACATGAGAGCAGTGAAGCCCTCTTCGTCCCTAAGGCCACCTTGGTGAGGGATAAGGCACCAAACAGCCACTATATTATCTTCATCCGCTGCCTGCATTAACTCTGTGAAACGACGACCCTTTGAAGAGACATGTGAAAAGTCCAAACCTTCATATGGAGTGAGGAACTTTGCAACTGGCATGTTTCCTTTGAGCAAAGCCAGGCACAGGGCAGTCGAACCGTCGGCAGTTGTTAGTCCCTTCTCGTACTCCACAAGTAGCTGAGCGGCCTCAAGATTGTTACGCATGGCTGCTATCATCAGAGCTGTCACACCATCTCCGTTGAACCTTCCTGCATATTGTAAGTATCTTCGTATTTCAGAATTCTGACCCTTTAGGACAGCGGCTATCAGTGGGGTATCATCTCCCTGGTTGCTGTTTTGCTCTAGGATAGGAGCAGGCTCTTCTTTATGAGTCAGGTATGGGCTAACTGCGTCGTGAGAGAGCTGCAACGCTCTTTCTTGCAAATCATGAGCTCGCTGCATGTCGGTGCGGTCAGCATGCGTGGTCGTTGGGGAAATATCGTTCCCAATTTGCTTTAGCTTCGTTGCTCGAAACTCGCCAGCGTGGATCGATGGAAGCATAAGAGAAGATGTTTCGTCTTCCACTAACATGGGAATATTGTTAACTGGCTTTGGCTTAGAGGTTGTCTTTTTCTCCGGTTTGTTTATAGAGATGAGAGGAACTTGCAGATGAACTGGAGGTGATGCCGATAGATCTTTGTCGAAGGATATCTCAATGCTCTTAGATGGACTCCCAGCTTTAGGTAGACTAGGGAGCTCCAGGTCTTCAACCTGTAGTAAACTATGTACATCACTATGCGACTGCAGGGGTTTCAGAGATACATCTGAAGAATTTGATTGCTCTATTGGGATGATGGGCTGCAAAACAAGGCTATCTGGATGATCAGATATCTCGCCCTGGTGCCCCCTTGGATTGCCAAGAGGCTCTGCACAGGATATTGTGTACTCACCGGTGCCATCCGGTGAAATATCTAGTATCAGGCTATACTTCTCTTTCAACTCTGCAGAGAGGTTTTCGCAAAGATTAGCCATCACTTCGAGTTTTTCTTCCGCTTCTGAAAGACGCCGCTCCTTCTGCTCAGACTCATTATAAAACCAGGTGACTGCTTGAAAAACGTTGCTCACTGTGATTTCCAAATCAGGGGCAATAGCAAACAGCACGGTATCTGACAAGAGACCCGAATAATCTGTAGTACAAAGAGCTTGATTCAAGATAGCGTTAAGCATAGCTTCATCAAGCTCTTTCTGAGTAGTGCATTTGGGCAAATCATGCATAGTTGTGACATTGTCAGGGCTGAGGTCAGGACCAGGCACAGAGTCACAAGTGGGTTCAGTCTGGACTGTAACAGACGTTGTTGTGATATTAATGGCAGAGCCAGCAATCTCATTGGAAACTTGTTCTTGTACGGCTTTTGCCAGTTTAAGCGCATCGCTCAAAGACGCATTTTCCTCGTTTAAGTATGCAATAGTCCCTCTCAGCTCCTGCAACTCCGAGTTAGATGTTTCTATCTGTAAGGTTAGATTCCGTATTGCCTTATTAGCTAGCGTGTTCTGTTCTGTTATCTCCTCTAACTGCGCATGGAAGTACGCCTCCGACTCTTTCGCCTTCCTCTTCTGTATACCTATGAACATGTCCATACTGGTTTGCAGGTTTTCAATCCGAGACACATATGAGTCAATAAGTATCCGTTCTCGGTGTGCAAAGTCCTGAAGGATCAAATTGGCTTCGACGTTATCGCTTGCAGCAATGGCATCAGTGAGGCATCTACCCAACGCCATAACCTCGTTTTCTGCCTGTTGTAGTTTGGCAGATAGATGAGAGTTTTCAAGGAGTATCTGCTCTATTTCCTTTGGTGTAGTCGTTTCTACATTGCAGCCTAAGCACTTATCGGCTTGATCCGCCGTAGCACTAAATACAATTGTGTTGACAGAATACTGTGTCTCTGTATCGACAAGCTCATGAGTAGGCGGGTGCTCTGCCAATTTGCCTTCTAATTCAGCAATGCGCGATCGCAGTGTATCTATGGTGCTAAGGGCTATGCTGGTAGTAGCTGAGATAACTATAGGGGGCTCTTCTGGGAAATTAGGGGCTTCCTGAGATGCAGACTGACCTGTAGAATAGAATCGAGCGTCATCTGAGATAGGTTTTCTATTTTGTAGTGTATCAATCAGCAATCTAAGCTCCTGAATTTCTGCATCCTTACAATCTATAATTTTAACAAGCTCACTCATTGGATTATGCTCCTGGATCATGTTGGTTAACTGAAAAACTGTGGATGAAGCCAGGCCTTCTGACAGACGTTTTTCTTCATAAAACTCCGTGGGATCTGGCTGTATTTCATCAGACGACGCTTCTCCTTCAAGTTCGTCGATAATAGGCTTACATCTCTGCTCTGTTGGGGTTACTTCCTGCAGATCTGCATTAAGTTGCTGGCTAATCGGTGTAACAGCGCCCGGCATTAATATCGCCTTGGAAATATCATCACTCTCCTCCAAGGATATCTTCGTCATAGCCACATCTGTATTGTCAAGAGCAGAGTAGGCGAGGGGAAGGCTATCCTGCGGCAGTGATGGACAATACTGAATAGCATCGGGCACAGCATCATAGTCTGACAGCTCTAGTGGAACGTCACGACCCGGGGTAGAAGACCGGGCGCCGAGGGACACTAAGTATCCTTGCAATGCGGAACAGATACTGTCGTAGTTATCATCATCCTCATTTGCATGCAGCATAGCCCTTTCTACGTCTTCGCAAGTGAGGTCTTGCCCCTGTAGCAGCAGGTTGACCGCCTTGAGATTGGATTCGTTGGATGCTATATCGATAGCAGCAATGCCTTCAGTTGTTCTCCGCACAGGCCATCCAGGCGCCAAAATGCAGATAGCATCCATAGCTCCTGCCTCGGTGGCTAAAATTAGCGCATCTGAGTTATCATTGAGACATATGTCCCTTTCCGCTGCTAGAAGGATAGAACATGCAAACGAATTGTTTTCCTCTGCTGCGATGAGTAGGGCGGTATACCCATCCTCGTTGGTGAGCTTAGCTTCGCTGTTCAAAAGAACTTCCACGACATTCATTGCGTTATTGCGCACAGCAAGCATGAGTGCTGTCTCGCCATCCTCATTGCGGAGACCAGAGCACTGCTCCTTCAGCGCCTGGATCACTTCCAGATTTCCTGTTGCCGCAGCCTGGAACCAGGAAAACGCACAAGAATCCCCCATATTCAGAGTAAATCTTCGCCCAAGAATTTTGTTGTTAAACTGACAGAGCTATGGCACCCTTCGACTATGGTACACCTTGATTTACTAGTGTATATAATAGTTCTGGCAGAGTCCCCTGCACTGCTCTATAGACAGATTGCTAGTACAATGATCTGTATTAATTCATATCTATGTAAGAGGTCATTGGTAGCTGCGAAGCAAGTTCCTCATAGGTTCAGAGCAAGCATAGTGAATGGCTGCCATCCCCTGGGCGTCAGTGATATGGTGTTCGAGCGGCCAGAGTACATTCACACAATCAACTGACCCTGCCTCCACGGCCAACATAAGCGCGGTTATTCCAGTAGTATCACTTATCTCATCTGCAGAGTAGCCCGTAGTGGGGCTGGTGGTGGTATTTCTTTTCGATACACTTGTTTGAATACCAGCCTCAAAAGGCGCTAGGGCAGCCACTGCAGCCTTATGTCCTGCAGCTGCAGCATACATCAGTGCTGTATATCCACGTGCACATTGCATTCCTGCCTCACAGTTACGGAGTTCGGTTACGACTAGGGTGTACCCCAAATTTGCTGCAATCATAAGCCCTGTGTATCCATCAACATCTTGCATCCCTGCCTCAGACCCGGCCAGCAGGTGCACAATAATGTCAAACCCATGTTCGGCTGCATGCATAAGAGCAGTCCTTCCCTGATCATCCTGGTAACGGGCGTGAGTCTTAAGTAGGGTCCACGTTGAGATGACATCATTGTGTCTAGCTGCAAGAATCAGTGCATCGATGGGTCTCGCAGTGCTGCCTGGAGAGTCACTCGTTAGGTTGTTACTTGGACCTTCATAATCACTTAGTAGCATAGCCATATCCAGGTTCTTGTTGTACAGTGCAATGGCTAAGGCTGTCATGCCGTCTTTTCGAACACAGTTTGCCTCGTGCTGTGCAAGAAGCTTAGCCACTTCAAGGCTGTTGTGCTTCGCCGCAATCATGAGTGCCGTTTCACCGTCCACGTTTCTTCTGCCCACTTGGTTCAGGAAAAGTGAGGCCACGTCTACATTGTCTAGTATGGCAGCCTCCATTAAATCTGTATTGGTACTGTCTTGAGATAGAGTTACAGCGTCGCTCAGAAGAAGATCCTGATGTACTGAAGGTGTTTGCATAGGTCCAGCTGCGGCACTGTCTTGCAGAGCAGACTGTATAGACGTAGAATACTCCAAAATTTCGGTAGTAAGTTCTTCGATAAAGCTAAGTGTCTTGTCATCAACTTTGGGTGCCGTGTTGTGGGGGTTATCTAGAAGCTCCTTCAACCTTTGTGCAAGTTGACACAGCTTAGAAGATGCCGATGTAAGTGTGTTTGACGCCATTATGATGGGTGCTATGGACTTGCGTGACGAATGTGTGAGTTGAATCATTCGTCTGCGCAGTGACTCAACCTGATTCCGCAGCTCTCGATTTTCTTCTTCAATAGATGAGGGAGAAATCGATAGGAGATTGGCTTGTGGTGAGGGAACACATACAGCTGAAAGAAGCTGCGCGCACTCTGTATCGCTCCGTGCTTGACTAGATGGTAGAACTAAGGCAGCCTCATCTTTTTTAGAGTGTGAGTGAGTAGTACACTTTGTCTCAATGGTTTCTAATCGTGCAATTTTATCGTTGGCAAGTGAGAGTTCAGCGTCTTTGTCTCTCAGCGCTTGTTCAAGCTTTTCTATCCTATACACGAGCGCGCTGTCATCAGACTGATTGCAAGTAATGACCTCTCCGGGGTCTTCTGTGCTCAGCATCTTCTCTGCTGACTCTACAAACATTGATGTCCTGGAAGCTCTTCTATCGGTAAACTCCTCAACTTGCTGGCATGCAAGCTCAATCTCTTGACGCAAAGCCACCGTGGTGTTATCTATTACAACCGCCTGGCAGCAGGCCTCATTGGTGTCCATACAAGATTGGCAGGAGCGATGCGTAACATCTAGAACAGGAAGTGGAGTTAGGGAGTCGGCTGGGCTTTTTCTTTGACCAGGGATTACCAGCCAGGCTTGTTGCAGAGGGAGCAAAGGCTCTGTTATTGCTCTGTCGTCTCCTATCTTAACAGATACAAGACAGTAAGAAGGATCTGTTTGTATTCCTGCTTCGTCTCTGTGCGGAAAAGCAATACCAAGGTCGTCATTAACAGAAGGTGATGGCAAACGAGTAACAGAATCTGCAGGGATAGCGCTAGAATCCTCGTTTGTGTTCTCCACTTTCTTGATTCTCTCAGAGAGTAAGGTGTTTTCTTCCTGAAGGGTTCTATTTTGCTTTTCCAACCTAAGATTGTCCTCACTGAGCGTCGAAATGCGCTCGGTAAATATTTCTATCTCCTGCTCCAGTTCAAGATCCTTTGCGGACAATTCGCGCGACTGGGTGACAAATATGTGCTCAATTGTGCTCTGCATAATAGCGAGCTCATTTGAGAGGGCTTGCACTTCTGCCGTCTTTTCAAGCAGTTGCTGTTGAAGGCTACTATCATCTTGGGCTAATGAGGCGTCAGGAGAAACGTGATCAGCTTCAGATAGGTCAGAACGAGGAACATCGCTACTCAATGAACGTTCTAGTGGACTAGTCTGGATACACGCATCCATAAATTGTGAATGAAAAGGCGCAGCCTCTGCCAAAAATGCAGGCCCTCCTCCCCAAGAGACTGCCCCTACAGGACCATGCACATCACCGATGGCAATTTCTCTACATGAGTGACTCTCTGTTTGAGTAGTTCCTTCCACCAGGAAAGACTGAGATGTCTGTGTCACAGATTCGTGGGACACAGTATTGACTTTGCTGCACTCTCTGGTGGAATCGCTAGTATGAAAGCTACTGAGATCCTTAGTATGAAGCTTCGCTTGCAGTGAACCAATTGAACTGGCGTATATCTTTTGCATACGTTGAAGCTTTTCTTCATAGCCATCCTGCATAGATTTCTTATCCTGTTGTAATTTAGAAAAGTCACACTTAAGAGTTTGAATATACGCGTGACAATCCTTTATGTGTCTATTAAGTTCATGTAGTTGAGACATGTCAATGCAATCTGTTGCTGTGTTATAAGGGTTGCTCTGCTCTTGTGAACGCATTTTCAGACAGTAGATAATATCCTTAAGGAATGCTATTCGCTGATCGTATTGCTCACGGAGGAAGGGCACATGCTCAATAGACTTCCTTGAGGCACTCATGTCATACTCCAGCAACGAGTCACATCGCTCCAGCAGTAAGACCTTAATATCAGTATTAGAGGTGCTTAGCACAGTATATATGTCTGAGACAGTGTACGGCATCCTGTTCAAAAGGGTTCGGACACACTCAAGATGGTTTCCTTGAACGGCAAGGCCCAATGCTGTCTCAGAGCAAGTACTAGTCTCCTCTTGTGCATAGGGGACCACACAATTCACCGCATCGCAGTTTCCCAACTTTGCTGCCAGCATCAGCATGGAGAGCTTTGACGGCAAAACTATGTGTGCCTCCATCGGCGCCAAGAAGGCACACGCCGTATTGTTTCCACACATTATGGCAATGGCAAGCGCTGTAAGCCCAGAATTGTTTGTCATTGTGGCCTCTTCCTCGAGAAGCTTGAGACACTCAGTGTGTCCGCTCTGTACCACAAGCATCAGCGCGGTGTTTCCGCTAGAGTCTCTGGACTTAATACAGGACGCAGATAGCGAACAGAGACGGTTGAACTGTCCTTGACGGGCGGCATCAAACCAGTTCTCGGCCATCCGCCAATCAAGAGCGGTCAATAAAATTACTGGCACAAAGCCATATTGGTCTTTAGGTCAAGCGCTGTGCCCTCTAGATTGCTACTAATCACCTCGTAGGTGTCGACACTTAGTTTCTGCGGGTAGGAAACACACATGTTGGCGAAAAATGTCTCTTCACTATACACCGACTGCAAGAAGCTTGCTGAGGGGGGTTTCGCATCGCTGTTTTTAGTACGACGTGCACAGGACAGAGTGCTTGTAGTTGTTAAGGAGGCATCCGCTTCGCAGGATGACGACGCAAAGGCCATTAAGTCCGCACGTAACGAGTTCAATATAGTTATGCGTCTGTCTTCGCCATATATAGTCAACTATTATGCTGTCAGGACCCATGATAATGGGTCGATATACCATATCGAGATGGAGTACTGCTCTGGCGGGTCGGTGCAGCAACTCATTCAGCGCATACGCTCCGCACGCTCTAAGCTCCCGGAAAGTGCTGTCTGGGAAATAGTTGCCCAGGTACTTAAGGCCTTGCAGTATTTACACTCCTGGTGTCAAAAGGGCTATTTAGGGATTGTGCACAGAGATATCAAGCCGGAGAATCTCCTCATCGATACTAGAGGGTTAATACGGCTTTGTGACTTTGGCCTATCTATGGCCTTGCAGGCCGGCAATCCACCTGCTGCAGCAAAGCGATCCGGGACAACGAGCTATATGGCCCCAGAGATACAAGCACTAGGGGCTGTAACCACAATATCGGATATCTGGTCCCTTGGCTGTACAATTTGGGCGATATGCACCCTCAAACACCCACGCTTCAGCCGGCGTGATCTGTTGGAGGGCCCGGTGGTCGACTTTCTTGGCTACACAACTCCGTTGCGCAAGTTTGTCCGTTTGCTTTTGCAACCAGATCCTAAGGCGCGTCCTACTGCCGAGCAACTTTTATCTGACGAGAATGTGGTGAACGCTCTTAAGCGCATTGACGACGGTGAGTATTATGACATCTATCCTCCACAAGACTTGATTGCACTGTATGAGGAGGGTACTGTTAACCACTGCGGGCCCTATTCCCCTGCTAAAGAATCTATTCTCGCAAGCAGCTTTCGGCGAGCTACGTCTACACTCCAAGAGTGCAGCGTTGTTCTATCGACACACACTGACCAGTGCCAGACCCCACTTATGGCTGCTGTTAGCAAAGGAGACCACGTTTCTGCACAGAACCTTCTTATGCACGCAAAAAAGGTCGATAGCGAAGGATTCAGTGCCCTTCTGTATGCGATAGAGGTTGATAGTTTGCCTTGCGTCCAGCTTCTTGCAGCACTTGAGTTTTACATAAACCACCCCAATGGTGACTCGCCCCTAATTTACGCGCTCAAGAGTGGTAAAATAGAGCTTCTTTCCGAACTTGCACAACATTGCGCAGGGAGCTTAGACGCCTCCGGCAACACTGCTCTATGCATCGCTATTCGCTGCAACGATCTACCTGCTATTGAGCTACTGCTTCCGTATGAGTTACTTCTCAAGTCTGACAATACTCTAATGGCTTTAGACGTCGCCTGGAGTTGCTTGCTTCTCCACAACACAATGCCGTGGCAGATGTTGACAGACTACCTCCTTAAGCACCACAAATGCTATCCACGCGCTGTGAGCCTATCAGGCAGCCCCAAATATGTGGACCAGAAAACAAAAACTATGCTATTAGTAGAGGGAAATATAGGTACAGCTGCAAGCGAACATACAGAAATAACAGAAGAGGACTTGTATGCTGTTCTTCCTTGTGGAAGGACCGCACTGATGTTGGCTGCACAGAAGAACTCTGCCCAATACGTCCAGTTTTTGCTTCCGGAAGCAGGGATGAGTACTCCGGTTGGTGAAACAGCGTTGTTGCTTGGCATGCAAGCGCAAAGCATGCGAGCAGTCGAAATTCTTTGGAAGTACGAATCGTTTCTATCGAAGGCAACAGAGCTCATGCGAATTTGCCTTTTAGCTGAGCAGCCGAACAAGCTTCATGAGCACGATATCTGCTGTCGGGCAACAGATGGTAGTACCGCTCTGATGTACGCAGCTGTTTCTAACAATCATGCTGCTATTCGGATGCTCATTATGAGGGAGATGAGGATGCACACGCGTAATGGCTTTACAGCTTTGATGATGGCTGCACGACATAATTCTTTGGATGCTGCAAAGGAGCTTTTACCTTACGAGGCACGCTTGACCGATCAGGCAGGAATGTCTGCCTTGATGCATGCAAGCCAGTGTGGGCATGTGCAGTTGGTTTCTTTGTTAGCCACATACGAAGATGGAATGCAGGATACTATGGGGAGAACAGCTTTTCTGCATGCAGTTGCAAATAGACACTCAGGCTGTGTCCATGCTCTTTCTTCAGAGCTACTTTTTCCAGGAATAGGTGGCAATTCTCCTCTTATCCACGTGTTATTGAAATATGGAGTGGAACACTGTCAGGAAATATTTACTACCGACATGATAATAGCGTCAGCCGGACTTCACAATGATAACGGGCAGACAGTGACTATGATTGCCGCCAGTCTAAGTGCTACGGATATTGTTAAGCTACTAGCTCCTATAGAAGCAGGCATGCAAGATGGATTGGGACGCACGGCCCTCATGTATGCCACAGAGGTATGTTCACTGGATGTAATGACAATCCTTCTAGATAAGGAAGAGAAGCTACAGAATACTAACGGCGAAACTGCACTAATGCTTGCCGTTAGATCTGGCTATAGCAGATGCATTCATATTCTTGCTCCTCGAGAGGCGTCTCTACGGAACAATCAGTACATGACAGCTCTGGGTCTTGCCGTGGAACTAGATCTTCCAGAAGTAGTTACCATTCTTGCTCCATATGAGGCTAGCATTTCTGTAAGAAAGAATGAGTCTGTGATTGATCTGGCTGTTTCATTAGGTCATGCAAACTGCGTTGCAGCTCTTGCCAATTATATGTCAGAGAACTGTATCTCCATTCCCCTTACCCAGCGAAGTCCAGTGATAAGTGGTAGGACACCGCTTTTAGCAGCTGTCCTCTCCAATAGAATTGACGATGTCGTGACAAACTTAGGGTTCATGGGGTACGGATACTCTCTCAGCAAAACAGCATTAGGAAAGGACGTCATCTGTACTGCTCTTCAACTGTCTGTACGGCTGAATCATCTAGATTGTACTAAGTTGCTTTTATCAGAAATAGGAGTGTATGTTCCAGGCTCTGAAACTGCACTTATGCAAGCTGCTCATATGGGTTTATTAGAAAGCGCCAGATTGCTCCTCCCGGAAGCAGGGGCCCAAACCAAGGAGGGTTATACAGCCCTTATGCTCGCCGCTATCGGTGGCCACTCAGAGGTTGTTAAGCTTTTGCTGCCCTTTGAGACCAAAATGAAAACGACTGCTGGCCGAACAGCCCTTATGCTTGCGTCTGCTTATGCCAAAGAAGACTGTATAGCGTTGTTAGTAGAGCAAGAAGCAAGACTTTGCGATCATCGAGGTGTGAGTGCTCTAATGTGCCTGGGGCGAATCTCAAATGCTCAGCAAATCAGCACCCTTATTGCTGAAGAGCTCTATTTGCAGGACTGCAATGGATACAGCGCCCTGATGTATGCTGTCATAGATAACAATATGGTCCTTGTTCGCGAACTTCTAGCCGAGCTTCCACTTAAAACTCACCTCGGTGAAACGGCACTATCACTTGCTGCTGTTTACGAGAGATCTGCTATTTATGATCTCCTTGTAGAGTACATTGTCGATAATAACATAGCACTGCAGATACCAAAGCGCGCTATCTCTACCTCTGCCAGAACAGAACTTATTAGTGCAGTTCTTGCAAACGATAGATCAAGGGTTGTCCAACACTTGGATCAGGTCTTCAAGGCCTACCAAGGGTACACTGCACTCATGTATGCCGCTACATATGGATATGTAGAGATCGTGGAGATCTTGGCTCCCCATGAGTCCTGCATTCGGACCAGAAAGGGTTGCACTGCCTTGATGCTAGCGGCTAAGGATGGGCACGTAGATTGCCTCTTGCATCTCCGGCCGTATGAGCAACAGATGGCCATGCTGGATGGAACCAGCTCTCTGATGTTTGCAGCCCTTGCTGGCCAATCCGATTGTGTTGCGCAGTTGCTTTCGGAGGTCTATATGCGAAAGGTGAATGGAGACGACGTTATCTCGTTATGTGAGAATGAGCTAGAGCATGAAGATTTACCAGAAGAACATCTTTATGCAATCAGGCGCCGCTGTCTTCCTCTTATCTACGCACGGCTGACTGAAGATCAAGCAGATGCCACTGCTAAGGATTGCCCTGGTATCCTGGATACAAATGACCAGGACGGAAACAATTTACACTGATCCATCTGTTACTAGTCAAAATAGGAAAGAATGCAAGGATCTGAGGCATAGTGAACAGGCATATTCCCGGCTTTATCTGGAATGTCGTGCTCCCATCCTATGAGAATTTCTACACACTCTTTGGCACCAGCTTTGCAAGCACGCATCAGTGCGGTTTCTCCAGTGCCATCCTTCTCATCTACAGAAATGCATCTGTGCCCAGATTCATACTCAGCTAGAACACGTACGCACTCTGGGCGATCATTTGCAGCTGCTAGCACAAGTGCAGTCTCGTACTGCTTGTTCACCAATCTCACTTCAAACCCAATGAGCAGCTGCACGCAGCCTATATGTCCGGCCTCTGCTGCAAGCATCAGTGCTGTGAGTCCCGATTCGTTTTGGATTGTTGCTTCGTACGGCACCAATAGCTCCACGATAGAGCAGTGGCCTGAGACGGCGGCAAACATCAGCGCGGTGTCTCCAAACTGGTTTCTATACCTAGACTCATGGGATACTAAGACCGACGCTATTTCGAAATACCCCAGCCTGGATGCAGCCATCAGTGATGTATTTCCTCGTTCATCCACTTCTCCTGCATGTGCAATTAGCTCCTTCACCCTCTCAATGTCGTTGTGCATGGTGGCCTCGTGAAGGGGGCTCCTCTGAGCACGAGGCTCCTTCCTCGGAGAGTTGCTACCTGCTAGGCTCTCCACCAGAACACTGCTCTTTTCTAGAATAGATTTCGTTCGGCTGAGGGAGTTCTGCAAGGAGAAGTTCATCATCTGGAGCTCCTTGTTTTCGGCCACGGTGAGGTGAAGTTGCTCACGAAGGTTATCACGGTCTTCTGTCAAGGTACGTATTACAGATTGATATTCTGCCGTTGAGGATGTTGCTGCTTCTAACCGAGACCGTGTGAGATTTGCAACCGCCCCAGAGGGATGTGCAATACCGGGCCGATCCTTACTAAAGTCGTCTGTAATAAGCTCTGCTTGAAGAAGTGATATCGACTCTAACAGGCTTTTGATCTTCTCGTCCTTGTTGACTAAGAGTTGCGTTAGTTCCGAAATTGTCTCTCTGAGCTTCTCGATCTCGGCCTCGGCGTGAATGGTTTGATTGCCGCTAGGAGACGAGCATAAGTTTTCTGCCCCCGTTGTTCCTGGAGACATCGTGGCAGAGTAGACAGCAGGAGTAAGAGAGCGGCTTATTCGGAGAGGACTCGTGGCCCTGCATATTACAGGAGAGCCCTCACGAGAAAGAGACTCAACGAGCTGATTAGTTGTCTCAATTTTTTCTGCCAGCAATTCATACTTTGCAATAATTGATGATAAGTCAGCATCTTTCCGGCCACTGGAAGTGATCTTACTCATCAAATACTGGATATCATTGTCTTGCTGCTTCAAAAGCTCCCTGCAGCGCTTGTTATCATCTTTTTCCTTGCTTAATTGAGATTGTAGGCTAACCACATGACTAACAATTGCGCTGGGAAGAGTGTTCACAGAACCGTCAGGACTTTTGATATCAAAGAGCTTTGCAATCCGATTGATTTCGCCGATGAGTAAATCGACGTTAGCAGTGACTTTCTTCAGCTTGTCTGTGGACAGGTGCTTGGCAGCATTGAACGCCTCAAGTATGGTATTCAGCTCTGCATTCAAGTTGCTTATGGTAGCATCCTGCTCCTGAATCTTCAGCTCTAGTGCAGCCTGCGTAGAGGTAGATGCTTCATCTGTTTCTACGACCCGTGATATTAGGGGAGCCCTCATAATAGAATGCTGGCCTGGTCCCTGCTGCGGGCTCAGCACTGCCTTGTTCTGTATGGTCGGAGAAAGACCCAAGCAGATGTCCTCTCTCTCCTGCTCAATGCTGGTGATTGGCTTGGGGTACAATAACGTCCCTATCTTGACTTTATCAAGCTCCACCCGCATCTCTTCAATGATCTCGTCCTTTGCTAAACTTACTGCCTTGAGATAGGCTAACTTATCCCTAAAGTCAGCAATATCGCTAAAGACTCTAGTGACAATTGCGTCTAGTTCGCTGTCTACAGAGCTCTTAGCGTTCTCCCTCTCTGTAGTCAAGTCGAGTATCTGTTTATCCTTCTTGTAAATCTCTTTCTTCAGCTTAACAATCTCATGGAGCAATTGCAAGTTTTCACAGCGAAGCTTATGAAACTCTGCATCATATATTCCGCACACCTCGCATACATGGGACGTATTCGCTTGAATGTTTGTCAAATGGTTATCCTGCAGATGCACCAAGCGCCACAAATCAACCATAAAAGCCTCATATTGACCTTGATACTCTGGAGCATCGTGCATTGCCTGATCCATGGCGCTCTTGAGAGCAGCATACTTGGCTTCTGCATTAGCTATTGCATCCTTAACAACACCGAGATATGATAATTGAGAGATCAGCGGCGGCTGGGCCTTTTTTATGGCCCCATGAGAAACTCCCAGAGAGCATGCAGATGAGTCTGTCGCAGCAAAACGGTCCTGCGTCGATAACTTTATAAGTCCTGCATTTATCAACAGCTTTGTTACTGCATAAACTTCTTCCTGCAACTCGGTAAAGAACTCAGTAAAGTAATCCTCTTTGGGATGTGAACTATTGACGATATCATGGAAAGCTCGGAGGTGCTCTCGAAGAAGGGCTGCAACGGCATCGGTAGGCTCCTTCACGTAACAGAGTGCCTGACATATTTCTCGAAATTTCACATGGCCTGAATCCAGCAGCAACCTAACGAGTTCAATAGAGCCATTACTAGCTGCAACGGATAAAACTGCAATATTACCGGGGCCCTGGTCTAGTGGGAAAGTATTTAGAAGGTCTACAAGTATCTCTTGTGAACGAGAGGCCAGAGCCGCAGTATAAAAAGAGAAGGGAGATTCTGCACCACGTTCTTGGTCATTTTGCAAAAGGACGGAGCAGGCCTTGTGTGCTCCAGCCTGTGCTGCATAGAAGAGGGCACTATGCCCATCGTTATCCAGAGTTCCGCCTTCCAGGTCCATTAGAATGGTACAGGCGTCTGCATGGTTATTCTCTGCAGCAAGCATAAGGGCAGTCCTCCCAAGAGCAGAGGTTGTTCTAGCATATGCGAGAGCATATGAAGCTAGTAAGGAAACGTCACCTGACCGTGCAGCCCCAAACCAAGTTTCCAGGTCGTCCATTTAAAGTTAAAAGAGGCACAATTGCGCGCATTTGGGGATACTGATTCTGAACCGATTTCTTTATGCTCACTTCTACCTTATGAATTGGTGTCTTCCTCTCTCAATTTTAGAGTCCTTTGTACAGATAAGGGTGTAACAAAAAAGAGTATGTCCAGTGACGGCTCAGACACTTGGTTCACTGCAATAAGCAAGGGGGATGTCCAGAAAGTCAGAGAACTTATTGATACGCATTCTGGGACGGTCACGGACAACGGAGAGACGGGCTTAATGGTAGCAGTTCGATCTGGAAATTTGGACTGTGTTAAGCTCCTGGCAAGCATTGAATCCGGACACCTTTCTCCAGAAGGATACTCAGCCTTATCATTAGCTGCAGCCGCTAACAGCGCCTTGGTGTGCGAAGCCTTGGTGTGTTTTGAAGCCGAACACAAGCTACCACACGGCTCCAACGCTCTGATTGTCGCAGCAAAGCATGGTGCACTGGCTTCAGTACGGGTGCTCACAAAGCATATTGATGCGTCCTTGGCTGATGTGGATGGGCTTACTGCTTTGGATTACGCCGTTCAGAGAAACTATTCGAAGTGTGCTCTAGCCTTACTATCGACCAACCGCTTCACCATAGCAGAGATAGAAAAGTCGTTACTATCCGCTAGTGCCGGTGAATACTCCGAAACAATCCGTGTTATCACAAATGCACTGCGTTTAAAGTATAGCAAGAGACAAAAGGATGACGAACTGGTTGAAATCTTGAGCAAATTTGTCAATCAAGCCGCAGTACTTGTACGTCTTCAAGCTGAAAACGCTTCTCTTAAAGCCACAGCCGATTGGCTCAAGTTGCAGCGTCCTGATATCTCATCAACTACCCCAACTAACTCAGATGCCTTGCCATTAGATACTACTGTTACTGAACTCAAACACTGCATCCTAAGGCAAAGCAACAAGATCTGCGCCCTTGAAACACGGATTGCCCAGATGCGTGAAGGGCTCCTTGTCATATCCCCTGAGCTGGGTGACTATGAATTAGATATGTCTGCAGTTCGCCTTCGCGAAGCAGAGATACGGTGCTTGAAGGCTAATCTTTCCAAATCAATTGATAATCCGGTTGAGGTAAAGAATTCAAGTCTTTTGGATAACTTAGCTGATTACTACGTTGATGATTTTAATTGTCCTCAAAGGAACAATTATCAATTAAGTGATATGGATGACAGTATTTCTGACATCTCTATTCCGGGATCTCGACCTAATTCTACCGCACGCGTTCCTCCAGATGACCTTAAGTCTGTTGAGTCCAACTCAATAATAGAGTTTCTCGACAGCGTTCGGGAACGTGCTGCCAAAGGAAAGACTTTGCAAAGGACTCAGGACTCTCCTCTGCGGTTTTCACGCCAAAAAGATCCAGATGCGTTTACTACCCAAATGAGAAGAAAAAAGTCATGTTCAGAAGAGCCCAATTATACTACTACACAGTCAAGACAAGCCGATGAGTCAGATATTGGTATTTTACAGCAGGAAGTCGTGGATTTGCGTTCCATTCTTGAAAAGTATGAAACAGATCGCTTGGCAAAGTCATTTGTTCATGGATCGCCAGCTACAGACCTTCTTGCTAATTCTGTACTGGGAGACCCTCAATCTTTTCGCCTGGCTGAATCCCTCAGAAAGACCATGTCTCCTGGGCTTTTTGACGGACGGGCAAGGTCATATCAACCCACTTCTAAGCCCAAAGAGCGCAGATTATCTATCAGCGTGTTGTCGGGAATTAACTACGACCCTGTAGCAACAGAGAATGTTATCAATCAGGCAATTGATAATATGGATTCAGGGTCGTTCACCGATTCCCTTACCAGAGAGCACACTTCTGTGTCCGCTTCTGCGCTGAAGTCGAAGATAGAACACCTGAAGGAAAGGATGCAACACGTAAAGAAACCTCCTAGGGCAATTACTACGATCAGTGAAGCTCCAGAACTGGACTCTGAGGGAACCAAAATGCCAGAGAAAACAATCATAAAAGAAGCCGTCTCATCCGTTATAACTCTTGCCAACCAACCAGCTCATTCTGTTCTTGAAGACTTCATAGCCCTTGATAGATACAAGCAAGCGTTCTATGAAAAGACGCTAACCAATATGGAGGCATACCTTATTACAGTAGAACTAAAGATGAAATCCTTGGTAAAACTGGCGAAGCGCATTTTTATACAGTCCGAAACAATCACATCTGATGCAGATAGTGTTACTAGTTCATATGACGTGGAGACTGTACCAAACCATCTTACAGATGGAAATCTTGAGGGAGACGTTATGCATCACATAGAAAGGCTTTACGACCTGATGAAGCGCGCAGAAAATAAGCTCTTACCCGGAGTCCTTAGCTCCAGCTCTCAAAGCAAATTAAGCGATCATAGCAGTGCGAGTGATCCTCATGCCAATTTTGAGCACCCCCAACTCCAAGCACGTACTTACCAATCGTCAAGCGAAACGCATATGAATGGGATACCAGAGGTCGTGGCACCTTTGCCACGAGCTCCATCAGCGCATGTATTAAGCCCCACAGGAGATTCGCGATCAGAAGAAACTAGCGATGGCATTGTTCCTTCCTTTGAAACGTTTTCCGATACCCATAGCTTGCTCGCCTCTCAGCATTCAGATCACCCATCACTTGCTCATCAAACCGAAGCTCTGCTAAGCGATCTGAAAGACAAGACTTCACTGATAAATAAGCTATCCGATGAGCTTGCTGAGCGAGAGGCACTTATAGTGCAATTGTCAAACACCGATAATACAATTTGTTCAAAATTAGAGGAGAAAATTAAGACTCTTGGTGAGGACTTACAACGACAACTTGAAAAGAATAGAGAATTAGAGAAACAGCTAGCCAAAAGCAATGATCTTAGCACATCTTTGATAAAACTGGAGTATAGGCAATTGGCCTATGAATATATGCTCCATTTGTTAGTTTCTGATCCGTCTGTATCCTTTAGAGCCAGCCTCGCATTTAACTCTGCAGTAATCCCGGACGCCTCTTCCTTAAGTGCTGAACTTGCAAAACTACTTATCAGTAAAAACCTTCTTAAGATGTCTGAGTGTTCAACTGTGCTCCAAACTTCTCTCAAGCCGCTTCTCGATTTGATTCCTTCTGTAACGGATAGATCTGTCCAGGATGCGCCATTTCTTTGCGAAATTATATCTCAGGAATTAGAAAATGATGCGATTGAACCCACATCATTACCGGTTGTCGGTCGCAGACCTCATTCTCCTGATTCCCATCTCATCACAGAGAGTTTCATCAGACAAGAAAATGCAGACTACTTTTACCTCAATCACGATAACAATACTCCTTTGATGAACGCAGTCTTGGCAGAAAATATCACTGCTGTGCGTGGGCTTCTCCACTATGCTCGGCAAATAAACAATAAAGGCGAAACAGCATTAATGCTGGCAATACCTACCCGTAACGAAGAAATAATTCATATGCTGATTGGCCTAGAAGCCGGGCATGTTTGTTCCAATGGAGATAGTGCATTGCTCAGGTGTCTTCGCTTAGGCGAACTTAAGCTTGCCGAGCTATTAACAGATGATGAAGGGGTACGTATTACTGGCACATCCTATCAGGGTATGGAAGGAGAGAATAGGCCACCTGAAATACTTAACGCGGCATCGGACGGAGACATAGTCAAGGTGTGGTCTCTCCTCCCCTATCAGAAGCGTATGACAGATGCAACTGGGCGTACTTCTCTAATGCTTGCAGCAGACGCGGGGAACATATCACTAGTTAAGCTTCTGTGTACTCATGAGTGCCAAATGCGCGATACATCCGGTCGCACAGCCCTAATGATAGCTGCTGCCAACAATCAGGTAGACGCCGCTTTATGCTTGCTACCTAGCGAGGCTGGGATGCAGAGCAATGATGGAAAGACTGCGCTTATGTATGCAGCCGCACACAACAGTCTGGATTGTTTGAAAGCTCTTGCTCCTCACGAGTCTGGAAGAAAAGCAATAAAAGAAGATGGTTCGGGATTGGGATACACTGCATTGATGGTCGCAGCAAACAAGGGACACATCAATGCCATCCGCTTGTTGCTCCCATACGAACAGGATTTACGCGATAAAAAGGGCCGAAGTGCGGCTGAGTATGCCAAATCAGAGGTTGCAAAGAACGAGTTCACACAGAATAACTAACTGAAAATACAATGTAGCGCCGAGATCAGTTTCTATTATTTATCGGGGTTGTATTTCTTCCACGTTTTGTTCCCCCCTATTTTAGCCATCCCAGCGGCATCTTTCGCGTATGCACTCACACGGCTATCTATTGTTAACGTAGTAGGACCATCGTTTTCAATTGATACGACCATGTCACCCCCAAAGACCCCTGTGTGCACGCGATCTGAAACATACTTCTCTTTCACATGCTGAACAAACTTGTCAAACAGCGGGCCAGCTTCTTCACTCTTCATTGCCTCGTGGAAGTCTGGTTTGTTTCCGTTTAGAAATCCATATAGAGTAAACTGAGAAACAAGCAAAATCTCTCCCTCTACTTCAATAATGTTCCGCGCCCACTCCTTTCCAGTTTCGTCTGGGAAAAGTCTTGCGGCTAGGAGCTTTCCTATTATATAGTGCATGTCTTCAATGACATCCTCGCGACTGATTCCAACTAGAACTACGTACCCCCTTCCAATGCTTCCGCTAACATACTCTGTATCTTTGCCCTTATTAATAGTGACAGAACCAGAGTGAACCCTCTGAATCACAACCTTCATCAAGGTTTCTTATTTTGAAACTTGTTATAGTTTTAAAAGCAGTGCTGTCCTGTCAGCCCAGTAAATATTTGGTGCAGGCAGCCACCGGCCGTTTACTGACCTCGGCCCTACGGGTGGACAGGTGCGGCATCGCTCGCTGCCACAGGGCCGGCAGGAGCGGCCTCTCCGCGGGCCGTCCGATCGATCGCCCGGGCGTCCAAAAACGGAATTCGTGGGCGGCGGTGGCAGTCGCGCGTCCAGCCCCCTGCACTTCGCCCTCAGGGAACTCCACGAGCGACTGGATAGCGTGCCTAATGAAAGCGTCGCAGGTGTAGTCTACTCCCTCAAGGGATATCCGAGCCTTGCCCTGAAGGAGATCCTCCTCGACGGCTTAGATAAGAACAGTGCAGATGCCATCAGACTAGAGCTGACCGCCCTTCTCGACCTCTCCCATCCGGGGGTCCTCAGGCACCACCAAGTAGTCGAGGACGAAGGTCTCATCTATGTCGTCATAGACCGGCACGACAAGACCCTCGAGCGCCTCCTCACCGAGCACAAACGAAGGAAGACTCTCATCCCTATCGCTGTGATCCTCTCCGTCCTGAGGCAGGTCGCTGCCGCCCTCGCCTATCTCTACGGCCTCAGTGGGATAGGTACTAGGGGGCTCGTCCACCGCGACCTCAGGCCTGCCAGCATCCTCGTCAGCGCAGACGGAGAGCGCTTCATCATCGCCGACTTCGGCCTCTGCAAGGACGCCCTGTGGAGTGGGAGCACTCTCATGGGAATAATGGCATACGTGGCCCCCGAGGTGCTCCTTCGCAACGAGGCCAGCCCCGCCTCCGACGTGTGGAGCCTCGGGGTCATCCTCTACGAGCTTACTACTCTAAGGAAACCGGACTTCCTAGAAGGTAAAGTCCCAGCAGAGGTCTTCGTCGATGGGTGGAGGCCGGACCTGAGCGATGTCACTGATGGCTTCATGCAGAATGTTCTGGAGAGGATATTCGTGCTGGAGCCAGAGAGGAGGCCGACGGCCAGGGAGCTGCACGAGACGCTCGCTACATTCGACATCCCAGTTAGTGAGCTGGGGGGTCAGTGCGTGATGCTGAGGTACAAGTGCGGCGCCTTGGAGACTACTCTGAACAGTGCTAACGCCAGGATTACACTTCTGGAGGAGGATGCCAAGACCAAGCTGGACAGGATTACTACTCTTGAGGCGGCCCTCGACGCCAGGTCTGCTGAGACTGCCTCTCTTAAGGGCACTCTCGAGGATCAGGGTAAAGGGCATCTGGCCACGTGAAGGCTAGAGGCCAAGGTCATGCAGCTTAGTGACAGGATGGAGCGGCCGGTACCCACAGTCTTCCTCAGGCTGATGCGCGCTGCACACAAACAACACAGAGACCGTCCGGACACTACTTGAAGAGGGATTGGCATCAGCAAACGTGACGAGTAGGGGGTGACGGCCTCATGCACGCCGCCCACGGGAACCGCCCCAGGGTGGCCCGGATCCCCGCCCCGCAGAGCACGAGAGGGAGGGCGCCGACGGCCGCAGGGCCCTGCTGCTCGCTGCGCAGGCGGGGAACAGGGACGTCGCAGAGCTCCTCGCGGAGGGGCGGCCCCAGCCGGTGAGCCAGAGGCCGACAGCCGCCGCCGCGACAGGTGGGAGCTTTGTTGAAAAGGGTTGCGGAGACCCGCGCCCACCAGGACGGCCGGGACTTGAGTGAGACGCCCGCGGGCAGGGCTGGGCGTGGCCGGCGGGTGCAATGAATCATCACGCTTGATTAAATCTCCGTGCATTGGGGGCGGGGAGCAGCAAAGGGCACTCTGCAGTGAATTGGGTTGCTAAGGCAGGCCAGGCCTTCAAAGGTGTCTAACTGCATACGTTCTTCTTCAGTAAGCAGGCTGTCCGTTTGGGCCCGGTACCAGCAGAAGACAAACATGGCCGCATCGTGCGTCAGGAGGACTAGATGTTCTTCTGGGGCTGGATGTTGTGCTTATCGGCAAGGTACTTGGCTGTACTCCTGGCGTCTCTGAACAAACCACGTCGAAGTATTCTCCGACTGCCAGTAATAAAGTAAAGTGGCCTGTACGTCAGCACCTGTAGAGCAGATGCTTGCCGCAGTACGACCTCAGGGCTCTAGGGCTTCGGGTAATAAGGGCCCTCGTGGATGACAAACACCGACGAAAGCAGCAGGCTACGATTGCATACAGAGAAGGACTCGGATGGCCTGCATCCTTCAGTGCACAGGTCAGCAAGATCTTAGTGCCTATGCGACGGCATACCGTGTCTCGTCGTTGTTCTGCTGCACCTTCGAACGCTCGTTAGGCCCTGCAGAGTCCCCTCCACAGTGCCCTTGCTCAACGAAGATATGACTGATGCTGGTTCCCGGAACATCGGGGTAAGGGGATGGACAGGCGCCTGAAAACGGCCATTCTTCAAGAAGCTCGCTTACAGTCACCCCACTCATAGACCTCGAGAGGATCTCCTTGACAGCAGAGAGTCCTTTGCGAGGTGGTTGTGTACCGGACGTGTTTGCTCGGAATAGGTTCTCAATGAGTTTTCTGTACTGTAAGTCCTGCGAAACTTTGAAGCGTATGTTAGTAATTTTGAATTAGGCAATTCCGCTTGAGAGTGGGGACAAACAGATCGCCTAACTGTTTCATTGCAGAGCCAGATTACAGGCTGCTCAGGTCGCCGTGTGAGTCGATGACTAGTATAAGTAGAGCGGGCCCTTCTATGGGTCTGCCGGCTGTAGTCTGTCTGTAAGAAGTACAAGGGGTATTACTCTGACAGTTGTAATTCTAAGCCAAGGCTTTCAGTGGCTGACTCGGATTAGTGCGTGTAACTTTCATAGGTATCCAATAAAGAATAATAGCTTCATGACTTTGGCTTCGCTGATCGTGATTCTGACTTGTTTTCTGGCAGGGTCTTTCTCTGAGGAAACGTTTGTATACTACAATGGCTTTGGGTATTCTTGTGAAGGCAAGATCTCACAGTGTCTTCAGGATAGATGCCTAGTGGACTTAGGTGCTTTTTTTTGCACAGAGTGTAGCCAGGATTATGTTCCCATCAACGGCACATGTGTTGCTACTACAGACGAAAAAGTTAATAAAGCCGGTTGTGTTAAATCGCCGAAAGGTGGATGGTGCACAGGATGTAAAAATGGTTACTTCTTATTTTACGGTGGCTGCTATGAATTGTCTGGCAGATGGAAAGCAAGTATTTGCGATCGTGCAGAAAATGGGATTTGTCAAGAGTGCGGAAAGGGTAGTACGTACTATACTCCAATAACTTTTACCAACCCTAATGCGACCTCTCCTGAACGCTGTATCTACTGCGGAGATATAGTAGGCTTTGGCGGGAGTAGTGGTGTATATAGGTGTCAGTACTGTAACCAACATAGGTTGCCAGGGAACACTATACCCAGCTGTAGCGAATGCTCAGAACGATTTATGTGCCCTTTTGATTTTCGATGTAGGTCTGTTAAGGGACTCGAGCTCGGCTATTGTTACTTTTGTCCTAGGGGTTACGTCTGGAGTCAGTTTGGGTGTTATACCACAGATAGTGTAATTGGCAACAGTATCTGTTTACCAAGAAATACTATAGATATACAGGGACAATCGTTGTGCACACAATGTGCCAATTCATCAGAAGTGCCTCAGAATGGCCTCTGTGGGTCAATTAGCGGATTTGATAATGTTTGTACGAAAGATTCTGAAACGGGAAAATGCACATCTTGTAAGAATGATAGCAACAGGCAATACTTCTTGTTTTATGGTGGATGCTACTTATTTAGTTATGCTCCAGGTCAAGTAGGGTCTCAGATTTGTCAGACAGTGCAAAACAATGTGTGTACTGCATGCAACAGTTCAATCAATGAAGTGTTCACCAAGAACAACGGATGCTGGCGCTGCGGGGACTCAGCCAACGGGGGAATAGAGGGATGCCAAAGGTGTGAGATGAAGGACAGTAGTCTTCAGTGTCTGGAGTGCCGCGACCTCTACCTGAGCCTGGATAAGAGGAGCTGCCTGGCCAGCTGTCCCAAGGGGCAGAAGGGCATAAAGGGGTCCTCATCCTCGGTCCACAGCTGCGCGTGCGATGACGGGTCATATCTGAAGGACGGGAAGTGCGTCGGGTGCGCGGTGGAGAACTGCGCTGAGTGTGACGAGTCGAGCTGTAAGAAGTGCAAGTATGGCTACACACTCTCCGGCAGTCAGTGCGTGGCGACCAAGTGCAAGGACCCCAACTGCGACACGTGCGAGGACAGAAACGTATGCACAAAGTGTGCCGGTGGCAACAGCCTCGACCCCCACGGTCTGTGCGTGAAGGACTGCCTGGGCTCCGCCGGGTACTACAAGGCCACCGTGGGGGGCGTCTCGAGGTGCGTGGCGTGCACGCTCGGCAACTGCGCAGTCTGCGAGTCGGAATCCAAGTGCAAGACCTGCAGGGACGGGTTCTACGTCGAGGGCTCGGGAGGATGCAAGCCGTGCAGCTCTGAGTGTGCCACGTGCAGCGGACCGGCGTCCGGTGACTGCACCTCCTGCCCTGCCAGGAAGCGGCTGCAGTACAGCGACGGTGCCAAGGGATCGTGCGTCCCGCAGTGCGTGCAGGACAGCAGCTGTGCAGAGTGCGGGCTCACGGTGGGCGGGACCAGCTACTGCTCGCGCTGCGCCAAGAGCACGGAGTACCCCAACAACGGGGCGTGCACCTTCTCCAGCTTGCGGGCGGCTGGCATCGCGTGCGCGAATGTCGCTGCCGGTAGATGTGCTGCTTGCAGCTCAAACTCCTTCAGCCTCAACGGGGGGTGCTACACCTCCACGCTCCTCCCCGGGAAGACTGTCTGCACGAAGGAGAGTAACGGCTGGTGTGACAGCACCGTGACCGGGTACGGGATAACGTACAACGGAACGCTCCTTACATGCCCGACGAACTGCGCAATGTGTAGCAGTGGGGTCTGCAACGCCTGCAACAGCGGGTTCTACCTGGAGAAGGGGGCGTGCAAGGCGTGCTCCAAGGGCTGCGCCACCTGCCCCCATGGGGAGGTATGCTTTGACTGCCTGGCCGGGTACTACTTCTCCGAGAGCACGTGCAAGGCGTGTCACAAGGCGATCTCCAAGTGCAGCCTCTGCGTGGTTCCAGAGGGTGCAGCCACACCCGTATGTCTGGAGTACGACAGCACCTCCAAAAAGTCCGCCCTCTCGTCTAGTGCCATCTCTGGCATCGCCATCAGCGTGGTCCTCGTCGTCGGCGGTGTGGCGGGTGTGCTGGTTTGGTTTTTCGTCTTCCGAAAGAAAAACTGAGTGGCCTCACTTTATGGTCCATCCATTCTTGCACGCACATAGTAGAGTATGCCAAGGAGAGCGGCTCTCCCTTATTCCGGCCAATCGCTGCCTGGTGGTCTGGTCAGTATCCTGGACAGTGGGTGTCTCAGTAAGACTTTCGCTGGTACGGACCGGGGACAGGGCACGTAATTAGAGAGGGAACGACGCCTTCGAGACAATCCGGTGCATGGGTGTACAGCCCAATAGACGCCTCTCTGGCTGTTGGGCCAGCCTCTAGTTGTGAATTCCTTGTTAGATGCCTCTGCTAAATCTAGAGAAGCCAGAATATAATAATAGCACACAGAACAATGGTGGAAGACACAGGTGCATCTACCGACACATGGCGGTTTTAGGCCAAAGGCGATCCTGTCTGCTGCGGTCGAGTAAACTACTTGCCGCGAGCCACCTCTCAAGTCATACCCACCATTTGACGGCCAATAGCCCAATGCCCGTTGGCGCCTCCCATATGTATGTCTCGGCCCTGCTGCCCCACAGGCCCCAGCTGCGTCATCGGTGGGCAGGCGCAGAGGACTGCACACTCGTGGCTGCTGTGCATCGCCTGGTGCACACAGGAGCCGTGTCATAGTCCGCAGCGAAGTACTGCTGGGGCTTCTTACTCGTGCCCAGGGCAGGGGCCCAGGCGCTTTACCAACGAGGTCTGTGGTATCTGCAAGCCTCTCTGTTGAATGCCAGCACGCCTCCTGGGCGGCAGACAGCGCTTGGCTCGGGCACCTGCGAAGGAGCGAGTCTTTCAGGGCTGGGCACAATAGACGGAATGCTTGTTTGGAACAAGGAGCACCGACCTGTGCTCCTACTAGGGCTGGAGGCCATTCAAGGCACCTGGCCCAGACCACGGGGATCGCAGATCTGAGCGATAGCTCGAGCAAGCAACATATTAGCGTGCTGTGCTGGGTATCCCCAAGTGCCACCGGGAGATTTATCTGCATTAATATGGAATATTATGACGACAGCACACGACTCAGCCCTTCCATAGGTGGATGCGGAGTACCGTCTGCTGACACCTCCAGCGAAGATGGCAGGCTTAGTGCTCTCGATGCCAATGATGGATCCACAAGGGTGAGCGGCCCCCGCCTGGCCCCCGTCAGGAAGTGGCACCGGCGTGCTGTCCCTGAGATGTCCTTGAGAGCCGAGACCTCCGCTGACAATGGGTAGGATTTGCGCCACTGGGAGACTCTCTAAGGATACTCCAGGAGTTCTTAGAAGCAGCACCCATATAGTGAGGCTTCGGGAGCCCTCTGGGTAGCACTATCCAAGGACCACTTCCCCGAGAGAACAGAAGGTTAGGGGACCGACTCCCGAAGGGCGAGTTTGGATTCTCCTGGACAGCAGAGAGGGCCAGAAAGCCACAGCAGCCTCCGGATCCACAGCTCTCCTATCATAGAGACACTGGGATGATTAGAGCACGCCCCTCAAGAAGGACAGGAAGTAACATAGTGGCACAGTGCTGATGCTCACGGGATATGGCTGACGAACACCTGGCTTCTGCTGGATACGAGATGCGTGCTGAGAGCAAGGTGTCTGGATTGGTGCGGTTATGCCTCACCAGAGAAGAGACAAGAAGCGCCGTCATAGATGGGCATGTGTCTGAAGGAAACACAAAGGGCAGTGGCTGCTCTGTTGCCAGCAGAGGGCAATCCGAAGTATGCAAGGCGTTTATCTGGACCAGCGGGAATGAGCAGTGGAAGTACCTTACGCAAGTTAGCATTGTCTTCTCAGGATAGGCGCCGTAGTGGACGCAAACGGGATCTCCGAACAAGTATCTTCCTGAGGCCTGTCTCCGCCAGCAAGAATAACTGACGATGATTGTCGCAACTGTAGCTATCGAATGACCAGCCATCGATGATGCTATCCATAACAGAAAAGTTTATTGATGACGAGACAGGACACAAGATCACAACAGACGCCAAACTAGCGCAGTAGAAGAGAACTATTAATTGGCCAGTGCCCTATGCATATCTTTTGTATGTAATAGCATATTCTATAAGTGTAGCCAACGATTCTAATCATCAATGGTTAAAATGATACTCATTAAAATAAGCACGTTTACTCACAATACATATCCATTAATGCGTCCACATTTCTAGTATTAAGTACTGAGGACGGTTTGACCAATAAAAATATATTAAGCTTATTATATGTGATTATTATGCTTTCGCAAGCGTTGCAGGAATGTAAAAGAGTATAGAAATCCTACTAAGCAATAGAAACACAAAGCCAATTACCAAAATACATTCCGTTACTGCTTAGAGATGACCAAATATTCGATGGGAACAACAAGCTTATTTGATGAAGATCCTGCCACAGACTTTGAGAACCGTATAGAATTTGCCTCATCCTCGTGTGTCTTTCTAGAATCGATTGCAGACAGTGGGCGCTGTTTTTGTGTTATTGTCATATCAACTGTGGTATATTCCCTGGCCAGCGGACGTTGTTTTAGTTCTAGTTCTAATTCTGTAATGCGAGCATTCAACTGTGTAATTATTTTGTTTCTTTCTTCAAGCGCTTGTGCAGCTTCCAGCTTATTTTCAACGATATCCTGAGCTAGCTTTGTGGCCTCTTCGTTTTTCTTTCGTGTTGATTGGGTAAATGTTTGCTGCAGAGTTGCTAAATCAGCGCTGACCCGACTTAGTTCCGTGTCTTTTTCTGCTGCTAAATGTGCAAGCTCGACCTTCAGTCGTTCACATTCGCCTGTCAGTCGCGAGATCACTTCGTCCTTTTGCTCAATGTGCTGTGTATGTTCCTCTTTGAGCTTAGTTAACTCATTTGTCAGTCTTTCAACGTCTTCATCTCGTTGCAATAGGAGGCGTTCTGCATTGTTTTTTACTGTGCCAAGCCTGGCAAGAAGCGACGCGTTCTCGCTAGCATGAGAGCTTAACTGCTTTTGTGCATCTACTAACTTATCTTTGAGCTCAGTCAGCTCAGCTGCTTTAATATGCAGTTCCGCCTTAAGGTCAATATTATCACCTTTGAGCTTTGAAAGTAACGCTGTTTTCTCCTTCATCACTTCTTCATTGTGTTTAGCCACCTCTTCGCACTCAGTAGTGAAGCGTTGTATTTCCTCTTCGCGGTGCGTTCGGTGCTTTTCTGCAGCCTCTATAGCACGCTGAAGCCTTGATATTTCTTTGTCCCTATCTTCCAAGGTGTGCACCAAATCCCGAAGATGCAATTCACGCTGATTCAAAACTACACGCATGTCCTCGCACTTCGACCGAAGATCTCTGAAGTCAACCATGGTTGTCTGGAGGTTTCCCGTGACCTCTAGGAGGGTTTCCTTAATATCTGTTCTAAGCTCAATGTTGTCCTTTTGAAGGCTATCAAGTGCTTCGCAGACTTGCGCTGTGCTATCCACGGATGCATTAGAGGCCTCAAACGGGACAGATGGAACCACAGACGCGGGAGATGTTCGGGACTTGAGCATCTCGTTGTACTCCTCCTGGCTTACATAAGAGGGCGCAGCAAGGGGTATGACATTGGCAGCAGCAGACATCGAGGCAGAAGTAGCCAAATTATGGTCCGAATATAAGTGATTAGTGGACAAGTCAGTGTCCAGAATTGGCGGAGGTTGCACAGAAATTTCCGCCAGCTTCTCCTTGTACGTATCAAGAGCTCCCTTTGTTTCCGAAAGTTCTCCGCGTAAAGCTTCGTTTTCAGCCGCAAGCTCACTGGCTGATCGTGTTGCATTAGCATACTTCTTCTCAAGTTGCTTGTACTCGTTGCTGAGCTGCACAGTTTCGGCAACTCGATCCACGTTAGACATGTACTTGCTCTTCAAGATGTTGTACTGCTCTTCAAGGTTCTTATACTGAGAGGTGCGACTAATCACAGAAGGTCCGAGACCCAGGGGTCGTTCACTAGATTTAGCTGGACCAGCGGAAAGAGCAAGTTCATTGCGCGATTCCTTGGAGCCAGGCAAGCGGACGCCGAGAGACCTTCCAAGCGTTCCAACCCCTGCGCCCACGCTCGCAGACATGATCTTTCAATTTATTGAGCTTTAATCGTCGCCATAGTATCCCTTATCCTCGTCGTCCGACTCGACGTCGTCCTCTTGGGCGGCGTCCATTAGTTGACAGGAGTCTGAGGAGGTGACTATAATGCGCACAAAGTCCCCTTGGCTTATCTTCTCAAGACGAAAGGCGTTGTCTTCCTTCGGGCTGTAGTTTTCTTCGACCAGCTCCAGCCCCCCTATTGATGTTTCTCGGTACAGCTTGTCTAAGAGCGTAGTTTCGAGAATATATGAGCCCAACAGAAGTTTCAGTATAAAGAAGTTATCATTGCTCCGCTCGATACTCTCAACATATGCCACAGCTCGCTCATTACGCATTGGACGCTCTATTATAGCTTTGTATGCCACCTGGAATGTCGCTACACCAGTATGGGGCTGCAGGAGAGGCGTTTTTGGGATCAAGTCTGGGTGTATTATGACTTGAAGGACTTTTCCAAACGTGTGAGACACCCCATTAAAAAGCTGTTCCTTCATCAGTGCAATAACTGCCGTAGCGTAGTGCTCGTGGAAGTCGCACGGGCGAAGCTGGACCGTCTCCGTGGCCTCAATGTGGAAGAGCATCTGGCGAGGAAATGTATTACGCCATAATGTGATGAAAAGATACTTTAAAAATAGATTGTATTTTAAATTCACTTTGCAGCTCACAGAAAAGGGGTTCGTAGATGAAGAGAGATAAATCAGCTACCGCTGAGCCCAACGTGAGGAAGAAACCGCCTTTCGTCTGACCCTTCACTCAACAGCCCCAAAGAGGCAGCGCAGAAATGTCTCTGCCTCCTCCATCGATGCGCACACGCCGACGGTGCATCCCCGCGGAACGAAGTGGCAGATCCCCTTGTTTCTGACGTGGATCAGTAGGCAGACGGTATCATACACCGCCATTTCTGAGGCGACAACAAAGGCAAGAGAGCTAGGATCCACCTCCTGCGGACTGCTGAAAAGGTCTATAGCCAAGATTCCTGTGTCACCGGTACACATGCCGCTCCACGTTCCTCGGTGCCAAGGCTTGGGTGGACGCGGCAATCTCAGAGGTGCGACACATCTAAGAAGAGGGTTCCATTTGGGCGGACTGGACGATTCCGTGTTTATACCGATAGATGGTGTTGTTGGGGTTACTGGTTTTCGGTAGGGCTCGTGGGAGCCAGATGAAGGTGCTCCGACGATCGGGGACCCGCTTCCAGGAAGGCTGCTCTCTGAGAATTGACGCGATGTGGCGTCGATGAACTCTCTGTATAAAGAAGGCCCGCCTTCGCTTATACTATCGAAGACTCTGAGAAGCGCGTGCATACTATGCATCGGCAGCGTTTTTCTCATTCAGAGGAGCTACCACGCAATCGTCTTGTAAGAGGTATACACCGCAGTTTTGAGCCTGCACAGGTGTAACTAGACGTTTCTCTGGAGAAGTCTGCTGATCTTGTTGTGATGAAGCAACTAGTTCCTCCAGGAGAGAATGTGCCAGGGTTGATGCTTGAACAGGGGATTGGCGCAACTGATGGACTGAGGATGTAAGTAGTCGCGCATCTGGAAGGGTAGTGAATGTTAGCATACATCGAATTATTCTATCAGAGTAAGTGGCAAAGTCGTCTCGAGAAGAGTAGGCATCGGAGGTTGTTCCACCAACAGAATCACTAATCAGAGCATCGTTAGAGCTTAATATTGCCATATCCAGAATCGGGGCAGAAAGGCTTTGCCCAGTACACGTCACTGATTGCTCCATTTCAGAAGCAGAAACAAAACCATCTTCATCACTATTCGGGCTTAACTGCAACAGTAGCAAGGTCATGAAAGTAAAGAGAGAGGCAAGGGGTTGCCTATAAGCATCATCATGTAGCCCTAGGGTCAGCTTGTCAAAAGCATAGACGAAAGAATGCAGGCTTGCCTTTTCTATAATTGATGAGAACCCATGCGCAAACCTCACAATGCATTCTAGTGTGTTTGTTTCATTAATACAGAGTTTTTGTATTTGCTTCATGTTTGTAACCACGTGATTGCAGCGTGCTCGAACTAATTGAAAATACCACTGGTTTGAAGAGAGAATAGCTTCAGAACGGTTGAAGAAAAACGACAGCTTATTAAATAGAAGGGGGTAGCGCATGCATATTGCTATAGAAGCAACTATAAGCCTCTCCATCAAGCGATCTTGGTCGGTATGAACCGTACACACTACCTGTGTCAATGGAGACAAGAGCCATGAACTCCTCTTGCGCATTCTCAGAGGCACGGTGATGGCGGCCACCAGCGCACGAAGCCCCAACGGACGATCAGACCATACTAATAGGTTATCTGCTTGATGCGCTGTGCTTAACGCGGACAATTGCGATAGCAGACAACATATGTCCGAGATTGTCGTTATTCCCAAACTAATATCAGCTACTCCAACAGATCCCTTTGTAAGCCGTGATAAAGCATGTATCGGGACACATGGGTACAGAATCAATCCTGCCCCCTGGGGGGTACTTGCATCTAGCACAGAAGCTGACATAGTAAACAAGCCTGTTGCCCATAGCGCATATGCAGTCTGTACGGTGTTGGCAGTGAGCAGAAGCACGACCCTGGACGGTGAGGCAGATTGAGCAACTCTCGTTATTAGTCCAATAGATGGCCCAGGAAGCTTAATCTTGAATGCACAAGCTAGTCTAGAACTGGTGGTAGTCTGCACTCCGGCGGTTCCATAACATACTAGACCCATGATTTTGCAATAGAAGGACTCTCCCAGTGTCCTAAGAAAATTGTGTATGTGTTTGGGGCTCTTTTCGGAGTATTGTCGTAAGATGTATAGCATGAGATTGTTCCTTGTAGTGTGTGCACTACTCAATGGCTCCTCTCCTGATCCCACCAGTGGTGTGGTGAATATGGAAAAATCTACTTTTGGATGAGCTTTTCGGAGCATAGCCAGGCAGTAGGCCTCCTTTGATGTAAGCACAATCTTTCCAGAAGAATCAAACTGAACGGCATAGTAGGGACCGAATGGAGAGGCGACATCAATATTTTCCCTGTTGATAGTGGGTATCTTGCCTACAGATAGCATAACAGCGCTAAAGAGCTGATAGTCATCCAGAGTTAATGTTCCCCGAGTAATTTCAGAAACTATTATAACCATTATGAGGGCAGGGAGAAAGATTGATAGTGGAAGTGCTCTATACAAGTTATCAGCAATCTCGAGTAAAAATAAAAGGGAGCAATCTACATAATCTGTGTCATGTGCGAACGGTTTGGATTGTATACATATCAGAGGATAAAGTACAGCAGGGTAGCTCAGGGCCAAGCGGAGCAGATAGTTGCTCATGGCCATAATAATTCTGGTGGCAACATTGAGATTGCTCTGTTCGTCGTTCTCCATCTTTGCCCGCTCTGTGAGAATAGCCTTGTTTTTATCGGACAGTGCAGATAGTGTGTCCACCTGGTCAAGGTATGTCCTGTAGCACGTATAGACTACTGATGCCTTTGCTGTATAGCTGGTACTCTCCACTTCATGCAACTGCTCAATGCACACCTGTAGCTGTCTCTCCACTACACTTTCAAGCTCCACAATAGCAGTTCTATACTCCAAAACTCGGTCGTGGTATCCATTAATGTAGTGACAAATAATCTGCTGAAGTATTGTATCCTTATGCAGAAGAATAGAGGCCTCAGCGTCCTTGGAGCTAAAAGGTCGGTGCATAGAAAGGGTGCCAGCAGAGATACTAGCATTCTGTAACAAGGCATACCATGGAAATTCTAACACATCCATTTGCAAAATAGATGGATTGACAATTACAGGCTCAATGCAATACACCAAAGGATTGGCACCGTCAATATCGAATGTCACTATGAAGCGATACTGAGATAAGGGCCGTGGAGTCTTTACGGAGAAAGTTTGTATGCTATAAGTTGTGTCCTCATTCACAGTCTCAACCTTAGAGGGATAAACTACCGTGAAGGCGACAAGAATATCCAGGATTGCAGGGCATGTGTCTGCTATCTCAAAGACTATAACTCTTGTATGCACGTCTAGGAGAGCCTTTCGGAATGCAGAGCAAAACGCAGAAAGATTCTGGGCCACCCTGACTGTATGGACGGAAAGAAACGGATCTAAGGCACCCATGCAATCTGCAAGAAGCGGTAGATCACGGATTGCATACTTACTAGCAAAGATCGGGCGCTTGAAGACCTTGTGGAGAATAAGGAGACTCGCAAATTCCAGAACGCGAAATTGGTCTGTCTGCAGCTTGTACTTCAAAAGACGCTGGCGAGAGAACTCGCTACGCAGCAGAAGGAACATCTGAGATACAACTTGGTCTTTCCGTTTCATGTGGCGACAGATGGAACGCTCACTAAAAACATCTGCTTTGACCAGAAATGTAGCACCCGTGTCTGACATCACATACTTGCAATCGCAAAAACATAGACAGCAATTGCAGCACGAACAGAGGGGTAGATCGAGAATGCTACAAAATGCACAGCACTCTTCTGAAGAGCAAGTTCCACTCGCTTTAGATAAAATATCAATGCAGATGCTGGTTAAGCCAATTCCGAAATACACGGTTGCAGCGACAATGACACCGTGAACATAACTGAGATTGTGCATCTGTCGCATCCGCCGCTCCTCAGTGACCATAGATGGAATGTGCTTAACAACCATACCTATGGTATCCTTCTCTATTTGGAACAACTCCTTAAGGTCGCACAGCTGAGCTTCTAGAAGATCCAACTGAGAACTGCTGATGTTGCGTGCTTTATCTGTATTTTGGCAGGTCTGTTGAAGCAATCTATTTTCTGCTGCAAGGGTTGAGACGATGTGTTGCTGGTTAACGTGGTTATTCCGTAGCTCTTCCAGCTTGAACTGAGCAACACATTCGTCCTTAAAGCGTCTGTATTCTATGGTTTCCATATACCAAGTGAAGACGATCGTCTCAATGCCGTTAAATGCAGAGCTATCTATCGTGGTTATGGGGTCCAGCACATCCCTTTCTTGGTCGAAGCCAACCAAGAGGGAATAGAGGCGCTCACATGAGCTGAAAACCTCAGCTGCAACAATGTTCCAAAAGTCAGCAATGGGTAAGGCAGCACATGGAGTAATACTGACAGTCTCCACTGCAGAAGAAATGACCGGGATTCTATGTAGCAATTCAGCAAAGTTGCGGTATTTGGCCGGGTCTGCCAGCAACGCCTTCACATAGCTGGCAAGCTTAGAGTCTCCAAAGTACATGACAGCAGCGCAACTTCCCTCTATGCTATTCTTCAGCTTCTCTTTTTGAGTCTTCACCTTCGCTTCAGCATCAGTAAGTTCTTGCGTAATTGTTGCAAGCCTTTTCTCTGCTTCGTGGAGTGCCTTTGTTGACTCCTTGTATTTCTCCTCATCTAAGTCTTCTTCTGGGACAATAGTTGCTGCAAATTGCGCGATATTTTCCGCAGTTCTTGTTAATGTCTCCTGTGTTTGTATGCTTCCATGCTTTGCTAGCTTTGTTAAATTGACAGATTGCTGCTGAAAGAGAGATATGTCATGCAACTTAGAAGCATAGTAGCTTCTCAAGTTTCGGTATACATGGCGTACTATCAGGATAAAATCGTTAATGTTTGAATATGGGATAAACTTAGAAATAGATTTGATCGATCTAGCGTGGATTCCAGACACAGTAGCAGCGTGCTTATACTTATCTTGAAAATCATTGTGTACAGAGCGCTTGGACCTCGCAGAGGATGGACAGGACAAGAGTGAAGGTAAACGCAGGCTTCTGATCTCCGAGTCCACGTAATTTGAAGACTCGTCCGAGTGCAATGTTGAGTCTTTGGTGCTACGCTGAGCAGAGTAGGCTGTCAGAGTCCTTTGATTGACATCCATGTTGGCGTGTTCGGTGTCCAGTTCACCCGAAGATTCGACGCTATTGCTGAATGGAATGGAGAAACTTGAAAACTGTGTCACCAGCGTGTCATATAGATAATATGCTACAATGTATACACGCATTTCAGCCAACTGTTCCGATATCTCCACCGTTTTCTGCTGGGTTGTTATAGTGGCTGTTGGTGGCAAAGCCAGGATGGGAATTGACAGCCTGTGCTGCATCAACGGACTTTGTGTTATGGAAGCAATATCTTTGTGCATGCTTAAGCCTGCATGAAAGTGCACTACGTCCAAATGAGGTGGGAGTATGGCAAGAATGTCCTTGCGCACAGCAGCTTGCAAACAGTAGTTGTCGAATATAATCACTTGCATGGTACAGCTCACAAAACATAAATATGTTCTTGTGGTGACCAATCCGAGTTTAGAAATGGAGCTGAAGTCGGATAGAAAATCACTTTGATCTTCCCTGTTTATCCAGCTGTTTTCTCCCGACCCCGGATAAAGGAAGTTAGCAACCATAGTGAGGAGATTGCAACTCACTGCAAGGCTGAGAGGGATTGCCAAAATAACGGTATTAAATTGATGGGGATATTTGTTATATGGGACGTATTCGGGGTGAAATTCGGTCCTTGTTCGCATGGATGTTTTATACTGAATAAGGGTTTGTGTCTGGATGTTTATGTGAAAGTGCCATCGCGGTATAGCCAGGAGAGGGTGTGTAGACAGAATGTGCTGCGGCATGATAGTCGTATCTGATAAGCGTCCACTAGGTAGGTAAAGCGGAGATTCCAAACTGGATCCTATGCCCGAAAATGCTTGCTTCTTGAAGCGTTCAAAGATTCGAGGATATGCCGCAGATGGAGGCATACCCATCGCCGCACACGTAGCTGCCCTTAGGGCCGTGAGAAATCTATCGGTAACGCTCATTGTTTGGAGTACTGGTGGAAGTGCCCTATCTGTTAATCCGCAAGCAGCAGCTATATCGACCAATAAAATGGAGTCTTTGTCTACTGGGTGAACACGACTGTCTATCGGGAGAGCATCAAGAACACCAGGTAAAGACTTAGCTAGAAGGATAAAATCAGCGTAGCTAAGAAGCCCTGAAGGGACAAACAGGGTGGTCGGTATGTGCATGGGAGAAAGGTGAGCCTCTGCCAAAATGTTCCTTAGCTCCATTGTGTGGACTCCGAAATAGTCTTGCCCTGTGAGGCTACTCAGTTTGGCTAAGTATTTGGTACCAACGTCCTTATTAAGAAGGGACGATACAACAGCAGGCAGCTTTACTGCGCTCTCTGTGTGCTCATCTACCTCAGGGTTCTGCTGCACCATAGGTGGCTTGAGCCACTTAACACTAAGAGATGGAACCTGAGATGATTTGATGTCAGAGGCCCTCTGATCTCTAGGTGAAATTGCAGCTGCCGATGTGGAGGTGGTATCAAACGAGTCACTGTTTTTACTGCTTGGTCCATCAGACTTATCCTCTAACCGCTTAGATTTCACAGATTGATAGTAACTTAGATCGATTGTTGGTGTGAAGAAAGTTCCTTCTTCAATAGTTTCTTCCAGAACAGTCAACGATGACGCCCGAGAGCCACAGCAACTACGGGATGCACCCGATTTTCTAGAGATTGCAGAAGCTTGTCTGGCGGTCGTGTGTTGCCGACTTTTTCGGTTCTTTCGACCGCCAACTCGCTCAGCGTACTCGTTCATGAAATGGGAATAAAGACTTCGATTAATCAGGATCTTCAAGAGGTTTATGTTGAAGGCATCAATCAATTGCTTGAGGAGCACGCCCTGACCAGGTGTGTGCGTGAGAAGCTGTCTGCAAGTAAGCGCTTCTAGCGTACTGGAAGCAGCTGGCGCATCAGCTAATTTTAACATCAACCTCTGTTTAGTCGTGGCACCATAGAGTGCACTATAAATTTCTGGATATTGTTCATGATATTGAGTGGCGGCTTGTTCTATTGAATTGTAGATTATGGCAGAAATAGTATCGTTAAGTGTGTGGTCGTTGCTTCGTGACACACCATAATATTGTTCCATAAGCCAAATTGTGCTTATCGAAGCAGAAATACGCTCTGTGTACATAAAGTTTCGGTCAAGGAGAAAGTTCTCCAGCTGCCGACTGACAGCACGGAACCCAAAGATCTTTGCCAGGAGATAGTGCCCATAATGCTTTCCTTGTGTGCAGAGTCTATCACGCCGCGTTCTGGGAAGTGACACATCTGTGCGAACTGTGTATAGGTGTGAGACCTGGTAAATCCTTAACATATCCTTTGGAGGCCCGTGAGCAACATCAACCAAGAAGAGGATATTGCGCAGAGTAACTAGTTGCATGACTCCAGTGTTATCGATCATTTGAACTTTCTGACCAAGTAGTGTGAGGAGGGTTGGGTAATATAGAAAAGAAGCATGTGCTCTGATGAGGACTATGAGTCTACATGGCGAAACCAGATAGGTCTGGGAGTTACATGAAACAAACTGGCACATGGACCGTAGGCGAGCGAGAAGCTGGATCAGGTCAGCATCAGTGCAAACACTATGAATTAGATACGTGTTATATGAAAAGGTGCCAAATTTTATATGCTCGTCTGCTGATGTTTGGAGTTGCATATTTTCTCTATACTTATCATCCTGTATGAGAACAGACGTGTCCTCTTCAAATAGCGCAGTGGCGGCACGCAACGCGGATTGGTTAAATATTGGTGAGAAGACACTGAAAAGAACAACAGGTATCTTGCAAAACATAGCTGCAACGATGGATAAGGCTAGCATCCTTAACTCAGCATCATAGCTACTTATAGGATATGCAGTCAGATATCCCACATCCACAATTTCATTGAACGGACCAGGACGATCTTCTTGCACTCCAACAGGACTGTATAGTGTTGAAGATGGACGCTTAGTTGTGCCTTGGTGCAGGATATACCGTTTGGGGTAGAGCGCTGGGGTGAAGTGTAGATACACTGTGCTAAAATTGAGCAGTGTGAGAAGAGTGTCGAAATCTCCGTCCGAAAACCGAGAAATAGTCTCCTCAACCAATCGAAGCCCCTCATAGGTCATGGGTTCCATTGAAAACGAAGGAAGAAGCAAGCTGTAAAGGAACGCATCACCTTTTGCAGCGATGGTCTGTGCCGTTGGAAGCATGCTGTTAAGAATACGGACATAGACATACCTGTCTACTGAAATGGCTCCGTGAGTTTCATTATAAGCCGTGCTATATGCCTCGTTTGTGTCGGTGAGTGATTCCTCGTCATTTGTGCTAAGGAAGTAGCGCGAGAGGAAGACGGAATATGCAGTTTGAGGCCCATCCATAAGCAATGCTTCTCTGCACTGTTTATAGGCCTGCTCGTGAAAGTCGAACAAAACATCTTGTGAGTCGCTATACAGGTCATCAATGTTCAGGGACGAGGCTAAGAACGCAGACATCCGTCTGAATACCTCTGAATTAGATCCCGCTGGAACTATAGTCTTAAGCTTGCAAGCGGAGAATGCAAGTCCAAAGATGATAAGCGCCAGCTTTGCCACTAACTCAGAGTAGTTCTGATTGCAGTAAGTGAAGCATGTAAAGAAGGCAGGGTTGCATCTTATTTCTAGCTGAGAAAATATAAGACACTGCCTAACTGAATCATGTGGGATGGGCATTGTACATAGGAGCTTGTTCTGAGAAATGTTGAAGAGCTCGAAGACGTTGTTCTCTTTGGGCCTTTTGATGTCGGCGTGTCCCTGCTCAGTGACAGAGCCCTGCGCAGTGTGGTGCATGAACGATGTTGCCATACATTTGTCTATGGCACTGTCACATGTAGACATCGCTCCAGGGAAGGTTGTGACGGCACTTCCGACTATCGAAGAAGCAAGCTGCTCAAAGTCTTTAGTGGATGTCTGGGCTTCATATACGGTAGCCTGCGGTGTAGCCTGCTCCTTTCCCTTCATTCTAGAGCCAAGAAGCCGTTCAAGATCTGATATCGAATTTGAGCAAGGATCGGATGTCTCCCAGCGACCATAAAGGCTTGCTGTTTCAAACCCATTTTGAATCACTGGTACAACGGTAATAATACAATACTTAGAGCAGAGATAGACAAAATTACAGTATGCAGCGTAGTAATCTCGAGGCTCGGTTAGAAGACAGGCGTCAGCACAGAACGCAAGCACGAGCGGGGAGAGCTGAATAAAGAAGCGCATCGCCTTCATCTGCATTAACCGCTGCAACTGTGTTATGGAAAAGCTCGTGATCAGATCCTCGAATTGCGAATAGGAGACGTCTGTGCTCTCCGAAGTACTGATTGAAGACAGCTTGAATGTATGATAGTATCTTATTTCGCGGGTCTGATATTGGAGGAGAAGTTTGGGATTGAGCAGAGAATGCTGAGAGTGAAGGTGATACCCTGTGAAGGACTGCAATAGCCGTAGACATGGTGACATGATGACAATGGCAGTCGTTGAGGGTCGTGGAGCTGACAGCAAAATTTCATACAGCATTGTTGTATCTTGAGTGGGATTAATCACTTTTAAGGCCATAAAGTATATTGTGTAAGGCCTATATGTTACCCTTCCTGTCGCTACATCTGTAATTTGAGACACATCGGTTACCTCCACGAATGATGGATGGGAGATGCTAGACTCCTCGCCCTCAACCGGATCGGCAATGTTGAGGCGCTTGCTAGCAAACCTACACTGGTTCTGAAACCTTAATTCCATGATTATTATATCCGAGACGAGGTATCTAATCGCAGCAGTAACCATTCCATAAAGAGTGTTGCAAAGAGGTAAGTCTATAACATGAAGACCAATTGGTCCAATAGAAACAGATTGGGTTAGTATTAATAGAATAATGTAAACTAAATTGAAAAGAAAATAAAAGCCTGTAGTCGAAAAGGGGAAAGTTGCTAGAATATCTCTGCCAAAGAACTGTAGATAGAACTCGGAAAGAAGTCCGCAGAGTCTCATATTAGAAGTGCTCAGATGAAACTCCTGATTAAGCCGCTTCTCTGATTCTGTTAGACATGCCGGTTCCGAGAAGAATCGGAGCTCAGTGTGCGAGGCTCTAATATATTGCAAGCTTGAAAATGCATAGGAAAACATTAGAGCAAACGGTACAGTATAGGTCATGGGTGGATTTGCAGAAGCAGGTACTTCTTTCATGTCAGAGTCCAAAAAGTAATAACTCGAAGCTGCATATCGCTCTGTCAACTCAGTGAGGAAGGCCATCGCATCTTGCCCTGACTCATCTTTGTCAAGCAGAGAAGTGCCAAAGGTGGATACAAACACGGCTGTCAAAACCATACGAGCCTCAGAATCGTCTAAAGTGCCAGCAATAAGCAACAAGTAATTACGCAGTAAGTAAGGTAGAGGGGCTGCAGACAACACGTTAGGTGTGTTAGAGAAAACTGATCTGAGCATGGCGTTTGACAAGCTCTGACTCCCAACAGACAGCTGAGAGAACTTTGCAGCCAGCCGTTCTATTTTGATAGAGAGATCTGTGTCATGCACATATTGCTGAACTTTGTCTGTGCCGACAAAACCGTCTCGATACCGAATTAAGTGGTTGGACTCCTGACCCAACCCGTAAAGGGCTAAAATGCTAAGCGCCTTCTCGGCGAGCACGTACATAGGTTCCTCTATATTGTGTTCATGATATGTTTTTACCAGGCCAGGAAGAATGAAGACTAGGCTGCCTGGAAGGTCCTGCCGAACCCTTTCTTCGTGCAGGCGCATATAGGTAGCCCAGTTATGTCTCGTAGCAACCTCACTTGTGATTACTATGATAGCACCGAGCACCAACATGCATAGGAGCGACCTAAAGTACGTAGCCTCTTTATCTGTCATTGATTCGATGGAGAACTCATCTACCAAGCATGGCTGGTCGAATACCACAGGATGCCCAGTAATAAGTGGTACATAAGCGCTGAAAAAGGACTTGAGAGGTGAGTTACACGCTGGGCCATCATTGATAGGAGAAACAATAAACAATAACTTGTAAAATAAAAGCTTGTCCAATATTTCGGAGTAGATTGGTAGTGTTGAAAACTCAGCAAACATGCCGTCTGGAAAGGAAGCATCCAGAAAAACGTGGCCTTTATAGGCACAGACAGGCGTTACCCCAGAGTATACACGCATGGGTGTGAACGCCTGTTGAGTTCCCAAAAATGAAGCACGGGTTTGGAAGAAGCGCATACTAGTGATAAAGTCACGGTTGTACGTGTGTAAGTAGTCTCCAAGCAATTGAAAAGCAAAAATATTAAAATCATCAAGAAGCCGAAAAAGAGACTCATCACCACCAGACACAAAGATGCTCGTGACAAAGCCGTGTGATACATAAGGATTAACTGTTGGAGACGCAGTGTCAGGTGGTTGGATCTGTTTCTCGCTAGGTGGCAGAGTTAGCACTGGCGGAGTCTCTACACAGTCCTCAATTATATCAGATAAGGTATTGGAAAGCGAAATAAGGATGTCTCTAAAGAGCCTATATCGAACGCTAGTGAAAGTTTCCTGCAAAATAGAAGATATCTGCACTTCGAGGGGAGAAGTATCTTTAATGTATAGGTAGCTGAATGGAAGCACTGTGCATGGTCCCAGAATAGTTGCGTGCTTTATGTGGTGCTTATTGTAGTGCAAAAGCGCAGCCATATAATCTTTCTGGGCCTCTCGTTTGAAGTCTTTGGACAGGGAGCCGTGGAGCATATCGAAACACGGTATCGTGTACGAGTCCTCAGTGGGTGCATGCTGCTCAAAGGTAACCGCCTTGGTTATCGGCATGTCATGGCGCTGGTGGTTATATGGAAACTGCTCCTCAAGTGCCTCAAAGTCTATAGTGAAATGGGTGTGACAGCAAACGCTAGTGGATGGATCAAGGTACTTATCAATGCTAATGCAAACAGAGCGATGCACAAGGCTCATGTATGTAGAGGGAACAGTGATAATCTGATACCGAAGAAGGATGCTTAAGACATACGTAAGAGTTGCGAGAGCGGACCTCAAAGTTTTCAGCTTCTCCAAACTATTGACACCCGGCTTAGTTGAATCGGAGACCAGGACGTGGAAAAGCCTGAGAATGGCCAGAACTCCAGTGGCCAAAGGTATGCTCCGAAGAATGCACAATGCTATGTCGCAATTGAGTGCGTCATTGGCAAGTATGTCCGAGTAGTATTGCACATACCAGGAGAGAGACGCAGAAATGGTCGTTTGCAGCATAGAGTATGTCAATATGGTGAAACAATGTGGAAGCCTATCCAGTAAGATTGGCATGCAAAAGCGAAGATATTCCTGCTGGCGCCCAGAGGCCTCATGCAAATCCATACCGAAAAGAACGCCAGCGAAAATGTAGAATGAACGACTATTCGTCAGGGAAACAATCTTGTAAATCACAAACTGCATCCTGTGAAATCCGAAGTTGGATAGAACAGTGCTGCATGCAGTTATGACTCTTGCGGGGAGCGAACAAACAACGGCTCCCTTGCATTCTGTGAGCTTATCTGCAGAGCATATGACAGGAGAGTAAAAGTTATCATATATGATTGATTCAATAAAGGAGCTGACAAGAAATTGACGCGATAGCATGTAGCTATCTGGAAAATTAGCACTGTCTCGGAGGGTCCCCGAATGCTGTAGAAATGGCATGTTTGCGGCGACTATTTCGCCCTCAAACTCAATAAGGTCCTTTATCTGCGCAAAGATGGTGTCTCTGAGTACCTTTCGAGAGGCGATATTGCTCATCGTCGCTCCATTGGATTGGGCTGTACTGAGCAGGGTTTGTGTCTTGTATAGTAACGTTAAGAATTTGTGGGTCACTGCTCTAGTGTGCACAGCTGGCACTAGAACGGGCAAGCCTCTAGCTTGCAGACAAATGGTCTGCATATCGACATAGTAAAAAAGCTTATTTGCGTGGGCCCTGACATATGAGATAATAAAAATGCATCTGCTCATCAGAAGATACACCCGCCACTGCAGTGACACAAGCTGATGAATTGCGTCCAGATCGAACAGATGGGATGCGAGAGAGTCAAACGTCACATAATTCTGAAGGACAGCACAGAGAATTGTGAAGATGTGCAGATTGATATCAGGAATAATTGTGAGCCTTTTTAAAGCCATGCAAGTCGGGGCAGCAGGCCGCTGCTCAGTCGTGTGACTAAGCGGTCCCTGGAGGCCTAAAAGGTCATACTGCAGCTGTGAGTCCAGCTCAAAGAGCTTACGCGGCACCTTAATGGTAAGCTTCTTTTCAAGAAAGAGAAGCTTCCCGCGTTTGTCGCCCACAAGAGTGAAATCGGCATGGTAGCACAAGGATAGAAAGTGTGACTTATCCAGAAAGCTCGGATAGTTTTGCTTCAAGTACACAGAATTAAGAGGCGAATAATCAGCACTGACGCGTGAATAAATAACTGGCTCGTCAGACCCTAGAAGCTTAATCCGGTCCAGCGACGAATTGTAGCGGCGAGTTTCTGCAGCTATGTTATTACCACACTTTCTAGATGACTTACCGAGATCCACATTTGGCTGCTTGTTGTCTTTTTCATCCTGATCAAGGACAAAAAGGCCAAAGTATTGATAAGCTAGATATCCAAAAGTACAAGCTTCATAAAATATTCCTGTAGAGAAGCATTGAGAAGCGTTGATGGCTGCGTTGCGTATCGGGCCCCGTATCACAATGCCCTCCTTCTGGGCCAGGGCTGCCGTCATAGTGAGCTTTTCATCGGGCTCCACTGTCTTGGCAGAGTCAGTATCTCTGCCCTCTTCATACATCTCTAGACTAGCGTCGAGCGTGTCTGACATACTGACTTTTGTTAAGTCCTGAAGTTTCCCACTCAGCTCTTCAGAGTGAAAGGAATAGAGGGCCTTGCGACTCGCTGCTGGTAGCTTCTCGGCCGTCTGCGTTGTGCCTTGATCACTGGTGGATGCATACTTACTGACAACCTCTAGGACTTGTGGTTGCAGAACGGTCGTCTCCAAAACGAACCCTCCCGTTCTGGAGACGAGAAAGTGGCAAGGAAACTCGAGCCTTTCATCTGGATTGACTCTATTTTCCTTGTTTGCTAATGCTCGCTGAATCAAAGAGGACTGGATGTATTGAAATCGCTCCGCACGAATTCGGTGCAGGCCTATCCGGTAGGACCTCATAATGGAACATTCGTGATTGCTCACTATCTCCAAAAATATTTTCACCTTTGTTTCATCAGAATATTTAGACCGATTATATTTCAACAGATCTCGGACGTAAAAATCCACTACATGTAGATCTCGCGGGTCAATGCAAAGGAACTCATCTATGTTTGCTTGAATAATACCGAGGAGCTGACCCAATTCGTTTGTCCGCAGGGGCTCCAGGTCGCTGAGCAGTAGCAGCCTGTTGGTGACAACCTCCATGGCCTCAAAGGAGCTAAGGCAAACGTTCCTAGCTGCGTTAGGTGACTGAATAAAGTTGATCTTGTAAAGGCTCGACTTCAGTATGAAAAATAATTGGAGCTGAGACCGCTTTTTAGTGATGAATTGAAGGAGAGTCCTGGCCAGTTCAGAGATGGGCACGCTATCCCTAAGAGTTTCAAGAATAATCGTGGCGGTTATTACTACCTGCACCACAAAGTTTTTGACGTCGGACAGGCTAAGGCGGCCTATCGTGCAATTCATCCATTGCTCAAAGTTACTCAGAAAGTCGAAGTAGAGAGCCACAAGCTTGTTGATAAGAAAGAGAAGAGGCAAGAGATTTCTTAAGCGAGTAAGTACTGGCCCCTGCTGAGTGCTGGGGTGGAGTATTGCATCCACCGTGCTCGAAGAAAGTTTAAGAGACTCCCCGGGGTCCAGCAACTGCTTGAGAAAGTAGTCCCGTCGTGCTGTACGTGTTTTTGCTGTGTCAACGTCTTTGTCGTAGAATATGACTGCATCTATAGCCGACAGATTTCTATCCTCCGTTATTGCGTCCAGTATTGCCTTATCAGTCGGAAACAGAGTCTTATCGTTGTACGGATACATGTTAAGAGCAAGGGCGTCTTTCCTCGTCCTAATTAGGGCTTCGCACAGGAGAATTAAATGATGCGCTATGTCCTCGCACTCGGTAAACGCCGCCGGAAAGTCAACAGAGCGAAAAATAGGGATACCAGAGGCGTCGGTATCCCTGTGGAAGAGCTGCAGAATTGAGGGCTCGCGTCTTCTTAAACAGTCCGAGAGGCTGGATAAAAATGGTAAGCACGTGGCGGAATCAATTGACTTAAGGACAGCTGTTATATCCAGAAGGTCGCCCTTGTCGTGAAGATTGCGGACAGCGCGTGGAAAGACAAAGTTTCTGGTGAATGTCTCGTACTGCTGCGCAAACTTGGCGGGTGCCTCATCACACAGGGCGATAGCCTGAGTATTGAGGCGTATGTACTCCCGTATTCTCTGAAAGAGGGCGTCCTGAGTACTGAGAACCCAGTTATCTATGAGCGTCAGTTGGCTTATAAGTTTCTGATAGCACTGTGAAATCGATTGTGACCGATTTTCCATGGATTTAAATGTCTTCATGAGCATAAGTGACCCTTGCGTGCGATAGTATAAGAGCTTCTCATTCAGAAGAGCAGCTCTCCTGCCATCAATTATCATATTTCCCAGGCAGACAGAGACATCGTTAAACCATGCATAGTAATCGCGCCATTTAGGATAGAATGTGGCAAAGTTCTTGAAAATAAAGTAGACCGCGCCAAGAGAAGCTGCCGAATCGAAATGCGTGTTCATTAAGTTCTTTGTAATATATTCTATACATGTTACACCACATTCGTGTATTAGTCTGCAATAGTCGTCAAGTCGATTTAGATAGAGTACATAGAGCTCATGAGCCTGTCGGGCGACCGTTGCCAAATAATTGCTGTAATCAATCTTAATGGTACCGTAGAAACAAACCGGAGGCAAAGCAGTCACGGCATAATAGCTTTCAGACAAGCCGTAGATGTTGCTTAGAATACGTGTGATGATAGAGGATGTATTGGTAATATCGATAATATGTTTAGACAGAAGCTCTGGCGGCTTGTCGCCTGGGATATAGAATTGGCAAAGAGCAGTCACAACTGCAGGCTGCCGCAGGTATCCAGTGAAGAGTAGAAGTTCGTCAAAGATAAGATTTCGTGCATGGCAGGCCCCAGTACGGTTCGCTGCGACAGATTTACGAAGCTCTTCCTCGTATTTCCGTGATGAGTGCTCGGCAGGCTCTGTTGTAAATAGGAACTTATCCATCATGTCACCCTGTAGGTAGGAAGCAATGGGGTGGTGTATAGGTAGAAAGTAATCTCTACAAGAGGTTTCGTCGAGGTAAAAGTGTGAGGAATCAATGGAGGGATGAGAGACAGCACCCGTTTCCGAAACGACGACCTCAGCAGAAGCAACCATATCTTCTATTGGTATTTTTCTACTCTCGACGTCGTCCTTGACATCTGTGGACAGCCCTAGTTCTTTGGCCAGCCTACCATTGATCTGTTTGGTATGATTCTTCCTTAGAGCCTTGAGCTTAGATCTGAATAGTGAATAGAGAGACAGCATGGTTTTAGAACCTGTGTAGACTTCGCGCGGAAAGAGATAGGCTTCATTAAATAGATCCCGTAGTGCCAAAAGATTGGCGTGATAGAATGTCGAGAAGTCGTTCTGTAGTGATTTTAAGTAGATAGACATGTTTGTGAGGGCTAGCTTTGCTACGCTCATCAGCTTGAGGCCACTAGCTGGCGGATCGTTGCGCAATCGACTGGTTACACGAGATAGCTGCCGCTTTCGTTTTGTAATTGCATGAGGGATTTTTAGATCAGCAGTTTCAAAAGGATCTATAGCAGAAGCATTTTGTGCATGGACAGGAGCCTTTTTGGGGTTCTTTGAAGCGCATGGGGGCTGAGAGGAATGCAGCTGATAGCTCTGTGTGCAAGAAGTTATGTCCAAATCAAAAAACATTTTGATGTATTCAGAATAGACTGATTCTCGCTTGAAGATATTCCAGTTTTCGATTACAAAGGAGTCTACCACATCTTTTGCCACATCGAGATAGGAGTTTGCAGACATATCTTTCGTGTCGGGACTCACCAGCGGTCTCAGCAGTGTCGTGTTCATGCCAATAACACTTCGTGAGACAAGCTGATCGTTATCAAGTGCAGGCTCGTTATCATATAGGTACGTTGGTCCCTGGATTGCTTCTGACACTGCATGTTCCCTGCCACCCCTTACATGAGGCCGCTTGACACCCATTCCAGCTGAGTCTGCTATGAGGTCAACAATGTCTACCTGCGCATTGACCCGGCGATTGAGGAGGACGTTCACGAGGGTCGGTGTGGCCGAGTAAAAGTCCACCAAATCAAAGATAAAGCAGAGTAAACCGGAATAAATAGAGTCCGAAGATGGATCGAAAGCGATATTACTGATGAGCCCATAGCTGTTCGTTTCAAAGATAACATGTATTACCAGCGTTGAAAGCACGTTAAGAATATGCTCTATTGACTCCTTGGCCGTGTCCAAAGAGTTTTGCGCCATATCTGCTTGAAAGTAGTTTAGATCCAAATCTAAGCTTTCGAAGATTGGCCGGGTGTAAGGAGTGGTGAATAGTATGCTAGACACCTGCTGGTATTTCTGCTTTATATTAGCAAACTTCTCCTGCAGTTGTAGAAAAAAGTTGGCGATCTCTGGGGTAAATAACTTAGTAAGCACCAATGGCCCACTTTGAAGTGAGGAAGATAAATTGCATCCACGCATTGCGGAAACGTGTGAGAGTAGGAGGTTGTCTGCGTCCACATTCATCCCACTTACCAGTACTGAAGAAGGCGCCGAGTCTGAATCCAGTTCTACTGATTCAGGCATCTGCAAAAATGATGCCGTGCGCTCAGTGCAAAGATCTGTGGCACGGAGAGTGCTTTCGTCGATTCCTGACCCTGTGGAGCCCTTCATGTTCTTTGTAAGAGCATCAAGGGTGGTCGCGTCTGCACTACAATGTTCGTGGTGCTGTTGTATTGATGCCACCTCTTCTGACATTGCACTTGTACCGCTATGAAGAGCATATCTATCACATTTCTCTGGTACATCAATACTGTGCAACAAGCTATGAATTAGCCCTAACCACAGTGGAAAAACTGTATCCTCGAAAACCTTGTTGAAAAGTCTATATATGTATACCTCTATTTGCTTTTCCAGTTCTACATATCCGTGTTTCAGGGAACTCTGCGCCTGGATAGCCAATTTCTCAATGGTCTCATCGGGCAGCTTTTGCCGCTTGCTGTTAATCTTTTCCATCTTAATCATCTTCTCAAGACTTCTTTGCATTTTCTGGTCATAATTACTTAGCAGCGTCTCTTGAATGTATGGAATTAGGATCTCAAAGAGGAGAATGAAGGAGTTTGTTAGATAAAAGTCTAGTTTCTGCATGAAATTGATGCCCTTTTCAATTCTGATGAAGAGCGAGCGCGCCGGTGTATCGTTGATGATGTTAGTTAGTGGAACCGAATGTCCGTGGGCCGTGTTGTTTGCTGCCATCTGCACCTCGGGAAAAAACCGGTAGCCAAGTCTTTTCTTGAGAGAGTATCCGTCGAACATCACTACCTTTTGATCAGGATCAAGGGAGACGCCATTTTCCGTTACTAGTCGCTTTTCCCTTTGTTCAGAGTCTTCTGTGAAAACAATGGACCCTAAAATATCCGGCGAGACCTTTGGGTAAAACGGAATCCCAGTCACCAAAAGGAGATCCGGCGTAAGCGTCAGATATCCGATATAGTCTTCGATGGTAGCTGTAAGTTGTCGGAAAAGTAGAAACATCGCTCGATCTGCACTCAGGTACGAGATATTAGATAGTGCAGCTATTCCCCGCTCCATCATCAAGCGACGATCAGCAGCCGTTTGTGCCATGTAGTTGACTATAGAAGTGTTTTGAGCAGTGAGGTAATATTTGGATGTGTTCCATAAAAAGCTAGCAAGATATGTGTGACACCAGTGAATAGGGGAAGAGGTATTGATAGAGGCCTCTTGAATAAGCTGGATTTGAAGATCAGTCGTCTGTGCATTGGCCAGGTAGTCCATGACTGCATCTGCCATTGTCTGCTGGAAGTTGAAAGCAGGGGGATCTAGTGACTCCAGATGAAGGGTTAGCTTGCTCGTTCTGATGTGGTTTAAGATAGGTTGAGCAGATTTGATTCCGATGGAGCACAACTCGACAGCAGAGCTGGTAGTCAGATTCTTAGTTTGAAAGGTGAGGCAGAGCTTTTTGTAAAGCAGCTCTTTTTCGTGTGCAAGATTCTGAAGTGCCTGGAGGCGATCGGCGTTGCATTTGAAGCGCACCTTATCCAATCTTATTTGTGCCTCGCGGTAATCCGTAACGCAGTCTATCGTATATGATGCACGGCTTGTGTGGGGCAATCGTAGCTCCAGTAGTGCTGCTATGATGGAAGTGGTAAATATACTTAAATACTGGTGGTTTTGGACCTTGCGGTGAAGAATTTCCGAAGACAGATAGCGAACAGCCATTGCAAAGCGGTCTTTGAGAGTGAAGTGATCTATACACTCCAGGAACACATTGATAAGCTCTGTGTGCGTTGTTATCCCCAGAAGAGACACTAAGTCAATGGTTCTGGTAGGCTTGTTCCTTGAGGGTGTCAGCGGGAGCTGCTGTATGGGGGTATATGTACAGAGTGTGTCTTGCTCCTTTGGTGCAGCCAATGGCTTAAGTGTGATTTCAAACTGATCGGTCTTGCTAGTCGTTGTGTCGTTGGAAAGGAATATATCTGGTGGGCCTTTAGCATCGGTGAGAACAATGTTCGCCGTAAGAGATGACTCCTTGGGGTCATTGTTTACCTCTGGACTAGCGCTATTCAGCACCTGCTCAAGGAAATCTGTACACTCAAAAGTAGTGTTAGCGTTGTTTGGCTGCTCAGTGGCCTCATACAACTCTACGCAATCAAATGGAGCACCAGTATGATTTGCATGTCCCCTGTACATATTTGAAGGGACTGCATCGGGATCAGATTGAGCGTCCGTGATATTCAGTCGACAGGAGGAGGGGCGCTTCCCAAATAGTGACGTGTTATACGCTGGTGTGATTTCATTAATAAGATCACTGAGCATATCTGCCATGACGGAAAGGTTAGCACAGCCGGGCTCCTCAAGCTCTGGTGCGGGTTGAATATCACTTCTTACTGTGCATTCCGATGCGCTCATACTGCTAGGTGGCTCCAGAGAGATGCAGGGCATACAGGGAGATACCGTTACATGAACATAGGGTTGTGTGATTACGTGGGTAAAAGATGAGTTATCAAAAGATTCATCAAACAGATTGATCTGCTGAGAGTCTGTTGCTTCTGCTATATCATCTAAGGTAATGGGCACTGACTGGTAATGTGAGTCAGAACTAGCGGTGTGAGGAGCTGGTCTGGATTTTTTTCTTGGAGGAAGAACAACCGCTGGCTTATCAGCAAGTGTACTGAATGAGGCCATGTGTGCGGAGTCTGCAACTGTGCCCTTGTCTCTCTGTTCAGAGGGAGGTGAGAAAGGAGCGTGTGCTAAACTCTGTGCCTCAGGAACTGTGGGTATTGCATTAGTGATTGCAGCCATTGAGTTGGTGTTCTGCGAACTGTAGTTTGGCAACATAGGAAGAGTAACATCAGAGGCCTGTGTGATCGTAATTTGCTTTAATATTAGGTTCTTCAATGTTACTATCTTCTTATGGTTGATAGCAGGAAAGTACACTTCAAACTTATCACCCATTTTTGCAATTACCTCACATTCATACCAATTTTGGGTCTGGTTTGCTTCATAAATCCTACTGAGTCCGAGCCCGTGCAGGATCTGAACCGAGTTCTCTATGAGTTGTTCTAAAAGGAAGTCTGCTGCTTGCGCCTTTTCTAGTCGGGGAGCCGCATCTGTTGGCCGCAACACAGACATGACGCTGCCCACACGTCGGATTCCGTCCTCGGTTGTCGGAGGATGAACCGCCTTGCTGTATGCTGTATCTGGGAGGCTGCTTGTGATGGGTGGTGGCTGATTGCTGTAGAACTCTGCATTTTGACTGGGAAACTCGGCTGCTTTATAGTAAATATTGTCTGAGGGCGCTAGAGAGCGGGGATCTATGCCAAGTGCCTTACTTCTGGCAAACTTTGGGCTCATGGTAAACATCCTTGGCGAGCCTATGACCGCCTCTGATGGCGGGGAGATGGGTTCTTTCTTTTCTTCGTTCGGACGAAGAAAAGCATCAATACTGGAAAGGACTTTCGGTGGATTTTGCGCCTTAAATATACTTTTGTATCCACTGAGACGGGCTTCCGATGCAAGGTATGACGGTTGAGGGGAGTGGCTGCGAAACTGAGAGATGCTTGACTTCGCACGCTTCTCATCACATGAGATGCGGTGCCCTGTTTGTCGAGAGATAGCGCGCAGGGCTGCAGGAATGGTAAGGTCTCTACGGGCCAGAGGAGGCATGGTAGAGTAGAAATACTCAGAGAAAAATAAAAAGCAAACCCATCCTCATCTCTACAAACAGTTTTGCCCATAATGGGGCCGGGAACACTGCAACTCGCTCTTCTTTCCATGATACTAGCGTCCCATAGCACTGAAGGAGTCTATAATATAAAGGACATGGAACCAATCTCTCTAGACATAGACTCCACAGCCACTATAAGGTATACATATACGCCAGTTCATAATAGTTCGCCTCTCCTATGCGTCAACCTTACTTCCTATGCAAAGACGTCGACTGTGAGCGTATCTGTAGGGAGGATACCGCTTTTGTTAACGACGGGAAGCAACATGACTGCCATTCCGTTGGAAACAGTAGCCTCCTTGATTCAGCTATCTGAAAGCTCTACACCATCTGTCATCGATTTCACAGTCCAGGCTACCATGCCTACGACCATAAACTTCACAGCCGGGCTCTTTAGGCAGTTGATATATGGAAAAAGTATAACTATTGCTGGCAATGCACGTGCAAGCGAGCGTGTTCTCGCCTTAGCAAACGATGGACTCCATGACATCCTCCTCACATTCTCTGATGGCGATAAAACACCTGCGAACGCTCCTCCTACTTGCTTCATCGATCTTCATTCTCAACCGTTCGCTACAAAAAGAGAGTCGCTGGCCAACCCTACCACCCTACTCATTCGCTCTGTTGGTAACACGTATCAGTACGTTGCTGCTACCAACGACCAAGAGGACCACTTAACGCTCCCAAAGCGCCTCTTTATGGAGTCAAGCTTCTACTACCTTACTGTCAATCTCCACGACGAACTCTCCTCTTTGACAATATCGTATGTTGAGCGCTACCAGCGCTTTACTCCTGACTTGCAGATAGACTATTATAATGTACCCATACACTATACCGTTGACATATCTGACTATCGAGCAGGAACACAAATACTAATAGGCTCGACCTGTCTCGACGCCGAGCGCATTCCTTATTCCTCCATCAGGATCTGTCTTAGATATAATATCCTTAGTGTAGCCTGCTCCCTAATACTGCAGAACACTCTTCGGTACGCGTGGATGACCGTACAGGAGGTAACTCCGCCAGGATACCTTTCCTCTATCTATGTCTCCGACTTATCCTCGTTTGCCGGGTACCAGGCCTCAACGTCAGCAGAGATATATAATTTAAAGAGTGCCGGGAGCTGCAAGATATTCCTTACTAACGTTAACTTCATAACCGGCGCCACAGAGACACTATCCTTCGTGAATAAAAATAATCGCAACAAGGCAACCCTTCTCATCATAGAGAATCCTGGCTGGATAGATGATGAGCTCGTTGTTGTTATCACGCTCCGCCCGTTCTACGAAGTCTCTATTCCCAACTTTCACCCGTATGTGCAGTTCTTCTTAAGTACTACGCTTGTCTATCCGAACGAAACTCATAACTCTCTTGCTTACGTTATGAACTTCCCCCACCTTAGTGGAGTTAACTATGCAGGGAGCTCTGTCATACCAACCTATCTCGAGGCAATAACAAATAAATCTGCTGTCCTCCGGATTCGCCCAGAAGACTTCTCAGTACAGCCAGATACCGGCTCAATCTATATAAAGCTTGAACATTCTGTTGATTTGGATCTCCTGATTCTAAACGCGGCCAAGCCAGCTCCGTTGAGACCAGGATTGCTCTATGGAACAGAGAGCAATCCACTATCGGCCTTGAACCTATATTACATAGACTCTGGCCACACTACGGGAGTCAGCACTCTCAGTGGGTACATCTATTTTGATGTTTGTAATACGTCTCTGTTCCTTTCAAATCAAAGCAACAAAAAACCAATTAAGCTCCGCCTGACCGACAACATGGATCATTCGGGAATCAATTTCCTGGACATGCTTGTTCCTATCACAGAGGCAATGGTGTATGCCCCTGTGTACTCGTCATACGCTACATTTGTTAGGATCCTTGATACAGAATATGTCTCTCCCTCAGCAATCTCTTATAAAATTGGGTATTTAACAAGGTTTGCGGGGATCATCATTGGCGATTCGCGAGTTAGAATCCATACGGGACTTATGTCTGACATAATTGAGGTGGATAGCGCCAAGGCACCGGCACAAAGGTACACCGCTTACACCGGAGAGGCCGGCATTCATATTGCATACGCCGTTTACTTGGTCCCGTGTGCATCCGTGGCTGAGGTTAGACAGGCCTATCCGATGGTCCCTATTTCCAGATGTGGGCTAGAGGGGGCACTAGAGCATACACCTAGTGTACAAGATATGGATACATCTAATGTTGTTTATAGAGTAAGCGAGTGGGTCGTTGCACCCGCTGCAGACAATACTGAAATATATACTCCTGAGTTTATCGAGCAAGCAAATAACACCTGGTCCATGCTTCGCATTCCCGTTGACCTTCCTTCGTACAAGCACGAGCCTTACTACTTAGTGGTTGTGGCAGCTGTCGATACCGCTGCAAGCAATCTTACCAACCAGCCGATAGTAGACCCTATCTGGGGGCACACCATCGATAGGACTACCATTCAGTTTTACGAGACTCGGTATCTTTCCTCTTCTTTCAGTGGAGAGGAGTTCATAAGCTTTGTTGGTTATCATTCTAAGATGTCTATAGCCCTTATTGTCGTGTTCTGGTCCGTTGCGACACTCATCCTGCTCCTCTTCATCACGGTCCTCTCTCTGTTCTTGAAATATAGATATAAATATACACTGGCAAGCAAGCGAGCAAAGGCTGTTCAGTTGGTTAATAGAGAACTAAGCATAGAGTACGGCCCCTCTCGGTTAGGCAGCTCAGATCTGAAACAAAAAACCCGCAGAGGACAAGCAGGAAATGGGCAGATTGATCAGGCATACAGCTCTATGGACAACATGAGCTCCCACTCCTTGCCGCTACTCCAGTCCTACTCACCCTCACAGTCAGGTGGACGGCATGTAGCAATCCCAGACTTCTCGCATCCGTTCTCGAAAGACCTCTCATCGCAGGATAGCATCTTGGACCGCCAGGACAGGGCAAAAAGAAACAGAAGGCAGTAAACACCCGCTAGGCAATTCACTAGCGAAAGGAAACCCCGCAGTAAAGGCGCTCACTCCCTTAGGCGCCAGAGGGTACAGAGGATCGGAGCCATGCGCTTATCAAAGCACCTTTCGACGTCGGCTTTCATACTCCCGTAGGTCTTGTAGGCATACTTTGCAGCCAAGCACTTGTCGACCATCATGCCCGTGATCCTCCTCATGCGCTTCTCGTCGCCCTTATCGTTGCAGGCGCAGTTGACCAGGTAGGCGGCAAGCTTGTGCATGCCAAGAAGAGCAAAGTGGGCGCAGTACAGGGAGTAGTAGTCAGTCCCCGTATAGATGGTGGCGAAGGCCTGGTCGATGCCCTTTCCTGTAAGGCTCTTGAAGCTGGTGTTGATGGACTTGTATTCTTCGGGAGGCACCCCAGCCATGAAGCTGGAAATGTAGTCGTGGTCGCTCTCACTGAACGCCTTGTTCAGTTTCTCTGCTTCCTCGTCAGGGCTGCCTTCACGGCTAGTGCGCTCGTGAGCCATCCACTTCTCCATGAAAAGACACCAATTCTCCTTGCGGCCGACATCCTTCATGAAGTCCTCGACGAGGGGCTTCTTGAACATCCTCGTGTAGGCGGCGACGGTCTCGTGCCAGTCTTCGGGGGTGCACAGAATGACTGTGTCGAAGAAGGCCATGTGGTCGTTCTTGCCGGAAAGCGCGTCGCGGATGTGCTGGGCGCGGACCTCGTGACGATCGCTGAAGAGATCCATCAGGAGGCTCTCCTCGGAGCCGCCCTTGAGCGCCTTCTTGATGTCGTCGGGGAGCTCCTTGCCGTATTGGTCCCTGTACCCCTGCGCAATCCTCTGACGCGCATCTGCAGAGTATTCCGACGCTATGAACGCGATCTGGGCCTCGTCCTTGGCATCGATGGCCTGCTTCATGTCAGCGACGATCTGGGATAGCTTCGGCATTTTCTAAATGTAAGCGCTCAGAAAATATATTTTAAGGTAATTTGAATTTCCATCATGAGTTCGCTTATCCTATGCATCTGTGACGCGCCATAGCGTGCGCAAAATAGGGGCCATTCGCTCGTCAAAGCAGCGAGACAGGTCTGCCCCCATGTCTCCATAGAGTTTATACGCATACTTTGCCGCCAAGCACTGATCAACCATGAGGGTTGTTATTCTGCAGATACTTCGCTCGTTTCCGTTCTTGGGTCTGCATGCTTTGTTGATGAGTTGGGCCGCCAAGACGGGAAGCCCGTGGAGCGCAAAGTGGGCAGCAGCATATGCCTCCAGATCGTCTTCGTTCTCCTTTAGCGGCCTCACAAGAGCCTGATCAATGCTTAAATTATATTCTTCGCAAAACTTGTCTGCTATCTGAGTGTACTCATCAGGGGTTGTGCTGGCAAAGAATTGCGCTAACGCATTTCCGTCCGTCACGGGTGCGTCTATGAGCTCCTTCAAATACTTGACATCGTTTTCAACCGACCCCCTATCTTCACGTTTGTGTTCCATCCAACCTGCCACAAGCTTTGCCCAATGACTTTTGCTTCCAATCGCCTTTGTGACGGCGTCCTGCATGATCTTCTGATACTTTTGGTTATAAACAGACGCGGTCTCGTGCCAATCTTCAGGATTGCAGAGAAACACCAGTTCGCGAATCGCCTCTTCGTCGCTGGAACCGCCTAGGGCTTTATTTATCAGCTCTGCGCGATGCTCATGTCTACTGACCCACATATTCACCAGTAAATCCTCGGCAGTTCCTCCTTTCAGGGACTTTTTGATGGCTTCAGTGATCGGGGTTTTGTAGGTTGCTTCATAGCTCTGCGCGATTTTAAGACGACTCGGCGACGAATATTCAGAGGCAATGAAGGCAATTCGAAGCTCGTCTTTTTTGTCGATAGCCCCCTTGAGATCCGAGCATATCTGAGCAACAGTGGACGTCATTATTTTTTCCTGCCCCTGAGACCTCTACCAACTGATGCGAAGGGTTCGAAGGTTTACAGGGCTTCATACGAGCCCAGGTAAACCGTAGATGGGCTCCTAGAGAACCTGGGCCAGAAAACAAAAAGAGGGAGCCGGCCACTGTTTCTCCTTTGGCTCACACAACTGGAGATCGTTTACTCGAAAGCGTAATAGCCGCCTTTACATAACACGCCAGAGGATTTTAATCAGGGGAGCGAGACGCTTATCTAGGGCCTTAGCGAATGCAGAACCAATGTCGTAGCCAGCCTCGGATGCTGCATACTTCACCGCAAGGCAGGTGTCGAAAGTAAGGGCCGTGATGCGTATGATGCGCGCCTCATCGGGCTTTTTGCCGTCGAGCGCCTGCTTAAGCAAGTGGAAGGCTAGACGCGCCGGGTGGAGGAGCTCGTAGTGCGCGGCTAGAAGCACTGCCAAGTCTTGCTTAGACCAGACCGCAGAGAGGGCCTGGTCTATGGTTTTGCCCAAGGTTACCTCAGCTCTCCTGACTATGTTTGCGTACTCGCTGACCGATGTGGTTCCTAGCATCTCTGCAATGGTGTCGTAGTCCTTCTTGCCGATGGCTGTGACCAGGCGCTTCTCATCTCCATCGATGTCGAAGCGGTCAGACCTCTTGTGGAGGATCCAGTGCTTGAAAACCTTTGTCCACTGCTCCTTTGTCCCTATGTCTGAAAGAAGGTCGTCGTTGAGAACCCTTTTGTAATCTGTTGTATACTCCGTGCATGTATTGTACCAATCCTCAGAACTGCAGTGGATAACAAGGTCAATAAGGGCAGCTTCGTCGTTCTTCCCCGAAAGCGCGTTGCGGATAAGTTTGGCACGCACATCTCCGGGCTTATCCCAAAGATAGGCGAGCAAGTTCTCGGTGGGGCCGTTCTTGAGGGCCTTACGAATAGCGTCGGCAGCAGTGGTACCTGTTGCGCTCAGATACGCCCTCAGAACCTTCTCTCGTTCTTTACCGCTGTATGCGCTAGCCAGTCCTGCTATCATCTGCTCATTGGAACTTTCGACAGCCTGCCTCAGCTGCTCTGCAAGATCTTGGACCGTGGTGACCATTTGCGGTTTTATTTTTTGGATGCCTGCCAAATTATCCAAAGTATTATGACCGTGTTTCAAACTGCAAGTAGACCATGCCTTTACTCATGAGATGCGCAAACTCTAGACTACTCCACGCGCCAAAAGACTAGCAGATGCTTTGCTAGCTTAGGCTCGAAGCATTTCCGAATATCCATTGCGAGGGACCCATACGCCCTGTAGGCGTACTTGCACTTCAGGCAATGGTCGTACATCATGGAGGTGAAGCGACAAATCCGTGCGTAGTTGCCTTTGCGCTCAGCGCAACACTGAGAGCAGATATACGCAGCCGCCTGGCCCGGGTCGCAAAGCCAGTGGTGTGCTAGAATTAAGGCCGTCTGGTCCACCTTCACGTACCGGGATGCAATCGCCTGGTCAATAGGCATCCCAGTGGTCTCTTCGTATGCAGCGGCAATCCGCATCCATTCATCTGGGACACTTGTCGCAAGCATACTTCCGAGGACTTCGTAGTTGTCACTGTCTAGCGCCATTCGAAACGCCTCCGCATCACTCTTTATTGACTTGCGATACTTTCTATCATGCTTGACCCAGCCAGAAACAAGACTCTGCCAAGGAGTACCCACCCCTATCACTTCGTCTATTTCTCTAACAAGTTCGCGTCCATAGAGCTTTGTGTAACAGACCTTCGTGCCGTACCAGTCGTCAGGCATGCAAGCTATAACCAGATCCAGTAGTGTTATCACATCTATCTTCCCTTTAATAGACTCGTGAATCAATTTCGCCCGGAGCTCAAAGCGTGAAGTCCACGCGTGCACAATCATTGTTTCATAGAAGCCTGTCTTAAACGCTTTGCGGATGGCTTCCGAGGGAGGGATGCCATAGTTTGCGTGATAGGCTGGAATGATCTTATCGCGCTGCTCAGATCCATACGACGCAGTAATCTTGGTTATCTTGTCCTCGTCTCCAGCATCTATTGCTTTGTGAAGATCCGCGGACACTGTGGATACCGTGGCAGACATTATTTTTTAGGCGGAAGTTCTTCCAGACCCGCAGCCAGCACAGCAAACGGCCCCACCTCAGCGACTGTCCGCTCCTGATCATCACTGCTAACAAACAGGTTTCCTGTGTAGCTTATGCTGTTACACCCTATTTCAAAGGGCTTTTCAGTTTCGCGCACACCTATGAAGATGAACTCCTCAGCAATGAGCAATGAAAAATCGCGGCGATAAACCTGTACCATGCACTCATCACTAGCATCTTCAGGCGCACTGGCCGAGGGCCTGTCGAAGCCTAGGCCGAGTTCGTGCTTGTTGACGGTGATAAGATCACCAGCATTGCAATATTCTAGGAGCTTGGTGTAATGCGCATATAGCTTCGCTGGTGATGGAGGTCTTTTGAAGCGAATCACCCCGTGGTTCCGCCCAGCAAACACGGAAAGTTGAGCTGGTTCATCACATCTATCTGGGTCTGAAAGCTCACGTTCTACAAGGGCCCTCAGTGGAAAGACATTCCACTCATTCTTGGAGAGGAAAGGAAGCCCTATCAATTGGATGTGTTTGCGGGGCTGACTGGCCCCTGATAGCTTGCCGGCATTGTACGCAGCCAAAATTCCGCGCCCTAGAAGAGGCTGCACTACTTCCATGTCACTCAGCACCAGAGGCTGTAGTTGATGGACGAATTCTGCAGCGCAGAGGAGTAGATGTACATCCATAATGTTGAATCTGTTCCTGATGAGTATAAGGCCATTGTGTGGCGCCATCACAAGCTGGTCAGCTGGGTCTGGCGATCCCAGTGCATCTGGTGTCTGAGACTTGAGACTCTTAACCTTCGACTCTAAGGCCTCTCTGCGCCGCAGGACAACCGTGGTCAGCCCCTGAGCCCGGTCCTGTAGGATAACGTTATCGGTCTGCACCCCCCTCGCTCCCGGGTTCTCGCGCAGGCTTGCTATTGCCGCCAGAAGCGAGTCCATAACGACTATTTACTCTTGAAGAATTTATAATCTAACCTATACATGCATATGATCGTAGCTCGAACCAGAAGAATAGTCTCCTTGGGCCACGCTAGAAGCCAATAGAACCTGATTGCTATCACTTTTATTGGCTATCTCGTCGAAAAACGAGTGACCAGAACAAGACGAATTCATGTCCGGGGCAGTACTCAGGTACAATCCCGAGTTGCCCATGGGGGCGTCTCTCATACCAGGGAGAGGCGCATCGGGAGCGAAATTGTGCGCGTACTCACCCGAGTATGGATAGGGATAGGAGTAGGGATAAACTCTATCCAGTGGAACGCTACAAGCAAAAGGATTTGGCCAGCTTTGGGCCTGGTGGGACTCTATACCGAAAAATGGATGGCGCATGTGGGGTGGAGGAGCCATGTAAGGTGGAACCATCTGGGGCGGGGGAGCCACAGAGGGAAATCGTGGAAAATACGGAGGGGGTTCCATGGCGACCTGGCTAACCGGAGCGGGCCCAGACACCTCGGGGGCGGGCTGCCTGGACGGCCTGGAGGGAGCCGAGCGCATCGGGAGCAGCACCCTCTCGTAGATCAGAGCCTCTCGCACAGTCTTCGACCGCAAAAGGTTATTGTATGTCATTGTGAAGATCTGGAGAGGGTAATCAGCACACAGCTTAGACCGAGCAACCTTCCGAAAGTTAGGCAGAAGGATGCTTCTGTCATAAATTCCTTGTAGAATAATCCCTTGGAGGGCTTGGCGGTCCTCGGGGGTCATGATACCGCGAAACAGCTTACGGACGTGCACCTCGTTATACCATCTATATGCTTCCCGTCCTGTGATACCGATGTCCTTTGATATTGCCTGCCACTTGACCCGAACCTTGCTGACACACTTGTGCAGGTACTCTAGGTTTTCAAGCAGCTCTTCCACTGTAGACGGAAGAAACAGAACCTCTTTTACGTGCGCGGCGACGGCCGACAAGATAGAGAGATGCTTCGGGCTATACGTATTGAGCAGATCCATTTTTTTACAGCTTACTGGACATTTAATTTTCATGTAACTCACCTGTATTATTAGCTTTCTAACATGATCGTGTTGTTCTTTAGTATGTGTCACATGGCTTCTTGCGGAGCGCCTCTGTCCTGCAGAGACAAAGTTGACCGCCCTTTCATCCCATGACCTAGGCGGGACCAAACACTGTTTACAACTCTGTTAGTTTACATTCATTGCCATCTGCAGCGGCCCATATCCTGCGGTTCGCGATAATTGTCCTTGTCAAAATCATTTGTCCAGCTTACAGTAAAATAGCGGGGGCTTACAGTAAGGTTCTATTGAGGGTTGATGGCACCTGGCACCATGCTGTGGCATGTGTACCGCCGTCTTATTTCTTTTGGTAAAAGTGATGGCTCTTTCGAAATTGATTTGCGTTTGACCTGAAATCCAGTTTTCATGGCAAGTTGCACAAATCGGCCGTTTCCGAGGCTACTCTGAGGCAGAGCAGCTGTACGTACGTATTTCCAGCATATAGGAATGGTATCTCGCAGCCCGGGGCTCTACAGCCCAGGATCTTTCGGTTGGCGTCCACCCATGGCCCCAAGCGGACTTGAGAAGGGGCTGTCACCTATCACAATAGCTCCAGACAGTGCACAGATTGCCCAGCTGAGTGTGCGCGGCACAGTTATGAGCAGGCGTGCAGGTTCCAGGTACAAGTGAGTGACGACACGACTCCAAGTAGCTCGCTTTTTATTATAATTGTGGTGGAGGAGTGTTTACATGTCCTTCTTTGAAAATTAGCACATACTGCACCCCCTTTGATGCACTGCTACATGGCGTGGGGCTTGTGTGGCTCGGCGTCTTCCACAAGGATGCGACTGCCCACTTCTCACTACAGCTCCACGATTCTATGCTTTTGTTTCACTGCATTGCAGCTCTAAACGCTTAGCAATGCTTATTTCGCTCTGCACTTGTTCCCTGGCTGCACGCTTTTATTCTGTGCCACGCCTACGAGACGCGACGGATCTGTTTTATCTTTTGGAGTACTACACGCTGTTTCTCTACGCTTTCGGCGATATATGGGGCTCTTTTGCCGGACATTCCCATGAATTGCCGTTCAGCTAGGGGGTACGTGGCTCGATGACTATGGAACAAGTTTTTGGAGGCAACTTGCCTTCCTTGTGCGCCACATCTTATAGAGGCGAGTTTCTTATGGCAGACAAAGCAAGGGTTACTGCTATATGCATCGTTTTGGCCGAGGAAGGGCTATCTCACTCGATCGGTAGCAGACTTTGTGTCATCAGACCAGAATTGACTAACATGTCCCTAGCACTGAATGCCTGCTTCACGGTCTCTTCAATTGATGCATTGTTTCCACTCAAAGATCAGTTGTCTCGCCCCTGCTTTGCTTTCTGGAGCAGCGTTCTCTGATGGCCATAGAATGGATTTCCTTCAAGATTGCTTGCTTACGACTCTACGTGGGTGCATATGCTAGCACCGGTTTCATCCTATCACGGGCTAGTAAATTTTAATTTATGCGAGACCAATCTAGTACATATCAAAAGTTACAGTAGGATTGACAGTTATTACACGATCGTAGTGTTCTTACAGCAATGTTTGTTGAACAGTCAGACTGCCCATTTGCTGGGGTGTGTTGCCATTGGGAAGGGCTACCTTGGCAGAGGAAGTAGTGTACATGTTAACCATATATTTTAATGGAAATTGCTATTATAACCGTCAGGCGAAGCACTTCTAATGAAAGCCTGTCCTCCTTTCAAGCTCCGGCCGGAGATCCGTGACGACCCCCTGGATATTTACAAGCTAGAGTTCTCTGCTGACGGCGCTGTTCTCGCAGCTGGGTACGGCGATGGGACTGCTCGTCTCTACAACCCGGCCTCCGGGCGGAGACTTCACAAGCTGCAGCACAGCAGCCAGCACCCCATTCCATCTCTCTCGTTCTGCAACGTCACTAGCGCAGGCTCCGTTCCTCTTCTGTTGAGCGTGTCGTCAGTTGGTCAAGTGTGTCATTGGCACGTCTCCCGAGGGTCAATGTTACATACGTTCACCGAGGACAACAATGAGCTATACACCTGTACATTTAGTCCTGATGGAACGTCCTTTCTGACGGCCGGCAAGGACATGGTGATCCGCTGTTACGACGAGAGTACCAACCAGCTCTTGTGCTCCTTGCGACATGGAAATGAGGAGACGACTTCTGGTCATGCGAACCGGATATTTTCAGCCCGTTATAGAGCAGACGATGCCAATATAATCGCATCTGGTGGCTGGGACAACACTATTCAGATCTGGGACATCCGCGTTGGCCACTCTGTTTGGTCCTACTATGGCCCCAATGTGTGCGGGGAGTCTCTGGACACCGTGGGGAGCTACTTAGTTGTGGGGTCATGGAAGGGGACAGATCAAATTCATGTCTACGATCTGCGCACTCGTGATACCCTTGCAATCTATGACTGGTCAAAGCACGTTCCTCCTGCTGCTAGTGTAGAGGAGTACCAGGTTGCAATCGACGCTTACCTGGACGACTGCAAAGAGGAAGCAAAGAACAAGCTCCGGGCAGAGCGCATTGCAGCATATACAGATCAAGTTGCTGCACTAGAAGATGAGCAATCGGGCAGCGACAGTGATGCAGATAGGGAGCTAGAGCGAAAAGCTGCAAAGATTGGCATGGAGCTTATGTTAGACACTAGCGGCACTGAAGCGCCGTGGAAGTCCAAACTAGTAGCCAACACCTTAGAGACCACCCTTATCTACTCTGTTAGTGTGTCCAAAAACCCTGCTATCCCTCTGGTATCTGCATGTGGCAGTGGGGCGAACGAGGCAAAGGTGCTGGATTATAAAACAGGTGAAGTCTTAGGGGGTGTGCGCCTTCCAAAGAGCGGGTTTGCCACCGCGATGTCTCCTGACACGCGCTACGTTGCATATGGCGGCGCCGGATATGGCATTTGGATGGCCAACATACCTGACCCAACCGAGGCACCAGAGCCAGCTGCTCCTCTTGCCACTACACAATCGGCAAAGCAAGCCACGAAACCATCCTTAAAGAACACGATCCGCCCTGCTCCTGAAAAACAGCCGGTGGGACGACCAACGCATTCGATGCCAGATAAGCCCAAGGCTGCTGCTGGCTTGGCTAAGCCGGAGCTCCCGAACGGCCAGACTGGAACAGGTGCTAGTGCAAAGAACCTCACCAAAATGACCATCCCCGCAAACAGTCAGACAAGCTCGACGTCTTCTCTTTCCGGAGACAAGGGACTGCGCAGTAAGCCACAGGAGCGCCTTGGAAGCGCAAAGGCTCCTGGCTCGGCTGGTGCCCTGGCCCCACTTTCTGGCTCTCGCGTTAAGCCCCAGGCGCTGGCGCCGATCAAGAAAGACGGGGAGCAAAAGACCTCTGTAAGGAAGCCCACTAAATGATGTAACAGGACCGCCTCGTCCTTTCGGGGCCTTGGCATCCTGTGCAGTCAGTAAACAAGGAGCATCGAGCCACACAGGGGAGTTCACTCTTCTTTCTCAGAGGCAGAGTCGTTGGTATTCTTCCGGAGCGCTCTAAGAATGGCTAGGAAGTCGTACTCTGGGGTGACGTTAAAAACATGAGCGACGTCATCCTCTGTGACCGTTGTCGCGTTACTTCGAATAGCCATCTGGTAGCTTTGATTTGTAACGTCGGCAATAAAAAGCTCAGCAAGTCTGGAGATCAGCAGGGGCGCCTCAGCAGAAAGGAGAGTGATGGTTGGGACAGTTCGGCAAATTGCGCGAACACGCGAAATTGGTAGTCGCCGTACAGCGTCCTTCGAGTGTGTATCCATGAACGCAATAAGGAAATCTGTGTTGTCATACTCCATTAAGGCCAACGAAATAAACCTTAGCTTTTTAAGTAAAATCTTGTACTAACATCTTGCACTAACTTCTACATATACGGCCTTCCGCTTGGATGTGTGGTTCTGGAGTCTTGTTAGATCCTGTTCCTAGCGCTGCAGACAGCAGTACGGGCGCTGGAGACGCGGCAGACTCGTTTCTCTTTAAGATGACATTGGATCCCATCAAGAACATGCAGGCCCTTCTTTCGGACAGCGACTCGGATTTATCCACTGCTCCAGTATCCATGCTTTTGTCAAAATATTCGTGCCTCCGGGGCGCCTCTCAGGCACTTCTTGTCCATAGTGTGGACCTTGAAAAGAAGCTAGCGATTGCCAATGCAGAGATAGACAGATTGAGGGCATGTCTTCAGACACCCCCTCTGTCTTCTTTTTCCGTTCAGCCGTCGTTGACGAGTGTGCAGGCCACCCCGGAGCTTTTCACTATCCATACTAAGAAGATAGCAAGGCCTCGATCATCAGACCGCCACCAGCGTCCTTCTTCGCAGAAGCCAGCAGAGCGTGACTCTAAGCATGTACTCCGGCACAGGCCCTACACCATGTTGGAAGAGATTCAAGAGAGTGTCTCCTCTCGCTCTACCTCCCTCAACTCTGCTTCCAGCAGGAGGGCATCTATCTCTGGTCCTTCGGGGACTAGGGTACCGTCTTGCAAGGGGCGATCAGCGTCTACCTCCTCTCATGCCCTAAATAGCACCGTTGCCGGAATACCCAGTATAGCATCTGTCACAAAGGGGCCCTATCCCGCCCACGCAAGTGTACTAACCAATCTCTACAGACGGCAGCATAAGTATCACTTTGTAAAGAGTAGTACAATTGGTAGCAAGCGGCGGGCCAAGGCACTTACTGCATGCAGCCCCCGACGTCTCAGCTTTGTCTCTTCTTCCTCGCCTGCTACGTCCATCAAGCGACGACTTCGCCACACAAAGAACGAAAGCTCCCTTGAGAATCTTCTTTGGGCCATAACTGGAGACAATAAACTCATGAAGCAAGAGATGGCCACTCTGCGAGAGAGGTTCGAAGACGTCACAGCAGCATTGGAAAGCTTCACCCGTGTGTCAACGGATCAACACGAAAGCCAGAGCTCGCCGGTTGTTGTACCCTGCTCGAAATCAATCCCCATTAACCGACTACCAGACCTTTCCGTATCCGCGCCCATCGACACAGCAAACGAATTGCATAGCGGGGAAACAGTGTCTATAGATTGCTCCACGATAAACCCAGTCCTCTCCGCACTACATAAGCCTGCTAGCAAGACATGCTCTTCGACCATCACCGTTAGCGGCCAGCACAGCCTCATTATACCCCCACGCCACGCCAGTAGTAATGGAGACAAAGACAAGTCTTTGACAACTACACTAGGCGGTTCGGTAGATATGCTAATGGAATGCCCCTTAGATCTTCAGGTGCCAGCCAAAAAGCAGAACACAGGAGAACCGGTTGAATCAGCACATTCTTCGCAACCAAGCTATTTGCAGCAAATATATTACGCATCCCACCAGCAGGCGCTTGAGCAGCAGAATAGTGAGCTTCGCGAAAAGAATAAGAAGTTGAAAAGCATGCTCATAGAGCTTAAACGGTCTTTCAATCAAGGAAATATTTCGGCAATTATAGAGGATAACGATGTTTTGGTTGCAAAGGTCAATGACTTGGAGAGAAAGCTCTTTATCTACGAAGCATCCGCAGCCCGGGCCCATCTTGCAACAGAGACAACCGCTCCACATGCTAGTATAGAATGTGCAACACAAACTGATGCATATCTGGGTTATAATGAAAAAACTCCAAGGGCTGTTGCGGCTGCATGTGACCAAAAGGCAATTCAAACTGAAATTCAAACTGAGATCCAGCAATCTGCCGCACAATGTACAGCAGCTGCCAACGTCGACATACAGTCAACCCTTACGGCTCGAGATCTCGACCTTACGATGAGCAAGCTTGTAGCTACAGAAGCGACGCTTGCCAAAGTAGAGGCAGAGCTTGCACAGGAACGTGAGCACTGCTTTGCAATACGGAACCAACTAGTTGACACACGAAATAACGCCCTAGATTACCTGCAGGAGACCACTAGATGTAAAGAGGAGCTGTCCAAGGCTAACGATGAGCTTAAGGAACTTACAAAGGAAAACTTACGTCTCAACAGAGAGCTACTGTCTATGGAAACCGCTCTTGAAGCATTACAAACAGCACCAGCTCCGCCACTGACCGTCTCGTCAGCCACTCAGACGGAACACGACTTCCTGGAAAGAGAGACCGTCGTTAAGGATGACTTGGCACAAGATCTTGCAGCAGAAAACGTGTCTCTGATGGAGCGTCTTCGGCTTTTGAGCGAGGAGCTTCTTGACACCTCGGCAGAAAAGGAGAAGGCAGTTAATGAGGCGGTCGAACTGCAGAAGAAGTATGATACTTTGCATGCCTATGCTTACTCTCAGCATGCAACGTATACGCAGCTAAGCGACGAGCAGCTTTCCACGGTGTCTATGCAACAGAAAATCTTGTCCTTAGAGGAAAAGCAACGAGAGTCAGAGGTAACACTTCAGAAGGCAAACGAAATACAGCAGGCCCACGTGGCCCTTACTCAAGAGGTTTGGAGGATGCGAGCTGAGAATGAAAGGCTTTCAAGAGCCAACACAAAGCTCACAGACGAACTTCGCGACTTCAAACGAAAGACAAGCGAGGCGCTTAAGGAGCATCTCAAGACAACAGTTAGCCTGGAAGAGCATCGTCTCCTTGAGGAGGAAGCAGCATCTCTTAGGGCTGCACTTGAAAAGCTCAAAGATTCATCTGATAAGCAATTCCAGGCTATGTACGCTGAGAAGAAGGATTTAGAAGCCATCATTACACAGCTTCGTACACTTAAGACAGATGATGAAAACGCACTCGTGTGTAATGCGCTGAATCTCGAGAAGCGTCTTCAATGTTTGGAATCGGAGCACAAAGCGAGTCTAGAGGAGAATAAGGCAATAACGACTCGTGCCGAGGTAGCCGAGCTGCGACTCAGGGAGACATTAGAGAGCATGCAGCGAGCTTCTGACGACTGCAGCAGACTGCAAGAAATGTGTACAGAATTACAGAATAGAGGTGCTGATCAAGCCGCTATAATTGCAGGTCAGCAGCAGGAACTTCAAAGCCTCCAGCTGACTCTCCATGACGAAGTGCTAGGCTTGCAGGCCCGTATCAAAGAGCTCGAGGAAGATAACGAGAGACTTGTCATGCTTGCACACCCTCTGAAGACAGATCAGTCTAACAAACAGTTGCAGACCTCGCCGTGTGCCGTTCTTGGTGCTCTCGCACCTCGTGGCACAACATCTAAAGCAGTTGATGACGCTCATGTGAAGCTTGTGCTAGAGAATGCACATCTGCGCCAGGAGCTCTCGAAGTCAGAGCAGCAAATCAAGGCTCTCAAGGATCACTGCAGTGACTCTGATGGTGCCAACATTACCCGTGATCTTGCGCGCTTAAAGCAGATCATTGAGGGCATCCATGTTCCGCCAGAATATAACGGCTCCCCTGGACTGTACGTCACCCGCTTGGAGAGTACATGCAGAGAGCTTACTAACGACCTAGAGAGGCTGCAACAGAGTTACGAGGACATGAAAAACCGCCATCTGCTGACCTGTGCACAGTTGGAGCAGATGCTAGGCCATCCAGAGATCCGAGTTGTCGTCAGGGATGTCAATGGAACTTTTCTAAACGGCGTAGAGCAGCATCGAGAAATAAGCGATGCTTATGAGACAGTTATTAGCCAATTATTCCAAACTATTAGAGACCTTTCGGGCAGAGATTCGAGAATCGTATCGGGGCTCTCTGTTCAGAACTACATCGCTGCAACGACCACGGTAGAGATACTGCAGGCCAATCTGCGCGCAAAGGAACTTGAAGTACACAAGCTCAATCGCATGATCTCAGACCTAAGAAAGGCTAATACCGAAATACTCATGTTAGCGCCCCCCAACGGATGAGATGATTTACAAGGTAGGGTCTAATAATATTTTTCAGATCTAGATGCACCAGAGTGCTCTTTCCTGTGTTTCCTCCTACCACTTCCGGATCTGTGTCTATCGTCTTGAGGCTCCTCATATTGAGCGCTTCTCTGTGTTCGAGTCCTGCTGGAGCTAGATCCGTGATGCCCGCTTCCTCTATCATTGTAATCGTCTAGAACCACAGAATCTCTGTTCCTGTGTGACGAAGACGACCGCTTTCTTCGGCGGCCTTCAGAGCTCCGGCTGCTAGACCTTCTAGCCTTCTCAACAAGCTGCTGTGAGAGGCCTTCATCAAACTCTGACGCACTATTAGAATAGATTGTGGATGTGGTACGCTTGAATGGGTTTAGCGAAGCGCTCATCGAGCTGGTATAGGATCCACGTAATGTTTGCGAGTTGCCAATCGATGCACTGCGTGACCGTGCATGGGAGAGGTTGAGGTACCCAGATGCCACAGCAGGGGAAGGCTGTTCTGAGACGTGACGAGATGTTGATCTTTTGGCAGTATTGCTCGCAGACCGACTCGATGCACGAGAATGAGTTTGCGAGGGAGGTCTACTTGTCTCTCCCTCTCTGTAGTATCGTTGGCTCCTACTCTTGTGTGACTGTTCCGCATAGGGTCTAGTTGACCTCGTGTTGGCAGATTCAGATTTCAACGTTCTACCTGATAGGTCACGGCTTAGCGATCTTCCATTGCTGGCGGTTCTGGACACGATAGAATCCTTGATGTGAGTTAGCTGCTCCTTTAGTATGTTGTTTTCCGTTAGTAGTTTCTTTGAAACTTCCAAAGCCTTGTTCCGCTCCTTTTCCAGAGAAAATATTATCTCCTTCTGCTTTTTAAGCTCTGTCCGAAGCTTCTGGGTATCTGTCCCACTCATGCTGACTATCCCTTCGTTCAGACTGCTTTCCTCCATCATCCGTCTTGCTTGCTCCTTCGTATGCCGATATGCAAATAAGAGCCATTCCTCGAGGTTTGTGCTCGGTGGTCCGGACTTGTTGAGCGGAAGAGGGTAGAAGGTGCGCTCAAACTCTACTGCGTATGCCACGATGAGGAAGCAACGCGACTTGTTGGCAGCCGATTGGATCGTTGCATCAACAGAGTCGCTGTGTGCCCCACCATTCGCATCCCTCATGCGCTCGAGATCCTCCACAAAGAGCAAATCGAGACTTAAGTCCAAAGGAGTTTGACTGTTCGGCCGACGAGAGCTTGTCTTCTCCAAAGCCGAGGTCAGCATACTTGTGAATACGTCATAGCGCCGTTGGTTTCCCGTTTTGCGTGTCATTTCATCTATATATTCAGGCGTGAACGCGTTGAACCAGTGTTCTCCAGTTTCATCATTCTCAAGATGGACAGAGAAATCCCCCGTTTTAAAGCGCAGCCAGACATTGTACACGACACCCTTAATCTTGATACTCCTGTACGCCTGGATGGACGACCCCTTAGTCTTTCCCTGAGCGCCAGAGGACGATCCCATAACACTGGAATTTTAGATTAAAATGTGATAAAAACCCCTGAGCCGGTTCAAAAAGAACAAAAAGCAGGGAACGGCACGCCCTCCTCTGTAGCCAGTCTGACCAGGTCCAGTATAATTAGCTCCACAGCCGGGTCAGAGTCTGGCAGAGCTGTCCTCAGCTAAAAAATTATTGGCTGCCCAAACCAGAGTGTCTCCGGACTAAAGCTTGTCAGTAGTCTATCTTCCACCGGCTAAATGTCTCATCAAACACGAAATAGAACACAGATAGTGCTTCTTGTGTTCCTCATATTGGCCGGTGGCTTCAACATCGGGTCTGTACTGGCCAATGTTCCTCTCACAGTCCTACGTGCATACGCGCAGATTACTGGGGGCTTCGATCCTGACGGGACCGATGCGCGTAACCGGACCATCTTTTCATTTCTTACATCAAGTATCGTCATCGGATCTTTCGCAAGCATCTTCATTACAGCCCCAATCGTCAACAGAATAGGGCGCAAGGCTGCTTGCATGCTTTTTGCTGTGCTAGTGGCCGGCCTTCTCGGGCTGACACTTATCCCCGTGAACTACTTGTATCTCATAATCATGCGATTTCTTGTTGGGGTTCCGTCGACCTCGTTCCTCATCGTTTTTCCAGCGTGGATATCTGAGCTATCTCCTAGCGAAATTCGTGGTCGCCTTACGTCCTGTCTCCAACTAGGAAACTCCTTGGGGACGTTTTTCGTCTATCTGCTTGTCATTATTGTCAAGCATTGGCCATCTACGTGGCAAGTTCCTACTGGCTTCACCATCCTCAGCTGCATCGTTGTGTTCGTACTTGCCATCCCAATCAAGGAGCTTCCTCTGAGCGCATTGCCCGATCACGAGCAACAGCATCCACATCCACATCCGCATCCGCAACAGTCGTCTTTCATAGAAATGAGTCAGACGACTGTCCCAGCGTCATCGTCGTGTACAGACATCAGTGGAGTGTCCCGCGCTACTATTCTGACTGTAGTGGAGAATGGGGCTAGGTCTGCGACCAATCCATCAAGCCAGAGTAGCGATTCTCCAGTCCCTTTAAAAGAGATATTCTGCAACCGTATCTACCGTCGTTGCGTTTTTATCTCTGTGTGCATGCCCCTCATGCAGCAAGGAGTGGGCGTTAATGCCATTCTCTTGTACGCTGGGTCCATTTTCAAACAGCTTAGCTTTCCTGACAGCGACGTTGTCGGCGCGGCCCTTCTTGCTTTGTGGTGCGTGTTAGCTGGTATCATCGCAATCCCTTTAGTAGAGCAGAAAGGGCGCAGATACCTGATCTTTATTGGGATGCCTATCATTCTCTTCTCTCTGATTCTCCTGATGACCTCTTACCTCATAACCAATCAAACAGTTACTACTGTATTACTGCTAGTCTCTATATTTCTCTATTTTCTTGCTTTCAACTTCTCGATAGGTCCCCTTATTTTCACCGTCTGCGGAGAGAGCTTTCCCCAGCGGATCCGGATACGACTCATGAGCTTCACGTTTCTCATCTTTCGCATCATATCCATAGTGGTCATGATTTCATTCCCGTATACCCTCGACATCCTCTACATCACGTTCTTCTTGTATTTTTGCGTGGGTCTTGTTAGCACCGTTCTTTGCTGGTTCTCCCTTCCAGAGCTCAAGCAAAAGACCCCTGAAGAGGTTGAAAAGGCTGTGCTCACAGAGTACGTGTTTGAGCTATTCACGCTCACCGGGAAAACTGTGCGTCGAAAGTCTGACGTACAATCTGTAAATTAATAAGAACTATGAATGCTCAGCTGATTCGGGCTGCTCTAGACGATGTCTCCTGTGAGTATGCGGCTCTGCAGTCGATGGATATCCTTAATCTTCCAGAGCAACAAGTTCTTGCGCGCATAGAGCGCATGCGACAGCAGCTGGAACAGGTAGGACTGCTTATAGCTGACTTCTCTGCAATGTATCCGGCCGAGAGCAGAGCTATTTCGATCTACCAAGTCAGTGCAGACACCCTTCAAAATGACTTGGATGCTCTAAGAGCGAAGTTTGTGGCAGATGTAAAGGCCCAGAACATGGCCATGAAGCACAGTAAGAGACAAGCAAATCTAGAGGATAACGAACGGGTGCGCACAAACGTTGATGTAATATCGCGTCTGGAGAACGTCTATAGAATTCTCTCCCAAGAGGCCACGCGAAGTGAGGACTGTCTGCGGGCGCTCCAGGCGTCGACGGACGTTCTTCGCAGTGTCTCACAGAGCCACGATAGCATTGCCATGGCAACTGTAGAGGGCCGTCGGTGCATTTCGGAGATTGATAAAATCGAGCGAAGAGATAAACGGATTGTCAGGGGCCTCTTTCTGGCATTCTGTGCGACGGCCCTTTTTGTGGTCCGTCACAGACTTAGACGAATCCACCTTTATCCCCCGTTTCTTCCTTAAGTAGGCCCGCAGGAAGCGTTGTGTAAATGCTCTGGCGTGCTCTTAAAAATCAGATTAGAGCAAGAGCCGGTGCCACACATGCCCGACGGCGCAGTGGTGACAGGCTCGGTTAGACACCGAAAAATACAGGCAATTAGAGCCATTAAAGCTATGGATCTTACCGCTTCTAACGCGACCATTGAAGAGTTGGCAAAGAACATCGCCAAGCGCTTTCCAAATCTATGGACAGAGGAGAAGATCGTTCAGCTTATGCTAGATGCTAGGGAAAACAAGCTTCCAGAGACAGAAGAGGTCCCTACAAGCCTTACTAGCACACCCGTGCAGTCAGGACAGCTAGACCAGAAGACGCCACAGGCAAGCCGTAGCTCTCCAAGTAAAATCTTTCACCAAGAGACTGCCCAAAAAGCTCCTTTCACAAAGACAGCTCAGTTACCCGTCTTGGGAGGAGCCTCTGCTGCCAACCCTGTTTATTCGTCAGGGTCCTTCCAAGCAAACCAAACACCACCTCCACCACATCCCGCAGACTCGCATGATAGGCTGTATCGCAATCATATTTCTCTGGGTCTTGAACTGGCTGGTCTTGAGCGTAAGTATCTCATGCTTAGGTACGATGCTAATAGGATGTTCGCCCCGCCACGGGCGCTACAGAAGCAAACGAGTGCTGTGTATTCCGTCGCCCATTATGAGAAGCAGCACGCGCTCAAGCAACTAAAAGAGCGGATTGCAGACTTGGAGGGGCGGCTCAAAGGAAGGCTAAGTCCAAAGGATAGGGCTACATACACGGCTCAGTATAATGCTGCTGCCATAGAGTGCAGGTCCTTGCTGACTGAGTTGGATGTAATCAACCTCCAAGCTGAAGAGGATGGTGTGATCAGGCGCCAGGTTTCGACGTATTGTCTAAGCAACTACTATAACAACGAATCTCTTCCAGTACTCTTTCCGATGAATGCAGACGTGACTGTGCGGAACTACCAGACGGTAAAGCTCCCGCCGGTGGCATCCACTGTTCGTCCCCGATATATATTGATGAAGAAATTGGGGTCTGGCGGGTTTTCCACCGTTTATAAGGCAATGGATTTGAGCACAGCACAGATTGTTGCACTGAAGATATCCCGTAAAGAGACTTCACTGGAAGGAGATGAACACATAGCAGAGACCAAGCGGTGGCTGTTCCTTAACAGAGAAGCGGCAATATATCATCACTTGAAGCATCCTAACATCGTCCAGCTGAATTCTGACCCGATCTTTGTGAATTCAACCACTGGGCGCATCGTTCTCAATCCGGCTTACGAACCATACAATGAAATTGCACTTTCCATGGAGCTGTGCGAAGGTGGTGATCTGCATGATTTTCTTGCCCTCCTTTGCCGCAGCGACAAGCAGGCACGAACAGAGCATGAGCTCCTAACAATACTACTCCAGATTGCAGAAGCCCTTAAATATTTGCATACATTAGATTCTCCAATCACACATAACGACATTTCATTGCGCAATATTCTCCTCGCAGAGGGGGGTGTCTGGAAACTGAGCGATTTTACCCTTGTGAAGCCGCTGGCGGACAAGAAAGAAGTTCAGATGGTCACCTCTCTAGCAGGGACAAAGCCCTTTACTGCTCCCGAAAAACTTCTGCAGGGGGTTTTCGGCCCAGCAAGCGATATGTACTCCTATGGGGTTGTAGCATTTGCATGCTTTGTCGGGAACATTAATTTATTTCTGGCTCCCAACAACTTCGCAGAGATACCGGGAAGAGGTTCGCTGATGGACAGGGCACGGGCAGATCTGTGTTCAGGGACCTGTTATGTGTGCAATCCGTCTGATAGGGTGGTGGATTTGATCACCAATTTACTTTGTCTGGATATGAACGCGCGGATGACCGCAGAACAAGTCTGCCAGACCCTCAGCGAAATGCTGTCAGGGTATCGGAAAACAAAAATTAAAATTTGATTTTGGTACCGATCTTTGCCGCTTGGCACCTGCCACTGCTGTCGACCATGCGGCTGTCTGATGTAGAGGTTAAGCAGCTCAGCGGCGAATTTTCGCTTTCTAACGTCACGCGGCTCAGCGTGATAGACCGGGACGTTGATGACGCCACCATTTTAGAGCTCTGTACAGCCGTTTTTTATCTAAACCTCTCCAATAATAAGCTTAGATCAGCCCCTTTTGTGAAGAAGATGCCATCCTTGCAGATCCTTATTTTGGACGGGAATCCGATTACCTCGTTGGGTTTTCTAGGAGAACTGACTGATGAAGGGGTATCTGTCTGCACAGCAGAGACCATTTCCCTTGTCGGCTGCAAAATATCTTCTCTGGAAGAGCTTCGGCATCTATCTAAGATGGCTAATCTGACTAATGTTGACCTTACTGGGAATCCTGTTGTCTCCGAGAAGGAGTTCCTGCGTACAATCTTGAGCACAAACGAGCACATCTTAACTGTCAACCATACGAGGGTTCGTACAACTGGAGGACTTCTCGTGGATGTGGAGGGCTTTATTAACAACGAAAAGAGTTGCGTCAACATGGCAAATATCGCCGTGGAGCCCGTCCCCTGGCTTCCGGACAGTGCCTTTGATCCCATGGAAATTCCAAACTTCTCTTCGTTCTGCGGGTCTCTGGAAGACAAGCTGCGGGCGAAGATTGCAGAATATAATGCAAAGAGGAAAGAGATGCTCGAGGAACAGATGGGGGCTAAAGATTCGCCCACCTGATTGTGGCGGTGTAACACTTGAGGAGCTTAGTGGGCACTAGTTTACTCTCCATCTGTGTCCGCAGCTGGAACACGTGTATTCTATTGTCGTAGCCTCGTCAGCGCTTCTTGTCTGCTTCTCCAAGCGAACAACGGTCTCTTGCTTGCACTTTTTGCACTGTATTCCTGTATGCTGGACAAACCTCTTCAGATCTACACTAGCCATTATCTCCTCTCTCGCCTTATTTCTCAGCTCACGGCATTCTGCTGGCTCTAATTCTATTACGCTCATGTGCACAAGCTCCTGTGGCTTTATTACCTGCATAAACACTGATGCACAAAGATCCAGGTTTCCCGGATGTGTAAGGGCGGAGTGTATGAGGATAAACTTGTCGACGTATGATTGAGCTAGCCCCTGTCTGTTTCTCTCCAGGACCTCATATTCTTTTGTGTATCCGCCTGAGAACGCATTGAAAAGGGATGACTCTATCAGGTCAGCAATGAAGAGAGGGTTTTTGGGCAGATAGAAATATACATAAGGCTGATGAGAACAGTCAGACTGGTACACGGCATATACGGTTGCGGGATTGTCCATCTGAGCTTCCTCGCGGACCTCGTCTCCAACCTCGCTAAAATGCCGCCTCATATGTGGCGCAATTGCAGTACGAAACGTTGTTAGCTCAGCGTCTGAGAGGCTTTCGAGGCGCGTGATGAATGGATCGTCGCTGCCACTGTCTATCTTTAATATCCGTAATAAGTTAATGCAATCTGTGAGCTTACTGGCGACCGCCTTACGTGGGTGGTCGCTTATCGGAATTGGTTTATAGGTTTGTAGCGGGGTGACCTCGCGGGCTTGGTCAATGCAACACCGCATGATGGCGTTTCCAAGACAGCTGGCATACTTATTGTAGGCCTCTCCGATGCTCTGCTGCAAGAGCCACGTGACTGCAAGAAGCCCATCAACCAGGTTGCTATATGAAAGCGAAGAGCAGAGAGACTTGAGATCCGGAATTTGAGAATCTGAAGGAATACACGTGCATGCAAGCTCCGTGTTATCGCCTTCCATAGCCCTGTATAGATTTCGAAGAAGATCCAGCATAAAATTAATTTATTAGCGGGAAGGAGGAAGGAAGACAAAGCTATGGACGAGCAGAGCCAGGAATTACTTGGTTCGTAAGCGGCCTCCTGGACGCCGCCCTTCGGATATACTAGAATTGCGAGATGTAGATTCGTCACTACCCAGTGCGATCTGGTTCAGGCGCTGCTTGAGGTAGCCATTCTCCTTGATTAACTGTTTCATAAACGACGCTTCCTCTGTGGGCGGTGCAGCATTCATCTCCTCAAGCTTCTGTTCCATCACTTGGGGCTTAATAAAGTCGTGATAAGCGCGTAGCTCCTCTAGCTCCGCTTCGAGCTGCTTAACTTTCAGCGCAAGTTTTGTGTTCTCCTCTCCACTGACCATGGACGTTGCCTGTGACGCCTCCTTGAGACGCGCAATCTCCGCACGAAGTTCAACTGTGTCCCGCTCCTTTTCATCCAACTGCTCTTTGACGGCATCATATACTACCGAGGAAACAGTCTGGCCAAGCTGGGCCTCCAGAGTGCCTAGTTTCCGTGTCAGTTCTTGGATCTCTGCATCCTTCTTCATAGCAAAGGTAGAGTGTTCTTCTAGTGTGTGGCTCAGCTCTGCCTTTAGCTCCTCGATCTTTGCAGACTTCTTCTTAAGAGCTTCTGCGGACTCCTGCTTCACGCTATCCATCTTCACTTGAATGGAATCTATTAGCTGCGTGTTTTCATTTAGTGCTGTCTGCGACTTCTTCTTCGTATCACGCAGCTGTGCTTCCAGGTCTCTTATCTCGTCGTCCTTGAGCTTTGTCGTTCTAGCTAAGTTATCTTTAAAAGATCCAAGCTCCTTCTCCAGAGCTACTATTCTCTCGTCCTTCATGTTGGTCTCTGCGCTATATCTTAGTGTTAGCTCTCCCTGTTCTCGCTTGAGGAGTGCCTCTGTTTCCTTCTTTGAGATCTCTAACGCACGAAGCTCCTTTTGGACCCTGGCCAAATCCGCCTCCATTTTGGCGAGTTTTTCGTCCTTTTCACTTACGATATCGAGATGTGTCTGGCTCTTCTTAGTAAGCTCCTCTGCAGCCCTGGCAATTTCATTGTTTTTGGCTGCTTGGGCTTCGATGACTTCATTGTACATGTCTCGAACCTTTTGATTGAGTTCTGTGATAGACTTATTCTTCTCTGATATCAAGCACTCATATTGCTGTTTAATCTCCTCCAGCTTGCTGTTTCCCTCCAACTCCAAAACTCTTTTATCCTCTTCTGCTATGCGTAGAGCGTCTTGAAGTGTCTTGATATCTTTGTCGGCTTTTTTAGCTTGATGCTCTCTGTCAGCGGATGATACCGATATCTCCTGTTTCAGACTCGATATTTGATTGATGAGACCTCCCTTGTCCTGTATAAGCTTGTCTATTTCATCTTGTAGGCGCTTGTTGGTGGACAAGGCCTCGGCCTGTGAGGAAAGGTACTCTTTCTGAAGTTCTTCCAACTCGCGCTGCTTCTGATCGATTGTCACTTTCAACTCTGCTTGCGCCTTCTTGCTCGATGCTGAAGCATGCTTCATTTCTCTCTCTATCTCCATCTCAAGCTGCTCTGACTTCTTCTTGGCGGCTGCCAGGTCTCCTGTGAGGCTTGCTATCTGCGCCTCGTACGCTTGCTTTGCAGCGCTCACGTCCTTCTTATAACCTGCAAACTCTTGCTTGAGGATGTTATACGCCTCCTCCTTCTTCTCTATTGACTTTGTCAAGGATGTTTGGAGGTTTTCGCAATCCTGCTTGTACCGTGCAATTGTCACATCTTTGGCCTCTTCGGACGAGAGCAGCTCAGCACGCAGATTTGTCAGATCTTTCTTCAACGTAGAAATGATGGCATCCTTCTCGGCTGACTCGGCAAGAAGCACAGCCTTGGCACTATTTAGATCATCCTTGAGTGCATCTTCTTTTTGTGCATACTCTATCTGGGCCTGTAATAACGCTTCGCCAAGATTATCTATCTGGAGCTGGAGCCTAGAGATCTCGGCCCTGCCAGAACTGGTTGCCTCAGTGACTTCAGTCCTAGAGTCCTCTAATTGTTTCTGTAATTGCTTGTATTGTAAGTCTTTAAACGCCAGAAGCTCCTCAGTCTCGTTCTTCTGCTTGTTCAATTCAGCGGCAAGATTAGCAACGCGGTCGTTTAACAGCGCAATTGTTTGATCGGTATTTAGTTTGGCTACAGACAGCTCTTTCTCTTTTGCAGCCTGAAGGACCTCAACCGTCTGCTCAGACCTTTGCAGTTTGTGGAATGTATCTTCTAATTTTCGGGAAATTTCTGCAATCTTGGCATCCTTCTGATCCACTACGATAGCAAGCTCCTCCTTTACAGTCTTTAGGTCTGAGAGGAGCCTTGTCACTTCGCTGTCCTTGGCCTTTGCTGCATCTTTGACTTGTGCCTCCAGATGGGATATCTGGAGCTGTGCCCGAGAATTCTCTGCTTCTCGCATTTGTTTCTCAGTTGAGAGCTCGTGCTTTAGCTCTGAAACCACTCGATTCATTTCCGCCGAGATAGCAAGCTTGTCCGATGACACAGAGGAGAGTTCCTGTTGGAGCTTGTCGACAGTGTTCTGAAGATTTTGTGCAGCCTTTGCTGCAGTGGATGTGCTGTCATCCATGAGAAGCCGGAGAGTATCCAGTTCACGTACCTTTTCTTTGAGTGCAGCATCGGCCTCGTTCTTGGAGTCTTGCAGCTCTTGTTGTAAAGAGATGATCTTCAGATTTAGACTCTGGATCTTTTTATTTGCCTCAACTTCGTTAATGGACGCCGAATTCTTGACTACGTCTAGTTCTCTTCCAAGGCGAGAAATTTCGTCCTGGTTAGAAAGCAAGGTCATGGATGTGTTTTGCTGAGCAGAATTAACTTCTTTCAGAAGCCTATCAACTTCCAAAAGATGATTTGACTTAACTTGGGATAGCTCATCACGGAGAGCGTGTAGTGCGGCAGTTTGCTTTGAAAGCTCTGCATCCTTTTTGGCAAAAACTGCATCCAGCTTTTCCATATTCTCTTTGTATTCGTTAGTAGCAATCCGCAGCTGCTCGTCCTTTGATTCTAGTCGTTGCACGTAGTCCTTCCTGGTTGCTTCTAACAAGTTAGTTAGTCGGCTGAGCTCTGCAGATGAGTTTGAGGACGTTTTGGTTAAGTCTTCCATCAAAGAACTGACGTTCTTCTGTAGCTCTGCTATCTGAGTATCCTTGCTGTCTAAGGCTCGCTCCCCGTCAAGCTTGATGGCTTGTATCTCTGCAGTCAACCGATTGATAACCCCCATTTTTTCCTGAAGAAGGTTTTCGCTGGTGTGTCTGACGCGCTCAACCTCTTCGCGTAACGCTTGAACATGGGCCGTCGACTGCTCAGAATGATCATCAAAAGCCTTCTTAGCGTTATCGCATTCTAGATTAAGCTTAAGTATCGTGTCTTCTTTTTCCCTTAAGAGAGCCTCATAGCTCTGCTGCGTCTTTTGAAGAAGAGATTCGTACGAATTGACCTGCTCGTGATTAGACTTTCTTACTGCTTCCAGCTCCCCCTTAGTTGCTTGTAGCTCTTGAGTAAGAGTTGTATTTGCTATCTCTCTTTCCGCGAGCAGGACTTCTGCTGCGTGCTGAGCCTTTTTGGACTCAGACTGAAGCTCCTGATTTTTCTCCAAAGCGCTTGCTAACTGTGTCTGCGTCTCTGTCAACTCGGTTGTGAGCTTGCTGATGCGAGCGTTCTTAATAAACGTGGACTCGTCAAATGCACTTTTGATTGCCTCGATTTCGCTTTTGTGCTGCGAAATGCTCTCCTCGTGGGACTTCTTCATACTATCCATATCTATGTGTAGCTGATGGACTATGCGCTGCTTCTCATCAACGGTATCGCTGAGTTTTTGACGCATATCTGCAACAGACCTCGCTAGCTCAACTGCGTCCTGGTCTCTCTGCTCTATCGCCACCTGTGATGTCTTTTTGAGTTTCGACAGCTTCTCCATGAGCTTCTCGATCGTTACGCTCTTTTCCTTGATGGTCTCTTCTGCTAGGCTCAAATCGTTCCGGGCCACAAAAGTGGCTTGGTCGGCATCGACCTTTTCTGCCTGCATAACCTTTATCTGGTTCTGGAGAGTGCTTATTAGCATGCTTTTGTCTTGGAGTATCTCATCACGCTGAGAAACCTGTGTACGTAGATTTACCACTTCCTGGTTGCTATTCTTGAGCCTGTCACACTCTTTTTCTAAGAAGGAAACCATGTTTCTGCTTTCCACTAACTCCAACTCTATCTTGACAATCTGGCGCTGGAGGTTGTCCATCTGCGCCTCACTCTCTGTGGAGAAGGAGCGACGACTGTCGGCATCAACCTTGAGTCTTTTGTATTGGACTGCGAGGTTGATTGCGGCCATTTGCACCAACTCTGGCTCGCTCATGTTATTGGCCTGTTCAGTCGGAACCTGGATCATGTCTAGGTCAGTAAATAACTTATGAAGGGTCGAGATGGTGCGGCTCTGCGCGGTGGAAAGGGCAATATTCCCGGAAATGATCTCTGCCGTGCCAGACTTCCCAGATCCCCCGCTCAGTTGATTAATTGTGATCTTCGCTTCCTTAAGGCTCTCAAGAAGCTGCTCGTTCATCTTCCGCATGTCTGTGTATGCGTCCTCAAGTTTTATGTACTTATCATTGATGGCTTTATAAGATTCCTCAATCACCTCTGTCTCCGACAGTTTAACAAGGCTCTGGAGGTATTTGCTCTTGATTAGTTCATTCTGCTCTTTTATCTTTTCGTTGCTAAAGTAGCGAGAGAGAACGTCTGACCGAAGAATGTTCTGCTGAATTCTCTCTTCTATCAGCCCCAAAGTGCCCAAGTCATCGACAACAAGACTCCTATTTGAGGTATTTAGTAGGAGAGAACTCACGCTGTCTTGCTCCAAGCTCCTTTGCCGTCCTTGCGCGGTGGAGGGCCTAGACATTTTTTAACGACAAGAATCCTAAATCTAAGCTTCACCAGCCTCTAGACTCCGTATGGCAGATATAGCGAGAAGCAATCAGTCAGAGAGTAGGCTAGACCATCCATGAAAATAAGCTATTTACTCCTCTGCCTTTGGTGACAGAATTGGAATCCCGACGGTGTCGAGTCTAAATTCAGAAGAGCTCAGGAGAGGCTCCGGAGCGCATCAGAAAGGATTTCAGGCAGCTCTCCTGTGCTAGCAGTCAGTGCTGTTAGTAGTGCCTCTCTCAACTCAACAAGCACCATGACACGCGCTTGAGAGTATGCAGCCCGGAAGATGGCTTCGTTGCTCTGCAGCAGCCGGGTTTCCAGTTCCATCCGACGCCTCCTTTCGTGCATGAGATCGTTCGTTGCCATATGAAGCTTCTCGACGAGCGCATTCACCATGTACACGTCTCTGCGTGTTCTCAACGATGGTGCAGAAGTCGGTCGAGCAACCCTTGACCTACCGTCCTGCCGCCCTTTAATATCCTTATTGTAAACTATGGAAGAAAGGGGCGACGCGGTACGTGGAGAAAGCTTAGCATTTAGAGCTGCGTTGTAGGGAAAGTCTGCCAAGATGCGGTTAAGCTTGATGAAGTCCTCGGTAAGCGGAACAAAGTGTTCATCCCCCTGTGCCTGGACGCTTGTGCTTATTGACTTGTCTTTGACGTAAGCCCTAGTGCTTCCTGCCTCAATGAGTGCACTGAGAAATATGTTCTCCGCGTCGTGGGGATGACGCCTTAATGATCCACTATTGGAGAGCTGCTGCTCAGTGGGAGAGTCAAGGGCTGGCTGAGCTTCAGAAGCCGAAGATGATGGGTCAGGCGCCTGCCTTGTACGAGAGTTTCCTGGAAGCAATGCCTGCGCGGATGTTATTCCTAATGGTGATGCATCCAACTGTCCATGTAACTGCACGTAGTCTGCAAGGTTCTGCTTATAAATCTTTCGTATCATATCGGCCTCTGCTTTGGGCATTTTTTGTTTACAGGATGCGAGCACAATGATGCAGGTGAGCTGTGCATCATGAGCCAGTCCGTCTGCTGCAGGCTATTGACCGCTTGGTCAACGCTAGTAAATAGTGGCTATCTATAGGCTATTCACAGTGCTAAGTCTTAGGAGAGCATCCGGGTTCGAGATGCCTTTTGCTTGCTGAAAGGATGGACGCAGGAGTAACACGCTCTCCAGCGGCACACATGGTCTGTAAAAGTTGCGCTACATGGGATATCGCTTGCAGTTGCTCCTTGGAAGGAGTCGGAGATGCACTGTCTCGAACTGTCTCTCTAGTATCACTGGGATTCCGCATCTCAGAAATCCAAATCCATCCATTCCTGCCGAGAATAACATGCACATTCAGAGAGTCCAGGTTTGCAAACGCGGTAGTCGATGGGCCCACTGCGCAAGGAGGCACCTTCACTAGTACGCCATGGTTCAACACCCCGAACTGTGCACTCCGAGTAAGAAGTGCATAGCCCTGCTTTACCTCGCACGAAATAAGCTGATCCACGTCAAGCCACTGGCGCATATTGCTTTCATCTGCAGTGTCCCTTACCCGCTGGATCCCCGGTATGTTCAAGTTATCAATGTGGAGAGTAGCATGCTGTATTGCACCTATGTCCAGGACCCACTTATTCGGCAGAAGACGAACGACGCGCCCAAGGACGACATCTGCTGTGACAGGTTCGTAGATGTGTAAACACGATGGCTGAACAGACACTATCTTGCCAACCTGCTTCATGTTTCCCACGACACTCGCGACGAAAGATTCGTCCACCCGAACAACTCCTTGGCCAGGAAGAGAGGTATTCGGAACTCCAGGCAGCTCTTCGCCAGGAACCATGCTGTTTGCAGCCCATACTATCGTGTTTGACGGGGTGTGGACCCAATGCCGGGACATCACAGCGAACGTTTTTTTGACCAGGGGTGTTAGCTCTATTAATAACAATTGACGGCAAATATAACTATCGTTTAATATAATATCTTTCTGTTTTATCTTTCAACTGTACTGGGCATGGTGTATGTCTTATTGTAGATCTGTATTAGTGCAGGTGTTAACCCCTGCTTGAGTGAAGGAAGCTGTACCACATATCCAGACCACAGCCAGCCTGATAACCCGTGTTGGCCATCACGAAATCGCGTCCAGGCCACGCGATTCCATTGTCTACTGAATACCTAGTCCTCTCCTCAGACAACCACGACTGAGTTGCGATAGTAGAGGAGAGTCCATCAGGCGTGACAGAAGGCAGAGGGGCCGACGACTGATGTGCTGAAGCACCCCCTCTGGTTCCTGCATCACCCACTTCTGCCGTACTGCACTTCGCGTACGACGGATAGCCCGCCTCATACGGATAGCATCGTCTCACAAACACTCATGCACTAGTTCTTAAGAAGACCACGCGGGGCACGGACCCATGCTCAGTATGTAAGCCTCGCTATGCTTGATAACCTTCGTTGTGCACTGAGGCTGAGACCCTGTCTATCGGTGCCCCTGTGGTCACTGATACGTAGCGCATAATATCTGCATCAGCACTCTGTGGATGAGGTAGCTACTGTTGAGCAGGCACACCCAGAGCCCGGTCGCGTGAGATGCCAGCAAGATCCCCGGCTGCAGAGCACACTGCAATCTGGCGACTGGTTTGGCCATGCCGCTTCTTTATCCGTTAGAAACTCGGCTGGGAGCGACAAAGAGCACGTCGGGAGAACCCGGTGGGAGGGGACAGGCGGGGCTTTCTGCGCCACGGGGGGAACCACCGCAGGAGGACGTGCAGGCACGCAAGCCAGGCCACAGTAGACACGCGGGCGCCCCTGTAGACCGGGCCGGCAGCAGGCGTCCGTAGAATCCGCGCCAGAGCCAGCTGCTCAAAAAACTGGGCAGCCCCTGGTCGTGTGCAAGCCTTGCAGAGCACTGCGGCCCCCGACACTCGGCGACCCCTCTCAGAGCGGAAGACCCCGCGGGCCGCAGGCAGCAGCTCGTCGTCGGCGATGCCCCGAACGAGGGGGACGGCCCCAGCCTGCCCGCCTCCGCAGAGCTCCGGGTATCTGTAGACAAACCGGGGCTGCGCAGGGTGCGGCTCTCCCTGGCGGCCGAGGGCAGGGGTCCCCGGCAATACCAAAAAACTCCGATCAATACATCAGCCCCGGCGCCGCCGTGTGCAAAGCAGTCTGTTCTGTGTGGCGGCCCAAGCCAGCTCGTACTGCGGCGATGGCCCGGGTGAGGGCGCCCTGCTCGCCCGACGGACCGGGGCAGGCAGGCAACAAACACCCGCTAAAGCTTTTATGCAAGGCCTGTACATATTTAATTTCACATTATTCGTTGGTCTGTTTTTAGTTTTATCGCTGCTTCTATCGGATGGGCTCTGGGGCAATGACGGCGGAGACGCGCGCCTCCGTTCTGCTCGAGCTCGCGAAGCAGGTCGTCGCTGCCCGGCGGCTGGGAGAGACGGCCGAGAGCCTCGCGCGGCGGCCGCTGCTCCTCCACCGGCACGTGCTCCGGACGGCCATCGACTGGAAGAAGATCGCCCGCGCCCTGTCCGAGGACCGGAGCAGGATCTACCACTGGTACCGCGAGACGCACTCGCGGAGCATCCTCAACGTGAAGATGACCGGCGAGGACCGCAGGGCCATCAAGGCGATGATCATCGCCGGGGTCAGGGACCGGAGCGTCCTGGGCCCGGACTTCTACCGCAGGGTCCACGAGCGCTTCGGGGCGAAGTATCCGCGCCAGGAGCTGCGGATGACGTACAACAACGCGCTCCGCACCCAGGACGTCCGCGCCGCCCTGGAGGAGCACGGGGTGGTGCTGCCGCGCCGCACATACGGCCCGAGGGCGGCCAGGCAGGAGGAGGAGGCATCTCCTGTGGCGGCCACTCCCCCGCCCCCCTGCGTTTTTGGTTGCGCCGCGCCTCCGCTGGTGCCGCCCGTCGGGGGGCCGGTCTTTGTGGTCCCGGGCGCGGTCTCTGCGCTTCTGCCCCCGCACGCGCCGGGGTGCCTCGTCCTCGCCCTCCCACCCGGGGTCGTTCCTGGGCCCGGCGTCCTCCCGCTCCAGACGGGCCAGGGCCTCCTTGGGCCGCCCGTTGCCTTCGCGTGCGTGCCATGCTTCCCCCCTGCGGGCTACGGGGGCGTCCCTGGGTGCGCTGATGCGAGCCCCAGTAAGGGTTGAGGACTGGAGAACCCGGCTTGCTTGACGATTGTCGAAGAGTGGCCGGCAGGAACAGCCGATGGTTGGATCCCTGATCAGTGACGAGACAGTTATATCTAGAGCGTGTAGCATGCTCAACCACGGCACAGCGCAGGGCCCACCAGACACAGGCTACGACGGTCTGGATGTCGCGCAACCCGCATTCTGCGCATTGCTGAAGAGACCACACACAGCAGACGAAGGCAGGGCTCTCCCATGTGCCCAGACGACTCGAACACCGCGGTCTGGGCCAACGATCTACCAGACAGGCCCGTCCGGTAACAGGCGACTGAATGCTCTCTGGGCCGTGAGCTAAAGCTGATGTGCAGCTGGCCGGCCACGACATTCACCCTGGCTGGCCCTCTGTCTTCACGCGCCGACACGCCAAGGAGCTGTAGGGAAGTCGTGTGCTGTCTTGGCAGGTATATTATTACCTCCATGTATGCACCCTGGATGCGGCCACCATAGCACAGCTGCATCTCTGATCGTCCTGTACACGCCTCCTGGCACGAGTAGGTGCGCAGGAGGGGGTGCACTGCCCACCGCCGAGAAATGGATGAGCTCCCCTGCTCAGGAGCCGACGACCGCCAGCCATGCCCAACGAGGTCCCCTGCAAGGAGGCCTGCTGAGCCAGCTCTTCCAGCGAGCCGTGTATCTGGAAGAGCTCCGCGTTGAATGGCTCCTTGATTAAGGAAGCCGGAGTCCAGCGCGATGTGACGCCTGTCCGTCTAAGGCTGAGACTTCGGTCTGGTGCTTGCTGCTGAGCGAGCATTAAATGAGGCTGGCCAAAGAAGCGGCTCAGGGCTTTCATAGCTCTGTGTCTTCTTGTTCTGTTCGACTGAAACACCTGATCTCAGTGCTGACTGTTGGGTCTCCTCCTGTGGACGTGGTCCGGAAGTCTCACAGAGGACCTGTTTTTTTGTAATTTCTTCTAAGACGAAGGTAAGTCGTTCTATAGGATTAGGACTACATCTGTAGAAGCACAGCCCCGGTTAAAGCAGTAACATACAATTCGCAGATGCGTAGAATGCTTGCAGGAGAAAGCAGTAAGGAAAGATATCTCGATCATGACATAGACGTGAGACAGCACCACAGGCTGCCCAAGCAACCGGTCTGGATACGAGGTGCGGCATGATTACCCTTATCTATCCTTTGCCAGGTGAGGGAATTCGACATAGAGCCTAGTCACCCTAACGGTCAGAACCAAAGGCAAAAGCTAGATCTGTGGTGTGTTGGCAAGTGATGGACACAAGGGCATCCCTGGATGGACTGTTGCATGAGAGGGCGAAGGCCCATAGAGATGGGTTGCTCTCAGCACCTGCAGTGGGCAGCTTGCTCCGCGGCCAACAAGTTGTTGGGTCAGAAACAAGCACGGACGATGCCTGTCAGATGGGTCCGAGCCAGTCACCCGATGCCCCCTACGGGCCTCGTCCAACCGACACTCTTGATTCTTGTCGAATAGCTCAGACAGACTGGGGAGAGGAAGGACTACCAGTCACCAGAGCTTGCTGCAGTGGGAGAGCCGGGCTTGGCTCGTCCCCGTCTTCACACAAGAGCGGGGAAGTGGGTTTACTTGCGGGACCCTTGGGCCGCGGCTGCAGGGGGGCTCAGTACTAGAGCGCTAGAAATAGCTGGCTGTCGAAGTAAATCGTCGCTTTCCGGGGATGACATCTTCCTCGACCAGGGCAGCAGAAGAGACCCTCAATGCATCTGCCGGTGCTGGGGTGCGTCCTACCCGTCAGCGGGGCTTCATGGCTCCACTGGAAAGCCCAATCGTCCGCTTCTTGCTGTGCTCAGAGGACAGAGAACTAGGCAGGCGTAGTCCCATCCGCCCACCGGAGGGCTATGAGCGCCCCCGTCGTCCCATTGAGCAGCACCAGGCGCAGAAGAGGTCTGCCGGAAATGCGCCAGATGCAGTCAACGCTTTTCTGGGTGTAGTGTTAACAGAATCACACGCTACGACGCGTCCCAGACAGGCTCCACCTGGCAGCGGCGCCCCAGAGGCGGGCCCCGAGGGACAAAACATTTCTGGCCCTGCCCCTGCTCCAATGCGAGCGGCCCGCGGACAGAGCCGAGGACGGGGGCCAGTGCTCGGCCTCCTGCTGGTGCGGTGGCGCCGGGAGACCACCGGACCATCGACTCGGCAGCGGCAACCGGTGGAACGCCCTGGGCTGCTGCTGTGCCCATGCGCCTGGAGCGCGCCGCAGCAGCCCGGGATGGGTCCGCAGACAGGCGTGCCGCCCCAGCCGTCCCGGGGGCCGGCTCCTCGTGGCGGGCGCTCCTGCTCCCTTTGACTTTTCAAATGGAGAGCATAATTACGGGTAGCCAGCTGTGTACTGCTCGGGTGGGCACACATCCCCGTTGCATCGATTGCTGGTGCGGGGCTAACTGTTGCATATGTAGCTAGCAGCTCCAGCTTTGCTATAGAAAGTATTCTTGTGGCCTCTTCTCGATCTTATTTAGATATGGGCTAAACCCATGCGAATAATCCGGTCGCTCAGTCACGTTCGAAGACAAAGACAGGTTATGAAGTACAAATGGTTACTAGTGTATACTCTATATGCTGGAGGACTGAGATTGGATACAACCATCCTCACAGGTCACTACAGTAGAACTGGAACATGAGGAACGTGTCGTAGTCTTTAGATATAAGGGTTCACCTGGTATTCAGAAAGTTCGTTCACAGTTCGCTTAAATAAGCAAGTACTTGGTAAAGTCAACTGGGCAGCAGTCTAAGAGCTGCTCCTTTAAGACAACGAGAGGGTGAGCTATCGAGTGATAGTAGGGTGTGCACCTTGGCTAAGTGCGACTACGTCAGATACAAGCATAGAGTAGCGGGTCCAAGTCCTCAAGTAGGGGTCTGCTTTGCTCTACCAAGAAGACATGTAAGTTTATTTATTCATGCACTCCTAGGCTGCATTTGCAGGCGAAGTCCAGTGGCAAACTATTGGAAGTGTGGAATAAAAGTAAAGTCACACACACGACTCCAGACTGCTATACAAAATCCAGATGTTAGAAATCGTCAAGCACATTTGCAGTGTGGACGTAACGAGAGTTCCACGCCTTAAGAAGGCGAATCGACGCATTTACTATCTAAGTCTACGCCTTGCCTCTGCACATAAACCACCAGCAAAGGAAACCGACGAGGCCGCCGACAACAATGATGACAGCAACAGCGATGCCCGCGATGGCGCCTGCGCTGAGACCACTTTTGTTAGTGTTCTCGCCACTCTGCACGAGGTAGCAGAGGACAGACCCTTTATTGTTGAGTGGAGGAGCGCAGTTGGCGCAGTTGGCGACGCCGGTGATAGTCTTATCACTGTTGCTTTCCGTGCAAGACACACAGGCGTTCTTATACTTGTAGTACCCAGTGCTGCAAGTGTCGCAATTTGAGGCGGATCCTGCACAAGTAGCACAGCCAGTGGCACACTTTGTGCACTTATTATCAGTCTTTGCATACCCATCCATGCATTCAGTACACACGGTGTTACTAGTGCACGTCTTACATCCGGCCGAGCAAGTCACAAGGTCATTGTTATTAAGATGATAGCCTGGAGCCTCTACTTGGCAGGTATCCCCAGCCGATGCTGCTTCCTCACAGACGCTCTTTCCAGGGAACTTGGTCGTCTCATAGCAGCCTCCGTTCATCCGAAGAAGCCCGTTGGCGCATTTGTCACAGACACCAGTCCCTTTGGTAGTGCACGTAATAGCCTTTCCGGCCGCCGCCGAGCAGACTCCGTTCTGCGGGAACTGGTTGGCGTCCTTGCACTTGGAGCAGTAGGCCGTGCCATCGACTGTCAGCTCGCACTTCTCGCAGTTGTTAGTACCCGGTTTGCATTCTGATTTGCACGTCCCCGTGTTGCCCTCTCCTTCGTAGCTGAGGGCCTTCTTAGCCTCGCAGCTCGTGCACCCGTTGGGCTCCCCGTTCGCGCACGTCTTGCACGAGGTATCGCACTTGGCACAGGCGGTTTCTTTCTTGTAGTATCCGTCCTTGCAGGTCTCGCACTGTCCGTTTTCGTTGCACAGGAGGCAGTTCTCGACCTCGCACTTCTTGCAGGCCTTCTTGCCCCCCTCGCTGGTGCCCTCGTAGTAGCCTTCCAGGTGCTCACAACCGTAGATGCACTGGCCCGTGGGCGTGAGGGCCTTGGGGTCTTCGCACTCTGTGCACACCTCCTTGCTTGTCTTCGGCTCACTGCACGTCTTGCAGCCGGGGGTGTTGCACGGCGCCGCAGGGGGGTCGGGCTTCTTCGTGCACCCGGTGCCGGCCTCCTCGGGAACGTAGCCCTCAACGCACTCACAGGTGCCAGGGGTCTTCTTATCGTTGGAGTTCGAGGGGCAGTTCTCAACGCACCCCTTCTTGTTTGGCTGGACCTTCTTCTGGTTTCCGCACGTCTTGCAGGCGACTGCTCCATCGGCGCCCTTCTCGCACGTCGCACACCCGTCGGAGGTCCCCTCGGCGCACGTCTTGCACGTCTTCGGCTCAGTGTCGTCGGGGTAGTGGGTGTTTCCAGTCTTGCACTCAGCTTCGGTGACGCACGTGCCAGTGTCGCTGCCATTATCCTTCTTCAGGTACGGCTTGTCGTCCTTGCAAGAGGTGCACTTCGCAGCCTCGGTCTTACAGGTCTTGCATGTTTCAGCGCACGCCTCACAGGTTTTGGTGCCGCCATTTTTCGCGAAGAACCCTTCGGTGCCGGTGCACTCTTGCTCTGTCACGCAGGAGGTGGCTTGGTCCTTGGCTGTCTTCAGATACCTATCTGCCTGGCACGCAGTGCATGTGGCGGCCTTGGCGTTAGCATCTGCTGCTTCTGTGGGAGCGTTACACCGAGTGCAGTGCAGCACGCCCTTGTACTTTTTATCGTTTTTAACCGTTATTTCCTCTTCGTCTCCACATGGTATAACCGATTGGTGAGAGGCGTCTGCGCCCGGCGGCACGAAGTATCCTTGCGCGGCTTGTGTGCATACTCCAGCATCTGCCGCCTGACACATGGTCTGTCCGGGCTGCTGGGCTGCTTCGTAACAGCCGCCCTTGTACATGAAAGTCTGCTCGGCGCACTGTCCACAGGTCTGATCAGCTGTATCGCCTCCGGAGCCATCTTTGCACTTATCTGTTGCACCTTCTTTGTCTGCACATTGTCCATTGATAGGAACAAATCCTGTGTTACATCGAGAGCAATACAATTTACCACCGATCAGAACGTTGCATGCTTCTGCTGCGCAATTAGTGTTATCTGCGCATTGAGCTTCTTGCGCGCGCTCTGTTGCTTTTCCTGCCCATGCAATCTGGACGAGTACCCCCGCGAGAACAAAACTGCCAAACATTGCCCGATTGATAGATTGGTAGGAACATACTCGCGGTACATCAGTCAATCCGCGTCGATTGATGCAGTTGATTGATCCTTCTGGCACACGTTGACCACAGGCGCTGATGGAATCAACACTCACCGGGTCTATCGCGAACACTACTTGCAATCTGCAATCTCGGCACAGGGCCAGAAGGAGGTGGATTGGACCGAATAGAACTGCAACTGTCTCAATGTGTATGTCATACTAATGCACCTCGTGGCTCCGTTGCAATCTGTACGGACCATCCAGTGCGAGCCAAAGCTGCCACACGTGCACTGGGACAGTACTGCCCAGTAGCGGTCCAGAGCTTTCAATGGCTCCATCAACGGCCCACTGACAACTGCAAGGGCGACTCCTGCAGCTCTGCACAACGTGCATCCAAGGCCCGAGAGGCAGTGCACAGCAACGAGCGTCTCTCAGATGCGCCAGGAGCCCGTCCCAAGGAGTGTTCAGCCCCGATACCGCTTGGTGTGGCTGTGCTGCGTCTCATAAGGCACCTTCTGCAGCAGAACTAGGATCCATAACTGCGTTCTCCATTTGAAAAGTCAAAGGGAGCAGGAGCGCCCGCCACGAGGAGCCGGCCCCCGGGACGGCTGGGGCGGCACGCCTGTCTGCGGACCCATCCCGGGCTGCTGCGGCGCGCTCCAGGCGCATGGGCACAGCAGCAGCCCAGGGCGTTCCACCGGTTGCCGCTGCCGAGTCGATGGTCCGGTGGTCTCCCGGCGCCACCGCACCAGCAGGAGGCCGAGCACTGGCCCCCGTCCTCGGCTCTGTCCGCGGGCCGCTCGCATTGGAGCAGGGGCAGGGCCAGAAATGTTTTGTCCCTCGGGGCCCGCCTCTGGGGCGCCGCTGCCAGGTGGAGCCTGTCTGGGACGCGTCGTAGCGTGTGATTCTGTTAACACTACACCCAGAAAAGCGTTGACTGCATCTGGCGCATTTCCGGCAGACCTCTTCTGCGCCTGGTGCTGCTCAATGGGACGACGGGGGCGCTCATAGCCCTCCGGTGGGCGGATGGGACTACGCCTGCCTAGTTCTCTGTCCTCTGAGCACAGCAAGAAGCGGACGATTGGGCTTTCCAGTGGAGCCATGAAGCCCCGCTGACGGGTAGGACGCACCCCAGCACCGGCAGATGCATTGAGGGTCTCTTCTGCTGCCCTGGTCGAGGAAGATGTCATCCCCGGAAAGCGACGATTTACTTCGACAGCCAGCTATTTCTAGCGCTCTAGTACTGAGCCCCCCTGCAGCCGCGGCCCAAGGGTCCCGCAAGTAAACCCACTTCCCCGCTCTTGTGTGAAGACGGGGACGAGCCAAGCCCGGCTCTCCCACTGCAGCAAGCTCTGGTGACTGGTAGTCCTTCCTCTCCCCAGTCTGTCTGAGCTATTCGACAAGAATCAAGAGTGTCGGTTGGACGAGGCCCGTAGGGGGCATCGGGTGACTGGCTCGGACCCATCTGACAGGCATCGTCCGTGCTTGTTTCTGACCCAACAACTTGTTGGCCGCGGAGCAAGCTGCCCACTGCAGGTGCTGAGAGCAACCCATCTCTATGGGCCTTCGCCCTCTCATGCAACAGTCCATCCAGGGATGCCCTTGTGTCCATCACTTGCCAACACACCACAGGTCTAGCTTTTGCCTTTGGTTCTGACCGTTAGGGTGACTAGGCTCTATGTCGAATTCCCTCACCTGGCAAAGGATAGATAAGGGTAATCATGCCGCACCTCGTATCCAGACCGGTTGCTTGGGCAGCCTGTGGTGCTGTCTCACGTCTATGTCATGATCGAGATATCTTTCCTTACTGCTTTCTCCTGCAAGCATTCTACGCATCTGCGAATTGTATGTTACTGCTTTAACCGGGGCTGTGCTTCTACAGATGTAGTCCTAATCCTATAGAACGACTTACCTTCGTCTTAGAAGAAATTACAAAAAAACAGGTCCTCTGTGAGACTTCCGGACCACGTCCACAGGAGGAGACCCAACAGTCAGCACTGAGATCAGGTGTTTCAGTCGAACAGAACAAGAAGACACAGAGCTATGAAAGCCCTGAGCCGCTTCTTTGGCCAGCCTCATTTAATGCTCGCTCAGCAGCAAGCACCAGACCGAAGTCTCAGCCTTAGACGGACAGGCGTCACATCGCGCTGGACTCCGGCTTCCTTAATCAAGGAGCCATTCAACGCGGAGCTCTTCCAGATACACGGCTCGCTGGAAGAGCTGGCTCAGCAGGCCTCCTTGCAGGGGACCTCGTTGGGCATGGCTGGCGGTCGTCGGCTCCTGAGCAGGGGAGCTCATCCATTTCTCGGCGGTGGGCAGTGCACCCCCTCCTGCGCACCTACTCGTGCCAGGAGGCGTGTACAGGACGATCAGAGATGCAGCTGTGCTATGGTGGCCGCATCCAGGGTGCATACATGGAGGTAATAATATACCTGCCAAGACAGCACACGACTTCCCTACAGCTCCTTGGCGTGTCGGCGCGTGAAGACAGAGGGCCAGCCAGGGTGAATGTCGTGGCCGGCCAGCTGCACATCAGCTTTAGCTCACGGCCCAGAGAGCATTCAGTCGCCTGTTACCGGACGGGCCTGTCTGGTAGATCGTTGGCCCAGACCGCGGTGTTCGAGTCGTCTGGGCACATGGGAGAGCCCTGCCTTCGTCTGCTGTGTGTGGTCTCTTCAGCAATGCGCAGAATGCGGGTTGCGCGACATCCAGACCGTCGTAGCCTGTGTCTGGTGGGCCCTGCGCTGTGCCGTGGTTGAGCATGCTACACGCTCTAGATATAACTGTCTCGTCACTGATCAGGGATCCAACCATCGGCTGTTCCTGCCGGCCACTCTTCGACAATCGTCAAGCAAGCCGGGTTCTCCAGTCCTCAACCCTTACTGGGGCTCGCATCAGCGCACCCAGGGACGCCCCCGTAGCCCGCAGGGGGGAAGCATGGCACGCACGCGAAGGCAACGGGCGGCCCAAGGAGGCCCTGGCCCGTCTGGAGCGGGAGGACGCCGGGCCCAGGAACGACCCCGGGTGGGAGGGCGAGGACGAGGCACCCCGGCGCGTGCGGGGGCAGAAGCGCAGAGACCGCGCCCGGGACCACAAAGACCGGCCCCCCGACGGGCGGCACCAGCGGAGGCGCGGCGCAACCAAAAACGCAGGGGGGCGGGGGAGTGGCCGCCACAGGAGATGCCTCCTCCTCCTGCCTGGCCGCCCTCGGGCCGTATGTGCGGCGCGGCAGCACCACCCCGTGCTCCTCCAGGGCGGCGCGGACGTCCTGGGTGCGGAGCGCGTTGTTGTACGTCATCCGCAGCTCCTGGCGCGGATACTTCGCCCCGAAGCGCTCGTGGACCCTGCGGTAGAAGTCCGGGCCCAGGACGCTCCGGTCCCTGACCCCGGCGATGATCATCGCCTTGATGGCCCTGCGGTCCTCGCCGGTCATCTTCACGTTGAGGATGCTCCGCGAGTGCGTCTCGCGGTACCAGTGGTAGATCCTGCTCCGGTCCTCGGACAGGGCGCGGGCGATCTTCTTCCAGTCGATGGCCGTCCGGAGCACGTGCCGGTGGAGGAGCAGCGGCCGCCGCGCGAGGCTCTCGGCCGTCTCTCCCAGCCGCCGGGCAGCGACGACCTGCTTCGCGAGCTCGAGCAGAACGGAGGCGCGCGTCTCCGCCGTCATTGCCCCAGAGCCCATCCGATAGAAGCAGCGATAAAACTAAAAACAGACCAACGAATAATGTGAAATTAAATATGTACAGGCCTTGCATAAAAGCTTTAGCGGGTGTTTGTTGCCTGCCTGCCCCGGTCCGTCGGGCGAGCAGGGCGCCCTCACCCGGGCCATCGCCGCAGTACGAGCTGGCTTGGGCCGCCACACAGAACAGACTGCTTTGCACACGGCGGCGCCGGGGCTGATGTATTGATCGGAGTTTTTTGGTATTGCCGGGGACCCCTGCCCTCGGCCGCCAGGGAGAGCCGCACCCTGCGCAGCCCCGGTTTGTCTACAGATACCCGGAGCTCTGCGGAGGCGGGCAGGCTGGGGCCGTCCCCCTCGTTCGGGGCATCGCCGACGACGAGCTGCTGCCTGCGGCCCGCGGGGTCTTCCGCTCTGAGAGGGGTCGCCGAGTGTCGGGGGCCGCAGTGCTCTGCAAGGCTTGCACACGACCAGGGGCTGCCCAGTTTTTTGAGCAGCTGGCTCTGGCGCGGATTCTACGGACGCCTGCTGCCGGCCCGGTCTACAGGGGCGCCCGCGTGTCTACTGTGGCCTGGCTTGCGTGCCTGCACGTCCTCCTGCGGTGGTTCCCCCCGTGGCGCAGAAAGCCCCGCCTGTCCCCTCCCACCGGGTTCTCCCGACGTGCTCTTTGTCGCTCCCAGCCGAGTTTCTAACGGATAAAGAAGCGGCATGGCCAAACCAGTCGCCAGATTGCAGTGTGCTCTGCGGTCGCGAATCTTGCTGGCATTCAAACCGTTATATATTACCTGGGATTCCTCAATCTTTATAAGATAAAGTTTGGCTCATAGTACAATACAATTTTTCATTCGCTTTTTACCTATCTGCCGGTAAGGCTATTGTGCATGCAATTCTCCTATGTAGTGCGATGATCTATTTTCTATCAAAGAGCTTAGTTTAATTAGTCAGCAAGTACTTCAGCAATAAGAGCCCGTAGCGTCACGTAGACTCTGTGGGCAGGGAGGGAACTATCTTCTTCACTGGCCTCTTCAAGGGGACCATCTTTGTTCCTGTATATTTTGCGTAATAGTAAATATTAACAAATCGGGCATTTCATGCGGCCTACTTTATCCTTCTCTACCCAGAAACTCCTGAAAAGCTTGTCAGGGTCTGTCGCCACTGCATCATCAGCGCTGATGTCTCATAATCTCCACAAGATGGGTCTGAAGCCAGGCTTCAGTGTTGTCCAAAAAGCAAGGTTTACAACCGATAGCCAAGCTCCAAGCACGCGGGCAGAGCGCATGAAGCTTGTGCCGTCTACTCTTCCTCCCCCATTGACCGATGAAGAGTGGAGGAGAGCTGAATTAAAGTGGATCGTCCGGGAAGAACGGCATTGTCCTATATGTCTTCAGCGCTTCGGCTCTTCTGAAATGCTATGTTCTTCTTGCAGCCATGCAGTTCATAAGGAGTGCTTCGTAAATTGGATGACCCAGTCGAAGGCTCGGTGGTGTTGCCCAGTTTGTATGACACCTGCTAATATGCGCGAATCTTCCTTTTTGAAATCATACATGTGCATCTCAGCAGCCAGAGACATCCAGGCAGCAATACGGGGATATTTTGGACGCCGCTGTTACAGAGCCCTTCGCAAGCGCAGTACAGGGGCTCTGGTTGCAGAGCTAGAGCACGCTGCAGATAATATGAATTCTTACTTGCTTACTCAAAGAGTTAAGCTAGACAGCGAGTTAGGGCGCTTGCAAAAGGAAATAGATGAGACTAACGATCTCTTCGAAGCATTCATGGCCACACGTGCAGTCAACTGGATCTCTGTTATTGAGAAGACACGTCAACGTCAAAGTATGGCATGTCCCATCTGCTTTGAAAGCTTTGAATACAAGGGACCGTTCATCAGTCTAGCATCAGACTCCGAGAAAGACTCTTGCACAGTCTCAACTGTTTCTTGTTGTAGTGCCTTATTCCATAGTAACTGCTTAGATGTCTATGAATCAGTTACCGATCGTGCAGTCTGTCCATGCTGCAAGTCTGGATTCATCTCTCATAAGGTTGAAGGAATATCTTAAGTGGTCTAAATACTTCTAGCTGCGAGCCGAATGCTTAGTTGTTCGATTTCTTCATTTTTAGTCTTTAGAACCTCGCTAAGTTGCTCTTTAGCTGCTTCCAGTGCTGCCTCCAGCTCAGCTATCCGTACATCAGAAGCATCTATTTCTTTACTTCCTCGATACTTTTCTAACGCAGTTCGGAGCCCGGAAAGCTCAACGGCGGTACTTGCCCGGTAATTCTCATACTCTGTTTTCACACGGTCTATGATAGCTAATAGGTTAACAATCTCATCAACCTTGTCCCTCAAAGCTCTTTTTGTTTGCTCCAGTTCTCTCGACAATTGGGTAAGCTTCGCCTCTCGCTCCTCTTGCGCCATCGCGAGCTTACCTTGTAGACTGAGGATTGTTTCATCCTTTGCTTTCAGGTCCGCGTGAAGCGCTGCAAGCGAGTCAACCATGGAGGCGCTACACATAGCAGACTGAGCGGACCCAGTTATATCGGTGATTCCTCGTGGTGTTGACGCTTCGGGAACAAGGGCCTGCTTCTCTGTAAGCGCTGCTATCTCGGCGCGTAATTCTAAGTTTTGCCGCTGCAAATCCTCAAGTTCCCATGAAATATCCTCTGCGTGAAAAGCGCTTTCTTTTATCCCACGCTTGATCTCTAGAAGCTCCTCGGTTGGCCTTCTTGAGCTTTCTGCAAGCACACTGCCCACAGACAAGCTCATTATGAATTCCTCCTTTTCTTTTAGCTGTTCCTTCAGGCGTTCTATCTCATCATTTTTCATACTAACAGTGTACATAAAGATCTCCTTGGCCTCCTTCAATTCCTTTGTTAAAGCGTGAATTTTCTTATTGTGATCTGCTTCGTTGACAACAGAGGACCCCCGCCTCGAGGATGCAGCAGAATCTGGTCTGGATGGCATTCGTGAGCTGGTGCTCCTCACCTGGCGGGTCAACCGTTCTATAACAGAGTCCTTCATGCTTCTGAGCTCCTCGTATTGAGTGTTCATGACTTCTATTGCTCCTTGCAGGTGGTCAACAACCCTTTTGTTATTTTCCTCTTCGGCTATAAGCTTACTATTCATGAGCTCTACTTGTGAGCGTAGGGTCGTGATCTCTTCGTCTTTGCTGAGAATACTTTGGCTCATGCTCAATAGGGCATCGTAGTCAGGAACTCCTTGCTTTACCGAATCCGTCTCGTTCTTCGTATGCGTTGCTGAAAGCTTATCTAAGAGGACGTCTCGCGAAACCGTCATCTTCTCCAGATCCTTTTGAAGTGCTTCCACCTGTGCCCGAAGCTCTCCTATTCTCACATCAGCTCCTTCCATTTGATCACGAAAGGCCAGCTGAGCCTCTTCATTAGTCTTGGCAAACTGTTCATGTAGCTCTCGGATTTCAGTCTTCAACTTGCTGTTTTGAAGAGCTAACTCGCCAGACTCTTTCATTACCTTTTCAAGCACTGCTTGATGCGCTGAATTAGCAGATTCCATGGCTTGCTTGATGCTTTCTAGTTCATTGGATAACTGCGCGATCGTTGCGTCCTTATGCTCTAGATCTAAAGCGTGTTGCCTTTGAGACTCTATAGTTGTCTCCTTGAAGGTAGCAATGCTGTTTCTGATTTCGGACATATCCCGCTGGTTTTTTTGCTCAATGAACTGGATGGTTTCCCGTGCCTCCGCCAGCTCGCTGACTAGTTGTGATATCGTTTGCTTGCTCTCTGTGTCTAATTTCTCCAAATGTAGAGCAGACTCAGCTAGCGCATCGGTAAGCTGTCTTATCTCGCTGTCCTTTTGAGTCACTTGCTCGTGAAGGCGCATAGCAGCTGCTTCGGCTTCAGCTGTAACCTCGTCAAGCTTGCTTTGAAGCAGCTGCTCTCGCTCCTTGGCATCAAGCTGTATCTTTGACATCTGTCCGGTCAACTCTTCTGTAACTGTGCGGAGAGACTCTTTTGTTATTTCCAATTCTTTGGTAAGATTAGATGTCGCAGACATGAGATTGCTATTTTGGCTGGTTAGGCGCGTTACAGTGATCACACTTGCCTCTTTCTCCTCGTTCAGCCTCTCTTGCAACTCATTCAGCTTGTCCGTAAGATCACTTATGGTCTTATTGGCCTTCTCTTTGTTTGTGAATAGCTCAGCAGTGAGGGCCTCGATAAGTTGTCTATCAGAGCTCTGTGAGGTCATGGTAGCCTGTTGAGAGTCTGTAATCCTCTGCTCATACTGTGCCACCTGATCTTCTAGGCCCTTTATAATAGTCGTGGATGTGGCTTTCGCCGTCTCCAGCTGTGACTCCAAATCGCTACGCTCCTTTTCTAGGCCTGTAATGTCACGCATCATCCGTGCAATCAGGGCTTCATTAGACTCACGAGATCCTTGTAATTCTGCGCTTAGCTTCTCCACTTGCTGTTCTAGATCTGTCACGACCGTCACAAACTCCTCTTTTTGTGTCAGAAGCTCGTTATTGAGCCTTTCTACTGTTTCCTCGGCCTCCTTTAGCCTTCTGTTCATGTCTTCTCCGGCTAAGTCAACCATTTCGCGTTGATGGATAACCTCTGATGAGATCTTGTGAATGACCATATCCTTAGTTGCTTGCATGGTGCTATAGTCGTCCCGCAGTCGCTCTAAATCTGCCTGTGACTTCTCTAGTTTTTGCTGAAGATCGTAGAGCTGGGACTCTGAGAGGCTCTCCTGCAACTTAGTGTTGACACTATCGGCTTCTCTGTTTTGCTGGAGTGAGCTCTCAAGACTACCGCGCAGCGTCCTTACCTCCCTTTCATACTCCTGCAGAGTAGACTCCAGAAGGGCCTGAGTGTTGAGCGCGTCGCTAGCCTGGTTTCTTGTGATTAGCAGCTCTGTGTTCAGACCGCTGAGTTGCTTCATGACGTCTGAATACGCCGTCCGTGTCTTAGCCAGCTCCTGTGCAATAAGCTGAAGCTCATTGGAGAGGCGCTCATTTTCCTGACTACATTTTGCATATCTCGCTTCAAAGGACACGCGACCGTTCTGCTCCTCAGGCTCACAACAGATGCCTATTGATACAGTCTCCACGGTATCGTCCCTCTTTATCCTTAGTGACTCATTCTCACCTTTCAGTTGGTTTATTTGGTGTTCTAGGGTAGCCACTTCTCGCATATTACGGACCATTGCAGCAGCCATGGCGTCCTTAACGCTTTGTAGTTCGCTTCTCAGGTCGTGGATGGCTGGTGAAGCAGAATCTGTAGCAGGACGTTCTTGCATATGGGGCGCTTCCTTCGAGGTGCTTTCAAGATGAGCAATGCGCTCACGATAAGTGGCAAGCTCTGCGTCTGCGTCATTGATCCTCTGGGAAAGAGTTTTAATCTGGTGGTCCCTGGCGAGCATCGCCTCCTTATAAATTCGCTTTAGCGCTCCTAGTTCAACTTGCGTGCCTAGTGATACTTCGAGCGCATTCTGACTAGACTCCAAGTCCTTTAACTTGTCATCAAAGCTGCCACCATCAGAAGGAGCTCCAGATGCATGTTCATCGATTTGAAGAATTGCCATCTCCTCTTTCAAGTCTCTGATTTCTGCCGTCTTCTGTACAATGGTATCTGCCAGCGCTGCCTTAGAAAGAGTAAGCTCTCCCTTCAGTCGCTGAACTTCCGATAGTTCAACATAGTCTTCAAGCTTTCTCCTCAGACTGAGGATCTCTGCATCTTTTGTCTTAATCATGGCAGCCATAGATGCAGTGACCTTGGAAACCTCGTTTCGTGCCTCAAGGATATCTTCCTGCGTCGGTAGCATGAGCATTTCAGTCGTTAATGTGTGAATCTTGCTCTTCAACTCTTCAGCTTCTATGACCTTGGCCGAAATAGCCTTCTGTGACTCTATTCGAAGAGTATCGAGCTCCTGCTGCAGTCGCTCAACGTCTGGATTACTGCGCTCCAATTGCCCCTTGAGCTTGATAACCAGATCCTCCTGCTTTTCTACAATGGCCTTTAGTGAAGTAACTTCATTTTCTAGCAAACTCCTTTCCTTCTCAGCAGTCTCCACTTGCTCCCGCTGCTTGGAAAGTTCGGCATCTTTCTGATGCAACTGCTCCTCACAGTCCTTGCGAACTTGAGATAGACTTTCGTGGATGCGCTGGAGCTCAAGGCTATAGTCACGCTTAGCATGAACATCGGCCTTCAGCGTCTCTATCTGCTCATCTTTGCTCTTGACTATTGCCTTAAACGTGTTTTCTGTGTGCTCTAGCTGCTCTGTAAGGACCGATAGCTTGCTTCTAAGTCCTGCTATTTCATCATCCTTAGCAGTTAAAAGAACTAGCTCTTCGTGCTGTGCGTGGAGCTTAGAGTCTTTCAATTTCATCTTCTGCTGATAGTGCTCATCCATCTGCTCCAGCTCCTCAGCCAAACGTGCGATCTCCTCATCGCGTGCCAGAATAAACCGCTCTGCGTTGTGTTTAACATTTTCTAATTTATGTTTGAGGCCTTTTATCTCGCTGTCACGCTCTGTAACCTCCTTAACAAGCTCTGCTATCCGTTCTCTTGCAGCAGCCATCTCCCTGTCCTTTATGTTTAGTTCCACCTTCAGAGTCTTGAGGTTCCTTTCTAACGCATCTATTGTAACTGCCTTCTCACGCATGATTCCCTCGTTGAATGCTGTTACGGCGTCTATCTCCTCATAGTACTGTGACAGATCCTTGTTGTTGGCAACTCGATGCCCGCGTTGCTGAATGTGCTGTGATGACGCAAAATCCGGCTGCTGTGAGGCCAGTACACCATATGATCGAGGGGTAAGCATGAACAGATCCTCGAGATCACTGCTCTCTGTGGTTGCGATGCCCAGGTTAGACCGCACAGAGTCAGCTGACATGGGCCGCTCTCTAACTATGGGACGAGGGTCGGCCTGGTCATGGTAGCGTCTAGATGGTGTTGTTGCTGAGACGCCGCGAGACGCTCCCCTAGAAAGGCCTAGCTGTTGTGGACTTGAAGTACCGTTGAGTTCTGGATTTACGCTGGCCTTAGTACCCAAAGCCCTTGCTTGATTCTGCATGTCACGCCTAATACTGCTTAGAGTGTATTCTGAGTTTGATATGCAAGCCATTAGATCATCATTCATGGACTGCAAATTTGCATAGTTATCTCTGCCCTGAAGTTGAACAGACGGCTGTTGGAGATCTTCAATGCGAATGTTATCATCTTTTGCATATGGATGATAGTGTGTTCCATTTTGCGCTGGCTGTGCACGGTCTAGCTGGTGAGAGTAGACCGGAGCGGGCATCCAAAATTTTAAAGTCCGTCAGTTTACCCTGTTTAACAGCGAAGCACTAATCCACATCCCAGAGCCGCATGAAGGCCTCGCATAAAGGTGGCGCGAATCCAGAGCGCAGATCTGCTGCTAGTGATCCGTACTTGCGATAGAAGAACTTACATTTATTACAAGAGTCGAAGAAGAGAGACGATACACGGATTAGTCGGGACACATCTCCCTTGTACTCTGCACCCTTCTTGGAAGAGCGGGTCTCCTCGAACTTTATTGTACCAGTTTTCAACTTTTTTGATCCCTTCATCTGTCTGGAGGCCGACCTTTCCACCTTGGGGGTGTCTTTCCCTTTTCCTTCGTAATTCGTAAAGCAGGCCCGGGATATGGCGAATGCTGCCCCAAGGCCGGGATTAATCAAAGCGCCTGTACCCATGCTGAAAGCCGCACAATCTGCGTACGAAAGATTGCATAGAAAGAACTCCTCAAGGGTACTCCCAAGGGCCTCCTCTGTAATGGCAACGATCTTTTCCCACTCGCTGGACACCGTATTGGCAATCAGCCATATTATGGCAGAGAAATCCTTCCGTTTGATGGCATTCACCAGCTGTACTGATTCGTTTGCTGGATTGTATCGCTCAGAACGCGTCCCACGTAGCCAGGCCTCGGCAAGAGCTGGCCATATTGGGGCAGCCTCCTTTTTACTCGGCTTGACGCTGCCGATGATATCGGCATCAAGTTGTCTACCGCACATTTTGGTGTAGTGTGTGCGGATAGACTCCCAGTCAGAGTGCGACGAAAGAAAAATCAGATCTATCATGGTAGAATAATCCGAAGTGCGGATTGCATTTAGAAGGATTGCCGCCCGCACCTCGTGCTTCTGAGACCACAGATAAGCAAGGATTGTTCTCTGCGGTGGCTTAAAAAGCCTATCTATCATATCAGAGGGCAGCTCGCCATACCTCGTGATGAACAGCGGAAGGACCTTGTCCCTTTGGTCTGCCGGATACCTTGATCCCAGTGCTACGGCTCCCTGAAAATCTACGAGGTTAAGCGCATTGTAGAGACTCTCTGCCAGCTCGCCTATGGGGGTCAGAACAGGCATTGACGGACAGTGAAAAGCCGATTATTAATTCACACCTGTTAAATGCACGCTTTAGTTTGCGCCTTCGGTGTCAACACGCCAAAGTGCACAAAGAGCTCGCCCGAGACGGGCGTCGTAGAGGCGCTTAAAGTCTGAGCCGAGCTTGCCGTACTTTTCATACGCAAACTTACACTTTAATGCCTTGTCGAACATAAGAGAGGTGATGCGAACCATCCGGTCACTATCGCCCTTTTTGCCAGAGTTGGCGAGGGAGCATAGGTAGGCAGCGGCATAGCCGGGCTGTAGCAGGTAGAAGTGGGCGGTAAGCAGGGCCTCCATGTCTGTCTTCACGTAGTTGGACGCAATAAGGGTCTCCACCTCGACGCCGTACTTCTCTGTGAACACCTTATTTATCTTTTTCCACTCTCCCTCTGTGGTGTTGCACAGGAGATCGATCAGGCCATCGGGGTTGCCAGATTCCAAGTAGCCCATGAGCGCCGCGGCATCCTCACTAATAGCCTTGCGCTCGTATCTGTCGTGTTTGATCCACCCCTTGATGAGTTGCGACCACGGCTCAGAGCTGCCGATATCACTGAGCAGGGTGTCGTTGGCCACTTTCTGAAATATGCGCGTGTAGTGTGCTCCCATCTCGTACCAGTCTTCTGGGCCGCAAAAGAGGACGACGTCTATCAGTGCAGACTTGTTGTTCTTGCCACTGAGGGCCTGGTTGAGTAGGCGTGCACGCACCTCCTGTGCATCTGTCCACGCATACATCAGAAGCGTTTCAGCAGGCCCTGACTTTAGAGCTTTCTTGATTGCATCGGCAGGGTACATCCCATAGATGGACTTGTAGTTAATTACAACCTTATCTCGGTGCTTCGACGCATACTGCGAAGTCAACTGGACAAGAGCGGACTCGTTTTTGCTATCTATAATCTTCTTCAGCTCCGTGGTGAGGTCGGATACAGTGAGGGACATCAGGTCTAGAATCGAGCCTAGAGTGAATTTTTGACTGTTTCACTTTGATTTAATGAAAAGGGTTCACAAAAGGATTTTAAAGCGGGCGTTATGAGCGCGAAAGTCGTAATTATCTGTGCATAGGTCGAAAAGGTGAACACAGGTTACGATCAGAAAGCGTCGCTCCGTTGCTTCGCTGCTCCACCGCCCATATCTTACGGTGTGCATAGAATCAAATTACTGCCAGGAGAAGGTCTAGATTGCGTTGGCTTTCTTTCTCAGTGGGGGCTGTGCCTCGTAGCTCCTGTCCCGGGGTCAAGGCTGTCTCTATGACGCTGTCGAAGCAGATGTGGTCTTCTAGGCACCATAAGTAATCTTCGTGCACAAACAGGTCCTCTCCGGCCGGAGAGGCGCTGCTTGGGAGCAAAATGTGCGGCTGATATGTTGTGCCAGCCGTGATTGGCTTGTAGTTTTCCGTCCACATTAGTTTTTATGCCATTACTTTTTACTTTTGCATAAAGCAGCAGCTTATTACAGCATCAGTAGTCTTGGACCAATTGCATACTAGACTATAGCGTGCTTTTTCATACGCTAGACATACTTTTGGGCTGCAAGTTAATTGCTGGGCTTAAAGGTTGACAATGCCAATTTGTGCACCAGATCAGATTGTACTATGTTCTTGCTTGACAACTGGCCTAATTGTGACTCAAGCAGGGCGTGCCTTATTGCTTCAATCCGTGGATTTATATTCTTGAATTCATAAAGAGATTCCCTGCACCACAATGCCACACATGAATAGTTGTAGCCAGGCAGTGCCGAGCCTATCCAACCCCATCGTTGGCAGTTACCAGTTCAGCAGACTCTTGTGGCTGCTTAGCTTCAAAATTTACAGAGTCTAACAGCAATATGGATGCTCAGGGTTTGTGTTCAACTATTAAAACAGCGCTAGCCCTTCAGGATAGCGTTGCATTCAATGTCCTGGCCATTACGGAGTCGGTGATCACGGCCTGTTGCGCATTGGGGTTACGAGAGAGCGCATCCTTTCGGACAGTGACCTTTGCCATTTCATAAGCAAGTAGCACATTGCGGATCGTGATGGGAATACCCTGCTTTTGCCTCTCCAAAAAGAGCTTGTATTCAGCATACGCCTCATACTTGACGGGATTTGGTTGGAGATAGTATTTCACGCTAACTTGGTGGGTAGCGTTGCGTTTTTCCTCTAGATTGGGGGCAACAGCGGCATATTCGCAGAGCGCGCAGAGGGCTTGGTCGGGGGTGAGGGATGGAATGTTGCAAACCTGACCGAAGACACTTGCAAGCCCAACGTCGCTCATTGCTGTCAAGCACGTAGTGGTGCCGAGAACAATAAGTTTATGATCAGGCGGAGCTGGTCTACAAATGAGAGCGTTGAGGGTCTGGAGGACATTACTGGAGAATCGGAAGCCAATGGGCGTATACTGTATGATGGACTCTATGCCATCCAGAATTATTAGAGCGCGCGGGACCCTGTAGGCTGCCTCAAAGATTTGACATATAAGGTCTGCACGCCCATACTCTGTCGAGGTCCTCATAACAAGCTGCTCTGCAGAGATAATTCGAACAAACTCACATCCAAGCCTCTTCGCAATGACAGAGCATAGAGCTGTGCAACCAGTTCCAGCTGCAGGCGCTGCAAGCAGCATAGCGCCGGTAGTAATACTGCTGTTTAGGACTGCCTCTCCAAAAGACACAGCCTGCTGGACGACAGACTCGTAGCCGGTAGCCTTGAGGATACTTAAAGGCGCTGCAGCATCTAGTAGCGTGCGGTCTGCCTGGCCGTATCCTGCTGTAACCTCCCCCAGGGCCCTTTCAAAGTCCTCTGCCACCACCAGGACGTCAACCTTGTTCAAATTGGGTAACTTGTTAGGACCCACCGACTTTGTTTTCTCAATAGCACGCTCCATGGCAAAGGATGTAGCAGACCTAACAAGACCTGCTAGTTCAGCGCCAGAGAAATTAGGAGTGCGCTCAGCGAGATGTGCGATATCGACATCGCTTGCAAGAGACTTGGCAGCAACCAGGTTTTTAGTGTGGATCCTCAGAATCTGCTCTCTTCCTCTGCAGTCGGGAAGACCAATCTCCAGGTGCACTTCAAAGCGGCCGGGACGCATCAGAGCCTCGTCCAGAAGCTCTTTCCTGTTGGTCATACCAACCACAAGCACGTTACCAAGCGCGTCGGGCCCGTCCATCATCGCAAGTAGCTGATTAACCAGGCTGTCCATTGTTCCAGTGTTGTCCGACTTGCTGCCTCGTTGTTTGCATACCGCATCAAGCTCGTCGATAATGATTATGTGAAGCTCAGATGCATTCTCGCGCTCTTTCCACTCCTCAAACGCGTCACTGAACAGATCGCGCACCTTCTGCTCCGACCCGCCAACGTACTTATCCAGAAGCTCTGGACCGGAAACCATCTTTGGAGGCCGCGCGTTCAGCAACTCGCCAATCTTCCTGGCTGTCAACGTTTTTCCCGTGCCAGGTGGTCCGTACAAAAGGAGACCCTTAACGTGTGTCTGGCCAAGCTCTGCCAACTTGTCCGGTGGAAATATTCGTGACATGAATGCGCGCCTAAATATGTCCTTAAACTGCTTATTGAGGCCCCCTATTCCTAAGCTTTCTGCGTTAGTTATGCCCCCCTGCTCGTTCTTCTCAGGCGTGTCGTTGATGAGATTCATCAGCGCCTTAGCCACCGCAGAGACTTCTGCGACTGCGTACTCCCCGGTGAGCTTTATTTCCTTTGTTTGAGTCTGGAAGATTGCTTCAGTATCCCTATAGAAAGCAAGTGTGGTCTCGTCGCTCACTATCTCCTTGTTCTTGCCAGACATGCCAACAACCCCCAAGATGAAGAAGTCAGAACCGTCACTAATGGCAAGGTCCTGACCGATAGCAAGAGGGAGGTGGACAAATTTCTCTGTAATACGGACCTTGAGCTTTGCCGTGTCTATGGTCACTGGCTTTTGTTGCTTAGCCATTGGCTTGATCATGAATACCACAGTGGTGGCTCTGGCAGTGGCGTCAAACTTGGACCGTGACACAGTGATGGGAGTATTGTCCAAAGGCGCTGCCCACTTTGTTCTATGAAACGTTGACAGGAGGATCACGCCCTGAGGAACCTCGGGCATGGGGTCGTGGTGGGCTGCAACTGACCCGCTGCCCCTTCCCGGTCTCAGTAGGACGACGTGGCCGTTCCTCTCGAGGTAGACGTTATCAGACTTCTCGTTGCCAAGAACTGCAGCATAGTCACTAGGACATAAGTATGCACAGTTGGTCTCGAGCAAAGAGGTGCTAGGGTACTTACCGGCTTTATAGCTGAACCCCTCTCCAGACATTTGACAACCCTGTTTTTTAATAAGTTCGTCAGTAAAATTGGACAAAGGTGTGGAATGGAACATCTATCCATCAGGTTCCGTGGTGTCTGCGCAGACACCACGGAAGCACCCATGCCCACCAACAAGATTAAGACCCGGAAGTACAATTGGATTGTTTTTCCCTTTGTTGCTGTCCTCAAACAGTTCCGGCTTTTCTTCAACCAGTTTTTCTTGGTTCTAGCCTTTCTCCAGCTCTATCGCCCTCTTCAAGTTGGCCTCGCCTTTACATACTACCTTCCTCTATGTTTCATTGTCCTAGTCAGTGTTGGGCGCGAATTGTATGATGAGCTGAATCGAGCAAGACGTGACAAGTTAGTCAATAGTGGCAAGTACAATATCATTGGCCCCTATGGACTCGTTCCTACCAAGTCCGAAGACATTAAGGTTGGAAGCATCGTGCTTCTAGAGCCAAATCAGAGGGTTCCCGCGGACATCGTTATCCTCCAAGCCGTGGATCATTTGTATGTCAAGACAGTCAATCTGGATGGGGAAACAGATCTAAAGGTCAAGATGCCTTTGCTTGGTACTGTCGATAGCCCAGAAACACTGGCAGCACCGGACCTGCTCTCTGCAGTCCTTGATTCCATCCACGTTACCTATGCCAAGCCATCGGATAATCTCTATCACTTTTCCGGGGTTCTTCAAAACGCACAAACTGACGCTGTAATTGGACCCATTACAGTTTCTAATGCAATCTGGATGAATTGCAGTCTTGCGCGCGGATACGCAACGGGATTGGTTGTCTACACAGGGAAGAGCACACGCATTATGCAGAACCTTGGACGGCGACGGGTTAAACAAGGGTCTCTCGATGTTGAGCTGAACATGTTTGTCAAGGGCATGTTCATTTTCTGTCTGCTCCTGTCAGCGCTGGTTACATTTGCCACCACAACCAGAAGTATTATCGTCTTCGTTCGCTGGATCATAATCCTCAGCTCGATTATTCCATTGGCCATGCAGGTTTCCTATGACTTCGGCAAGCTCGTCATGGCCGGAAGTATTAAGCGGGACGACACCATAAGTGGGATTGAGGTCAGATCAACCGATCTAGCTGAAGAGCTGGGCCGCATTAGCCATGTCTTCAGCGACAAAACAGGGACTCTGACACGGAACGAGATGTGGCTCCATGAGGTTGTTGGAGAAAAAAAGCCCAGCTTGTCTGTCCACGTATTTGATAATTACGCTAGCGAATTGCAGCGCATCGTCCTCTTTGCAATCATGACATGTCACAACGTCGAGTTGTTCCGCGAGGATCAGGATTCACCAGAGCAAGATACCGCCCTTAGGCCAAGAAGGAGGAGGCAGCCAAGAACTTGCTCAGCAAGCACTAGTCAATCATCTGAACAGAGAACGTCTCAGGAGCCAACTAGCTTTCTCGACGCGAGCATCTCTGAGGCCATCGGGCTCGAAGATCGATCTCAGCCTGTGCAGACGCTCTCACTTTCCGATTCACCAACAGAATTGCTCTTTACGCGCCGCGAGATTGACGAAAATCTGATCCTTAATCGATATATTGGCTCATCTCCCGACGAGGTTGCAATAATAAGAAGCATGCATGCGCGGGGCTATATACTGGAAGAAAAGTCACATAATCTTGTACGCTACACTGCTAGTACAGGATCTCAAGAGTTTGAGCTTCTTCATACCTTTCCATTTACATCAGAGACCAAGCGCATGTCTGTCGTCACTCACCACATTGCTACCGGAACCACGTTTATTTTCGTTAAGGGAGCAGACACAACTATTGAGGTGTTTGCCAAGTACTGTCCATGGCTTCGAAACACCGTCGATGCTTTGGCAGGGCTGGGGCGGAGGACCCTCGTGTATGCGTACCGCATGCTCGATGATGACGACCTTAGTAATTTTCATTCATCCATTACTGCTGCGTCTGCAGATCTGGCAAACCGAGATTCCATACTCGTGAAATGCGAAGAGACTCTGCTGACAGGGGTGGAGGTCTTGTGTGTAACAGGAATCGAAGATCAGCTCCAGCTCAATGTGAAGGCAACGATCCAGGATCTGAAAAGAGCAGGAATTAAGTTCTGGATGTTGACCGGAGACAAGGTTGTGACATGCTTGAGCATAGCCCAGTCGTGCGGGTTGCTCCCAAATACAGCAGTCAAGAAGCATACCAGCAAGCTTCGTGCATCCGAGAATACCGCGCCTTTGACTACTCAGTCGCTGCATCCTGAGGCATGTAAGTATCCAACTACTCCATCTCTAGATGCTGTATCTATTCCTACAAGATCTGAGATAGAAGTGGGCCAAGAGGATAAGACACCCATGGCAATCCTCCGCAGAGCCATTCGAGATGATCCCAATTCCTTTATGAGTGTCACCTCCAGAAGAGAAAAGCGGCTCAATAGAAAGAAACGCCCAGGGTCTCTTGTTTTAGCAAGCACGTGCTATGGGCGCTTGAGTGAGCATATCTACTTCTTGACGGAGGAGCTCACCCCTGTTGAAATAGTCTCCGTTCTGAAAGAGCTCTCTCAAATGGTTAGCTTCACACATGAGGTTACCATCGTCATAGACGGATCAGCGCTGGAGAAACTCCTCGGTAACTACCCCGTGGACTACTTCTACACACATGCAATCCATCCCATCACTGGGAACCTTCTTCCTTTGCACTCGTGTGTAAGGATCTGGAGGAGATTCACCCGCTGGTTACTTATCTACCTTACAGGACACCCCAGACGCGGTAAGGGGAGTCTTGGACCAGATGCAGAGACGCGCGAGCTTTTTGCAAATATTGCTAGCAAGGCAGAAACGGTCCTCTGCTGCCGCTGCACACCAACGCAGAAGGCCCTTGTTGCAGGCCTCATTTCGGTATACACAGGCAGCAAATCCCTAGGGATAGGCGATGGGGCAAATGATGTTCCCCTGATCGAAACTTGCTCTGTCGGCATAGGACTGCGGGGCAAGGAGGGCAACCAGGCGGCCAACGCAGCAGACTATGTGATGACAGAATTCCGAGGACTGAAGAAGCTTCTGTTATGGTATGGCAAGTGTAGCTACGTGGGTAGTGCACAGATATGCCAGTTTATCGTCCAGCGCGGGGTTGCGCTATGCTTGCTCCAGATTTGTTTCACCTGCCTTTACTTTTTCACGTCTCTCGTTCTTCACACCGGGGTACTCCTCTTGGGATACGTGACGCTATTCACAATGTTTCCACCGTTCAACTATTATATTAACGAAGATGTGGACTACCAACTAGTACTAAAATACCCAGAAATCTATCGGATTACGTCGCGTGGATCTATTCTGAACCTTAAGACATTTTTTCTCTGGACATTTAGTGGCTTTATTATAGCAGTGGTAGTGTTTCTTCTTGCATACATCTTCTCGTCGTTTCCCATTTCTGTCAGCAGATTTACGTTTTTCAGCTTCGCCATACTGCTGTGGAGCGAGCTCTGCCTGATCCTTGTGACTACCCATCGCTTTTCCCTTATGCTCCTCGTTGCCTTGCTTCTCAGCTACTTGATGCTATTCTTGGTTGTTGCCATTTATCCGGGCTCCTTGACTCGTAGCGAAGTGTTTTCTCTAGATATGTTTTGGCGCTTATGCGTAACAAACGCAATATCGACTGTACTGCTTTTTGTCGGTGAACGCATCGTTCGCCGGTTCTCTAAACCAAACGTGGTCCGTATTCTCAGATCAATGAGAAAGCCAGTTTATTGTGCTACATGCAAAGTTCCACGGTGTTGCACGCGTGAGTCGCAACAGAATGTGGCTGTCATAGGCAAGCCTTCTTTCAACCAAGACCATCCTGGCCTATCTCGCAGCGTCTTACGAGATCGAAGTAAGCCCATGTATAGAGCAGGCTCTGGGATAAAAACGGAATCCGAATCTGGCTCGGGGTGGCCCTCTGGTATGGTAGTGACGAGCAAATCCCACAGGCGACCCTCTTCATCGAGCTATGTCCGTCTTCGAGGCATTTACATTCTAAGCTCCACTGGGAGACACTTCTTCAATATGCCGGAGAGTGTTTTCAACATCCTCACGCTCAGGATGTGTCGTCGTTGCGTCAGAATAAATTCTTAGGAGAGAATCGTCTCTTTGATAAAGTGAACAAGATATCGCTCGATACAAGGCCCTCGAGTATTCGCCCTACTCGTCTGACAGGCGGAGTCACCGTCGCAGGGACAAGGCGTACTGCGAGCGTACCGTGTAGCTCTCAGCGTTTCGCTAGACCCGTTGACGCTCACCTGTCTGTGAACTCACTTCAAAAAGACGACCCCTTCTCTGTGCTCCAAAGCTACACAGCTACGCCCTGCGCTGACCCGATATCACGCAATCGTAGCTCATACAATCGTAAGACTGCAAGTTATTTGAAGCGAGATGAGCATTATGGTCACGACCCTGTCCCGAGCGGGTCTCTAAGCTCCTCCTCGGTGGTGTCTGCACAGCTTATTCAAAGACTTAGCGCAGGGATGGCTGGTCTGCAGGATCAACTGACCAAGATGACACGACAACAGGAGGTCTTTGCCAAAGAGACTGTCGCCCACTTACGCCTCATTGCTGACTCCGTTTCCTCTGTAATTGATATGCAAAGCAAAAGCCTGAATCGATTTACAGAAGACCTCTTGATGGTCACACAAAAACTGGATCGTCTGGAGGCAATAGTCAGCAACCTAGAAGAGGCAGGGTTGCGGAAGGAAAGCACGCGATCGTTGTCTCCAAAATTGTCTCCCCACTATCCAAGGTTTGTGGGTTCTTAGTAAATGCTCCTTTACACAGAGTTCATTGCCCCTGGTTGGCCTCCTCTGTTTCCAGCAGGTCCACTATGTCTCCGTCCACATTCTCGGGCGTGTAGGCAAAATCGAGCACATCGGTTGTCCCGTTCGTCCCAGCAGACTCTATATTTCGTGCTGGTTCCTCCTTTTCTTCTAGGCCCTCGTTCTCAGGAGCATCCTCAGGGGGGTTATCAACCTCTGGCAATCCAGTATTTCCCTCTGTCTCATATGTCCCCTCTTCTTGGTGTTGTTCAGCATCGGGTTGCCCCTGTTCTGTCCCAGGTTGGTCTACGGGTGTCTCCTCTGCGGGATGCTCATAGGAGCGCTGACTATCCAAGCCTTGCTGATGATCCTGGTCATCTTCTGTACTGGCGCCTGTTTCATAGTGAAAGGCGCCTTCTGAGTCTTCCTGCCCCTCTTTAAGCGGCTCTCGATCTAGACGCACAGCATCTCCGTGGCCCTCAACATCTGGATGATCCAGCGCAGACCCATCTTCGTTCTTCTCTGCAGATCTGTGCTGGTCGTCTTCTGTGCTGTTTCTGGACTCGGGTGTGCGTAGACGCTCTTCATCGACATCGGACAATGGCTTTTGTCCCTCTTCCTCTGCCTCAGCATTAGCGTCGGCACTATCTGCGACATCCTCAGCGTCCTTAGCTTGTTCAGCGGGCTTGTCGTCCAGTTCTACTTGCGTTGGTTGAACAGTGCTAGTATCGGGCTCTGCTTCAGGAGGAATGACCTCTTTCTGTTCTTCTGTAGATTGCTGCATAACGAATTCGGTTGCTTGTAAAGTCGTGCTCTCTGTACTCTTCTTCGCTACTACTGGTGGAGGCCTTTCGCCGCTAAATGACCCAGGAGAGTATGCTGACATCGGCAATTGGAACTTACTCTCAAACTCCTTAACTAGAGAGTTGTACTCCCCACGGGGATCTATGTCTGTGTCTGTGCCTGCCTCAATAGCGATCGTGCGTTCACGCTCCAGCTCCTCGACACGGGTAAGGTACTGCAGGTACACCTCATCGGTGTTGAGCTCTGGGAAACGCTCTTCAGGAACAAACTTTTCCAAAGGAACCTCGTTTTCAGGCGCAAGCTGAGGGATCAGTGTATCCAGTCTAGGAGTATCAATGCCCTCAACAATCTCCTTTAAAGAGCCGCCGACGAAGAATAAAAAGGTTGGTCGACAGCGGCCGTGGTACCTACGCAGCCAGGGGACAAACGCGTGCTGCACCCGGACAAACTTCAGCTTCCGCGTAGCAAGGTCGACGAAGTGATTCCGAAAAATAGGGTCGATAGACTTACAGACGTCGCACCAGTGGGCAAATATTTCTAGGACAACCAAGCCTGGAAACTGCAGCTCAGATTGGAGCGTATATGGGTCCTCCACATCCACTTGAAACTTCTTTTGCTTCTGCATCAATGTTCAGCTTTTTTTGAGATTAACGGAATTTTGGGGGACAGGGCTCTGTGGATTGAAACGCACTATAATTTACATTTATAGATAATACAAGATAAAATGGAGACGCAGCACACGGTTATGCTTCCATTCGTCTCTATCAAGGGGTGATCTTAACCAAGGAGGTAGAGAGTCATGACATTGAGAAGCTCGTGATAGATGGCCCCGGAACTGACATTAAGAAGATACTCATTTGGGCTTGCGAAATCAAAACTATGGGGTGTGGAAAGACTCTGAACCGTCTCTAGCTCCACGTCAAAGTGAGCAAGAGTGTTGGAAAAGAGAAGGTCGAACTCAGTCTGGATCACGCTCAGGGGCGCAGTCTTGTCGCAGAGCATCATCATAAGAGATCCCAACTGAAAATAGCCTGTTCTAAGTGCTGCTTTCAGACGAGCAAACGACGCTGCACTGGTGGCCTTGGCAAGATTGTTGGAGGGTTGGACTGGATCCAGTATCGAAATGGTTGTGGGATGGTACACGGAGATAGCTGAAGGGAAGGGCATGATTCTAGATAGAGCAATAGGGGATTGGACGACCGCTCGTACAGCGTCTGAAAGTGCGTCGGGCGGTGCCTTATCGCTGGTCTTGTCGGCGGCTTTTTTGGCCTCTCTACGATGCTGCATGGCGTGCTCTATATAGCGAAAAAGAATCTCCAATCGTGCGTTCTCAGCGTGTGAAAAGGTGTCCTCTGAAATGTTCTCAGGTGGATTTGTGGCAGTTTTGAACCGACGAAGGCACCCAGACAGCTCTGGATACACGTTCCCCAGCATGTTCCTGGCAAGAACAAGAAAAAGTAACGACTCTTTGCTGATGTAGTGTTGCGACATGCCATCACTTTTGAGCAGATAGTCGTAAAGCGCCCGGTGGTCACTGCCATCAACCTCTGAGTTTGGTACGACCCCGAAGGCTGTGATGGTGTTGTTTGTGAAGTCAAAGGCACTGTAGAATGCAAAGAACTTGAACAGAACTTGAAGAGGATGTACCAGCTCTGGTGAGTTGGTGAGAATAAACGTTGTCATTACACGGAGGGCATACGAGTTAAGCATTTGCGAGTGGCTGCCCAGGATGTGCGCTTCATAGAGACACCAGGCCTGAATAAGGATGACAGACCGTTTCAGTAGGTTGTTGCGGCCAATGGCGTCGTTCAAAAGCTGGAGATAAAGAGACGTAACGAGACCAACGGGCCGTGCAGATGAAATGTCGATGAAAACGCCGTTGATTACAAGGCGTATGATCGGTACTTCTGCTTGAATCTTAGATAGGTTGGTCAGCTTGAAAGGTGTATCTTCGTGAGACGCAGCTACTTCTTTGAGATAGATATAGAACTGTGCAAGCACGTCAGCCGCGTCGTCCTCTCCGACAATGATGGCAAGATCTATGTCTCCATCAGGCAGGAAGATCCGCGTAACAAAGGACCCATAGGGAATGAGCTGGAGTTCTGGGAATAGACTATGCAATTTGTCTCGGATATACTTGATGATTTGATACCTGCAGGTGATGCTGTCCTCGGTTGGAACTAAAATATGATACAAGACATTCAAGCGTGCGTTGATTGCATCTAGTACTTGGTATGATATAGTGCCTGGCTGCGCAAAGCATCTATCGACGAGGTCAGCATCCACTACAGAGGAATCGCCGGCTTGACTGGTCATGGAAGATTCCCCTTTTGGTTTTTACCGACGTGTTCACGAACTTGTCACAAGCCTATAACCAGGATACCAGAGGTCTAGCTCCTGCACCTGCAAGCTCGTATTTCTGCAACCACTGCGGTGAATATGCAAACATACCAATCTAAAAAATGTATCAGTCCTCTTCCGATTCAGAGATAGAAACACCCTCCAGAATTGTTCGCTTGCAGAAGCCTCAGCAGCTCTCTGCTAGGTCGCTCGTTAATGTGTACTACGAGATAACCTCGTCCTTTAGTCTGTTATTCACAGGCATGATTAACAACAACGTCGTTTATGGAAAGGGCCTGAAGATGGAACAGGCCTCCACCCTTTGTCTCTACACTCCCAACATAAAGCAAGTCATTATAGTTGGAAACGTCTACGTTCTCCGTACCATGGACAGCCTTGCTATTTATTCCGATGCCGGCGTACACCTCCTGAACCTAGATGGTGCATGCACACACATTGAGGCGCTATCCCCTCACCTCTTTGCTGCCTTGGAAAGCGAGTCAGACGGCTTTCTTCTCAAGGTGTACGACACTACCGGCATGCTCCTCTACCAAAGACACAGTCCCACCACAGGCTCCCCCTATAGCTTTAGCGCTGACTCTGCCACGACACCAAAGTGCAAGATAGTTAGTTCCTATTCTACCGTACAAAAGGGGGTGACAGACATCTGCATTTCACTGACAGATGTGCTGATTGTCTTGCATGTTGTCACTATTCAACACAACACGGTGTATTATCGCACGCGTGCTAAGAGCAAGCCCTTCAGGTCTCCCGCTCTTCCCACTAATTCGAAGATGAAGTGCAAGATTGAGCCCTTTGTTGACGAACTGCACAGTGGCCTATTGTGTTCCTTTGAGCTTCCTTTTAATATGCTAGCATTCGACATAGTGGGTGTGGCGGTAGAAGGACCTACAGCGCCGTCTGATGCTGTTTCGGTCTCTTCTTCCAGCCTAGGGAACGATTTGGGTCCCCTGGAGGAGCACAGCGTACGCATCTTTATTCATGACATCAAGCAGCGTCACGTCCTCAGCTTTGCGCTCAACGTATCAACTGTTGAGCCACTCAAAACTCAGTCCAAGCATGCCATAGACACCTCGACCATGAAGCTTTCTGCTGGGAACTTCCGAATCTTGAAGAATGGAATAGAAAACAAGCTATTCTTCAACGAGTATGACAATTCGTTGATCGATTTCTCACGCAACAAGAGATACTCTTTCCAGGAGAAGCCCTACCCCTCTGGCCTTCAAGACTCAGCTGCACTAGTGCTTTTTCATCCTAACTATAATATGAACAAGTGTACGCTTGCAATGGTCAGCCCGCAGAGTGTATCAACTGTGCAGCTTCTCATGGAGACAAGCATTCCTACCAGACCAAACCAAAGCATAATGACATTCGATAGGCTAGCAACAGGAAATGCCGCGATTCCTGTGGAAAATTTATTTTCCACCACCATTGGGCCACCCAAGGTCTCTACGCTATCAGTTAATCTGAACACTTCACTCCTCATGAAGCAGAGCGTCCCATCACCTAAGCCCGATCCTATTGATGTCATTGATGTACTCTCTGTTGCTTTGGACGAAGCTGGCCAATTGCCAGCTCATGGTGACACATCCTCACCCACGCTAAGTCAGGCCAAGGAGGCGCTGCTACCTTCGTGCAAGAGCGACCCCGCTTTGTGCGAAGTAGTATCTCTAAAGTTGCGCCCTCCGGGGTCCTCGAATACTGTTTCCATTCACCCACATAGCAAACAAGGCACCCCAGGGCAGCAGCACCAGCAGGTCTCGGCGGCTCCAGCATTCCCCTTGAACGTGGCCGAGCGCATAGAGAAGAACATCCAGAAGGAGATGGCGGCGGGATTAAGTTGTATTTCCGACCTTCTTGCTCCAAAAGTTCCTCTAGAGGTTAAAACAGCGTCCAGGCTACACGATATTAGTGTAAAACTGGATAAAATAGGGAAAACAGTGGAGGAACTGGCGACAAGATTAATCACTACTCTTAAGAAAGAGCAAAAGTCGTCGAGGGTGGAGGCGGCGATGCGAACTATGGAAGCCTTACTTTCTAAAGACTTTCACTGTCGATATGAAAATCTATCGCTCACGGAAGACACACCTCCCGCCGCCCAAGAGCCTGACACCGTTCCTCCACTGCTGCATACATTGGATGAAATTTGCGCCATGGTCCCGAGAGAGACACAGGAAAACATCATCCCAGAGCTTCCAGATGGTGTCAGCACGCAGAGTCTTCTTATTCAGTATATTCACAGCGTTGTGTTTAGAGAGACAACGCTCGTTACTGCCAGAATGCTTCATACCTTTGAACGCGAGTTCGCCTTCCGCATGAATGAAAGAATAAAGGAAATGATGGCACTGGTTGAGAGCAGAACTGTCACTATGATAAAGGAGTCTATCGCTAGCTGTATCAAAAAGTGTCAACAGACAAAGGTATCAATTGAGCCGAAACAGTCTAGTGCATTTCAACAGCACAATGCTGCGAGTGACGACCGTACATTGCAAGAGTTGATTGGGCGCATCACGGCTTGTGAGCAGCAGATTCGTCAGATCTCTAGCAAGCTGCATAAGCCCCCAGAGCAACCAAAGCCCCATAACCCTGTTCCACAGACCGTCATGCCAGAGCCTCCACCGGTGCAACGCCTAACAATCTCGAAAGCTACAGCGCCTTTCCGGCTTTCTCCCCCTTCAGAGCCAGCGCACACGTCATTATCATTATGGCCTTCTAGTCACGCTACATCGGCACCCGTCACGCCCCAATTGTCTTTTCAAGGGTCTACCGTGACCATTCCCCGCCCAGACCTCACTCTGAGTACTTCTAAGGCCAAGCCGCCGGAAATGTGACATAACAATAAGCTCCTCACCATGTGGTGTGTCACGACATCAGCTTTCTGCGGACCTTCATGTCAACTGTAACTAGGTACTGAAGTGTAAACGTCTGCAGTGAAGGCTCTAAGATGTTATCGAGAAATTAAATGGACGGGTTGACTCTCTCCTTAGTGACAGCTGCGTCGACACTTGCCGGATGTTGGGGGATGCTAGCTGTCAACCGCATAAGTGAACTCAAGAATCGTCCAAGGGTTACCGAGAAAACTGATGCGCCCATGCCTTCCCTTGCTGTCGTTCTGCCCTGCCACGGCAGCTATAGCTTTGCAAGAATTTGTGAACGATGGAACTCACAGCTCAATACGACCTACTCTGGACCGGTAAGCTTTGTGTACGTTGTTGAGTCTTTAGATGATCCTGCGTTCATGACAATATGTAGATACCTGAGTCAGGTCCACGGGCTGGAAGAGGCGGGAAAGGCGGCGCTATCTCAAGATCCTAGCTATTTAGAGAAGGACGTCATGCTAGAGACGTCTCCTCATCGTAGCGTTCGCTTGGCGGTGGCAGGAGTGACTTCTCGAAGCTCACAGAAGATTCATAATATGCTCTTTGCGCTACGCGACTGCACAGCGGACTTTGTTGCGTTTCTAGACGACGATATCAAAGTGCACCGGGGAACATTGGACAGCCTTGTGTTTGCCCTCCGCGCCAATCCGCACGCGTTGGTTTCTACAGGATATAGCGTTGAGGTCCCAGTAGCCCAAGCCACAAGAGCCCAAAAGGAGCTACCACCCTTCGCCAACCAGCTCATAATGGTCTACCGGATGATCAACATGATCTCCTTTTCGTTCACGCGCGTCCCTTTTTGCTGGGGTGGATGCTTCTGTATGCCGCGACAAGCCATCTACGAGGGGAGCCCCTCTCCGTACTCTGCTTGGGTGGATGGCGGCTATTCAGAGGACACAATACTTTCCCACATAGCGCATCAGCAGGGAAGGTCAATCATATGTCCAAGAGATGCTGTTCTCGTAAATGAGCTGCATGCATCTAACAGCATTGCAAAGTCCTATATTCCGTATCTGCGCAGACAGCTGTTTGTCTTGAAAACCTACCACACCCACTATGAGAAGATCGCAAACAGGCTACTTTTGATAGCAGCACTAGGAGCCTTTCTTAGCGTTGATTCGATGGTTATCTTGGCAGTAGTACGGGGCATTTGCTGTATTTCCAAACTAAGCCTGTTGGGTCTACTGCGTTCCTTGATCTTCTTTCGAAGCATAGAGGTTGTGGACAGGGTCTACTCCTTCCTTTTCCATGTCAAGGACAGTCTAGGTCTTTCCACAGAGCTCGGAGCAATCATCCTCAAAGGCCAACTCTTCCAAGTCAACGCTCTAGTAGTCACTCTGGCGCTATTAGCAGCTGCGCACAATACGTGTTTTTCTCTTCTTGTGCGACTATGTAACGTGCAATCTCCCGAAAAGCTGCAGACCAAGCCTAGCATCAGGATCGGAACAACTGCCATTGCAATTCTAGTCCATTGCTTTGCAATGCCCATCCTGATAATTAGCGTTATGTTTAAGAGACAGATCCGTTGGGGGTCACGGACATACGTGTGTAGTGAAGGGAGGGTGGCTTCTGTAGAACTGACGAGTTCAGCCCTGAGGTCTGCCAAAGAAAAGGCAAATGCAGAAGAGGTCCTTGCCACCGACAAAGTGCCTGTGGTAAAGGAGCGCATACAGGCCAATAAAAAATCCCTCGACTGATGGGCCTGCGCCTCGCCTACTACTACTCTGGCTTCATCACAGGCTGCGTAAACATCTTCCTTTCTACGGTGCTCTTGTTTACGATGAATTCCCCCCAACCCGACAAGGACAAGCTATTTCTTCCTTACTACATCTTCCTCAAAATGCAGTTGGCCCTGCCGATTTTTGAACTGATTCTGTCGTTTACATCTCAGAGAATTGACCCTACACTTGTCGTCGTGGCTTCAATGTGCGGCAGAGTCCCTATTCTGCTTTCCGTCGTCAGACCGGAGTACTCAGTATTCACGCTAGTGCTCGGCATTTTATATGGGCTGGGAGACGTGCTGAAGTCAACGCATGCAGCTGATAAGATCGACGTCGGTACATCTTCAAGGATTATAGCATGGGTACGCTATTGTACCCCCATGTGGTTCTACCCTGTAACGTCTCTCTGCGGCGAGCTTCCTGTACTTATACACCACATCCATAGCCTGCCTCCTTACACTATGGAAAGGGGCTTCTGGACCCAGTTCTCCCTGATGTATTATTCTCTCTTCCCGCTGCTTTACTTCGTCCACTGCCTGTTGTACTACCGCAACGTCAATCGTCCAAAAATATATGCAGAGCACCTAGCCGCCTATAATGCCTATCTTCAGAAACAGAAAGAGAAGAGTAGCACTGCAGACGAGTAAATCTTGTATGTAAAACAAGATTTGTCTACGGATTGCTCTACAGGTCTTCCCGGACTTCGAAGGGCCGAAAGCCGTCCAGATCGCCAACTGGAAGACCGGCTTCGTTCAGCTTTGTCCGGAATACTCGGATTGCTTCGTTGTAGAGCCGCATAACGCGTGCAAGCTCGAATGAAAGCTCGCGGATATTGCGGTTCTTATTCTCAAGGACAGAGTCAAGCTGGTTGCTAACGGCGGCTGCCACCGCACCATCTAGATTAGCCGCTGCAAGGACTTCGGTGAGCTGGGCCTGTCTCGATTCTAATTCGTTGTTCAGGGCAGCTACTCGCCTCTCGAGTAGTGTCTCGCGGAAGACTCCCCGCTGCGCCACATCCTGGACCGCAGCCTCGAACCGCATTCTAAGGTCGTCCCTCTCAAAGCTCGTGTCCTTGAGAGCTTGCTTCAGCTGGTCAGCCTCCCACATGAGTGCTTTGAGCTCCTTCTGTAACGCCTCTGCGCGACTATGTGATCGCTGTAGGGCCGCGTTCTCCTTCTCGGCGCCCTCCAGTTTCTTACGGAGAACCTCAACTTCGGCGAGCGCATTCTGAAGAGGCTGCGTTAACCGTCTGTTCTCCTGGGCAATTTCAAACATCAGCTGCTCGTTGGCAACCTGGCGCTTCTTCATGTCTTCGAGCTCGTCTTTGAGGGACTTGATTAGATCAAGGTTGGAGGTAATTATACCCGTGTAGTAGGTCTTCATCTTCTGGAAGTTCCGCTCATGCTGAAGGATAAGCTCGTCAATCTGGGAATTCTTGTTTGTCTCCACCTCCAAGACCTCTGCTTTGCGGCGCACTTCCGATTCTTGAAGGGCGTTGCGCAGCTTCTGTTCAAAGTCCTTCTGCATGGACCAAAGCTGCTGCTCGTACTGCTCTCGAAGCAACGAGCTGGAGCGGCTGTGTTGATCCTTGGACTGGCGCAGCATATCCTGCGAGTTGAGGGACGCCTCTTTTATGCGCAGCTTCAGGGCATCGACCTCACGAAGGAGCTCTGCCTCGCGAGCGCGGTGAAAGTCCTCCTCTGCTCGCAGCGCCTGTTCTGACGAGACCTTAAGCTGAGTTGCTTCGTTAGTGTTTGTGTAGAGGATTGACTTGATCTTCTGTTGGTATGTTTTGACTGTGACCTGATGATTCTCAACCAGCTCCTCGAGCTCTCGGTCCTTGGTGCGGAGATTAGCGCGTGCCTCCTCGAGCTGTGCAGCGGAAACTTCGTACAGAGTGAAGATTTTGTCCTTTTCAAGCTGGAAGTAGTTTCTGCTTTCGCGTTCCTGCTGGAGCTCTGCTGTCAAGGCGGTGACCTGTTTCTCCAGCTCCTCAATCTTTCCGGTTAGATCGACGGTCATGTCATCGGTAGGCCTGGCCTTCTTCGCCTTCGAACCTTTCTTCCCCTTGGTTCCTGTCTTAGGCGGCATGGTCTGGTGACTTCTACAAGTGCCAAAATTGAGAAACTGGGGCCGTTGTGAAAAGTTATCTTAAAATTGCATAATTCACACAAAATGGTCTGCAGATGAAGCCGCAAATCTAATTTGAAATAGAATGAGCGACAAAGCAACCATTCATATCTCCATATATTCGCTCAACAACAAGACCACAATCGACCAGCCGATCTACAAGGTGAGCGCCCAAGCAGATATCGAACTACGGCCAGAGCACTTTACCACCATATCAAATCTGCAGATGGCTATCTCGGAGCATACCCGCGTTGGCTTTCTACGATCTCAGTTTTTTCGAATAAGCCTCCAGACCCTTTTCCCAGATGAGTTCATCTCTGACACGAAGACCTTGCAGCAGTACATGGGCAACGGGGACGTGATTCCCGTGGAATTGCATAATCTTGTCGTGGTCCGATATACCAAGGCCCAGTGCAGCCAGCTCCGCACCAAAGTTACTTTTGAGGAGCTCTTCTTTTTAGACAACATCATTAGACTCAAGCGTAAGTATACCCGAGCCTCTATAATCACGGCTTCAAGCATTGGACCCGTCTGTACCTCGACGCCCACAGGGTCCCAACAGCTGAAGACCGTCTCTCCCATGTTTGGTGAGTCGAAGCACTCCATTGGACCAGGAGCTTCAAGCTTGGTCGAGTCCTACGATCGCCTCATGCCGGACCAGCGAGCCCAGCTCCTGGGCTGTGCTGCCACGGTCATCGACGCCACGGCAGAAAGGCCCCAGGCCTTCGACGATGCATTAGTGGACCTGAAGCGGGTTTGTGGGACACAGTACTTTAGACCGTACTCATTCCCTGTTATTGAGCGTGCAACCGCCCTCTACAAGGCCGGTGCACTCCCCATCTCGAGCATCCTGAGAGTTATGGCCGGAAATTGTAACCTCCAAAATCGAGTTGGGGGCGTGACATGCAAGAGGCACTACGGGGTCCCGACAGTCTCTATGGAGGTCCCCCTAGACCTGGTTGACGAAGTCAACGCATTCATAGGCGCCAAGATGCTTCGTAGGAATCTTTCTACAGAACGTAGAACATCTAGCCCCTAGCTCTTTAAGTAGTAAATTATCTTCGATGGACGCGACCCCACCTCCCTCTGGGGCCAGGAGAGTTTGCCACGAGTCGCCCCTCGAGCAGCGACTGCGCGCTCTCGAGCAGGAAAACGAGTATTTGCGCTCAGAGCTTGTGCAGACCCGTGCAGAGCTTCTTCGAGTCACACGGCGCAAGCGAGCCCTGGAGGTTGCAGTGCGTGAGCAGCGGCAGAGGCTCAACAAGATCGCTGATGGCACAACGACAACCAGCAATGATGGAGATGCTGCATCGGAAGCCGCTAAGGCTGAAGCATACCAGAAATTTACGCGTGAGTTTATAATAGAAGCAACGAACTATAAGAATACAATGCTTGCCACTCAAGCAAAATCCTACGAAGCCATGGCCGACGCTTTAGTCGCAAGCATGCAAGATCTCTTTAGCACTAAGGAAGCTATATATAACGCAGAACTAGAACGACTTCGTGGACTCAATAGAGAACTAGAAAGAAAGTGTGCTCAGCTAGTAGATAAGCTGGGCCAAATGAAGCCCCATAGAACAAAGTAGATAGGATCTGAATTAAGTGATGTTCTCGTGTTTTTCTGCCAATATTTTACCAATGTCATATGCACGCCACAGGGAAATGAGTGGGATGGCGGTGTTATCGCTGAAGGTTTTGCGAAAGTCTGCTGCCAGGTGCCCATAGACGCTATACACATACTTGCACTTAAGGCACTGATCGAGCACCAGGCTTGTAATGCGGCAAACACGGCGAAAGTCTCCTCGCTTGCCTTCGCAGGCACGGTGAATCAAGAATGCTGCTGCCTTGCTTGGCTCACAGAGCCAGTAGTGCGCTGCACAGAACGCCGTTTGCTCGAAGCCGGGGAAGGCCATGCAGATAGCTGTCTCCAAGGACTTGTTTGTGTGCTCCTCGTAAGCAGCAACAATCTTCTCCCATTCCTGTGGCTTCGTGGTTACCAGAATATCTACGATGGCCGCTCCATTGCCTCCCTCTAAAGCTTGAAGCAGCATATGCGCGTCCGTCTTTACATTGTTTCTGTAGTGCCGGTCGTGTTCCATCCAGCGATCAATTAGTGCTTTCCATGGTCGATCCGCCGGCATATTCAAGCGAATATCTGCCTTCAGCGCGATTCTGAAGTGCTTCTGATAGTGCACAAGCGTACTAGCCCAGTCATCTGTGCTGCACAGAATCACAAGGTCCACCAATGCGTCTCTGTCCAAAGCGCCGCGGATAGCTTCCTTTAGCATCTTTGCCCTGGCTTCGTGTCTATTGGTCCAGCAGCGGATCATAAGGGATTCAAAATATCCGGTCCCCCACTCCTTGAAAAGGTCCGCAGGGAGTACATTGTACTGTTCCATGAAAGCAAGCGCAATCTTTTCCCTGTAGCCAGAAACATATCGCCCAGTTATTTCGCTGATAGTTATTGCGTCACGCTGCATTATCGCGTTGTGAAGATCCTGTGCAACGACGTAGGCCTTCCGTGAATCGTCCATTTATTTTACAGGCCGCAGAAAAGGTCATCGGGTTGCGCCAGCGTATAAAATGAGTCTGACCCCATTGATGAAGGCGGCAAAGCAGGGCCAGCTTAGCGTGATAACCCAGCTCCTCGACGAACAAGCGGGCCAAATAAGCAGCCGTGGATGGACAGCGCTCATGTATGCTGCGTCCGCCAACCACGCGGATGCAGTCACTGTCCTTGCCCCGCGCGAGGCGCGCATATTTCCAGACGAAAGGGGCGGCGCTCTCCTCGTTGCTGTTCAAAACGATGCTTACGATTGCATCCGGATTCTTGCACCCCTCGAGAGTGGACATAGAGACTCTAAGGGCTGGACTGCGCTTATCTGGGCGGCGTTTCACAACAAGCCTAGGGCTGTTGAGCTGCTCATGGCTTACGAGTCCGGAAACGTCACCATGTCAAAGATGACGGCACTGATGTGGGCTTGCAATAATAATAACCAGGAGATAATTAAGCTTCTCTGTACACAAGAGGCTGGCTACGCCAATGAGGCCGGACGTACGTCTCTCATGTTGTGTGCAGAGCTGGGCCACGTGGCAGGTGTCGAGCTTTTGGCTGCATCGGAAGGTGGAATGTATGATAGGAATCGCCAAACAGCTCTTATGATAGCAGCGATTGCTAACAGCGTGTCCTCGGTCAAGGCCCTTTTAAACTCAAGGGATGTCGGGTTTGTAGATAAGCTGGGTCGAACTGCACTAATACATGCCCTAATGAAGGGCCATAAAGAAGCGGCAGAGCTGCTCGCGCCACTGGAGGCGGGGTGCCATGGTCCTGGATCCAATCCCGCTCTTTACTATGCGCTCACGGGAGGTCACGTGGAGGTTGCAGTGCACTTATTCGAGTCTGAGAAGGATCTCCTCTACCAGAAAATCGGTTGTACGCCGCTCATGTTCGCAGCAGGCGGCGGACACAAAGAGCTGGTTGAGCTGTGGCTAAGTGAGGCTGCACTGAGAGACCACGAGGGAAGAACAGCCTTGATGCACGCTGCAATCAATGGCCATAGTGATTGCTGTGTGGTACTGGCTGAGGTGGAACAAAAGGCAGTCGACAATAAGGGGCTGACCGGGTTAATGTATGCTGCCCAAAAGGGGCACCTGAATGTGGTTCAAGCACTGTTACCTACAGAGGCAGGGATACAAACTACTACAGGGGAAAGCGCTTTACTATATCTTTTGCGAACTCAATCTTTTCAATTGCAGCTGGCCAGGAGCGTCTGGGCTAAGACATGTAAAGCTCTATTGAAGGCAGAAAAGGGTCTAATAAATGGTGACGGGCTGACACCGCTGATGGTCTCTGCACACAACGGCCATCTTGATGCAGTGAAGCTGTTCCACGAGCATCTCAAAAGGCAAACCTTGAAGGATGGAACTACTGCCCTCATGTTTGCTGCGGAGCGAGGGTATTCAGATGTGGTATCGTATCTACTGCCCCATGAAAAGGGGATGGAGGACGCCGCTGGTCGGGTGGCCCTTATGTATGCAGCAAGGAACGGCCACTTAGAGTGTGCAAAGCTCTTAAAGACTAAGGGAAAGGAAGACTTTCATGTAGATAGGGACGGATACTCGTCACTAATGTATGCTGCAGAAGCTGGAAGCCTGGAGGTGGTCCAGCTGCTACGCGCGCGCCAATTGAAGTTAAGAAACAAGGATGGTGCAACAGCGCTAATGCTTGCCGCCAAGCACGGACATTCATGCGTTGTCAACGCACTGCGTGAGGAGATGAATTGTGTGGACCACCAAGGACGAACGGCGCTGATGTATGCGTGCGAGTCCGGGGCAGCCGATATAGTGGTTATTCTCGGGCCAGAGATTAACAAGGTGGACAGCCATGGGCATTGCGCCTACGACTATGCATACAACATAGGAAACTACGATCTGATCAACGCTATAATTTCCTGGAAGACGGTATATCTAAAGGTGACACAGAACAGTGTCCAGAATTATTGCACCGCGCTGTGGCAAGTTATTGCCGCGTACATCAGTAAGAACAATCTAGAAGAATACAAACCGTTTTTTGCAACGCTATATAATTCAATATTAGCGTTACTCTTTGATGACTTGGATATATATGACGTTGAGGAGGCGGGGTTCCACGGACAAAAGATCGCACAAGAGCGGATAGACGAACTGAATCATTATCTGACAGTGACGTTCTTTGTAGATATGGGACTGGACTGCGTGATCTGCATGGATGCCATTCCAAACGCGGTGTTGGTGCCATGCAGACACATGATTCTCTGCAAGGCGTGCGCTCCTTTAGCTAGCAAGAAGTGTCCATATTGTAGGAAGAAGGTTAGTGACACAATTATCCTCAGCGATTTGTAGTCTCGCATTTAGTTATTTAGAATTTGTGAAGAAGATGTTGGACTGGCATCAAAGTTCAAATTCAGGCTTAGCTGCAGTGAATTTGAAGACCTAGCGGAAAATTTGTCAGATCTGTGGCTTTTAGTTGTCGGAGTGACCTGTGCAAGTTCGATTCCATCCTGCACTCTCACGGGAATAGATGTCTGTAGGGGTGATCCTGTTTGGTCGTCCAGGCAGTCACCCACAACAGTTTTGGTCAAGACTAGAGTGCTGTTGAGCGTCGATGAGGGCTCTATGCTTGAGTCGAAAATGCTTGCTCCAGGACATATCTTGATAGACTCTGGATAAGGGTCATGCTCGGGCTCGTGGTTGGGTTCGTGCTCAGCCACAACTTCTGGTTCGACTACGGCCTTGACCTTTGGCCGCGACGATGCAATGGCAGATGAGAAAGGTCTCATAAGCTTCTGGAACCTGGGGATCGTCAACATATCTTCTATACTGTGATTTATTTCTGGATTCTTAGCCAGGTCCTTAGCGAGGATCTTAAACTCACCGTCACTGATAGCCCCGAGCCGATTGCAGCAGGCCTCATAGTTATTCCAGTGCTCACAGGGGTTCTGAATGTTCACAGGCGGACAGTCATTTACGAAGATGTGGATGCGCCATAGCAAGTTACGATAGAGTAGGTAAGTGCGCTCCTTAGCTGCTCGAGAGGTGCCCCACTTCTTTTCATTCAGCTGATACCTGGCAGAGTCTAGGACGGTGAAGCCGCGCTCATCCCGCTGCATGAGCGACTTCATGAAGCTTATAGCGAAGTAAAAGAGGTTTCGATCCTGTTGGAAAGGGGGCAGTGGGCCGACAATTTGGAGACCCCCGATAAAGAGTTGCATGGTTGTGTTGGGCGCACAGGAGTTTGCGTCAGTGTAGTATTCTTCTGGGCCTAGGATCAGGGATATTATCTCTTCGAGAATCTTGTCACGGCCGAGGAGAGCTATCATCAGAGCGGCATTTCCGCCATTGCTGCTAGTGAGCTCCACTTCCTCTCGCAAAAGCAGATAGTCCTTTGCCTTAAGGAGTGTTATGGCGTCGCTAGTGTTCAGAGTAACCAGAAGCATCAGTGCAGAAATGCCTGTGGCCGTCTGAGCCCTGAGAGTGTGCTTTCTCACCTCGTTCTTTGGCGGCAGTGCACGGTTAGATCCTGCTTTGACTTTGGAGCGCGCGCTAAGAGGAGCACCGGCCATTTGTGCATGTGAGGCCTCGTGCTTGTATGCGTGTTCTAAAAGTGTAAGAGCGACATCGATATGCCCTCTTATCACAGCGACCATGAGAGGTGTTGCGCCTGGGGAAAGGTGGATATGAAGCCTACTATTAATGATGCCCAGGGCAGAAATCCGCAGAGGCTTTTCAGTGCAAGCCGTCGCTTCTGTCCGAAGCAGAAGCTTGACAATTGCGTCATGTCCGTTGTAGGCCGCGTAATGAATGGCTGCAAAACCGCTGAAAATAGATCCGTGTGCCAGAGTGGGACGTGCATCTGATGGGGCGGTATTGTGCTTGGAGAGAAGTTTTGTAACAACGCGAATATCTCCGGTGCATGCAGCCCGAAACCACTCTTCACGGGCCTTTTCTCTTCGTCCACGTGCTCCCCCACACAACATCGCCACCCTTGCTCAGAAGCGTAAGCCTTGTGGTGCGGCTCTAAGGCAGGTGCCAGATTTTGCCGGTTCCCCGGAGCTGAATGATACTACGCCATATGGCAATAAAACAGTGTACAAGGATTTATTGACCATTGATGCGATGCGGTTGTTTAGACAGCAAAGACAGTTGTTGGGTTTCTCGGCTACTACTGGACTTTGGGGTTACAATTCAAAGTTGGTCAATTTGAGCTTCAAAAAATACCGCCAAAAAATGGCAATTCGGTTTTAAAAATGCCGAAGGTCACCGACATTGCGAACGAGCTCAAGCAGGCCATCGATGCCAAGGACGAGGTCCAGATCGCGTTCATAGCGTCGGAATACTCCGCAGAGTCGCGTGAAAAGATTGCGAAGGCCTACGTTGCCTCCTACGGCAAGGAGCTCCCCGACGACATCAAGAAGGCGCTCAAGGGCGGCTCCGAGGAGAGCCTCCTGATGGATCTCTTCAGCGATCGTCACGAGGTCCGCGCCCAGCACATCCGCGACGCGCTTTCCGGCAGGAACGACCACATGGCCTTCTTCGACACAGTCATTCTGTGCACCCCCGAAGACTGGCACGAGACCGTCGCCGCCTACACGAGGATGTTCAAGAAGCCCCTCGTCGAGGACTTCATGAAGGATGTCGGCCGCAAGGAGGACTGGTGCCTGCTTATGGAGAAGTGGATGGCTCACGAGCGCGTCTCCCGCCCCGGCTCTCCGGAGGACGAGGCCCAGCGTCTGGATCAGGCCTTCGACCAGAAGAATACTGCTTATCTCATCGACTTCTTCGGCACCGTCCCGAGTGCGGAGTACAGGCCCATCGCCGAGGCTTTCAAGGCCCAGAACGGCAAGAGCATCGAGCAGGCTATCGCCACCATCTACACGAAGACGGACTACTATACTTTCTACTGCGCCCACTTCGCCCTCCTCGGCATGCACAGGCTTGCGGCATACCTGATCAACTGCGCCTGCAATGACAAGGGCGACGAGAAGCGCATGAGGAGGATCACGGGCATGATGGTCGACAAGTGCCTCGGGGCGAAGCACGCCTACAAGATCTACGGTGACATGGGCACAGACATCGAGAGATGCTTCGACAAGCGCATGGCCCCAATCCTTCGCACCCTCTGGCGCGTGAAGTAGGGGTTTAGTGAACGTCTTTAGCTTTGTCTCTATAACTCTACGGTTAATCACGGCGTCTCCCCAGAAATGCGGGTCGCTCGTGCTGGTCTTGAGCTGCCTAGTCGATGCCCCTATACTGCAGCTCTTCGTCCACCCCTGTGTAGGATGCAGGTGTAGAGGCAGCCGCGGTTCATACCGCCCATGCACAGGAGGGGCTCGAGATGGCCCACATCACACGACGTTTTACTCATTAAGGCCAGGTACGTGGAGGGTCAGGTAGTGTGCAATCGATGCAGCGGGCCCTTCAGTCCGTTCTGTCCTTGCTCCTCTACGCTTGGCTTTGCTTCTGACCGGTGTATCAGATGCTTGCGTCTAGGCTCTGCAGCACGTTTTAATAGACTGAGTGGACCTTAGCTATGCATCGGTGGAGTCGTGATCCAACTATCAATGGATACCTTGTACCAGTACATAGGACCTTTTGTCCGCAGATGGCACTCGCCGCGGTCGGACATCAGAACCGCAGTATCGTACTCACATTACCACAGTACACGTAACACAGACACAAAAATCAGTAGAGAAGCATTGGCTTGCTACGACCCACTCATCATTGATCAGAATATCAAAGTGGTGCTCCTTGCCAGTGTGCCACTCTTCACAAGACACCCAGAGGCACTCAAGCCATCGCTCAATGGGGCGCCACGCTCGAGGACTCTGTGTGTTTCGATGAGTGCAGTAAAGAGAATCTACCGACAGAGCCCCGTACTATGCTCAGACAGCCCATGCTTCCGGATCTCCGGCAAAGAATAAGGGGTAGGCCTCGACTGGCTCCCCATCATGCGATAGTGATGCCGGCGTACCAAATGATTGCATGCTGCTAAATGCTTAGAGCACTGCTGCATGAAGATAAACTTGCATTAATAGCCGATGGCATTTCACCAGTAAACCGAGGTGTATTCCCACACTGTAGCTGGTCTCCGTATAATCTCTTAAGCGGTGTTCGGCCACGTTGAGCAACCAAGGGAGTCGGCAGTGACTCCAATATACACGTCCTGCCTAGTCTAAGTCTAGGAGAGGCACGTGGCAAACAGGCGCAGAGGGCCGTGGAGGTGGCGCTGCACTGTGCTGCCGGGTCTTACTGTAAGTACGGCTCAGAGGTCGCATGACTAAGCCTAGTTGATGCCATTGTATTTGGAAAGACAGCAACGATGGTCTCCTTACCAACGGCTGCCTTCAGTGCAGCTACTAGGATCTAGCCATGACCTCCGATGGGCCCTCAATCTTTGACTGTGGGGAAAGTTGCTCGGGGCAGCATAAGGCCATCAGTTGCACAGGAGGTAACAGGAGACCCATCAAGATAGCCACATATCATGCTTAGCTGCCGAGAAATCAGTGAAGCCTCATCGAGTCTCCAGACGACCGGCTGCAGTGTTCGAGAAGCACAGCACCCTTTCAGTCATCTGCGAAACGAACTACTCCCTCCACCTTAGTCCAAAGGCACCTCGAGGAATCCTCTGTCCATTGCCTTACGCCACCTATAGGGAGTGAGCACCCGACGAGGCCACTCAGAGCGACTGCCTCCTGTCAGTGTGCTTTTGATCATGGACGGGCCCGTATGACCAGGGCCACCAATGGCTGCAACCGAGACAGATGGAAACACCTGGAAAGGCCAGCAGTGCCCTTATCCCTCGCCCACCAGACATGTCATAGGGGAGGTACCACCTAGAGCCTACCCGAGATTGCAGAGGGCTGGACCTCAACAGACCAGATGCGAAATCCCCTGACGCCTACGCTCAGACTGAACAGGCACCACATAGGCAACCTCTAACGCACCGTTCCATGGTAACGTGTCCTTGCTAACTCAGCTGTCTGGGGCCAGCTCTAGCGTCCAGCCTTAATGCCATTACTATCTACGAAGGACGTAGTACTCAGTTGAGACGGTAACTGCAGGACTCTATATGCTCTAGTTGTAAACTGGGAGTATGAGGGCCCATTAGTATAATCTATAACGGACATCAGTAAAGTTGTGAGATACAAGGTACTCCTGCCAGTAACGCCTAGTGCTGTGCTGGACCTAGGATGTGCCCGAGCTCGGTAGATGGCCGTTAAGGTCTGGCCATCGGATGCAGAGCCTTGGCTGCATGAGAGAAGGCTACGGGCATGGCATGGTCGTCTGTCTGTGCCTTACCTGTCAGAGAAGTTCAATGCAGAGCTCAAGACCAAGACAAGTAGCTCCAGCAGTCATACTAGAGGCCATACATGTCAGTCAGCGAATGTAGGGTGACTAATTAGGTGTCCAGCCAGATAGAAGATGAAGCACGGCCTGGAGGCAGTCTATGGGAGAGTGACTCACCATACGCAGGCTCACGCATCGCTGCAGGTCACATAGGGGCATATGATGTACTGCATATTGCCTGACGGACCGTGTAGCCGCTACCTTCAATGACCATGGCACGACAACTATATTCCCTACAGATGTTAATGCTCCAGACTGATGCATACCAATCTAGTAAAAGATAAGAAACACAAATACAGCTCTAGGAATGGTCACTGTCTCGATCAGACCACTCGACGCTTCAGATTTCAATTGGGCTTCCCATAATTTACTGGGTCAGGAGGATGGCCCTCCCCGCTTTATGACCATATGCACAGTACGGGGCACATCGCTGTGCGAAGACAGGATTACAATAGTCAGTGGCCCGGTCACTCCAGCCAGGCTGTTATTTGGGGGAGCCCGGCGTTATCCTCCGCTCACCCCTGCAAGTGGCCCTTACGCCGAGTCCACGAACATTGTTGTGGACCACGATGCCCAGAATCAGCACCCCGAACCCCAGCAGCTCCAGAAGCGAATACGGAGTGAGGGGCTCTCCGTACGGGCGACTGTAGTGCCTCGTCGAGTAGTATACTATGACCATGATGGCCCATATCAGCAGTGATCTCAAGTTATCAAATAGAGACAGATGGGTTGAAGTAAGAATCTTCCCGACAACCAGCCCGGACCATTTAAAGAGTAGAATGGATAGCGCATATAGGAGATTCATGGCTAGTATGTTTCCGTTGACAAAGGACATGTACAGCGAGTTGGCATAGTTCTCCAGGCTCCCATGGTCGCTGCCAGGTATCACGTGTGCCAGCGGGCACGCAACGCACAGCGACAGGATCACGCCACAGACACCCTCCCAGCCAACACCTAGCAGAGAGTCTATGGCCCGGCTCTTGAAGGTCTTCTCTTCTAGAAGGTATTGCGTGGCAGAGAAGATCTGTCCGCCGACGACGAGCAGGACCCCTATGGTAGTCTCGAGGGTGTCTCCGTGCTCCCGCTTCTGGATCGCAATGGCGACGTCTACTAGGAGAAGTCCTAGAAACGCAAAGCAAACACCCATGATCTCCCACCTCTCCGGTCTCCTTTTTAACAGGGGGATTGCAAGGATCTGGCAAAAGACGATGGTGAACCCCCGAAGGCTTTGGGCCGCAGACACCGAGATGTATAGCATAGCAGTGTTGAAGGCCGTTGCTTGCACAAGATCCAGGGCGGAGAAGCAGGCCGTCGCAAGCACAAACTTCCAACAAGGCAGTGGACCCACCATAAGCTTCCTTGCTTTCCTTCGAGCGATCTGCGGAGGGAGCTGCCTCTGCATAGACGGATGTGTGCATGATGTCTTGAGGGCTGTGCTATTCTCTTGCTCGAAGCTCGTTGCACTACTGGCAGCCATATCAGGAGACGATTTGGAGATGCTCCTTTTAATGACGCACCGCTTTATGCAGAAAACTCCCAGGCCGATACTCTCACCAAGGAACATGAAAAAGGCTGGAATCCACACCTTGTCGTACAGCTCCAGCTGGCCTTCGACATTCTTGCCCTTCATATAGTATGAGACCTTTCTGAAGACAATACCAAGGGCGCCTGCCGTCATCATCGCTGCAACGAGGAGTAAGATACGGTATCTGAGGTCTATGTTGCATGGCATTGTGTCTGTAGTCAATGAGAAGTACAAAAATAAATCCTTAAGCAGGGTGATTTTGGCTGACCCTTGACATCCATGTGGCACGGCTGGGTGGTAGAACCCTAAGTGCCACAATCCTGAGAGGTTCCTACTCCCCTGTTCACTGCACTCTGTATCATGTAACAAGAAGGTTTGATGGGACTAGACCTTGCTGGTTATGTGGCCCTCTCCATGGCCCCCGGGCTTGATGAATGACCAACGCGAGGCATCAGTCGATAATACAACTTTTTGTGCAGCATCATCTGGGTAAGCAAGTGCTGTAACGTGTCGTATCCTAAGAGGCACAGTGGCCATGATCTAGCTTGGTAGGCCAGAGCAGAGACAAGCATGCCTCCTTGAGGGTACGAGTCCCATAAAAGCAGCTGTAGCACATTCTGATGTTCTTGCTCGCTGGCACTCGTTCGTCCCTTTGTGACCTTTAGCGCCAAAGAATCGTCCCTAGCTAGCCAGGATGATGAGGAGGCTCATCCGCCTGCTGATCATGGGCTCCATACAACCGACCCTATGGTGAACAACCAAACAGAATGCTGCGTTCCCCAGAGTGCGAATGGACGATTGTGTACTGGATAGCTGATAAATTTCCTTTGAGGAACCGGCAAGCTGTCGGCGCCCAATGTGCGGGTGAAGTCTGTTCTTACTCAGCCTGCCATTATTACTCGGGTCCTCACTCCTGGACGTATGTCCTGAGATCCTGGATATCGCGGTACAACAAGACCCTGAACACTCGGCCAGTAACAGAGTGCTCTAAGTTACATGCTGAATCTCATATGGCAGAAGAATACCCCGAACCTTGAAGCCTAGGGCTAACTAGAGGGCAGCGAGCAAAGAACAGTCCGACAGCCCCTGTTCGTGGGCCCACTTGGCACTCCATCTTGGCAAAAGGCGACAGGAATGCGCAGTGAATCTCCTGGCTGCTATTTGATTGCTCTCGGTCTCGACCTCGATATGGGCTGGCCTTTGCGCTCTGTTGCATCCGAACGACACTACGGCACTACAAAATCATCGTCTTGTATCTGACTTGGAGATCCTCTAACATTAAATATTAGCCACCATGAGATTACAAAGTGCACAGTGGCACAGTGAGCTGTGCGTCAATGCTGTCGATCCACCGCCCGAGGTAATTCATTACAGAAGCAGCTGCGATGGTACGAGCTAGCATCCACACAGGTAATCAATGATCGTGCCTACTTACGATCTAGGAGCCAGAGCCTTGCGTTGTCAATCCTAAAGGAATCTGTCAGGCGTGCAATGTATGCGGCAATCCAAGATCGCCGTAGCAGACAATAAAGATTCGAATAACCACGAGACAAGCAATTGCAGACCAAAGGGCCAAGGGATGAGTAGGAGCCCAAAGAGTGCAGATGAGCCTTGAAGAACAGTGTGTAGAGGTAATATGGATGCGTACATTCAGCGGCTGTCATCTCCTTAAGAGCTGTAGAAGTGCACACAGTAGCAAGGCATCGATGAAATCATCACTGCTACTATGCTCGGAGAAGAGCTCATTAGTGTAGGTACCGTGGAGACAGGGGCTGGCGTCCGCTCGCGTGATAGGCCACTAAATGTTAGGATCAGACACTTGTAAGTACTGCAGTATGTATCTATGAAAGGCATGTGGCTGACTGCTATCCTGTCGCTATCTCTCCGAGGCCCGAAAAGCCAAAAGATAAAGTAGGGCATTATCGTGTGTCAGGGTCTATGCCGTTTAAGCCTTCGAGGTTTTTGTTGCGCATGCTTGCCCCGAGTCTTATCAGCCTGCCGCCGCACACCCTGATGCATGATGCAACTTGGTTCCGAGGGCTCATCTAGCCGTCCACCCAAATCAGCGGTCCAGATATTCCTTCACATTAATATGCCTAAGAGCTCAGTAGGGCGCTCCCTTGTTGGTCCTTCTGGTTGCCGACGCCAGGGCAAAGGGTCAAAGGTTAGCTTCCCTTGGCTCTGCTCTGGCCCCTTCTCCATTGTGGAAGGCCAGAATAGACAGCAGCGTTGACTGGTTAGCACTACGCTTCGAAGACTGCCAGTTGTTCTGGTGCATCTCCATGCTACCTCATGTGCGCCGGAGCGCCATCCTGCACAGAGTAGAAAAGGTGTGTGGTAACCCTCTACAGAGTAATGAGAACAAGGGCTACAGAAACATCTACAGTTGACTGTCTGATGCTCAGCTCATCGCTCCCTGGTAAAGGGTGCACAGCTTGCTCCCCTTAGCCGGGTCACGAAAGCGCTGCAGGCGGACAGAAGGGGCCAAGGACAAAGGGCCTGTCACGCTCTTGGTCCAGAAAAGGCCACTTGCTGAAGGCGGTGCCTGTAAAGATGGTCCAGCAGATCTTCAACTAGCCCGTGCTTATTACGGTGGATGGATTGGCGGATTTTCATAGCAGATTACCGTCTTTGTGCGCCACTCTTACGCAGTACCGACGCATCTACACACACTGCGAGAGTGGTCTATATCACTGAACATGCCCAGGCACCCGCCAGCTAGGCCATGGCAAGATGTCCGCGCCTGTCCTACTCCCAGACGCGCCTGTCCAAGGCAGAGAAAGGCTGTGTCGCGATCCGTACCACTTGTCATATTGCAAACTTTTTATATCCGTCGTTTCTAGTGTGTCGGTTAGTCTCTAAACTATGTCCGCCGTCGGGTAGAGCCCTGACTTCTTAGGCGACACAAGGCAAGGATCGGATCTCGTCTAAACGCAGATAGCTAAGTCTCGCGCCTTCCACAGACCTGCTAACCCCTACCGTGGCGTAGAGAGGCTCCAGTAGTTTTTGCAGTTAGTCAAAGGGATATTAGTGACTTCACAACCCTGTGTGCCCCTGAGTAGTGGTCTGCTAGTTTGCAAAACAAATTAGCCTTGTGCAAGCCATTGGCTAGTGCATCCCCTTGTGAGGATATAGTCTCCCGGGTTTTCTCGCTTCTCGTGTATTCTGCTACAACTACAAGGGGTGTGCTTAGGAGATGTTACGCCGCCTTGAGGTTGAGCCGGCTGGCAGTCCTTGTGCTGCTCATCTGGCCCGGAGACAGAGAAAGCTTCTGTTAGAGTTGAGCTCCCCTTCAGTATCGTCATTACAAGCTAGGTAGCCGAGCAGTCAACGCGTACACGTACCACGAAATGAGTACCGACGAGCTGACCTGTGGGATGGACTGGACCCGTCACCCGGTGCGATCTGCTTCTAGCCGGCGGGAGTCGTTAATAAGGAGCCCTACAACAGTGACGGGGACAGGAGAACAGGCCCACAATGTAATAGCAACCAACTTTTTCATAAAGGCATGCCTCTATTTTCAGACATAGCCAAAGTTCCGTGAGTTTACTCGTGAAGTCGTGGGTCATATCCACAGGCAGGATATCCGGCAACACAGCACATAGCACGTAGTGGGCGTGTCTCTGTATGGATCTGCTCCGTATCCTGGAGTCTCAGTAATGCTGGATAGTCAAGCCCGCTAGATGTGTATCTGTCGGAGCATCCTATCTATAACCGCTATCAGAGCAGCAATTGTAGCCCTCGCTTATGCAGTCAATTAGCGCATCATATTGATAATCAGACAGCTACTATTATGACTAGCATACTGGTTAGGAGTGTACACAAGTGCTTATATCTGAATATTGGATTGAGAGTGACGCCCCTCGTCCGAGTAGGACTACTAGTACGGCATAGCCCCGGTCCGCACGAGTAGATAGTCTGTGGTACAGCATTCAAGCAAAGTACTGGTTCTTCTCAATGTCGGCAACGAAAAGTACGCGATCCTCGCTGCACAGATAAATGACGTCGACAGTGGCATAGTCGATGAAGTTCCCGTTCATGAGGGCCACTCCTGTCTCGGCCAGAATCGGGTTAACAAGGGGGAGGTACTTATCTAGAAGAAGACGCTTCAGTAGGGGAACAGGGTCGTTCATCCCTTCGCTGTGCTTCTTGGTGGCGATATCGTGCACTCCAAGAAGCTCTACATATGCACGAACTTGGTCGTTGTTAAATCCATAGGTAAACTTCTTAAGCTTGAGCGCAGAAGAGAAGAGCACGTCGCCCTCAAGGTTGGCCAGAGTTACAGGGGTTTGGTCTGATACCTTGCTAGCTGTCACAACGAGTGCCCCCGTGAGGTTGACCGGTAGTGCAGCCGCCCCGATCCACGGTATGTGGGGTGCGGCATCCTTGGAGGGACTGACAGACAGGGTCAGGGTGACCCCGAGTCCAAGGTCGTTAACAGTGCTTAGTAGTCCGGCCTTCACAAGAGCCTCTGCAAGGCCGGGTATGTTCTGCGCCCTGATGGTGCTGTACGGGACAGTGAGACCGTCTGCCTTGAACTTGTCATACGCCACGTGCCAGGCATACAGGTAGGAGTTAACTGATTCCCTGTCTACATAGAACTCATAGTCCCTGTCGGTGTAGACTGTCTTCGGAGGGGGAGAGGTGATCTTGTTTGGATAGAGAGCTCTGACCGACCAATCTGGGATAGTAGCGATCATTGAAAACCCACCCTGGTCTGCCACTATCTTGTTATCGACGACATTGATGCCGTTGATGTAGCGCTGGTCAGTCAGATAGTCATCACCGATCTGGACAACTAAGGGCAGGTTGAGCATTGACTGCTTTATTGAATTGAAGATTGTGTTAAAGAGGAGTTGCAACACGGTGTTCTTCATCAAATCCTCCAACGTGGGCGCCATGCCCTGGATGGCAGTTGCAAGGACAGACCCGCCTGTGTCGAGTCCGATCGCATCGATGTCGAGCCCAGACGAGTACACGACGTTCGATATCTCGGAGAGCCCGAAGTGGTAGGGGCAGGTGGGGTCGTCTCCGAGCCTCAGAGAGATGTCTGCCCCGAAGCCCTTGAGGGTGAAGATGCAGTCGACGGTCCCGGTGATCCCAGTGATGGTAGTTTTAAGCCGCATCGAGATCTGCATGATGCCGTCCCGGGCCTCCATCTTGACAAAGTTGTTGTCCTGCAAATGAACCTTCATGGTCGAGACGCG